CCAGCAAAACAGAAAATTGGAGGCACAATTGGCCGGTAGATTGTAGAGAAAGTAATTCACGCGAATAATGAAATGCGTCGCGAGGGAAGAATCACAGACGAAGATTGAAAACAGGTGGGAAATTCTGTTCCAAGTTATTCGAGAAAAATTAAGCGAAAAGCAATGAATATAAAAGACAACATTCGCTTCAGTTTGTAACTCGGTAACTACCGAGAGCAGGAATTTTGCATTGCATCGGTATGGTAACGATCAATAGATCCTACGTGCATGGAGATCAAACGATGTCCTTTGAGTTCAACAGGAAATTGAGACTAGAAGTTCCCGCACTTCAGGTGTGAACAAGAGTAGATGCATTTTTCATACGCTTCATGCATAAATTCAGAGGTGATTCCGAATAGAGTCTAACGGCCTACTGATAGATGTGTCTATCCAGGGTGGCTCTGAATCATCAAATAATGGAAATATCAGGTCATCCCCGTAAGCTCTTGCTGAATTTTATATTAGGATTCGAGACAATATTTCAAACGTTCCATTGAATTTTATGGAAAAATTTTGATATCACTGATCTCTTCGACGGAACTATTATATCGTCACAAACTTCTCTGACTTTCCATTGAAATGTTGTTCGATACTATTTTACATAAGTGTATCGACATTGTCAAATTTATTACTAGCTAAAAAGTGTTCAAGATTTTATACAATTTTGATATTTGAAGTCTCCGGATACGGAAACGCTCGTAGAGTAAATTTCACAGAATTCGAAGCCAGTTTGTCGTATCTGCGACTTTTGATCGCTATTCGGGCGTTTGGAACCACCGTGCCGATGTGTCCGATAGCGCGAGCGCGCAGCTTCTTTTCGCCCCGTTGAGTTATGTTTCACGCTTGCCAATAGCCAGGTATTCATTAACGCTAATTAATTCCGAGTTATTTTAATGGCCGAAATCCCGCGATTCCGCGTGCTCCATTTTGGCTCGTCCCGTGTCCCGTCTCGGCTCGACCAATTTGGCATTGTCGCGACTACTCACCCTCCCCCCCACCCTCCTTCCCCCTTGTGTTTTCCATTTCTTCTTTGTTCGTAGCATCGAGCTTTGCATCGCGTGGCGACGTATTGGTGTAACGAGGCTCTTTAGCCTCTACACAGCCATGATCCAGAGATCGTAAGCATGTAATTCTGATATGCAGGGTCACGTTGACCCAGGTAAAAGGGGAAGTTTCTCGATAGGCCAAGATCATAGAATAAAACTATCGTAAATAATAAATATTGCGTTTTGAGTTCGCGTGGAAGATTTGAAACGAATTTCTCGGACAGTGTAATGTTCGATCGCGAAATGGACCCCCTAATCTTTGTTCGTGGCAATCTAGTTTAGCCATGCTACGTCTCCCCGTGGCGCCTCGTCGGTTTCCCGCCCGGACGGCCATGTGAATACTTTCCGTTCGAGAAATTTGCCCGACTTCGATCTCCGCGCGCGGGGATCCGCGTGCCGTAGATACGCGCGGACAGACACGGCTGCTCGTCTATTTTCAGAATGTAGGCCAATTAATTCCGCCACATTTTCGGCGGTACAGGTCGGAAAAACGAAAACCGTACGAATCGTCGCGCGAAAATAGCAAGGATCACGGGGGCAGGGGGCTAAATCGGTCGGAAGTCGCGGCGGCGCGCGAGGGGCACGTCGACGCTCGGATAACTGCAACGAAACGGGGACCGCGGACCACGCAGTTAGTCGGGCCAGGCACTTTCAGGCGTTTTCACTAAGAAAGACCGAACTTATCATATTGAGGGACTGGGTGCAAAAACATCCTACTCCAATTAAATTGATTTTGTGCAGTCCATCATAATCCTATTCTTTGATCTTCTATATGTAAATACAGTAGAGTTCCGATTATCTTATTACATATTTACACTGATTATTCTTTGACAAATGTTACGAATTATATTTCACACAAATAAGGAAATCAAAGTCGCATTCAGTAGTGACGACGATACTAAACAGTTGACGAATATAGCGTAGGAATTTTATATATTTTATTTTTTATTAATAAATTGTATTACTACATTGCCCACGCCATATTAAAAATCTAAAAACAAATTCTGAAGAAAAATCGTCAGGGCGTAGGTGGAGACATTTTTCGACGAAATTAAAAAACTTCAAATCGTTCTAAAAAAATTATTATCGTCTGCAGGGGTCAATTACAATCATTTTTGGTCAGTAGACATACCCCCGAAATCCTATCCATTTTCGAGAAAAAAATTCGAGTAGATGTGAAAGTCGACAAAATTAAAAAATTTCAAATCGTTCTAAAAAAATTATTTTCGGTTGCGGGGATCAATTACAATAATTTTTGGTGAATAGACATACCCCCGAAATCCTACTCACTTTCGAGAAAAAAATTCGAACAGGTAGTGAAAATTTTCGACGGAAAAAAAAATTTCAAATCGTTCTGAAAAAATTATTTTTGGTTGCGGGGATCAATTACAATCATTTTTGGTGAATAGACATACACCCGAAATCCTATCCACTTTCGAGAAAAAAATTCTTTACCGAAAATATAACGTGTGGCCAGAAATGTTTCTCCGAAAAACATCATAATTTCTGAATGGGAATATTAAATGACTGCACTTCAGTCGTAATTTATTGTCAAGTAATAAAAATACTTGATTACATTAGAAAACTTTGTTCGTCTTAATTGTGTCATATAAAATCAACGAATAAGCACTTCATTTGTTTTTTTCGCTTCTAAACCTAAATCCAGTTAAGTTATTCTTCACCCAGCTGCACATATGCAATCAGTTCTAATCAGGATCACTCGAATTGCTGAAGAATAATCAACTTGCTTGAATCGGTTCGATTCAGTGTCATGAAGTCGTGTGTATTGTGCATAGAAATTACGAGCTTTTAGAGAATTTTGTGACCACATCTTTGAAAAAATTTGTAAATAGTTAAAAACGTTATGGAACTCTTTTAATTATTATTTAAATCTTGATGTTGATCTCTCTTGTCTAATGTACACTTTATAAAAAATGCAAACATAGCTGAGGATGGACTCGTTGATCTCAGAACGAGCTAATGCTACCAACAATTTGGTAGCATTAAAGTTTAACTTAACGAGTCTCGAAGGATTCTGGCGTTGCTTGCAAGGAGCTTATCCCGCGATCCTGTAGAGCGATCAGTGCAAAATCCTGTTTGGTTGCGTCGAAAGCACATTAAATTTAACTAATATTTAAGAACGTTACTCCGAAAAGGGTCCAACGAGCTCCATTAGTCTGCTAAAATGGCGTATGCGGCGGGGAAAAGCAAAGAACGGAAATATATTAGAGTTCCTTAACGTTGCAAGCAAACAAATCCCTAATGGAGGAAGGCTCGTGCTGCTTTGTATCCTCGGGCTGTGGTCACAGTGGAAACGCAGAAAGAAGGAAACGAGATAGTTGGATGCTGTTGGACATAGGTTTCTACTTTCAGAACTTTCTACTTTAATCGGAAGAATGAAAAATAAACTCGGGCTGTGTACACTCCGTTAAAATGGGTTGACTTAATTCGAAAGAGTAGACCAGAGAATCCATTTAAAGCGATCGAAACGAGGAAGACTTTGCTTCTATAGAGTTTTTCAATCAGTGATCCTGATTTTACATTGCATAATTTGCAATGTAAACAAATCGTAATCTCGTCTCCAACGCGCAGAATCCAAAAACTCAAAAACTCGCCGACGCAAACCCAAACGACCCGAGATATACGAAAACCGAAGAGACCAAAGATAAATCGCAACCGAAGATGGTGCACGATAGAAATTCACGAAGACCCGGAAGTACTATAAAGGGCGACCTCGCTCGACGCGAGTTCGGCTCGTCGATCAATCCAGTTGTAATTCAGTTGCATCCATTCTACTAGCGAACCAAGAAGAATACTAAAGCTACACTATACTAGAGCCATATACAGAGTGCATCTATGGGGTACAATCTGACAGTGGGTGATTTCTGCGTACAGAAATAAGTAGAAATTAATGAATAATTGTTCCAATGTTCTGATTCTAAATTTAATTCTCGACTGTGATATCAATCGATAGCAGACACTCAACTTATTATCTATATTCTATCATACATATTGCTCCTTTTATGGTGCTTGTACTCTATGATTCCACGATCATTTACGTTTGTTATAATCGTACCAATGTATCTTGTTATTGAGCTTTGGGAGATGAAGTCTCTCTACTCTTTTCATTTTTGCATTACTGTTCAATTGGAAAGCTCGATCTTTTTTATAGTTTTTGAATGAGACTTTTGATGATAAGTGTTAACGAATGATATTTGTATATATTTATATCTCAAATAAACTAATGTTCCAAAAGTCAATTACCACGCATTGCTGTCACCAAGCAACAGTTATTGTTTTAAACTGAAGTTGATTGCTACTTAGACTGCAAAATGACAAACATTGCCAAAAACTGCATGAATATTCTGGCGTAATATTTTGAACTATTCGAATATTGGATGTTTCCGTCAGCTCTACCAGGAAGTGATCTAGAACCGATCGCGATCGTGGGCGATCGTACGCGTGACGCGTGACGCGTGGCGCGTGGCCGTCGCGACGCTCTCTAGGCACTCGTGGCGAACGATGACTGCGATGGAACAGGGGGGTTGGAGGGGCGACAGAGGGAGAGAGGAAACGAGGGATCGGAGCCACTCTACCGGGAGAACGTTGCATCTCGGAAGCTCCACGGGTGGGCTATCTATAGCAACGAGTGTAACCGAATAGAAACCGAGTGTCACTCAAGGGTGACAAAACTCATTAATACTGATCTGCTTAATGCCCCGTCTCGTGTCTGGCATTAATCTACTTAAAAATACCAGTATCGCGAGCGATCTACCGTTTTGGAAGCGTCGACGAGAGGAGCCGGTCGATGCGTCGCGTCGCGAGCCTCCTTAATAGACGATTCCTGTCTTTCCGCGCGTTTCGGCGGCGCAACGCGCGCGTAAATTACCGTTTCGCGGATAGAATCTCACTCACCGTTGATGGGTTGAAACCTTGCCAAAGGGTCCGAGAATTGCCTGAGCCTTTCCGTCACGTATCGCGGCGAGTCTGCGCCCTGCGAATAAAAAGAATCGGTTGTGATTGCGTTCGGATCGGAAGAGGTTTCGAAAGGCGGCGTACATGTTCCGATCGAAACGATCCGAAAAGGTTCTCGTACGAGTTCCATAACTGTTACTTTTTAGGTTCTATATAGGTTCCTGCGCGTCTAAGAACGCCTACGCGTTTAACTCATGATGCGTTTATTTTATCCGGAAGTAAGAGGCGCGAAGACGTACAAGCCACGAATGATGCATTCGAAGCGCCCGTGACGCACACTATATTCTAAACATGCTCCGGCGCTCAGGATCGCAACTTATTGCAGCCAATTTTCCTTCCCCCACCCCCAACACGGATCTAAATAATCCGAGAATTAATTTCGGGCCAAAATCGCTGCTAGAACGCGGTGGAATCTTGACGTCGATCTACTTGTTTGTTAAGATTTGGTAGCAGTCCCCGTGTACTTGAGATCCTGTTAATAATGGTTCGCGATGGGTAGCTTAAAGAAGACAGTTTTGATCAGTTTTTGATGGGATTTCCGACCATTGTGAGGCATTTCGCCGAGAATGGGAGACGCGCGCTGTGTCGCGCCTCGTTCGATTCGATCGTTCGCGAAATGTAGGTCAATCGTGGTGTTCGGCAAGGGATTCGCGCAAACGTCGTCCACCGATTGGAGGGAGAAGGTTTCAGAGGGGGGAGGAAAGGAGAGAGGGAATTTTTGAACAAACGCGAAAACCATCGGACACGTAAATAAGTTCGTGGAAGAAAACACTGGTCATGATAACAGCCATCTTTCTTTAACGAATGCCAAAATTAAAATAACAGGCTCGACTTTTTTTAAACATACTCTTTGTTCCTAAACAGTGAATTCTAATGGTAATTTCTATTCATATCGTTAAGGAGCAATGATCTCTGACAGTGCATTATTCGCTCGAATAATGAACCACTTATAAACTTTGGGCTCGGTATCGTGGCTTCGAAGTTCGGTCACATTTTTTCTTTCTATATCCGCTACCGGATGACTGTTGAGAAGACCATTAACTCCCCGCTGAAGTTCGACTTAAGTACTCTAAAGCCAAAGTCGACCAAAATCTAGTTGCGTCTAAGCATTAGACGCTAAGACAAGGCTCGCTGGATCAGCTTTGCAAGTTCCAGAAACGATCAATGTATCTATCTGAATGCTTCGAACTACGGACGCGAGACATAGCAATTTTCCAGCCCGTTGCTGTTCAACAAAAATCACATCTTCGAATCATGCCGTTTCCGGAATAAATGCACGCTGCTGTATCTTTAAAAAATTCGATCATCGTTATCGTGGAATTGATTTTCTCGAAAAGACGTTTTGACGCGTGTGTTCTTCCATTGAATTGCGTTTGGTGGCAATTATTTGTCGACAAATTGAACGTTCCATGGACGTGTCGCGTTTATCCGTGAGAGGAAAGGGTCGCGTGGCTATCGATAAAAGATAAGGGAGAATCGGAAGCGGGGGGACGATTGTCGGAGGCAAGTGGCTGGAGCAGAGGGCACGGAGTCGTGGTCGTCGTCGTAGTCGTTGGAATGCCGATCGGCGTCGCGTTCTCTGATCTCTTTCGCCTTCTTTCCCTCATTCATTCCTCCACTCTACAGACCACTAAACACTCCGTACACATTTTATCCGACTCCGGTTCCTTTATTTGTTTCGGCGCATCTATATGCGGCGTCGCGGCCAACTATTCTCGGAGTGAAAGCAGTTCCTCGCCGCGCTGTCCACCGCCTGGCATCGTGCGTGACTGCACGCGCGTGTACGTGCGTTCGCAACTTGTTACGAGAAACTAGCTCTGACAACCAGTGTTCCGCGAGAAGATACATTTTCAGAGGACGAGCGCGCGTTTACCGAGGCCCCCGTACACCGAATCGTATTTAAACTTCGAATTCCATCGTTGTCGAACCGCGCGGTCATTCGCATCGAAAAATCTGAAAAAAAGTCATTCTTACAATACTATCCGTAATTTCCATACCGTAACGTTCTTTTTATAATAATCTACAGTATATATAAATCGAACTGTCTTTCTCTATTGACACGATTCATTTTTCCGTGCATTTCTCTTCGCAGACCAACGAACCGGCAATCCCGTCCGCCATGTTTTTCTTCGTGTGTCATAGATTTGCGGGGAATCTGCGAATTTGTATAGGAAATTATTAGTCTCTTGTCCCGTAACATCGAGCCATATGTATTCCCCAATGTTTGATGTTTTTAAAACTTTCTAATCGCATTGCGTTTCAGTCGATCGGAGAAGATAACGATATTTTGATCAAAAAGTAAAACGATTGTTCTTTGTCACGTTTTATCGAAGAAGAGTCGAACTATACAGGGTTGGTACGGTGGTGTTTCGCGACACGAGCGATTAAGTGTCATCCCGGGCTACGCGAAGAGGAGTTTGGCAGAGCAAAGAGTACCCAGCAACGGTTTTTCGGGGAGATTGAGGAGTTACAACGTCGGGGAACAGAGACCGGGACTGGAGGGGACGCGACACGAGATCGAGGAGCTTTTATCGTAAAGTAGGATACCTTAACCGCCCCGTGCTTGCGACTAAAACGACTGCTTTAAATAAGCGCGATGTTTGCTCTGGAAGATGGCTCTCCGGCCTCGATGTCAGAGATCGATGCAACTTCCCCCGCAGGGATGGTAGTTTCTCGTGAAAAAATCAATTTTAAAGTCAATCGAGGAGCTCGCTTCCAAAATGCCTTAATCCTGAAATATTATAGAAGGGTACTTAATTAGTCATTTATAATAATCTCGTGTAAATAAAATGACTTTCTCCTACCATTTAAACTTCACTTTTACTTATTTTCATGATTGGCGTATACTGCTCCTTAGTAAAATTATGGAAATATAGTAAACCACGTACGTCAGACAAACCTACTTATAAATTTTATAACAGATACGAATTTGGATTTGAAAATTTGGCAAAAATTGATCACCAGTGAGAACGAAAGATTGCAATTGTTGCTGTAGGAAGACAAAAGGTAGACGAAAGGCGAATCGACTGGGAAGCACGATTCCTAGTGGCTCCAAATTTCGTTTGGAAATGAACGAAAGCGCGCGGTATCGTGGCTCGAATCGATGCTGGGCATCGAGCTTATATTTAGCGAGGATACGAGCCGACTGCTTTACGCGAAAGACCAGAGAAATATATTTCATTGTATAATCCCCTCGGAGAAGAGTCCCGAAGTGGCTCGCTTGCTGAGTTCGCCTGAAACATCGCGCGAAGATCTAACTCGCGAGCTCCACACCCCGGGACTAGGGTTGGAACTATTCGAGCAGTATACTATGCGAGTATTTGACAAATATTCCAACCGCCGCGAGTTAAATTCCAATGTCCAAGCGTTCGGAAATTATTGTCGGTATATGAATATTCGGATATTACTAACCAAACATTACAAGAAAAGGCACATAGATTTTAACTATTAATATAAAATTCAAACACCTGCTATTTTCGTCCAATCTGGATGAAAGTTCCTTCCTCGAATTATCGAGGCATCCTATACAGTGTAGTAAATATAATTATTTTATCAGTGTGAGCGTTTTAACAAATTTCTTAAATTAAGCAAAGGCAAAATTAAATGGATAAAAGCGACTTAATATTGACCAAGTCAAGATAAACGTAACAAAAATGTCCGAAGTTGAAATTCTATCCTTTCGGGAGCTTTAGGAAAAGTTTGAGAACTACGGAGGAAGTTTGTACACTCCGATCGTGCCGTACGCTCGTTTCGCGAATGCTATTTGAAAGGGATCGATCGATCGGAAAGTAAAATTCTCAAAAAGCCAGCGTCGATGTCGTCCAAGATTCCGTTTCAGGAACGAAACTCTTTCGGCGAGCTGGTGCAAAAAACGACACGTCGACCGTCGCTCTCGAGTGCACACGTGTTCAACACGTGGCTGGATACGCGCGCTCTCGAACAGGCACTCGAAATTAATATTCGCAGTTGCTCTGCAAACGACACGACCAATAAGGTAAACGTACCAACTATGGACATACTTTCTCACAATCTACCCTTTGAACGGTGCCTGAAAATTCTGAATATCCGTCATTGTCTGTGTGCATTTTAATCTGCGAAGCCAGAACACTACTATTTTACTCTTTTATAAAAATAATACTTTAATTTATATTCAAATTAAGACTTGCATAAATACTTTAATATCTATTCAAATTATTTTTATAAAAATGTAGAAGACCAGTGTTCTATAAAAGCTACTATGCCTAGTAAGTAGTTATAGAATACTAGTTTTCTATATTATTATAAAAAATAATTTGAATAGAAAAAAAGTATTTATGCAAGTATTAATTTAAATATAAATTAAAGTATGTTCAAATTAAAATCAGAGGTTGCTATTATATCTAGTATTTTAAACTTAATAATATTTGTAAAATTATAAATAATATATGAATTAGGAATATTGTAAAATAACGCCCTTTACATCTTTAGACACGAAAAACTGGCGTGGCAGTCAACGCGTTAAGTATAATATACTTGAGCAATTTTCTCTGAGGTCTCCATCTTGCCTCGCTCTCCCTTGTACCAATACAAGACAGTTCACGTGTAAAGCTTCGGAAATTGATCGCAAAGATTACGCGTACACAACATCTGTTGAGGCTATTATACCCTAAAGAGACTTTCGGCGCTAAAAATACTAAAAGAGACACTGTCAGCAATAAAAAAAAAGAATAGCTCTAGATAGCTGAACAGCTGTGCTGGTATACCGTGAGTGGCGGCAGAGCCGCGCTTATGGGATTTTACGCGTAAAACTTCAGAGCCCTGGGGGCACGTTTTCCGGTTACCCGATCGTGCTCATCTCTTACACATATTAATCTTTTATGAATCGGAACCAGGGATGTGACAAGACGCGGGAAAAAGGGACACTCGCCCCAAGAGACCGTGGTTATAGAAGCGCCAACAAGCGCGTTTAAAAATAAAGAATTAAATTAACCGGCGTAATACTCCCCCTATTAATTTGCTTCTTGTTATTCCATTAAAAGATCATTCCTTTCCTCGACTCGAAACTTAAGTTCTAAGAGTCACGTTCACGCTGGCGGGCAAGCTGACGCGAAAATGGTTTTTTAAAAAGGACTTTTACACCATACAATGCCCTCCTCCATATCGAGTAATTCTTATAATTTCCGAGATATTGCAACCCTTATTTTAAAAATTGAAAAAATAAATTGAAATTTCGTATATATGAATTCGTTGGAGGATCGAGTAGGATAGAGATCGATAGATTGACGAGCAGCGGCGAGGGAAAACAGCGCGCGATGGCGGACACGGCGTTCGGTTGTTTCGATTTCTGACACGCGTGGGAAACATAGTATCGAAAACCGATAGCTGCTGACCGAGAAGCGACGCGAATACTCTACCGCCGGAAACGATGTTGAAACGTTTCCCCACCTCCGCTTGCTCCGTTTTCCCTCTGCCCTGTGCGCGCCGTGGCAGCCGCGATAGCGACGGCAGGCATGCTTTTGTTGCGCGTTTCGCAGCGCAAAAGAGGTCACCGGCGAGGGCGTCGGAAAGCGAGCGTACGAAGCTCGGTCGATCACGACGCAGGATGCACCGGGAGCGCGTGTCAACCTACCGCGTTCTTGGCCAAACCGTGATCTTGAGCACCCGCGGATCTGTTCCCTTGCAACAACGCTTCCAGACCCTCGATGTACTCGATCGCGTTCCGCAGAATCTCCACTTTCGGCAGCCGCTGGTTGGGGTTGTTGCTGGTCCTTCTCTTCAACACCTCGAACGCCTCGTTCACCTGAAACGACCACGCGAGTCAACGTTGCACGGTTAACTTTTACACAGATTTAGCATCTTTTATAGAAGCACAAATATTGCTTGATAAAGAAAGGGCCAGCGTTAAACGGGGGTTGACTGCGTTTGAGAGACCAGATCTTAACCCTTTGTACTCCACTGGTGCCGCTATGACGATAAACATAATACTGTACTATAGTACAATTCGAGTTTCATTTATGGTAATACAAATTAAATTTAGGTATTTATAAACTTTTCTGGGGAAAAAGAAAATTGCAATTTGCATTGCTAGTTGTTCTTATTAACCTCCTCAGGATCAAATTATTTTGTTTCTAATAAACAAAAAGGCAAATTGATATTCACCCACAATATTCGTCAATCTTGTGACAATGCTGCCATGTCATATCATTAGAAAAAACTATAAACATTTATTCGTAACTCTAGTGGTTACTGTTATGATATAATATTTAAAATAATTTAAATACTAGTATCCTTGAAGAGATTAATAAAGACTCTCAGAGTGCAGAGGGTTAAGCACCAGCCTTCTACGAGTAAGTTATTAGGACGAAGTTGGCGGGAAAGTCTGGTAGCGAGAAGAGTAGAGTGCCGACCTTTCTCAAGCGCCTTCTTTCCCGCAAGGTCGCCGCTTTCCTTCGGTCAACGGTCACGGTTTTCTTTTTGCAAGCTTTGCAGGCCCAGAGGAGGCATCTGCGGGGACCGTGGGCCGAGGCTGTCGCGTCCAGCGCCGCGTGAGGATGAGGCACGTGCTCGCTCGACTCGCTCTCGTTCGATTCGTTCAGTTCTTTCGGCTCGTTCGACTCGTTGCCCTCGTTGCTCTCCTCCGCCTCGATGGAGGCGGATTCGAGATCGGCCGATGCGTCCACCGATACCACCGACGACGCGTCGTCGGAATCCAAAACGTACCGCGACGACTGCGACCTGTCGACGTGCACGCATAACGATAAATCCATTACAACATTAATCTGATTTCAAGCTCGTCCGCCCAAACGACATTAAGAAAAATTCTAATCCGAATCGGTACATGGTGGAAAAAGTAACTAGTTGTATCTCCAATGAAATTGAAACTGCGTCTCGTTACATGCACCTAGACGCGTACAGAGCGAACGAAAAGAAAAGGAATCGATTGTTACGACCCGGCGGTATAGCAATTCCTCTTAAAGACGATCGCGAGGGAGTTGTTCCAACGGAGAGTCTCTGTTCCTCCGATTGGAATCGTTCCAGGTGGTCGACAGAACGCGGTGCCTCCTCGTTCGTACCTTGATCGACGCGACGAGAGACAGAGTCTGGTAGACACGGGTAAAAGGAACTCGAAATACGAGGTGAAAATGGTTTAATGCGCGATAAAGCCATCGGCGCGTTTTCGTTGAGAATAACGACAGACAGGCGGTTTCGGGATCTCAAATCTCGACGTGATTTCTGTTACGACGATGGAAAACCGTTGTACGGAGGTTGGGAGTATCCGCGATACGAGAGACGCGAAATTTCCACGGGATGATTCTTTCCTGGGGCGAAACAAAGACCCAGAGTCTCGAGGAGGCGTCGAAAGAAACGCGCGACGATCCGCGTGTTCCGTTTCTGAGGAGGAACTGGTACAGTCGGTGGAACGGTTATAGCGATCTAGTAAAAACTGCAGGGTGCCAACAACTGGTAGCTGGCCTGGAAGAATCGTCCTTGGAACTTTAAAAGCCTGGTGTCCGTTGGAAAGTTTTGCTATCGATAGAGGTGTGTGCTAAAATCCGAAATTATCGGGTCGAGATTCTAGAATTTTTTTCGCGATCGGAACGGACATCCCAGATTGTTCGAGATTTTCAAGAATATTTTAAATATTTCGAGGTTTAGTTATTGTTAAAAAATTCTGCGACGAAGGAAATTTTGACTTCACACGATCACTATTTTATCGGTATATGTTCATACATTTTTATCGATGAAAAAGACTGTCGTAGATGTTGATATAATTTTGGTTTGCACTATAACGGAACGTGCATTTAATATGTAAAATTTGAAGAAGATTCATCGATCCATTCTTGAGATATCTTGGCAGCAATTCAAAACAATAGACTGTAAGAGACGTGCAATAACTCGAGCAATAATAAAGATTATTGCACTGTGTCGTCGGAGAAGAGTAATAAACTTCGTTTGAAATTTGCCAGAAAATATAAAAAGCGGGCAATCACTGAATGGAAACGGGTCATTTGGTCGGACGAGCGAATGTTCCAGTGGTTAAACAATCGTTTCAAGTTTCATTTATATTAAACATATTCACTGATGTTCGTTTGACATTTTTAATAATATATCTGATTAAATTATAATAAAAGGTCTCTAAACCCTGAATGCAATAAAGAAAAAAGGTTCTCCAAAGCTGCCATGTTGACGGTTCATGAAAGAAAACCGACCAACGTGTTATGATCTATGGATCGCTATAAATTTCTTCTTCTAATCACAATTTGTAATTTTAACATATAAATTACTGTGAAGATGGCGGGAATCGAATAGTTTTCTTAACATTAACTGACAATTATAGTGCATGTATTTGTACCAAAGAATGCAATGGAAGTAAGTGAAAATTATGGTAAATTTTCAAAAATTCGGTCGAATAAATGTTTTATAAATATTAGAAATTACGAATGGGTCATTTTGACTAGGTTGAATGTTTAAGTACTGGAATATTTACGTCGATTCGATCGCATTACATATATGGAATTGTTAAGCGCGAGCAATTCTCACCCGAGACGATGATCGTACCGGTAACGCTGCGAGCTGGTGGACTCTAACGGCGAGACGCTGCCGGCCGCCTCGGCGACGCTTCTCGTTTCCTCGTCCACGTTTCCCTCGGACAGGTATCCTTGGAAGCAGTCGATCGACGGATGCTCGCCGGACGCGTACACGCGTCGACGCCGATGATGATGGTGATAGTGGTGATGATAACGATGGTGGTGGTAACGATGATGATGGTGGTGACCGTGATGAGGATGATGCAGTAGTTGCAGGTGATGGTGGCGGTAAGAGTCGTACGTCGATCTACCGGCCGCTTGACACGCGTAAGACACCGCGTCCGTCACGAGGGTCATCATATCTCGAGGATCACGCTGGGACCGGCGAGCAACGATCCTCCGACACGCTCCTCGATCTTTCCTTGCCGCGACCTTGTCTCTCACGGATGCCAACGAAACCTCGAAACTTCTTCCACGAAACTCAACCGAACCGCCTCGCGGGACAGAGCTACCGTACGGTCCGATCAATCGTCATACCGAGCACTTCCGGCGGATCGACGGTATCATCGTGGGCCGCGTATCGCGATCGATCGTCGAGTCGATGAACGTTGGCGACGGCGTTTCGACGCTCGAGCGATTCGAGATCGAGCCAAAGTCTGGGGAAAGATTGAAGCAGCCGAGCTTTCGGAGGATGCACGCGTGCCACGACACGCAAGCTCGTACGCGCTCGTCGAGACTCGTAGCCGATCGTAGGCGATGCTCGCTCGCGGCCACGCTTTTCTCGCCCGGCGAAACGCACGCGTAGCCAACGCCGTTTCGAATACTTTACGAGCGGCGTTTAGCGGACGGTTACACCCAGTTGGATTATTTTCGACGTGAAGCCGACCAATTAGGGCCCATCGAAATACTCGCGGAGACGCCGTCGCCACGCCTCTTATCTTTCGAACCACGACCTAGTGGCTGGCGGGATCTCGTCACGGGGTGTGGTTTAATCCCGGTGACTCGAAACCGAAATTATTTCGGTATCGGTCATTTTTCGGTTAATCCTTCCGCCACTACCGGAACCGCGCGCCCGCGGTTTCTTTCCTATTCGCGGTTTGCGACACTCTTCATAGTTTGTGTCGGCTGGACGACAGTCGATTTGGTAACCATCATTCTCAAAGACTTAGGATACGTTTAACACGTTTGCTGCGGTTTATGACGTGACTTTTGTGTTTTATGACAATCTGTTTTTTTGTTATTGATAAACAAATCCTATAAAGTGTGTACGTCTGATGCTTCGTATCAATTTCTACTTAAATTACCAAACTAGTCGCTCTCGGTGAACATCCACAATATTTACGACGCAGCGAACGTGTTAATGAACCCCCGCGACCGTAGTATCTGTACATTGTGTTTCAATATCTTTCTCTTTCATCTTGCTATAGAAGCATTAAAGAACTTGAAAACGCAGTAAGAATTAACACGTTCGCGGACAGTACAAATTTTAATGAGCAACAGCATAATTTCAAAAAATAATACATAGAATCGAATGCACGATAATGTGGCTTAAAAATTTGAATGTTATAGCATCCAAAATTAATGCTATAGTACTCGCGTCCGCGAACGTGTTAAATAAAATTTACATTAGAACGTTGCAAAGATTAGCTCGTAACATGAAGAATCGAATATTTGAAGTTTACAATTACTGGTATTATAATGTTTTTCTATAACTGTTCCTACTGTTATTTAAAATTTTGGTTAGGAAAGCAGAGTGTACGAGACCGCGCAGCTTCCAGAATAACGAAGCGTGTAGAAACATTAGGAGTAAATTAAGAGCAACTAATACTTATTTGCAAATGGGGTTGCGACGGGTCATCTGGACAACCCAGATATAAGCAAATTTATCAGAGTAACATGTGCGAACAAACTCCAACAGTGCTACGCGAAGTCGTTTTATCAAAACGGGTTTCTTCTTCATTCGCATGCGTTTCAATGTTGATGATCCTTCCAAGATTCTCTAGATTATTCTTACGCTTAAGGTAGTGGCACCGATTTGACGAGCAGAGAGGAGATCGCTGTTTAATGCGTGGCTCAAGATATTGCAAATGTCTTTCCAGTGGCTCATCTATTAAAAAACAAATATACATGGTTGTTATTATTGAATTTCTGTCCATTTAAAGAATTTTATAGGGGGTCGATGCAAATGATAATCTGTGGGGACTAAGTATGGTGAGATTAAACATTTAAAACATTTTTTTATACGCCATTGCATTTGTTCTGAAAATAAAATAAAGCCCCAAGAAAAAGTAGAAGAATTTTGCGATAGGAACGTATTTTTCGTTCTTCCGTACGATGCAAATGGGTTTATCTGCTACTGACTACCCTCGAGTGGTCACAGTTCGCAGTCGAGCTTGCGACAACTCGATAGACAGTACCGTATGGGAAAAGGTAGAAAAAGTGACGAAGAAAGAGGGAAATTCGATTTCTAGGGTAAAGTGGGACAAGTTGGAAACCAGAGTTCGCCGCAGCGTGGCGTAATCTTGCCTGCTAGGTTCCTCGAACGGCTAGAATCAACCTTGAACCGATAACCTCTTTACCTACATAGAAAAATAATATAGAAGAAGGGGCGACGAGAGGCGCATTAACGACCGTTTCTCTGCGAGCATAGACTGTGATCGCGAAATCTCCGAGAACCGATAATCTGTCGCCGATGAACAGAGTGATGCAAAACACTTCGAGCAATGACCAAAATTGATTTGTACCTCGTCCCCTTTTTAACATAAAACATGAGTAGAGAAGAGTGGTATGCAATGGGTATTTACTTGTAACTTTACAAACATTATTAGAAGATACGTTTTGCGATAAAAAATATAAATTTTATACATCAAAAATAATTTTAATTTATACAATGGTAGTATATTTATGATATTTGAAAATAACAACCGCCCACGATGTATCTCAGCCAAACTAATCAGGGGATGAAGTAAACGCTGTCGACCTAACTCGGGTTGCCTCGTACTATTGTGTGCCAAAACTTTGACTGATTATAATAATTTATTAACGCAAGCTGGAAAGCTTCTTTGCAATAGGATATCGCAACCAAAAAGTTTATTAATATGTTTCATTAATCGACTTAAGCTCGGGTTGCCTTCGGTAATTCAGAGGAAATTTACAAATTAAATAAGTAAAATTATGTCGTTTAATAAACACTTTGAATATTGAACCTGTTTCCAACATGTTCGATACACAGCGTGACGGGCCAATTCAATTTGACGATCGTCGGTCCAATAGAAAAAGGCTTTTTAATGCATCATAAAAAAGAAGAATAAGTATAAAAAATACACCATGTGGTAAAAACAAAATATGACAAGATCCTTCTTCAGAGATCAATGAAGTTATCGACTTCATATTTTTCATCAAAACACTCTTCGCTATGTTTTCAATGCTTCCAAATTACTCGTTCAATTGCACCATTGAATGAATTGACAAGTCAGTAATTACCGAGATATTCTTTTAACAATTTTTTATGTAAACAATACTGAAAATATTGTCCATGTATTGCGAGCATATTCTCAGAGGAAAAATTTGTTTTCTGATTCTATATTCATGTCCAAAGAGAATAAGTTTCAGTCGTACATGGATTAAAGTCGAAACGGGCAATCGAACGTGTTAAGGAACAGGGGACGAAGTAGAAAGGGATACTAGTTAGCCAAAAATGCACAAACGGTTCGAGCAATCTCCGGAAACGATGATCACGCGCGCGCCACCTTCTCCACACAGCTGTGCGCGCGTATCCGCGCATTGGGTGGGAATGGGAATACGTTAGCATAGAAGGAGACTAACGCGTAGGGGTGGCTCTGTATCGCACCCCCGTGAGCGGGTACGATGCCTCGTGCTATCTCGGAACGACTCGGACGCGCTCGTGTTCGTAAACGAGGAAGGAGAATAGCGCGAGACGAACGCTACGGATCCGAGAAGCGAGACGAAAAACGGGTCACGCTCTCCTCCTTTCAGGATTCGGTCGGCTGGGATACCTACATCCGCCAAAGCTGAAAGTTCACGAAAGGGCAATGCCTCGCCCATTTTTATGGAAGCGGGAGCCACCCACGAATGGACCGCCTGGCGGTCGACGCTATTTTCCCTGATCCTTCCAACGACCATGGATAAAAGAGCTCTGACTCAGACTCTCGACTTTCCCCCGCGACGATTTGCTTCTACCACCCTTTTGTCAAATAAGACACAGGCCTATATGGAAACGTGCATCCCCGATCGACGATACCCTGGCTATAGTGACAGCGCTATTTACCATCTCTACCAAACCTCTACCAACACCCGCGCAAAGGAAAGTCGATAATCAGAGATCTGGCTCTTAGGCTACTGGGTCTCGTCCCTGGGTGAGTTGCTTAATGAAAAATAGACTCGAACCGGAAAGAAAGACCAGGGTCGTTCAGGGTCTAAACCTCTTGGTGTTGGATGGTTACCGGGATGAAGCATGCCCATGATCTTCGAATCAAGTGGTTCCAGGTACAGGAATCTACAACAAATGGTCAAATTATCAAATTATTAAATACATTCTAATCAGTATTAAGTTATATTATATATGAAAATAGTGAATATACGTCCCACAAGTTAAAAGCCTCCGACAAATTGATTTCTACAAATTGTAATATATTTTGCTGATCTCTGATGCAAAATTCAATATGTTTTCGCATCGTTTATATTGTATTGATTTATTCTACAATTCATTTAATTGGGTCTTGTGGTAAGCATTCAGTTTCCAATCGTGTTGCAATCAATTCCCACCTTCGGGACAAATTAATAATACCATTTTGATAATACTCGTCACGATCGCCGTTTTACAGAATGAAACATCGACTTATATGGAAACATTTCTGATTTCATCACAAAGCAAAAAATGATAAGAATGAAAGTGAAACACTTATCTAACAAATTCCAAGTGCGTTGATATGGGGGTTGAGATTAACAGCAACAGCACACCTCACATTTCTTCCAAGTTTCTGTCGTTTGCATTTTAAAGCTGAAGCTTTCAGTTTCTCCAGGCTTTTTACGAAACTGTTAAAATGTACGCCGCGACACTTAATTTCAATTTGCAGATTTTTCAACAAACATTTCTACTTATGTCAGAACCATAAATGTTGAAACTTTCACTTTTTCCAGTAAAGATATGTTTGGAACTATTGAATGTTTTCCTTGTTCTAACATCACACTAAAATCATAAATGTGTAAGTTAAATAACGATGGTTATTGTATTCCAGGTACGTGAGTTATCGTGCAATTTAGCAATGCCAAAACTTTGAATTCCAGAATTTATCGAAAAGTACATTCTGGCATGAGGGGGAGGATATCTCGCTTTAAGCTATTACTAAATTTAATCGTTAAGGTTATTTGCCGCGATCGCTTCCACCGTGAAACGAATAGTTTACGTAACAACAACTTTGGTCGTGCTGGTCATGTATATAAACGTTTCGTGTTTGGATTCGGGGATCAGTCGGACACGTGTTGTACGGATTCTTCGTTCGCGGAAGTTTCGTCCCAATCGAGGAATATTTGTAAAGGGGTTGATTTGGGGTGCAAAACCTACAGCGAACGGTTCACGAAGTTCGTAAAAGCGTAAGGGCAACAAACATCAACGAAAACCGTCCGAATGCATTTGTTTGGTACTGTACATATGACCTATATCGAATTCAACGACGATCGTATTACTATTTCGCGACACCGTTGAAAGGTTGACGCGCGAGCCACGTATATTGATTCAAAAGGTACTCGAGGATGCGAATCAACGGCGTATGGAAACGCTCGTATCCGATCGACAACCCCTCGATTATAGTGACAATGCTATTTACCAGACCTCTGGCAACTCCGGTGCGCCAGAAAGTCGATAATTTGAAACAGGCCTAATAGTGCTCGGTGTCGCGAGCGTTCGATTCGTACCATCGAATTCGAAATCGGCGAATCGAGCGTCGCTCGGGGTCGTAGCACCGCGACGTTTCGTGACCCGCGGGATTCCGTTGTCTCGAAGGTCGAAATATCGCGTAGGGAAACCGGGGATCGTCGAGCAGCGCGTTAACGCGTCAAAAGCGGCGAGTAGAAGGCGGAAAATCGCCTGGCGCTCGGTAAACAGCAACGGAGGATTGGATCGTAGTCGGCTGGCAGCTGAAACAGGGGTAGCAGAGACACGGAAGGATGGACTGTCGCCGGATACGGAAGAGATTCGGGCGCCGGCGCAAGACAGAGAGAGAGATAGAGACGGTGGTCTCTGTTCCCATACATGTACGATGGGAACACGTTGGGCAGAGGGCGTGAGGGGGTAGGGTGAGGACGGCGAAGGGGCCGGGAGAATAGCAATGATCGGAGGAAAGGAGAGGCAGGGGGATTGGGCGAGGTAAAACGGGGTGGAGCGGCAGGGGAAAGCGGAGAAAAGCGAGAGAACGCGGGCGAGGAGAGGCGAGAGGAGAGGAGAGGAGAGCGGTGGAGAGTAGAGGAGAGCGAAGAGTAGTGGCGCGGAGAGAAGAGAGTCGGTCGGGTCGTGTGTTGCGGGCTGCTGCGGCTCGGGCGCGACAGTTCTACCCCAACCATTGCCGGTTGACTTTCGCGAGCAGCCCGTTACGCGGAGAACTAACCCTTTCGAGACGGTCCCGATTCGCGACCCCGACCTTTCCTGGGCATCTTTCGCGGAGAAATATCGCGAACGATCCCGTCGTACGTGTGGCGCGCATCGGGGAACGCATGGTGATCCGCGAACGTGTAACAGGACGCGGACACGGAGGGACAGAGGGGACGAGAAAAACAAGGAAGAAGGGGAAGGACGGTTTACGCGCGACGGAAACACGGAGCGTCGAGCTGCGGCATGTGGAAACGCCTCGAACCGAATGAGATCGTCGCCAGCTGCCCCGCGACCGCGAAACGACGTGTCACGCGTTTGAATCCCAAACCGGATCGAGCACTTCGCGAAAGATGGGCGCGCGACTCGTGCCCTGAGTCGTTCACCGAGAGGCAGATACGGAAATCGTCGATCGTTCCGCGCGCGACACCCTTGGTCCTGGACTCGTCCTGCACGGGTCGCGTTTAATATCGCGCCAAGGCACAGAAGTAAATCGAACGTGGTACGATCGAGACTCAGCGAGCGCGTTCGATGCAACGGTTACGCGCGACCGTTCGGCTCAACGTCGTCGTGCGAGATTTTGGCGCGTCGGAACGACGCGACGCGGGCCTGACAATGAAGCGAACCGAACGAACGATGATACGAGCGAACCGATAACGAACGGCGTGAAAAAGTTCATTCGCGGGAACCACCCTCCGACCGCCCACGTCGTTGAGACGGACACGCGTCGTCGATCGCGATCGAGGAAGCGGCGCGTCCTCGTGCGATGAAACGAACGAGTTAACGACGCGTCGCGTCACGACCGTACTATCACTGCTCGACCGTTTCTCGCTTTTTACGAGCAGTTAAACCGTTGTTAACCCGTTGTGTTCGACGCCCGTACGGCGTCGTTGCATAGAATACGATATTGCGCGACTATGCGACTCGTTGATATATTGAATCACAGATATTATACGATGTTACGCGTTTAAAGATAATCAAATTTAAAGGGGGATAAGGCGCCGGCCGCTGTAGGTTGTAGAAAATAAAGTGGAGTGTCGCGAAGGTTCGAGAGCCGCTGACTTTCCGCGTTAGCGGTACGCGGTTAAGCGCCCAATATACTCGACCCGAAAATAAAACTGCCGCACCGTTAATTATTTAATCGATTGATAATCGTCTCCTTTTTCACCACACTCCGCCCTATCGGCCACCCTAGGCACGCTCTCCACCTCGTCCTCCGCCATCTCGTTCCTTTCTTCTCCTACCTACTTCTTACCCGTCGAACGGCGTTCAACCTCGATAATCGTCGGAAAGTACGTTAACGCGTTCTCTCGATATGCTCAATTAGCCGCAAGTACAAAGGATCCGCGAGAGCGAAAACTATTTTTCTCCGAACCGCCTGATTACAATTACACGCACTCCGTCGACTCCAGAAACTCTGTCCAGACGCAACTTTTAAGGGAGCTACCTCACAAGATTACGCTTCACTCTCGTACGTTCGATTCGTCCCTTAGTTGTTCGACGCGGCTCGATAACGTTCGAACCGATAGCTGGATCGACGCGATACAGATTTCGTTCGGCGTCCCAAGGACAACGGATCCTCGGGTCAGTCGCGTTCCTCTTCGAATTGGAATCTTGGCAACAGCCCCGTGAAGTCGACGCGGCTGCCGTTCGGAGGAGAAACGGAAAGGATTATGCACCTCTCGCGAGCGTCACGGAGATAATGTCGCTGGCGACGAAGGAGATCGAAACCGAAATCGGACGATCGATATGCTCGCGGGAATCATAAAGAACGCATTCCGTGGGATAAGTAACGAGGCAAAGCAGACGCAGTCATGTCATGGGAATCTATCTCTTCGAGAGACTACCTCGGGCAAGTATACTTCGGAGAGCCGAACAGATTGCACCCTGCGTCCGATTCTCAATATTTCCAACAGCCAACGGGAACGTTCCAATCCTGATCCTTCCGGGACGCGTCACGCCAAGTTTCAGTAACCGTAGAGCCTGTAAGTAATATTATTTTACGCGTTTTACGACTCGACGATGCATAAGATGCCATCAGTATGCAAATCTACTTACGGACCCTACAGTTACCCAAACTTGGTACGTGACCCGAAGTCACATCCCGTCGGGATTAGGGTCGACTTTGAGAGCACAATCGTGTCTCCGATAAATTAAGCAATACGTACCGGGGCTTGAGACTCCCAAACGAAAGAGTTAGGAAAATTAATTGACGTCTCCTCCGGGCTTTGCCCGAGATACTGTCGGCTAAGCTGACTCAGCAAACACCTTGTTTCAGACACGACTAAGATTTCACAGACTTTAGAGTGTTCGAGTCAACGTCCTTATCGGTGGCGACAAACCTGCAAATGAATTGTACAATTTATCGAAGGCCATAGGGATATCGTATCGCTAGTAAAAAGAAACTTAAAAACTAATTCTTTTTAATCGTCGATTTTTTTGGAAATTTCACATCGAATGAACTAACGATGCGTGAAATTGCATTTTATATTCGAAAAGGCAGATTTCGTTCGCGTCGTGAATATCGTTCGAGGCAGTCTTCGGAGCTCACAACATTCGACTTGATCGAAAATTTGCGTCTATTTCGCGAACGGGACCAGACCGAATTAACCAAGGTCTGCATATGCAAGAGGCAATTTTTCAAATTTAGGACGAGTTTAGTGTTCCATCGGGCGACCGAGGCGTCTCGAAAGCAGCGTCCTTTCGAAACGAGGGGAAGTGGAACGGGAGCGTCGGTCGCGAGGACCGGTGGCCGCGGTACTCGCAAACCTTCTTCGGGCGTATATAGGTCAGGAAAAGAGGTCACAGGTGCCTCGCCCACCGTGACTAGCGGACGCTGTTAGGAGACGCGGGCCGAAATTGCGCTACTGAATTCACGCGATCAGGGCGCGATCTTCCACACAGTTTGTCTGATAAACAGAACTTAGCCGAAATTTATCTCAAATAGTAATTTAAAAATAATCATTTCGAATAACGGTACAGGTAATTAGGTCCTCAAAAAGTGCTAAGATTCCCTGTTCTAATGGCTAAACTAGCAAAGTTGTGTTTGATGTATTCAATCTGTTCGAAAATTCCATGGGTAAACGATATTTATATTTGCTCGAATACATAAACATTGAACAAATGCTAGTCGAAAAAATAGAAGTCAATAGCTTTGCAATTTAATGATTCCATCCATTAATTATTCATCAAATATGTTTCTAACAGATTGTCACATTTTTAAACATCTAAGCATTTGCTTAAAGGGGAGCTGTTTTCTCAACGAAGAAGAGATTAAAGAGATCGTCTTACATCATTTTTTAATCTTATTTTCTTATTTTATATTACATTTCAGTAAAATTGAAAATGTAATAGTTTTTCAAAGAAAGACAAACCCAAAGATCTCCAAAAGCAGTAATAACAACTGTAGTGGATAAGTACAAGTTACGAATAAACATTTTTATTTAATAATATTTAGTAAAGGGCTCAGGCAATAAAAATTATAATACAATAATCTAGTAAATGGAAAGTTTTTTCAAGGTTTATTGTTTTATTTATTAAAATGATCAGAAGCGAATTCTATTTTATAATTAACCTTCAGGCAAGAGGCTACGTAAATGCCCAATACAAAGGCAGCAAAACCTTTTGAGTTAAACACCGCTGACTTTTTCTTTGTGCACGCGTACCTATGTTATTTTATTTCGTTCCAACACGTATCCCTCCGCGTTTTTTACACGCACGCAACAATATATGACGATTACTTTCCACAATTTCTATTAATACTCGTTTGAAGACGTATTTGCTTGTTTGTCACGTTTAAATAATTTTCATACTGTTTTATCGCGGCTCTTTCAAAGTAACGACGACTTGGAGTACTTCCTATTTATAAAATTATTTTTATTTAATACTTTTTCCTGAATAAAAAGAGGACCATTCATCTTTTTCTAACTTGAAGATTAAAACACAAATAATATAATGCCATGTATCAACAATTCTTCAAAAGTGGAATTTATGAATGAAAACACTAACATAACTTTTTGCTATTCTACACGTTTTTAAATTCACTTACTGAGCATATAAGCGTATGAACCAGCTGGCATAATTTATCTAGTATAATGTATATAATATTTTATAAAATTCTCCAAATTAAGATAATTTTTCCTTAGAAATTGGGAATTTCGTTTATTTATATTTATTTTCTCGAGAAATTGGAATGGAAATTTGTCAAAAGACCTCGAGATTTATCGAGTGTACTCGTTATTTGCGATCCAGTAACGATCAGATCGATTTTCGAAGCAGTTCGGAATCGCTTCGAGTGCTCTTCGGTACCATTCGTTCCCTTTTCATTGGCATTTTCATTTTCCCAAACAAAAAATTAACTCAGTTACTATTGAATGCAGTAAATATTTTTACTCCAAGCTGTATCGACGATACTCTTGCAGCATTCGATGCTAAGTTAACAAGTTTGCTTTTCTCTAATGACCTACAAAAATGAACTCTCAAAATAAAATGCTAAGAATACTATATGTAGATAGGGTTCATGAAATTCGACGTTTACAAAAAATAAATAACACGAAAAGTGTTAGATCAAGCAGTTTCCAATCCAGTCTAAGAGCAATATGTTAATTTTGCAGAGAATTTGTTTAGTATATGTTTGCTATTCTTTCCAAATTTTTGGTTCGGACTTCGCGTATGAGACATTTATCGACGCGAAATACTTCTATCACCTTTGGCGATATTACATTCGAATTGACAGCGACGAGTTCACGAATTTTTTGCACGAGTTGGACATTGTTCGCCGACTTCGGACGACCTGGGTCGGTTCAGATCCTCCCGGTAGTCTTTGAAGCGCCCATACCCCTGGAATAGTTGTGCACGGGACATGCAATTATCGCCGTAAACTTCCCACCAACGTTTCAAGCGTTTGGGTAGCTGATTTCCCAACTTTGACACAGAATTTAATATTTGCTCTTTGCTTTCACGTACTTTCGTGACATGGTCCACAAAGTATTACCACCGAAATGCTATTACCTTTGAAACTCATCGGCCATTTTTGTTGGAACTTTAAAAGAGTCGATAAAATATAACAATATTCATTGTACAAAGTTATTAAAAAAAAATAATCCAAAATTGAAAGAATGTTTCACTAACATGAAGGGTGTTCCAAAACTCTCATAAAAAATTGCTGAAGCACAACTACACCTCTAATATATTAATTGATTAATCCTGACAGTGCACCATTCGTTCGAACAACAAATTACCAGCGATATTTTAATATTATATGATCTCTGGCTTCAAAGTTGGGCAAATTTGTCAGTTTCCTATATTTGTCACCGGATGGTTAATGATGAGAGCGTACCTAGCTTCTGAAGTTTGGACTTAAGTACTCTAAACCCATAATCAGTGAAAATCTGTGTCTTAGACAAGATCTGCTGGGTCAGCATTATTCGAGAGTCCCAGGTACGGGCACAGTTCTTCAATCGATAGAGATTTCTAACAACGAATAAAAGATAAACAACTTTCAATTGGGTACTTATAGACAAATAAAAGCGATTTCTACACCTGTAGGCTTTCTACACCTGTGCAGTTTCATGATTACGAATTAAATTTTATCACCTAAAGACTGTCTGAGATGTGACTCCTTTAAAAATCGCTAAAACTTTTAACATCAAGCTTTATCGTATCGCTTGAGATTGAAAGTTGCGTCGTACCTGAGGATTGAATATTTCATTTGTGCCATTAAGAATCAAGTAATGGCTCCCGACGGTGCATTGTTCGTTCGAATAATGAAGTTCCAGCAATTTATGTACATTGGAAACAGCGATCCTCGACAGGTGTCTCAGATCTAGTGTCGGGAATTAGATTAGATGGCCTGCTTTCGACTTTGGTCCCCTGAAACACAAACAGAGATTGGTTTATCAAATCTGTAGTTCGTATTCGTTGATCGCGAATAAAATCTGGCCAAGTCTACTCTGATGGTGTTTGCAACAGAAATGTCGCAGCCTGTTTGTCGGACAAACTGTGCACACTTCGATCTGACGCCATTCCGACGCGATGCGTCCGGCGTTGCGTTCGATTCTCGCGTTCGTTGCGAATGTTTTCGCATTTGCAATGCACGGTAAGTGGGGCGGGGTAAAAGAAACGCACGGTCGCAATGCGGTACACCGAGCCGAACGGTAGATAATAACGCTGGTCGCGTGGAACGCTGGGACGACGCCAAGCTGTCTTTGCGCGTTAGGCTTGACAAGTAGTGATGGGGCCCTCGGTCATCTCACATTCAAGTTTTCAAGCAAGTCTATGACTTTGAACCTGACTTGAAACTAAATTATCCTAAATACAATAAAACACAACAGCGTTTACACAAGAAAAGTACATAATAGAACAGGACGCGGTTATCGCTAGATTTGATTTGATATTCAAGGCAATTGTTTCCACTATTATTTGCATGCAAACGCAATAGTGTCAACAGTTACCTTTTGGTATCCTTATGACATAAATCCGCGGTAGAAATAGCGTTAAAACAAGGGGGGGGGGGGGCACGTTTGAAGCATTTTTGTCTAACATCAAAAGGAAATTATCCAACGTGGCCTGTCTTAAATGTTTCACCTTGTATACAAGATGTGTCTAGAGTGACTATTTCTGTTTCACGGTTTTTTGTCGAAGCTGAGATTTGTACCAGCTGGATCAAACACGCGTCCCTTCCTTTCGCGCTCTTAGCAGCGGGTAAAATTTCGTCGGTCCTAAGTTTCCCAGCGCAACCACTTAATCTTAAGTAAAAGAGTCACGCCCCGACTCTTTATCCGTCGGGAAATCACTTTACCATCGAGGACCAAGCGAAGCCATTATGTTTATGTCTCCTTTTTTGCTGATCCGGTTAACTTTCGAATAAAGATGGAAACCTTAATCTACAGTAAAGATAAAGCAGTCTTGTAATAGAATGATTTATCGGATAAACGAACACACTTTACACGTACAAAATTTTTTAATCGAGTTTGGTTTTTACTTTTTAAATTCGAAATAATAACAAAGACATTGAGTTTTACCTCGAGTATTCTGGTCAGCCATTGTGATGCAGTAAAGCGCTCCTTTAATCTTGGATCCATTGCCTCCAGCATTGTATTGGCTGTTATCAATGCACTGATTTCAATTTACGATGATCTGAGCAACGAAGGTTCGCTGAAATATTTATTCGAGCTGATTTTACGTAAAATAACAACGCGAGTATGAACGTCCTTATATGAAAATTCGCCCGAAAAACAAGGTCAAGCGGTGCTCTCGTCATAAAAATCGCGACTTACCTAGCTACTTACAAACTTAATGATGGAGCAAGGGCTACACTACTCATTATACAAGCATTAAATATTCGAAGTGGACAAATCGTTGTAAAATACTGCAATCAACCAGCGTCTCGACCGTATTCGCTGCAGCTGCTCTTAAAACGCGAAAAATCGACGCGCGAGGCAAGATTGTTAAAAAAAACACAATAGAGGCAAGATTGTCGAGATACAATAGAGGCATGATTATTAAAAAAAACAATAGAGAATTGTCGGTGAAAAAATGCATGTGCCGCGGAGGGTTTATTGTACGACTCTGGACCAAATCAAAATCAATATTTCTAAACTAGTTTTCTCAGAAACAATTGATCCGTTTTACTTGACGTTGCATGTATTGATCGTTTTGCTTTTCTAATATTTTATGAGGAAATCTCTGAAAACTGATTTTTCCTACAGAAATAGAATTTATTTTCTTTAAAAGAAATGGTAACGATAACGATTCTCATCTAGTTCCTAAAAATTTTAAGGGCAAGAGAAGCGTATCCCAACATGTTTATATTTTCTATGTACGTAAACATATCTTTACGAAACTTGTCGCAAAAGTCGCTTGAACTATGTACTTTTAATACATGTACATTTTTTTAAACGTTCCATGTTACCTCAAAGTTTCCACGTATTGACCTATTTTTTGGTCTTCAAGGCAGTGTTCCCCTTTAACCGTATTCCGAATTACTTTAATAAAACGTAAATATTTCCCTAAAAATATTAGTTGACGGATACCAACTAAATCCTAATTTTAATATTATTTAGAGAGAATTTCTCTATTTACTTACTGAACGACAAGTAAAACATTTTATTCTTAAAAGTACATGTATGGCCTAAATTCATTTATTCATTTATTATTTACTAATTAAGCTAGCTACTTTACCCGATTTTGTTCTCATTCGACCGATCCGCCGTCTTACGAATTATTGTTACGAATTCGTAGAGGTCCGGCCAGCCATCAGCTGTCGGCGACCGCGCTGTTGGGTAGTCCGGATGGATCGCGTCATCACCTCGACGTGTGCGAGTTCTCCGAGGAGGACTATCGGCATCAAAGTACCAATGGGAACGGGCATTACCAGAACGGCAGGCCTGGCGCTGGTTTATGGGAATGTCTGACAGGTTGCAGACGACGTTTCGACCAGCACTTGGCCCGACGACGGGTGAGTAGCGACGAGTCGCCATCGACCCACACCGGCTCTGCCCTCACGATTCGCGATACCCAGCGACCTTCTACCCTCCTTTATCTCGATGTTCTTTCTTTTCGTTCGTTTCGCGACCTCCGCGGACGCTTTTTCTCGGTCATTGTCGTGCCGCTTGCTATGAAATGACATGCACGCGATGGCCACGGTCACGCTACCTGCACGCGCCGCGAACCCTCCCACCGCGATCGCCGTTCGTACAGGGTGGACGAGAACGGGCGGTGCAACAGGGCATAGAGCGATTCTAACGTACAGAGCGTACACTCACAGCCAAGAAGATAACACCACCGTGATATCATCAATTCCTCGGCGATGCATGTACAGCCGAGAGACTCGCAAAGGGAGGTTACGGATGTGAAAATCGATTTTTAACCATTGTAGTATAAACCTAAAACGGCGTTCGATAGGCCTCCGTTTTAAAAATATACTTCAAATTTCATCCGTGAAATATAACTCGGTTATTTATGCAAAATTAACAAGAAGAGGTTATGGCTATGGTGGTCGCGTAATGGATTATACGCATTGGCTCCAAGTTTAAATCCTTGGTTTTGACTGTGTTCTCTTCATGATGAACGATCATTGCAATAGCCATTACCTGCAAATTAAATAGGATACGATAAAATTATTAAACGTTTATCAAAGTACAATAAATATAGATTAATATAAATAAAAAGTCAATTATACTCCGTCCCCGTTTTTAGAACCATTTACTTTTCATTTTTTACGTTACGCCACACCATCGTAGATTTTCTCCCCGTCATAACAAAGGATAAATAAACAACAAAATAACAGAGGTACGACCACGCGTGCGTTTTTCACGCGGAAATTGATGAAGAAAGGGGACAAAAGTGATCGGACGATGGTGGAAGAGAGGGAAACGCCGGTGCAACGAGGCGCGCGCGGCGTTTCCGGTTGATCGCGAATCAACTCGTGTATGTACGCGTTTACCTTCCTTTGCCTTGCTCGCTCGCCGCCGCTATCGGTCGAGGTCGAGCGCTATTTACGGTTGCACGAGATCGTTGGATCTTAAATCATCGGCGGAGAATGTTCAAGGTCGAATCGATACGACCTTACCCCACGTTTAAACACGCGCGCTACGTTTAATCGTCCCGCACGGGTGAAAAAAAAAGGTTCGCGAGCAAAAATTCGCGATCGTGTTTCCTGTTTCGCGCGAGGTCGTGAAAAATCGCGTCAGAATTTCGTTTGTCGCAGGTGGAGCAGGGCTTGAAGCTGTACCGCGCCCACAAACAACAGGCCGCTGTTCGCAAATGGATGGGCGCGCTGAAGAACATCAGGCAACGAGAAGACAAGTTCGCTCTTCTCGGATACCTGTATCAAGCTTACATGGATTGGGGAAAGTATAGGTATCTATTTCAGGGCTAGAAATCAATGTGAAACGCGAGATCGGTGGGCCAGAATTCAAATATAGTTCATCGTGATTCGAGTAGATTAAATTCTATACGAGTAACCGGTAACGTTTTAGTCCCCGAGCAAAGATGAAAGGGAGAAAAATGAATCTCACGATGTTCCATCAAGTGCCGTGACGTGTACGTCCGGGTAAATTTTTCGTTGCTCCCCGTTCGCTAAATTTCCGCGTTCGCCACTGTTACGCGTCGCCGCTCGAATTCAAAATTCTAATTAGCCCAGTTACCTTAATTGGCAAAGATAGAAAACGAGGACGTAAGAGTGGCGATCCGTCCGGGGAAGCAGCAGCCCGTGATCGGGGCGCCACTACTTGGAGAACGAGTTGCAAATGTCGGTTCGTTCCGCCGAAAGGCGCCCCGGTGGTCGACCGGACTGCTCAACCCACTTGGCCGCCATGGAGTGCACTACGAGCCTCCTAGCTTAAAGTACGGGCCAGGAAGAGAAAAGAGCTTAATAGAGAGATCGTAGCCAAGAGATAGTATTTACTTCGCGAGACGCGAAAGTCGGAAGGAGAAGCTCGAAAATCCTTGACACGCTAACAAAGCGTTTCCGCTTCGTTTCACGGACAGAGAAACCAGAAGTCGGACCGTCGCGTGTACGCGCCCAGTCGCGAAACCTCGCCCCCGAATCTCGTGCACGAGCATCGGGAAGCACACTTACCCTTCTTCATCGTGGATGATCATTCTCCGTGAAAATTAATAAGATCTGAACAGAAAAAAAAGAGTTACTTGATATTTATTATTGACCAACGTAACAAATTGGCTATTGGCTAACAGGATTTTACGTATTGTGTATACATATGTTACCGTCAAATAGCTTAAAAAGTAAAGAGATCATATCGTTTCAGGGACAGCATCGACTTCGGTCAAAAGCAATTGTGCATCTCGGAGGAGCTGGATTCGCCCAATATGCGAGCAGAGGCGTACTTGAATTTGGCGAGGGCTCACGAAAGACTGGGCGTTCTCGACAGGGCCCTGGATTACGCGAGACACAGGTATCCGACTATTTCCTATCCCCAGTATTCGAAAATTCGAATCTTTGAGAACCCTTCTCGAGTTCCTGGGTCCAACGATACGCGATCAACGTTTGATTCTGCGACTCCGTAGCTTGTACAACGAATGCGACCAATGCGCGACCGCCGGATTGGTTCACCTAACCGTGGGCAGAGTGCACTTGGAGCTGGCAGGCTTCTGCAAAGCTCTGGAAGCCTTTCAGAGAGCCCACAAAATTTCTCATTCCATTCAAGATCCTTCGTTGGAGTTGCAGGTGAGCCAATAGCTAAAAAGATTGTTCTGGTCTAGATAGTCGTTCTTAAGATAATTTTGTGGCGCTGCTGGGGCTGAGGGTAGAATCTCGTGAAATTCGTTAGTGAGCTAGTGGGGCTCATCAGTAAGGCTTTCTAGCAGGCCCTGTCTTAGACGACTGGAATATTGGGAAGTCGTTAGAGGAATGTATATATAGCAACTGAGGGGTGGGTAGAGCGCTTGTGAGAGCGCGACCCCTCTGGTGGCGAGCATGGGAAGCGACGCCACAATTTTAAACGCAGAGAAGTATCAGGCTTTGAAAATGCTAATCTCTAGGCCAGAATACTCACCTGACCTCATTTCTATCGACGGTACACGACTGATCGCTACGATTGTTTGACTCGCAGGTGTACGTGGGCCTGTCGGAGCTCTTCTGCAGATTGCACGATGCCGATAAAAGCGCGAGATACGCGGCACAGGCGTACGATCTGTCGAGGAGTTTGCAGCTCGGCGATCTAAATTCGCGGCATCACAGAGCGGCCCTCCTTCAAATGGCCGCTGCCCTTCGGAAAAAAGGAGAACTCGGTGACGCTCACGATTATTGCTCGGTACGTTTTTCCTAGTGCTCTTCATCCGAGTCGGGCAAAGGGTATAGCCGGAGGGCATATTTCCTAAGGAAATATCAATTTAACTATCTTCCATGTGATACACCTTCACAAAAAATCTCAAAAAATTATATATTTACAACAGTAACAGGCTATTAAAATTGTAACAATACGAACATGTTCACATCAAAAATTGAGGTGAAAATACAAGCAAATGTCGGATTTTGATTTTTCCATCGTTCCCCCGCTTCTAAAAATCTGAAAAAATTACAGATTAATAATCATAACAAGACACTAACACTGTAAAAATACAAACGAGGTTATTTAATAATTTCTATTAAAAAAAAATATTTTTAAACTTTTCGAATTTTTTAAAAATCCATTTTACGGTGAAAAGTTCTGAAAAAATTCATAAACACGTACGCCGTAGTGCAAAATACCCCCGATTTTTTTCAAAATTTTTGATGCAATGCAACAAAAGATATACAGTTTAAACTGAAAATTACGTTACGCCCTGTAACTACCCTCCCAGTAAGGGTACAGGGTTGATACTTGACACAAATGGTTTTCCTTGAACTGTCTATTGACTGATATGCTCATTGATTAATTTGGCTCAAGTGCACTTTTGACCATCTTATCCGCCTATACCCTTTGAAATGTATTTCAAAACTAAAAAATTCGTTTATGGATTCTACTTTAAGGAAATTAGTTTACAGACAAATCTGATATTTTTATTTATTACTCGCGAATAAAATTTGCCTAACTTTACCCTTCACCTTGTCGCCACCTATCAAATCCTCATATGTATACAATAAATAACAAGTACATAACCCCGACATTAATTCTGTCACTTCTTTAAACGTTGATATTAGAAGAAACCAAAATATATTAGATAACCTATAAACTGAATTTCCTCTAAAACTAAGATACATAATGTTCAAAGTCAAATGTGTTCAGAGTGTTTCACTGTACGCAATACATTTTTGTGCACGACAAATGTTCTGTTCCATCGCCAATCGGATGCAGGAAGCAAAGCGTTTGTCGCGCGTTTCCGGCGATCGAGCTAGCTACGCCAGGAGTATACGGATAATGGGAGATATTTATAGGAAAAAGACCGATATAAACGTAAGTAGAGTAAATTTACCTAGAGCGTGAAGAAACATTTGTCCGGGGCGATAAAACGGTTGTGCCGCCAATTTCTGAACGTGTATCGTAGAAAGCGTTTCGACAGTACAAGAACGCGATGGGATTCGCGGCGCGGACCGGAGATGGCCTCTGCCAAATGGAAGCGATGGATGGTGCCGCAAGATGTCTCGAGGCTCTTCGGCTTCAACACAAAATATGCAACTGTCGATCTCTCGAATTGAACACGAGACTACTCGAAGTCGCTGGATCGTTCGGTGCTAAGGTAATCTTCCTTTCCCGCGTTCCTAACGTTTCGACGATCGTCGATTTTCGTGAACCACGGCGCAATAAAATTTTCTGTAAGGCCAAAATATCGTTTTCAGATAATTGGAAACCACATAACGTAAAACTTGTTGTAATACCTGATTTTGTAACTTCGTCGAAAGTTCTTCGTGCGTGTTTCAGGGCCCGAAACCGATATTATCGTCGTTTTAAGCATTCGACTACAAGCAGGAAAAATGAGGATTCGAGCGTTAAAATTTTAATAGCAAGCGTTGCATCTTTTCCCCATCCCTGTTCATGATTCTTTTTAAACAGTTCCTGGTACGAACCGTAAGGTCGAGACTCTCGCGGATTTACGGCTCTCTCGGTGACGAGGAACAAAAGGCCCATCACGAGAGATTAGCCGCGGCAATGGAGGAGGATTTGGAGTTACGATGCGGCGGCTGTAACGAGTCCTTTGGTCTCGAAGCCGACTCCTTGGAGGCTCTACCTTGCTCTCACATTCTGCATGCCAGGTGAAACGCAAGCGTCGCGAAAAATGTAAATAAGCAACGCGGTTTTCTTGATCTTTAACGAAGCTATGCGTGATTTGCAGGTGCGCTTACGACATCTTGAAAAGGCGCGATAAAAAGAAAAAACGTCTGTGCCCCGACTGTCACAAGTCAGTTAGTTCACGATTGTACCTGCATTGCGAGGATCCTCACGGCATGAATACTTTGAATCACAGTTCCTTGAGTCTGGCATCGTTGAAAGCCAGCAGTCTAGCTACACTGGACGACTGTCACGCCACCAGCAGCGTCTAGGCGGTTCACCTAAGCTAACGTACGCGCGTGTTAAAGTTGCGATTCGTTCGATTTCGCGGAAAATTGAATGCACACGCATACACTGGTCCCAAGATACGAGACAAGATCACGACGAATTATCCACAGCAAGATGACAGGACGAACGCGATGATTGTATCTACCTTGCGGTCTCCACGAGATCAAATATGCGCAATTTGCCAATTAAAAAGCATTAGATAACATTCTTAAACCTTAAACACGGTTTACCGATAACTTTACGAATGAATTAGGGCAACAAAAAAAGTTTAAAGGAAACTAGCACAATTCGAAAAGACTTAATGGCAATAAAAATGCACATCCACACTGTTTGTCTTCCTCAATAATTTCCCCCTCATTCGATCCCATATATATTAGCACCGTAACGTTCGCAATTAACCTCTATGGATGCGATTGCGACGAACGTAACGAACCCTTTCTTAGCGATATACATATATTGATATTTAATTACCAAGAGAAGAAAATTTACCTCTCGAACTAAAGCGGATCGTACTATCTGGTGCGGACTGTAATTCCTGGCTCCCGGACATTCTTCGATCCGATTTCGAGAAAAATCGATCCCTTACAAACATCGGATGATCATCGAATTTTCAAAAGTGCGGAAGCATTTTCGTTGCTTTGTTGGGAACACGCGCGACACCTACAACGTGGTTCTGGATTTACGGTACGACCGCCATGACAGCTGATGCTTTTCGTATCGCTTGACGTTTGGTCAGAACATGTCATTTTGCACATTTAATTTCGACAAATGGCAGACTTCTTTTTCGGTTTCGATGCAACACTTGATGTAAGTAAGCTCGTTCTTAACGAACGTAACGTTGGTTTTAAAGTTTTTTTACGAGAAAGGTGGGAAACGGTGCAACGAAAGCTACGAGCTCGTATTCGTTTTCGATAAACAGCCGCGTCGCGGTTTAACGGACCACAAAGAATTAAAACTGTCGCGTATTCGGTCTATAACAAATAACCGATTATTCAGGCCGTAAGGCTAAAATTTATTTGTTGGGTTGCCCATATATAACGTTTGCCCACCCATTCTTTGTATATTGTTTCCAAAATACACACTACGTACTACTGCCTCGAGCGGTCATGGAGGTACGTCGCATAACCTCACCGATCTCTCGTTTCTCCGAAAGGTCATTAACACTACTACCTTCATGCTAATTACTATCATCTTCATTTTTTTCTCCCATACTTCGTGCTTTTCTTTAGCTTTAATCGAGCGTATCATCAATGCTAGAATTTGCAAAATAAACGGTCGTCGAATGGTTTACAGCGCTCGCGCATTTTTATCCTATCTAAATATTTTGGATAGTCGTTTGAAAAAGTCGTTTTGTACCCGTCATGACTTTATAATAAAGTCGATATTTTAATAATGTTTGTTCCTTTTTCTTCTATTTTCTATGATTTATATAGCAGAGCGGTTTAGAAGATGGGCTAGATTGCCCATTAGAGGAGGAGGATGTTGGAGAAGAGGAAGAATACGACGCTCTAAATGATGAAACATTTGGATCCGAAGCCACTATCGGCGATTGGGAAAAAGACCATGAAAAGCTCGCAGAAATTACAGAATCCAGTCGTCCTCATAACCAGAGTACTTCAAGTAAAAAAGTAAATAAAATATTTCTATTGCTTTATCACTGATAAGATATGTGTAATGAAAAAGTATCTAAATTTTAATAATGATGTCTATAGAATGGAGTCAATACAGATATCGAAGATAATTTATCACACCTTGTGCTGGATGAGAAGGAAGGAATTGTTCCCCGTCCTGGAGTATGGGACAGTCCATCTAATTTGTCCCTTCCAAAACCCAGACCACCATTGACATTACCATCGCCTTTAACAAATGTTAGAACGGTCAAAGAATTAGAAAAAGGTCTTATCGCAAATAGACCACCTCCAGGATTGGCGAAACCTGGTCAGTTGCTACAACAACAACAGCAACAGCAACAGCAACAGCAACAGCAATTCGATGGATCGTTTCTTTTCGACTGTTTATCCACCCCATCGCGATTTCCACCAGGGTTGAATATACCACCCACGCATCCTGTTGTTTTACCGCCAGATATGAGATTTCCACCACTTTTACAACATCCTAGATTATTATCTAGTAAGTATATACCATAGTGGACAAATTTTAACGTCACTTAAATAAAGCAAGTGTAAACTCGCTTTTAGTTTACCCATAAGATCAAAGCTATTGTTCCCATAGATCAAACTGGAAATGTACTGAGGTACCCCGTAGCGGCGCATTTAATGTTACCGCCACATGCTCCCCAGATACAGCCAATTCATGGTCCGTTTTGCAATAATTTTCCTGTAAGTTTCATCGTACAACACAAGCCTAATAATTATAAAAACGAATATCTCGGTTAAAATACATCACTTTTATACGAAATGTTAAACCTTTTTGCAGCAACCTCCGCATTCGAGTTTAGGGCCTCCTCTGTTCTTACGACCGGAACATGGAATGGTACCTTCTTTTTCTAATAATCAGCCCAGTCATCAGCAACACCAACAGCATTCTTTTCCTCATCCTGGAAATCAAAGAATCCAAAATAGGCCTTTTTATCATGGTGATCAGCAAGGAAATCAACCATTTTTTAAAAATAATCAACATCATCGTATGCACGATCGAAATTTTCAGCGGCAATACCATTATTATCATTCTCAAGGAATAAATGGAGTAATTAATTCAGGAGAATGTGACGAATATGCTGGTCTTATGAGTAGTCGGGAAAAGCAATGGTTAATCAATATTCAATTATTACAATTAAATACGAACGAACCGTATGTTGACGACTACTATTATATCGTTTCCTGCGATAAAAAGAACAAACAAATTGCAAAACATCCCAATAACAATAACAATAACGGCTATCATAGAGATTCAAGGTACTCGTTCTTTTGCCCTTACATATTTTACTTGGCGAGTTTGACTAAAGTGTCGTGATTTTCAGGGATCGAGACCAGTCAAATCATCCTGTCCTTACCAGGCCACTATATGTACCAATGCAATTCGAAAATTCTTTGGGAAAAGTGCAGTTTGCCAGTGTAATAGCACCGCGTAAGGTTATCGATATGGATGTTGTACCAAACAGCGATCCACAATCTGTCACGCAAATGCAACAAAAAGATACAAAAAGAACAAGGCAATTACTGCTTGAAATTGAAAGGGTACTTATATTGCTTCTTACCTATCACTAATATAGAACTCGGATGTCTTGTTGTTTAACAACAAAATAATATTTTCAGTTATACGTACTCCAATTAAAACTCGAGGACTTGCACAATCCATTGGCCCTGCTCAGCGAACAACAAAGTCAGGAAGGGGAAAACGAAGCAAGTTCTGTTAAAAAGAGTAGCCGCTCAGAGTTAATAAATATGGTGTTCTTGTCCTTGCTCCAGTTGATACAAGATGATAAAATAACGAGCATGTTAAGCATCCGAAAGGGAAAAGTAAGTGAAAACTAGAATCGAAAAAGTAAGAATTTTCGATTATTTTATTACTAATTATCCGTGTCGCAGATGTTGTTGTTGAGGTTCTTGCCATACATAAACTTAACGGAAGACCGTATTCAATTAGAAGAATTGTGGAAAGCAATATTTCGAGGGTTAGCTGTAATAGGTCGTAGGGATTCTCATTTACTAGTGACCTTTTATTCGGAATTTCAACGTTGGTTCGCTACCGTGCAAGACTTCAATACGATACTTCGATTAGCTCGATCGCTATCCGACTCCGCTGGTCAGTCGATCAAGAACAACAGTTTAGCCTTTGCTCTCACGAACAAGGTTTGTTTAAAATCTAGTTACTCGGTGCTACGATTTTAAATAATTTACATCAACTGAACATTTTTTTGTTTAGTTCGGTGTATCGGTAATAGCTTCGATGTTGGAAAAAGCGGAGAGCCTGTACCCTACAGATGATGCGCTGTCCGCGGAATGGTCATCTTTCGTAACAAACATCATCGAAATAACTGGTGAAACGCCGCCTTGTGTCGCGCCTTGTCAACCCGTGGCTACAAACACGCTCAATCAGCATTTAAATCGATTATCTCATTTGAAAAGCGAGAGGTACACAACCTTAGAGCTTCTACTAACTGATGCCAACCCTTCCCGATAGTTGGTCGTTGTTAGATGTTTTCCGTCGTAGTGTTTCACAAAATTTAATTTTTGTTACGAGTGAGAAACAAATGCCGAAGGAGGAGAATCGCAGATATTTTAATATTGCTACATCATTAATATTAATCGAATATTTCTTACATACGAGCATATTTTAGCATGATTGATGTCCTTGTTTCACAGAGTAGACCTATGCATTTTGTCTTTATTTTAAGCGTAGTAATGTTGTATGTCGGTAGCTTTTTGATTTATACTCGAGACAATATGTTTAACCTCGACATGCTATACAACATTTGTTACAAATGTTTTAACTTCTCTCGAACTGCGAGTCTACTGTGTAAAACTGATATTCGATTATATCCGTCATGTAAACTACACATCCTATCTTCCTACGATCCTTGTTTGTAGCTTTTTCTTGTGTTTATTTTTGTAAAATACGTTTCTAGTTGCGTTTGCATGATATTAAGATATAAGTTTAGCACTACCATTAAAATGTGAACGATCTATAGTCGTTCGTGATCCAATTTCTCCGCGCGTTAGCGCCGTATCTTGCGATCTCGAAGGTATATAGCAAAGAATTGTTCGAACGTGTTTTGAACGTTACGTGATTAATATTAATCGTTAGTCGAAGGTACACCTTTATACGGAAAAAGACGTGAAATGAAACGTCGCAGCTGTATACGCGTCTCATTCATTCGCCATTTTTGTCATTTTTTATATTACGCATTCGACGATGAAAGTTTTCACCGAAAGATTGGATTACTTAGTGCTTGAACTCATGAAAAGCTAGACAATATAGGATGTGTAGGCTTTTAACTTCATTCATTACTTTTGAAAATAACAGTATATTATCGTAAACAATTGTTAAAAAAAATCAACGTTTTTCCTAATGAAAAGAATTATATTAGACATTACGTCATCTTCGTGCAAGTAAGATTACATTTAAGGAACGCATCGTTTATTCGTTAGCATTATTTTTTTCGAGCCAAACTGAAGGCCCGAGGAATGTAATAACAGTAATTGTATAGATTTCTACGTTGAGGGCAAAAAAATATTGCAACGTTTTTATATAACGATTAACGTATTAAATAGCATTGTATCAATCAATGTAATTAACATCAACATCAGAGACGCGCGACTGCAATGAGTTCGTCTTATCTATCTCGTCTGATCTTAAAATTAGAGACTAATTCGTGCGCATTTTTAATACACTATCGTTGTTGGGTAAACTGTTTGTGTACCTACTTCGTGATCGTAATATACGAAAAAGAATCGCAAAGATTTTTTCAACAAATAGCGTGAGCGCGAACGGCGATTTAAAATATACGACGACATGGCCTTTAGTATACAGTGTAAGTGGTTACTTTTTATCGCAGTACATATTAATAAAATCGTATGTACATTTAGCTTGTACATAGAGCGACTCTGGTGAATGAATGACTTCATATATTTTGTAATTGGATGCGAAAGAAAATTTATTTTTCGCTTCCGCGATATAGCACTACGTCATTTTTGCAAAAAAACGAAAGAAAAAAAGAGAGAGAACAGGAAAGATTATAAAAGTGATAAAAAAAAAAAAGAAGAGAGATCGATCGCGTTATTTTTTAATCTCTGTAGTAATTATGAAATTGATAAATTTGGCACGGCACTCTAAAATTGCATAGTGTATATCAAACATCGGTGAAACCGTGCAGTGCGTTACGTCATGGTCCAACACTTGTACTTTTCGCTTATAACGTAAGAATGTAGTTTTTAAGTTTTACAAGTTTTGTTCTTTTCTTTTCTTTTGAAATGTACGTTCCACTGTATCTAATCGAATTGTCTTTTAAGTTACAGAGTCTCCTTTTTGGTAAAAAAATTACGAGAAAGGTAAATATTTCCGTGTCACTTTGTGCCCGACGATATCCTGAAGCGCGAATTCCATAGAGTCGTGTTGTTATCACAAAACTTTTTAATGCGGCCAAGGAAAATAACTCTACTTTGAATGTACAAAACTGATTTAACTTTAAATAATGTTTCCAATAAATGTTTTGCATTGTATAAAACATTCTTGTTCAGTATTTACATTGTTGGTAAAAATCAAACGTTCGAAAATATTTCTTTAAATTGTACATCTGAACAGTTGTGTCTCGACTAAGGTACTTATTGTACATACATAGTACTTACTGTACATAGTATCAGGTGACATGGATTGCTGCCGAACGAGGGGGAAAGTTTTCGTGCAAACTACCCTTTCTCCTTTACGGTACGCTTCTAGTTGTGCGGATGAAAAGCTAGATGACATTTTTTAAACTCTGTAATAGGATCTCAATGCAATAACAGAGTATTATTTATCACGTACGTATCATTTTCTTTAAAACTATTTGGGTGGTCTGTCGTTCAAATAAAATATGCAAAATATTGGTTGGAGGAATAAAAATTGCATGGTCGTACACATATACACAATTTCTACAGGCATTCGAACTTCCATATAAAAACGAAATATAATAATACATGAATCATACCAATCTTTCACGAGCATCGAACAACGCCATTTCCAAACGTTAGATAAATCGGGATAAAAGAAAATTGTTATTTGATTTGACACTACGTATCGTGTTTACGACCAGACAATTTGAGAAAAAATAAATGAAAATATACATCTATATGTAATCTTTGTTTTAATAAAGTAAAAGATTTTACCAATCTTCGTGCCATTCCGTTCGAATTGGTCGTCAACTGCCGTGGCGCAACAGTCGCACTCGAATTTCGATTAATGACGTATAACGGAAAAAAAAACGACAAATTTTTAAACATATTCGTTGAAACAAATGCAACTCTGTTATAATTTAATGACAATCGAACTCGATGTAACTTGATAAAATTGATTTAATTTTCGCAGAAACATAGCACCGATTAATACCGAACAAAGAACTGAAAAAAGCGCGGGAACGATGTAAGTATTTTCACAATCTAATCAAATTTAAATGAAGACATCGATAAAGAATAAAGGAGTGCAGTAATAGCGATTAGAAGCTATTAATTGTTGACAGGTATAGATATGTTAATCTCGAAACCCCAGACAAGTGTTATCACTTTCTGTTGTAGTAAATTGTTAGACGGTGGGTGGGGGAAATACCAACCTCTCATAAAAATTCGTGTTTCAATTCATATCTTTCATAACATTGTTGATACGCATGGTTGAGGCTGCCTTATATAGGAAGTACAGTTATACAAAAAAAAATGAATTCCCAAATGATTTATAATCATTACACTGTCATATACTATCAACTTTTTGATGCCTTTATTATACAGAGGTGAATCCAACAGTTATAAAATCTTTAAAAAGATATATTTATCGTACATCGGATAAAAATAATTAAAAATAAACACATCATGCAAAAGAAGGTCTATAAATATATTTTTACATAATTCGGCCCCTAACAAAGCTTTTGAAATTATTCCTATCATTAAATTGAATTTATGATTTTGTTTACAATTCGTTGAGCAATTTTTTAAATTGTTTTTTAATCTGAAGGGAACAGTTACAAATGATCGAAAATATCTGTAATACCGACGTGGAAACTTATGTCGAGGGAATGACATTCGCGTTTCGTCTCTCGTTGGCGCTGTTGTTTCTCTCGTAGCGTTTCGCGTGTTACTGGCTCTAATACGAGTACCATTCTTTTGACCAATATTAACCGATGCGACGGTTTTATCGTTCAGGTGTGTATTAATCGTTATTGGTGTACCTTCTGTGAACTGATCTGTTTATCTTAGAAAGGGAGGAATTTCATTTAATAACTTGGCGGTTTTTGTCTTCAGGAGGTTGCCTCGTATTGGCAGGTGTTTCATTGTCATAACGGATGAAATTTAATATTTTTCTCTGGAAAGGTCATTTTACTACGTACGAGAAAGTGCAAGTACGCTTTATTCGATTCATGGCAAACCGTTGATGCACGTTGCCGGTTGATCTAATTCGATCTACGAACGAATGTAAACAACGCTGAATCTACGATCACTGAAAGTGTGTTTTGACGAAAAAAATTTTCAGTTGAACCAAGTAAGTATGATAGCTGCACGATAGATTACGAAATAAATACCAAACGTTTAACTTTTCCCTCTTCTATTTGCGACTGTGCTTCTTAATATCCAATGTTTACTTCCCTATGGTTTGGTTTGTTAATGTTTTTTGTAACGACAGAAACAATGGAAACAGTCTCATTCTAATTTTATTACAGCGATGCTTTACTCTGTTATCATTACAGAATTGCCAGATACTCTTTTTCTAATGCACTCTCAGGGCTTCCGCTCCATCGTTTGAGGTATATACAAAACAAAATTAGTTATTAGCTCATAGCTTACGTTCTTCAAGTTATGGCATCAAAGTTGTAATGATTAGTTTAACACTCTCACAGTGGTAGAAAGATTTCACTTGGAACCACCTGTTTGATTTCTTACAAATTTAGAATCCCCCAATTTTTACTGTATTATCTAGATTAATATTGTTCAAGTTTGCAAAGAATCCTGTTGGTTGAATTTATATCTATAAATATGTGTATATATATATATATTTTTTAAAAGATGCGTAATCTGTTATCTGAAACTAAAGAAAACTGAAAGAGGTTCTCCTTATCTGTGGCAGGAAAAAAAATGCATACTCGAAGGTAACGGTCGGGGAAGATTAAACTATGGCCAATAGAAAAGACAAATCGTCTGCTGGTTTTGTAAGTATTCAAGGTTTTGATACTAAATTATAATTTATAGGGGTGCACAGAGGAAAAAAGATATCCAACCAATGCAGGGTAAAATTGGCAATATTTCTGATTTTCCTCCTCGTCGAGGTACGGTGTCTTTTTTCGTCTGGCGGTGGTTGAGTTCGTTATATCAATTTGCATAAAATTCACCGACAAGCAGGTAGACAATTGGGAAGACGATACGTGTTGGATGTAACGTTGCGGTGACGCAAGAGTATGCTAAATAGATTTCGTAACGATTTCGCTCCTGTGCAAATTATTAAAATGATCGAGAAGACGTAGAATACCGACACGACGATGTATGGCGCTATCGAATAGGTGGGAAAGAAGCAGTGTTTACATCGTGCGAAATTAAACGTGTTAATGCGTTAAACGTATTAAACGTAAATGCTGCTCGACAGCGATACGCGTCCAGCGCGTACTCGTGCGTCGCGTTTCCTGTGGTACATTTATCGCCTCTGTCCGGAATAGCGCGATAACAGAAAAAAAAAGCTGTTGCTACTAGATGGTTTCAATTGCAGTGGCTTGGCGATGGCTCGGTTTACGTGGGTCGCGTATCGTCGTCCAAAGCAAATTTCGTTCGCGCCGGTTTTGAAACGGCAAAAATCGACCGAGTCCTCAAACACGGCAATCAAAGATAGGCACTCTATTCGGTATGAGTCACGACGAATTGCTCAAGGTAAATCGTTCCACGTACGGAAAAGATTACGAGCGCGAAACCGCGATGCACGACGTACAAATTATTAGGACAAGGTAACGAGCCACCAGGGTCGTGACAATTTAACGCGATGAACATCAACGGTTTTTACCATTTCAACTTGCGTTCCGTGTGTTTCTGCGTGTCTCGAGCCGATGGAATTCGAACGCTGAACGCGAATTGCAGCTGTAGCGAGCCCGCAAAATTATTGGCACACGCAAGAAGCGGTGGGGGATACGAAGGGAAAATAAGTAAAATAAAAGATTATTTTACACTTTTAATTTTAAATATATGTTTGAACGATGAACTTACAATACTATGAAAATTATGTAGTTGTAAAAATATCAAACGATTCCGTGCATTGATTGACGTCACAAAGTTATTGGCACATCTGATATAGTTTACGAAAAACAATTTAATTCCGATATTCTTTTCTTTTATTTGCTGTTGTTATAACAATTATAACAAAGTTGAGTTTATTAATTTTTTTAACGTGTGCTAATAATTTTGTGACGTCAAACGATGCACGGAATCGTTTCTTTTCATTTTTATATAATTATAAGCGATGATATTGTTTTTTTTTATTGTATTGTAAGTCCATGGTCGAAACATGTTGAAATAAAAAGCGTAAAAAGCTCTCGTATTATTTATTTTACCCTTCAAACTTCTATCGCTTACCGCGTGAGCCAATAATTTTGCGAATCACTGTAACTGCTAATACGGTACAACTTGTCGATTTCAAATCGAACATTTCGCAAAGTTTTCAGGGAATTTGTTGGTCGAAAACCGGTCTTCCGTTTTTCTCCTTTTCTCTTTCATGCTATTCTAAATTTCTAAACGAGGCGTGAACGACGGAAGAGCATAACACTTGCGCGCGTTTCTTTTTTTTTTTTTTTTTTTTATCTAACGTTCCGTAGCGGAACAGAATTCATTCGTAGCGCGACAGAAATAATTGTCTCCATTCAGCGAGAGTTACGCATGAGAAAATATTCAGCAAGTAATTTGAATATTTTTGTACGATATCTAATTGTTTCGTCTTTTGTTTGCTTAAACTACATAGAATATAAATTTTTCAGACATGATTATTGTTTTATTTTTCTGTTCGGAAAATTGTGCAGATGTTGATCATAATTTACATTGTAACATATTGTAGCGTGGATGTAAAAGTTTAAGGAGAAAACTCTGTTCTTGTAGTACAAGCGGCTGCAATGTTTATAATTATTTACCGTATTAACGACCTGACTGATTTCAACGGTCTAGAAGTATGTTGGAGGAAGAAGGTAAATACTGATGTTCCGGAGGAAAAACTAATTGTCGGTCATTTTTAGTTCTCAGTGTGAGTATTAGAAACCTGAATTATGGTACTAAATCCATCTACGTAAATCGTTAGGTGATTAGTATGTCATAATCAGGAATCTTGCGCTTTTCATAGCAGGCATTGAAATAATAACTCGGATTAATAATATTCCTTTAGAACACTTTTGAACATTATTTAACATTAACAATAATTATTAGCATTATACCAGAACCTCATCAATTTCAATGATTTTAAAGAATGTTAAAAAGGTTCGTGCGTGTTCTAGACAGAAAGTAATAGCCTGAGTTAGGTGTAAGTCTGTGTTCAGTACAATAATGACGAATAAACGAACTCACACGTGAATTCAAAGTAGATTATAATAACCTACTATTATTCTCTTATCTTCTAATACTTGTAACTTCAAAAGTGTGTGGGAATAACACTTATTGATAGGTTGAGGATACTTAATGACCTTCCCCCCTCCAATGTACTTCAAAGTCATTCAAATCGGTGAGGTCGTTATTGTGATAAATAATTACAAATATTGCGATAGAAATAATTGTCCATATATTTCAAGTGAAACGGTACCAATTCTGTGTAACTTATACATAAAGGCTCGAAAATTTTCCTTTTGGTATTAAAAGATAATATAATTAGGTATATTGTAATATATTTAGAATTGGACGAAATTTGCATTAAATAATAATTGTAATGATTAAAGTAATCATTTGAAAAACTTTAAACAAAAATTGATTACGTTTGTCGGTATGTATAGTGCAGTTGGCTTTACAGCGCATGATCGATAAAGAATCGCCGGTTTAAGTGAACGAAGGCAGAAAACAATTATGAACGATATGAAAATATGAAAGAAATCATTTGTAAAATATTTTCCTACAGTTCTTACTGACGTCGGGCAATTAATTTTGTCGCGCTACGAAGGAATTCTAACCCACTGTGCGCACTGATGAAGGGAATAAAAAATGGAAGAAACGGATACAAAACGAAAGCACGCGAGTACCGGTCGTGGTCGGTTACATCATCAACCGTTCGCTCGAGTGATCTCATCTGTGCGTGCAACTTTTTTCCTCGCTTCTGTCATTCTCTCTGCATTCTACCAAAAATCGAGAATAAACGCAGTCCTTTGCTTTTAGCTTTTCGAAAGATAGAACTGCGGTGTGTCGATCGAGCGACTTTGGCGAGATGGCGGAGAGAAGAAGGCAGGTAAAAAAGGCGCGAAAAATAGTTACAAAATAAAAAAACACTGAAACTTGCGTTCGCGATGCTTAACAGTGGAATTATGCGATTTTTGGATCCGTGAAATTGTGCTTCAGCAGCAGAGGCAACATTTAATTCGGAAAGCAGATAATCAGTGAAACCAAAGTGTAACAGTTTCTTTTTAATAATTATTTATCTTTTATTCGTTGTTCGAAATTTGTTAGATGAAAGTTGTCCCATCTATGTTTAATGGCCAGACAGTATATTGTTTTGCATCTCGTGGCTGTGTGCCAAAAATTACCGAAACAGATCAGCGATGCGCCGCGTGAAAATTTATTAAAAGTGCTGAGTAATATTTAATGACGCGTGTTTAGCGAGATGCATAATATGAACATTGCAGTAACGCTTTATACGAAGCATTCTTAACCCTGAAGACTGAACAAATAAACTTATGAAAATGGGTTATTTGTAAATATAGAAAATAGTACAGGTGGAAGTTGTTTAATTTAATGGAGTTTCATGGAATTTTATGGTTGCATATTTTTATTCTCGTTTATTGCAACAAACTTTCCTCGTTCTGTCTTCCATATCTTCCTTAGTTGTTGACATTTTGCTATACACTTGTTGTACTGTAGCCTAACGGTGTGTCCTTCAAAACCACAGACTGTGTAAGCAAGCAACATTCCATCATATCGTACACATTTATCATAATATTCTTGTACCAGTCTATAATAAGACATAGTTCTTCGAAAATTATTTCCCACGCGACAGATCAATATCTCTAAAATTATATTTGTACGAATTACAAATATAAACTTCTGTACTTCTTCGATACAAAAATTCTGTAATTTTGATGTTACTCGTTGGCCCGCAAAATCTAAAATAATTATTACGCGGTCTTACTTGGAAAAAGTTTACCAAATCTCGCGCTATAGTTACCGATTTCGGACAAATCGTCGAAGCCTTGTACTATTTGCGAGTATGATACAATCGGATGGATTCTGATGCGTAAAATGTGGACCGTGACTCACGATGCTTCGTGTTGTATCTCTCGAGATGGAATAGTTACGTTGACGCAGCAACTGTCAACGAAACGTAATCGAAATAGTGCCCCTATTTTTGTAATAGTCAGTTATGAACCAAGACTGCGTGGTGTGGTCTCGAAACTGTATCGAATTGCTTCGAACATTATTCAAATCAAAACAGTTGCATCTATCTTGCATGTACAATATGATCGAGATGAGATCAGGTCTATTTCTAATTCTATTACATTGTTACTTCGAGTGGAAGATCTTCCCAAAGTAGCAAAATTTAAAAAGAGGATTCACAACAAAATATGTATACATAGATTGTCTAGAAACAGAAATATCGAAGAATAATATTAGGAAAAGATTCTATGTCGAGTTGAGCTTTAATGAGATGCGATGACGCGTCCAGCTCGACATAGAACCGCAAAGGATCGAGCCACAGATTCCAAACGACCATCACTAATCGCAGTTTAAAATTGTCGAGAACTGTTTTCGACCGGTGTGGAGAAAACGGTTTCCCGTTCCGTCGATGAACATCGAAAGGCGCGACTGTCTACGATCTGCACCGCGATCCATGGTCGTCGAGCTAGCGATCTAACCGGACGTGGGCAGAATCGGTGACTGCGCGTGCGCGTGCGCGTCCCTCCACTCTTCGCTCGGGCCTCCGCGATCTCGATCTTCCCTTCTTTTGGTCCGTTCGATGACTCGCTCGCTGGTGATTCCGTTACCTTAATCTTACGTGCATCGCGACGACTGCTCGACGGGTCGTTATCGAGAAAATCGGCGGTATTTGCACTACGAGTACTTTAGATTCGGTTATCGAACGAAGGAAAGAAATCCATCAAGTTATCGGTGGAGTTGCGACACGTGACGAAACCGAGTTGTTTTTCGCACCTTCGATTTTTAAGGCTTATCTTTTCGACGTGAAATTCTCCGTCGCGGGCGCGCAAAGAATTTCCCGCTAACGTTGAACACGCGAGTGGAGAACACGGTGGTCGTGATCGATGGAGGTGCCAGAAATCGGCTGGACATCAGGGGTAGTTGCGAGTTTGCGTAACACTGTTCGGTGATTCGCACGTTTCTCGTTACCGGCGGCAGGATATCGTTTTAGCCCGTCAGTTCGAACGGTTCAACCTATGATCACAGATTGGGTAAGAGTGGCTGCTCTACGTCCATCAGAAACGGCGCAAAATTCTCGTATGCGATCAGAAATTTCAAATAAGGAATATAGGATGAATAAAAATTTCAATTGTAGAACGTATCGTATTTTGTTGTATTGCAACAGTAGTGCCAACCAATCGGGGAAATATTTCTCTTTGCGTCATGTTGCGTTCAAGCATCGTGCGTATACTAACTGTATGATATCATGAGTTAAAGATAATATTGAGAGGATCTTGATAAGTGTTAACTTTTTAGTTTTCCGTAGCGTTTAGTCATTTCGAATCTTGTTTAACAATTTGATGTTTTAAGAAACTTCGTCCATGATTAATTTCCCATGGACAAAATAAGTAATATTTCGAAAATGTAATTTCATTAATGTATTGTAGAACTTACAAAAGTTGAACACTTTAATGGCGGCTGGCGATTTTCGCGTGAGGGATCTCCAACTGTTTTTTTTTTTCTTGTTTAATAAATTGCTATACGTTGGTATTATCAATTAACTGATATTCGAATTAAATTTTGTGTATCTCTGAGGTTCGTGAGCAATTTCGTACGGTACTTTGCACGGTTTGTTGAGCAACACGACGCGCGTTCTTAGTTCCGCGAGACGATCTAGAAAAGTCGGAGCATTAAGGGGTTAGCAAGGGGTGACGAACCGAAAAGTAAGTCGGCGTTTCAAAGTTTTGTTTGAAGGCGGGTGTGTCATTTTATGGAATGTTTTATCTATTATCTTAAGTCGTTCATTATGAATATTATCGTTACGTCTGTTTGTCCCGGTATCGAGATATAAAATGCTTTACATTTCAGTCGTGTGAAAGATATTGATAAGCGATAATTTGTGACCGCTAATAAGTAAATTTACCAGATATTTCAAGCAGTATAGAAGCAAAAGCGACACATACCAGCCTTGTTTGAAATGAACACGTTATATTTGAATTCATCAAATTCTATCATATGAATTTAAAGTAAAATAAATCAAGCTAGTGTAGTATTCACCTCTTTTGATAAAAATGTTTTTTGTGCCCACAAATATGGACTTACACTATCACTTTCACAACTATCAAATTTCAATGGACTCGCGTCAATAACGGGGAAATTAGTGCGTAACTCGTTATGTCCTTCGAGTGATAGTTAGAATCGTTCCAACAGTCGGGAATTACGTGACAGATAGATGTCGTTAACACAATTTTACGCAAAAGTAGCAAATAGGTATGTGTTAGTAAAACGAAATTTGAAAAACAGAATAAAGATCCTTTTCAAAAGTGTGCTGAGTCAGATGCATGGAAATGTAACCGCTTATATTAGCTTACAAGAAACATTGAGGGAGCGTTTTTGAGTTTCAAATTACATACAACAATATATGTATATTGTAATATTTAATTCGTTTTTTTATTTTTACGCCAATTCAAATATGTACGTTTTTATTTACTACTAGACGATTGGCCGATTAGGATGGAATTTACTAACAAGAAAAGTTCCTCGAGTGAAAGTCTGACTTCAGTTAGGTTTTTCATATTGACAGAGCATGGGTTACTCCAGTCAATAATTTTCGTTTATTTTGGTTTCCACGTTTTATTTGGAAGCTGTTTATACTTGAGCTGGAACTTCGATATTAAAGTGTCTCGTAAACTATGAATGATATGCTCATCAAATCTCAATCATTGGTTTCAGTGTTTTTTACTTTATTGCGACGATAAACCTCATTCAGATACCGGGCTTTCACTTCGAGGACTTATTTTCCAAGTATTTATAAGAGTATCGAATAAAAGTAATAAAATACATAGTATTTATTGCTCACAAAGGGAATAAAAACAATATACAGTAAAATTCCGGTTATTTAGCATATTCGGGATTGGGGTAATACCAGAAATGAATTTAGAAAAGAATTTTTTTCTCGAAAGCGTGCAGAATTTTGGGGGTATGTGTATTCACAAAAAATGATTGTAATTGACTCGTGCAGCTATAAATAATTTTTCCAGAACGATTTGAAATTTTAAAATTTTTTCGACCTTGTCCACCTACTCGAATTTTTTTCTCAAAAACACGTAGGATTTCGGGGGTATGTATATTCACCAAAGATGATTGTAATTGACCCCTACAGCTAAAAATAATTTTTCTAGAACGATTTGAAATTTTTTAATTCTTTCGACCTTGTCCACCTACTCGAATTTTTTTCTCAAAAACACGTAGGATTTCGGGGGTATGTATATTCACCAAAGATGATTGTAATTGACCCCTACAGCTAAAAATAATTTTTCTAGAACGATTTGAAATTTTTTAATTTTTTCGACCTTGTCCACCTACTCAAATTTTTTTCTCGAAAGTGCGTAGGAATTCGGGGGCATGTGTATTTACCAAAAATGATTGTAATGGACCCCCGCAACCAAAAATAATTTTTTCAGAATGATTTCAACTTTTTAATTTCTACACCTATTGCCTGTCGATTTTTCTTCAAAATTTGTGTTTAATTTTTAATAAACACAACTATGGGCAATGTAGTAATACAATTTATTAATAAAAAATAAAATATATAAAATTCCTACGTTTTGTTCGTCAACTGTTCAGTATCGAGGTCACTGCTGGGTGAGATATAATCCGTAACATTTGCCGAAGAATAGTCGGGGTCACTATGCCGGTTATTCGGACATTCCGGATAACTGGGTGCTGGATAATCGGAATTCTACTGTAGCTATTTATATCATAATAGAATAGTCCATTTGTACAAACGTTCCAACATTTGGTTCACGATTACTTTCAGTATAAAAGGTTAACAAGTGTAAATTCCATAGAATAAGAACGTACGCACATCGTTCACGTCCTCTTTCCAACGCTCTGGTAATTTTTTAAGTCCGGATTTGAAGAATGAATACGCATTGTCTGACAATTTTTTAAACGAGTTAATGGGTAAACTTTGCAAGTCGCAATGATGCCAGGGGGCCACGATTTGACCCCCTGGTTCTCGTTGAATGTACGCGTTTCGATTGATTTTCATGGTCGTGTTTCAGCTGGACACATGGTTCGGCCGACCAAAAAAGTCCGGGCGTGGAGGTGGGGTCAGAAGTGGTTCGGGAAACCACACGATCCCCCGGCCCCATTCCGGCGATGACTTCAACGAGATCGAACAACAACGTTCCATCATCGAGAGGATGGATGAGGAAACGGTGAACGATAGATTCGAGGAGATGTTGGTGAGCAGAATCGATCGTTACCGATCACATTTTCTGTATTTTCTGTAGTCTCGCGCGTTAACCAGAAACTTACTTAACCAGCGCTCTTCGTTGTTTAGGCCAACATGAATCTGACCGAGGAGAAGAAGGAACCGTTGCGTCAGCAGTCGGAAACGAAGAAGAAAGAGATGTTGGTTCTCCATTATAAGGGCAGCATACAGGAGAACAGGTCGAAGTTCGACAAACCGGCGGATTACATACAATATTTAGCGCAGCCAGACCTGAGCGTCAACAAAATCTACAATTGCGTCGAGTCGTTGAGAATAGCGTTGACCAACAATCCTCTGAGCTGGGTACAAGAATTCGGAACGAAGGGACTGAAACAGGTTTTAGCGACGCTGAACGAGTGCTATCGGAAGTAAGTACACTAGAACACGGCGAATCATTGCGTTACGCCATAGCGTCGGTATCCGATATCGTTCGACGAAGAATCTCTAATCGTCCTGTTGTTCTATTACAGTGCCTTCATATATTACGATAGGTAATTCACGTAATAATACTATTTGCTTTAGTTTTTTTGTTAGCGATAGAATTTTCTTTGCACCGTTTCCTTTTTTTTATTTTCGCTCTTAGCTTTCGGTACAATGTACGCAAGAGACGGAACGACCGAGTATTTTGCGTGCGTGTGCACGCGTATGTATGTGTACGTGTGTGTGTGTCGGTATGTATACGTGTGTCTGTGCGTGCGTGCACGCACACGTATCGAGTAACAAACCCCCCCCATAGGCGTGGCACGCCGATATCCCACGAAGATTGTTTTTACGTCAAGGATCGATCTTTCTCAGCGAGAGAGTCACGAGTCCCGATTAACGCTTCGGTAATTAGCGACAAATAGCAGAGCGCATAGTTTTCCATTCGTCGATTCCTTGCATGATGCCTGCCCGTTGTTCCGACGTGCAATACATGGTGATTCAAAAAACTGATATAAGCTGTAGCTTGTTTCCAAATGCTTGGATACAAAAAGTCGATACAGAAGAAAGTTGAATCCTGTAATGGAAACTAACTTTCCATGGTGTAATTTTTTATTTTGCGTAAAGTATTTCGTTTTTAGTGGCCATACCGTAACACTATTATATTTCGATCTATGCAAAGGGAAAATATTATTCCATTTAACCCTTTGTTGTCCTATGTCCTATGTCCTAAGACCAGTCTAGCTCCGGGTTTACTGACTTGCGTTTTCAAATACTAAATTATCCCTGTCTGCAACAAGCAACACCAGTAATGAGAGAATTAAACGTCGCGAGGGACCCTTCTTGTGAACCTAGTTCGGACAATTGAATATAATTATTTCACGTTCGCAGGAAAAACATAAAGATAGTGTAGCATGCCTCGACGGTAAAGTGCAAGGAAAAATAAGAGAAACGTGCCTAAGAAAACCTGGGCTGCGTGTCAAATGATATTACACGATGATTCATTTTAAATTTTAAATAATGATAAAAAACATACTGTTGTAAGTTGTTGCTTCATTGCTACAATAAGGAAAGCTACCTAAGTCGTAGTACATACATGGAAATAGCTGAACCGGACACGAATCTGTTTAAAAGTAATCCCCGTCGCGAGATTCAATTTTCTCTCGAATCAATTTGTTAGAACAGAACTACATCTTATCTCAGTCTCTGTAATCGCCCTGTATACGAAACGACGTTTAATTTACCTCGTAAACTGCAATAGTTTTGGCGATGTTAAAGCCTAGTTTTTGTATCGTTCGACAGCGACAATCGTTACGAGCGTATACAGTACGAATGCATCCGATGCTTGAAGGCTATCATGAACAACACCGTCGGTATAAAGGAGATGTTGGCCCACTACGAAGCCCTTACGATCGTGGCGAGGTCTCTGGAACCGACGAAACCGTCCGTCATGTCCGAGGCTGTGAAATTGCTTGGCGCGGTTTGCCTTATATCGAGCGACAGTCATAAAAAGGTGTTGTACGCCATTACCATGAACGGTGAATTCAAAGGAAGGGAGAGGTTTCTGCCGATTGTTCAGGGACTGATGAACAAGAAGAACGAAAACTTAAGGGTACGTTTCTGTTCGTTTGTTCAACGCTGTTGGAGCACCGATCTTTCTGTTCGCTAAACGCATGCCGTGTCTCTACAGGTGGAGTGCCTTCAACTGATAAACTCCATCATCTCCTCCGCCGAAGAGTTGGATTTCAGATTGCATCTGCGGAACGAAATCATGCGAGTAGGCCTGGCCGATATTCTGGAGATGCTCGAGAAGGACGAGTCGGAGGATCTGGCTAGGCATCTGAAGATCTTCAGCGACCACAAGGAGGAAGATTACGAAGAATTCGTGCAGAGGTTCGATCACGTCCGATTGGAACTGGACGACGTGAACGATTGTTTCGAAGTGATTAAAAATATGGTGATGGAAACGTCGGCCGAACCGTACTTTTTATCCATAATTCAACATCTGTTGTTCGTCAGAGACGACGCCTTGGTGAGGTAGGAAGGTCCTAAAGATACTCGAAAAGAACGCGTCTCATTTGATATTCACCTTTACCCTCATTGATCTGTTTCATCGATAGGCCTGCGTATTACAAATTGATCGAGGAGTGTGTGTCGCAAATAGTGCTGCACCGTTCAGGCTGTGACCCGGATTTTAGCGCGACCAAACGGTTTCAAATCGATGTCCAACCGCTGATAGACACGTTGGTCGAAAAGTCGAGGGCAGAAGAGGAGAGGCGGTTGGTCGAGATGTCACAGAAATTAGAAGAAGCGATAGCCAGCAGACAGGAAGCCGAAGCGAAACTTCAGCATGCAGAGAACAAGATCAGGGAGTTGGAGCAAGGAGTGATTCGGCCTGGCGGCGGTAGTGGGGTGAGTATATTTAACAATATTTGATCCATACTAGATATAATCGTAAACCAAGCCACATTTGGCTTTTAAGTTATGTCACGTGCTCAAAGAAGGTAAGAACTATTGTTTATGCGCAGAAAGTTGGCACGTGTCCAGCTCCGCCTGGAATGGGAGGCCCTCCGCCGCCTCCACCACCCCCACTTCCGAACATGGGGGGATCAGGACCTCCACCACCGCCACCACCACCGCTACCCTTCGGAATGGGCCCACCGCGACCACCCGCGATGGGTTCGGCGGGACCACCACCACCTCCACCGCCACCTATGCCCGGTGCACGTGGTCCCGCCCCACCACCTATGCCTGGAATGGGTTTGGGCCCCGCTCCGCCACCAATGATGTCGGGATTCCCCGTATTAGGTGGCCCTCAACCGCTACCTCTGGGCCTAAAACCCAAGAAGAAGTGGGAAGTGGAAGCTCCATTGAAGAGAGCGAATTGGAAGGCGGTGAGCAATTGATTCGTCCTTCTCTATTCCCCAAATACACCCTCACCCTTTTACACCAAATATTTGATACGAATTAGTGCTAGCTTAGTTCTTTATTCTGAGCGATGCGTTGCAGATCCTGCCACACAAGCTTACCGAAAAATCGTTTTGGACGAAAGTGCAAGAAGATAGGTTGGCGAGCCCTGAAATCCTGGACGGTCTGGCTCAGAAGTTCGCATCGAAACCGAGCGGGAAGAAAGTCGACGACGTCGTGGACAAGTACGGATTCGAACCATCAATTTTATTTTATTACGCAATGTTGTAAGATAATCAACGATACGCTTTGCGTTTGCGCAGGTCAGCTCCATCGAAGAAAGCGAAGGACCTGAAAGTTCTTGACGGCAAAGCCGCGCAGAATATACTTATACTCCTCAGCGGTACTCTGAAGCATATGTCCTTCGAACAGGTGAAGTCCTGTTTGCTGAAGTGCGAAGGACCCGTTATATCGGATAATATACTGCAGGGATTGATACAGTTTTTACCACCGCCCGATCTGCTGTCGAAGTTGCAGCTTTACAAGGACCAGTACGACGATTTGACGGAAGCTGAGCAGTTTTGCGTTACCGTGAGTAGTTCTCGATGTACGACTCGTTAGCAAATAGCTTGTACGACTTAGTTGATCGTCGTGCATTCACGATTGAACAGATATCGACCATTAAGAGGCTATTGCCAAGACTGAGGTCGTTGAGTTTCATGCTACGGTACGAAGAATTGGTGCAAGACGTGAAGCCGGACATAGTGGCGGGTACTGCAGCCTGCGAGGAGGTGAAGGGCAGCAAAACGTTCGCTAGAATTCTAGAATTGATTTTGTTACTCGGCAACTATATGAATTCTGGGTCGAAGAACGGACAGGCGTTTGGATTCGAGATCAGTTTTCTAACGAAGGTTAGTGCACCGTTTAATTCGAAGTTGAAGGAGCCTCTCTAATTTGGAATCTTAATAATCGAGTGATATCGCTCATTGTTAATAAATAGCTAGAAGCCGTGCTCTTATTCAGCCCTTAATTTGAAATTTTTGTCCGAGTCTCAAGATATCCATTCGTTCTGATTTCCAGTTGACCAGTACGAAAGATATCGACAACAAGCAGACTCTTATGCACTACTTGGTGGACACGATAGAACACAAATTCCCGGAGTGTTTGAACTTCCCGGAAGAGCTGGCACACGTGGACAGAGCGAGTCGAGTGTCGTTGGAGAATGTTCAGAGAACGTTGCGTCAAATGGAAACGAACATCCGGAATCTTGAGCAGGATCTGTCGAATGCCAAAGTTCCCCAATCCGACGAGGACATGTTTGTCGGAGTTATGGGTGTATCCTTTCCATATTCGTCGTTACTACACTCGTTAATTAATTATTGATTAATTACTCGTCGCGTCAACCGTTGTTTTCCTTAACCGTGTCATGATTACAGCCGTTTGCGAAGAAAGCCCGTGAATCGTACGAAGTTTTGCAAAATATGTTCAAGAACATGGACAGCCTGTACACCGAGATATCGGAGTTCTTCTCCTTCGACAAGCAAAAGTACACGATAGAGGAGTTCTTCGGCGACATAAAAACGTTCAAGGACGATTTCATGGTAAGTGCTGATCGCGGGTAATTGAATCGAACAGCGTGGACCAGTCTTCGATCGTGTTTTCTGTTTGTTGCAGCACGCGCAACGAGAGATAATAAAGTTGCGGGAGAGCGAGGAGAAGCAGAGGAGGGCGAGGGAGGCGCGCGAAAAAGCGGAAGTCGAGAAAGCGGCACGGGCAGCCCGTAAACGCGCTCTGGTCGACATGAACGCGCACGAAACGCAGGAAGGCGTTATGGACAGCTTAATGGAGGCGCTGCAAACTGGTTCCGCGTTCAGTCGACCGGATCAACGACGCAAGCGTCAAGCACGCGCCGCTGGTGGTAAGTTCTATAGGACTACGTACGCTACGACAAGAGCTGCGAGGAAGGAGAATATGCGTCAACGAAGGTTGCTTGTTAAAACGCCCGAATTGAAAGAATTTGCCAAACAACGGCTTAAGAATGTCGCGACCGTTTCGCCGGTTTCGCCGTTCACGGAAACGGTCCGTGGGAACGTCGACGACGATTCCACGTGTTACACGACACCGACGGAGCATCAAGAACTCTATGAGTGCGCGTTGCTCGAGCGGGCCAAGAGAGCGCCACGGAAACCTCACTCTAGATTCGAATCGTTTGAGAGCCAGCGGAGACACGAGGCCACGATGAAGAAAATCCGTTTCGACGTTCGCCCGTCGATCGAGGAAACTCCCAAGAGAGATGTTTCATTGACGATAGCTCGAAGCCCGGCTGCTGCGTCGGAAGCGCGGAGAGTCGCCGGCCTCACGTCGGACGATTCCCTGCGACGTTTGCTCCAGGTGGTCGGCGTGCGCGTCGACGACGAGTCCGTCGCGTCGTCGTACAGATCCGTCGTGGACGAGCTGAAAAGGTTCGCGGTATTTCGCGCCTCGCTGAGGTCGAACGCGCGAGCGAACACGAGGTCGCCGTCTTTGTACAAGGCGATTCTGGTGGGCGAGGCGATGAAGTTGACGCCGGCGAAACCGAGACGCGTGATAGTGAGCAAGAGACGTAAGAGCAACAGCCTCGTGCGCCGTGCTGTTCAAACTCGCAGACTGAGACACTCGAGATCCACTCATAGCCCGACGTCACGGAAATGGTACAATCACTTGGCCAGCTCGTCGAGCGAAACTGTCTTGTTTCCTGTTCGACGCTCGAGCAACGTTTCCTCGCCGTTGAGATCGTTGATTCGAACGAGAAACTTCGACGATATATCGAAACAGAACGAAGAGTCGGTACGATTATCTAAGAACAGATTGCCAGCGGACTCGCCAGAAACGCATATCGAGATCGATACCGTAACGGCGCACGTGGACTATACCGGTCCCACGAAAATGGCCGACGATAAGATTCTCGTTCTCGAGCACGACGCACCAGACGACGCGGAAATATGTCTCGCGTCTATGGGGAACGCGGCGTCATTGGCCAAACGAGAACACGACGACGACACGGCGATCGCTACCAGTCGAGGAAACGGGCCCACGCCTCCGAAAAGAAAGAAACGCGATAGAAACATGTGGAAATTTTGGAAGTCGGGCCCGTAAATCTTTAATTACGATGATTGAGATAATTCATTACCCGGTATTATTGCAAGACTGAGAACGTGTTATACCACGTGCAGAGTGTTGAGGAAATTTTAATCGAAGCAACGATTACTAAAATGGATATTTTAGTCGTAATCATTGATCGTTGCTTTGATTAAAATTTGCTCAATTTCGAGCGTCACCCGTGATATTAGCTTCTTTTTTTTTTTATTGTGTTTTACCCCGACGATGAAACGCGACGCGCTATTTGTTCTTGAAATTCCAGTATAATCGGTCGTTTTAATATTAACGCGCGCTGTTACTATATTTTTTGATATTAATTTTCTTTTTCACGAACGATCGTTTGACACGACCGACCAATACAGACTGATTTACCTCTGAACACAATTTTAGGCGTTAACTTTTTACGAATAAAACTGAGGGCTGTGTTATTACCCGTCTACCTCTTTATACAGATAGATTATGTCAACGATCGAATCTGTCGCTTTAATACGAGAAAGTTTGTAAATTTGTATCGATCGCTTGTAAATCGTATTCGTTGTAAATAACGTAATGTTTAGAGATTAATAAAGAGAATTTTCTGCACTGTTGATCAACGCAACTACTTTTCGCTGAAACAGCCGACGGAACAACGTTATGGTTATCCTGATCGATCGATGCTCACGGCGTTCCTCGATTACAGAGAATTGTTCATAAGTGTTGTGAAATCTGTTCCATAACTGTGAAAAATGAATCGTATATTAATCTCAATAGAACCTCTAAAAATACAATACAACCTCTTGATAACTGTTGCAACTCTTATGAACAAACTGCGTTATTCTTTTCTCATTCGGGGCGAATAAAACTACGATTTATTTTCTCATTAGTTTTTTTTTTTTTATTTTTTATTTGTTTGCAACTGGAGGATTAACAGGAATTATATTATAACGTACAAACGTTCAGCACCGAATGTGAACGAACGTAAACGTTTCTCTTTACTTTTGCAGCAGAGAGAAGAGCTCAACTAAATAGAAGTCGATCGCGAACAGGATTAGTCGGGACTGGTTTACTGGGAAGAGAACTTTCGACGTAAGTATTTCGACGTGGCACAACGTCAATGGAATTTTCGTTCCATGTCTTAATAAATAAAAAACGCACGCTTCTCTCGCGACGATGCTTTCGCATGTACTGTACATACCACGCTATTTGCCACTATACTCGATATCGATCGATTAATAATAATGCCGAGAGGTTTGCGAATGGGGGTTGGGACTAGTAGTGGGCTGATATTCAGAATAATACCTGTCTAATAATCATTGTTGCAGAGAACTTTTAAGCTCGGCATAATCCATGGAATAACCCGTTTCCGTCCTAAACTCGAAACTGTGATGGATCGAATCGTTCGATACGGATAGAGAACGATATAAGCCGGTACAGAGAATAGAATATTTAAACGACGCGAGAAACGTCCAGTCTGCATATCCAATATTTTCGCGGGCGTGACAACCGTTGCACATCGGACTGGCCAAAAAGTTCGTGCGGATTTTGGTGATTATTTCTATTTTTTGGTAAAACTATTGTCAAATCTGGTTGAATATTTTTTAAGGGTATAAGGAGATATCTTTACATTACAGACAGTAATTTTTTTTACGTCGACTCTTTTTATTATTTATTAATCGATGTAGAAGAGCAGTTATTTATAAAGTATTTAATTAGGAAATAGCAGTTTTTAGTAATGCTGATAAAATTATACATAAAATAGTCGTATTTAACAATTTTATATATCTGTAATTAACGAAAAGTTACCGAATAGATACTTTTATAACTATCAGGAGCTAATTATAGTGCGAAGTTTCAAGAAACTTCGTGGGAGAAACCTGTAAGACTTCATGCAAATATGACATAATAACGAAAGACCAGTAGCGGTAAATTTACATGTTAAGAACCGCACGGACTGTTTGGCTGGTCTGATATATCGTCGGTTGTACTTAAAACGGACAAAGTCTTCCTATAGTTGACTAAAACGTTCCAAACGAATCGTATATATAGATATACGCGTACGTATACGGTATGACGGCGAATACTTTTACGACTACCAAATGTGAGACGTTTGAATGTAAATTAAGGAGGAGACAGATGGAGTCTGTACATTTTGTACCAAACGATTTTGTATTTTTAATCACGTTTAGCCACGATAACGCAGAAAAAACACGATACGGACCATTTTCTGCGTACGCGAATCAATGTACATACATATAAATACATATACATATAGATATACATATTAGTAACGTGTGTCCCCCCGTTGTCGCACGAAGTCGCGTTTCACGGGACACTGACTGCGATACGATACGTATGGCTTCGTTTCGTCGACGTTTTTGTCTGCAAATTAGTCTCGACCAGAGTTAGGTAAATTTCATTTACGAATAACGTGTAAAAATTGCAAGTTCGTTCGTGATACTTAACTTTCCCCCGGGAGTTCGAAAATCCCACTCTTGGAAATAATAAATAGAAATAGAAATATGAAAGTCTCTTGAAGCAAGTTGAAATATGAATAACAATTTTGTTTGAATTTTTTAAAAGTTTATAAATAGTAGGGTTTCTTCAGTGTAATAATTTTAGAGTCGTCGGTCACTGGCGACGCCCATGACAATCGATGTGTTAATGGATTCCAATTTACGAATGAAACGTAAACGAAAATTAGTTCACAAACGAATCGAAAATCTTTATTCGTTGTTAGTGTATAAAGTTTGCCTAACTTTGGCATCGAGTACGGTCGCAATAAGTTCGTAAATAAGATCGTGTTAAGTTCGAGAGCCGTGCCAAATCGAGGAAATACTACTCCCGGACAAATCGAATCGGGCGACAATGTTGAGCATTCTTGCACAGCGCACAAAACAAATGATAACGATACGAATCGTGCCGTGAAAATTGCATGAATAAAATGAAAAATGAAAAAAAATACCAAAACCCGTACTTATAGGCCGCAGCTAATTTTTAGGAGAAGTCAATTTATTTTTCGAATCTCAAGGTCGACGATTGTTTATATTGTATGTAATTATGTCGAATTTTAATGAAACAAATTGTATCTATATTGTGAATATGTGAATTTAGATAGCATCAATACATTGCGATCAGTACAATCGATCGTGTCGTGTTTTTATTTCACAATGCAACAGAAATACCTATGGGGAAAGTTCGCCTTGGCGAATTCGACGTTCGATAGATCGCGAAAGCAGTGTATTTCGATCGTCATCCGGCGACGATCACGTTACCAAGAGTGTCACGCACGCGTGTATCCAGGTACGGATTAAGGAAAAGATTAGAAGGGGGGAGGGGGGCTGCATTTGTTTCGAATATTAAAGTAAATTTTTACAAATCGTTTAAAATCACATAAAACGATAAGACAATGAAACCGTACTGAAGCGATTGTGTTCGTATACCGCTATATGCAAAACAAACTAATAAATTATTTTTATTTAATATTTAACTTGACTGATAGTCTCGTTGGACGAGCATTACAAAAATACACAGTGACAATCATCGTTTTGTTTAACGTAAGCACTAAGAAACAAGCAATGTAAAGTCATATATCAAACTAATTAGAATGGAAACCAAAAACGTTTTAGTTATAAATGAAATATATTTAAACAGAAAGAGAAATAAAAATTCAATGAAGTTTAGTTTATTTTGTATTTTTCTTATTGGTTTCATCTTCTTCGAACCACGTTAATATTCCATCGCCTAAATAACGTAATTATATTCGTTTTAAAAATCTCGACGATTCTCGAGGCGGGATTTTCGATCGCAATAGCCAACCGCAACCCAACCGGAAGGGAGTTGTGGACGTCCGTGCTCAACTGTTTTGTTCGACGTTCGTTCGATTCATGCCATCGGTGTATACAAGGTGTTCAACGAAAAATGTGTCAAGCTTTACTTGCACATGTGCTACAGCACAGTGTGTCCAAGCCTCTTTTACATAATGTCACACTTAAGAGTGATTAATATTTATACGACACAGTTATTCGAACAGTGGAGATTATGTTAATATTCTAGAGAAATTTTACAGTAATTTGCATTATATTCAAATTATAAAATTTACGATCAATGCAAACTATGTATTTTCTGAAAAGTTTACGATATTCGAATATAAGAGCATCTTTGAAAGTGGAGAGAATTTATATTATTATATGGAAAGAGGAGAAACTGAAATTATGTGATCAGTCAGAAAATGTTTTTTTACCGCATTTTTGGGATATGGCACCATTGTGGAACATTCGAATTTTTCGGGCCCGGCTCGAATTCGAAATATGGACTGTGCCCGCGCATCCCTGTCTGCGTCGGGATCGCGCGCGACACGCGCGTACGCACGCGCGAGCACACCTGCGGGAGAACGGTTGATCCATCTGCAGGCGGGGTCGCGTAGTCGTCGCGAGTAGTTCGTACCTTTCTTGTCGGGACGGACGCGTGCGTTAATGGTGAGCGGGTGTGTGGCAGCGAACGAACAACGGATACAAGAAAAACGCGCGAGTGGTGTATTTTCATTGGTGAACGCGGCCCTTTCTAACCTAATACTTCGTTACAAATTGTTGGCGCGATCGACGTCGATCGAGGTTCGTCGGTTGACCGTCGCCGAAGCGACAACAGCTGACGGTAACACGGTACATTTACGTTAGTGTCGTTCGAAACCTTTGGTACGCGAGTGGGAACGAGACATCACCGCAACGTCCACGAGACATCGAACGTTGATATATTTCGAACCGATGGCTCGCGTCGCGACCTTGTTTGAACTCGTTACCGGGAAAGAAAAGGTGTACGCGACATTTGTGCGACATCGAATCCTGTGCCGTGCTACGGCGGATCGTCGCGGAAACCTGATCGCTCGATTTTCGTCAACGCCGATCCTAGGCGTCTCCGTTCGATCGTAGACCTTTCGCGAACGACATCCGTCGGTCGACAAAGCAACGGAGAATATCTGCGTGCACTGTTGTTTGTAATCGTTCGATCGTCCGACGCTGGGCTCGTCGAGTCGTGTCGCGTTTCCAACGGCGAAACGTTTCGATCGCACGACCGATAGAATGAGAAGGATACAATGAACGTCCCCATTGTGTCAGGAGACATCGTCGAAGAGGATAACCCCAAACCGCGTTTCGTTCGGGTAAGTAAACTTAGCGGGAATCCGCGAATCATCGTCAAACTATTTTCCTATCGTTTCCTTCTGTTTCTCTCGTCCCCTCGTCTCTGGTACCCTCCCCCCTCCTTCATTTCTCATTCCTTTCGCTTTACGGGCCGCTCGTTATCGCGTTATTATCAACGTCCGCGTCAACGAACCGATACGGAAGAGAGGCGATCTGTGAAAGAAAATAGAAATAGGGAGTCAAGAACGAGGATGTTTGCGGACGGCTTTTCCGTTTGAATTTCCTCTCGCGCGTTACGCATCGTGACCGTTTTAACTCGCAGGCGTTGATTCGACGGCTGCTGTTTATCTTAAGATAACAGAAACTCTTCAAAAAAGGGGGACAAGTGTACACGGGCGCATATGAACAACTTACATCAACGTATTGCCTCATTTTCTAGATCAGATATGCTTTTAAAGGAAACAAGACAAATTAGGCTTATCGTTGAATGAGTTCAAGTTGAAATACATTTTTTTAGGGCCGGTTAAACGTTAGTTGTCAGCATCCCCCTCTTGTCAATACATTCTTTTCTTGTATCATAATTTACTTTATACATTTATTTATTTGTAATAAGGTACACTGTACACAGTAAAGTTTGAATTGAATATGATTAAAAACCAATAGATTGAAAATCAATAAAGATGTTAATTTGTGTTATTCTAAATGCGGCCCTGAATTTCTCGTGCATACGTTGGTATCGTTAATGGGAATAGATTGTACGCGCGCAAATTTCTTCGTCGGTTGCAAAAAATCGATACGTATCGAACGTGCAACGGTTCTCGATCATACGCCATCTTGCAGTTTATCGTCGAACAGGCTGGTAAATGTTGTTAACCTTATTAAGCTGACGGAAAGCAATCGCGATCGATACGTTTAAAAGGAATGTTGATTACCCGTATGTGTGTTTTTTTTTCTTTCAAGTTATTTGCCTTCGCTGTCGTTCCGAAGACTACGAATGTGAAACATGTAGGTAGGTCTTTAAGTCCACTGTCTCGATGTTCTTGGACTTCGTAAACGGTTACCGATCGATGAAAGGTGAAACGCGGAAGATCAAATTTCGACTTTCTCCACTTATCGAACGTAGAATATCGATCCGGCGCCACATCATCCTCGGGAAGAACATCGAAATTGGAAAACGACAATCGATCGTTCCTCTTTCCGAAGGTTTATTTAGAACCGTGGCAAATAGTTGCAATTTAGAACGTGAGTTTCAGCCCCTTGTGGACTAAAGATCGTCTAGATTAGTAGTAAAAGTATCTTGCTAGTGTATGCGGATATAGTTAGCAAAGGGTTAAGTTTCACAACTTTCTATTCTTTCGTTTTCATGTTGTTATAGCTACATTGGCAAATATTATCACAGAAATGGTTTCGTCTACTTCGATCTCATGGAAAGCGTGAAACATATATTTTTATATGGGTAAAAGGTGTCATATTCCATCGTTGGTTATAGACGCCAAAATAACCATGCATGGTCCTACATACGAGCAGAGTCCCACATGCTACCATATTTATTCTCGCAGCAGCTGCGTCTGCAGAAAAAGGATTTCGAAAGGTACATAATCATTTCACAACAACGATATAAAATATCTATCGACACAACTATTTGTATTTACAAAAACAATAATGTAGTCCAAGGGTTATAAGGTTTATAAAAATTTTAAATAAATAATTAATTTGAAGTTGCTTATTTAGGTATCGGAAATAATTATAATAAATTTCAAATCGTGCGAAAAAGGTTCAAAAATATATTTCGATTAAAAAGACTCATTTACCGCCATCTATCTGGTTCACCTTAAATTGTTTCACATAAAATACCGAATAAACCTTACAAACCTTGCAAAACCTTACAAATAGCGGTACTTAATTTCGTTTCGTCGTTAATTTTTTACGACATCAACAAAATTTATGTTAATTAGAAGAGTGAAAGCGACTGGGCATTTGTTTTATTCGAAAAAGAACTTGATTAGATTGTAATTTTTAGTTCTGTTTCGATATGTATGGGGCATCGACGCCACTTGCCGAGGAAGTGTTAGGTTAGGTGGCATAGACCTCAAGAAAGAATCGAATGACATGTAACTCAGCGGGAATATAACGCCGCAGGACCCGTAGATTCCTGTCTGTTAAATTGGAAATCTGTTAAATCGAGGTCTCGCTGCATTTCCAAACATACGAATACGTATTCCCCGATCGCTGACAAGGCAATGTAGGCAAACACGCCTGCGGCGCAACGATAAACCAAATGGTCGGAACGATGGATCGGAATGTGTTCGGATGTAAGTCGCAAATGCATGCGAAATTCTTTTGCGTGTTCTTTTGGGGTAATTATATACGATTTAGTATGCGTCCGGTACGTAATGAACTTTGTGGGCAGTACTCGCGACGAGCTATGCGAATACAGAACGTAGAAATCGATTCTCTTGCGTAATCAATTACATAAAACATGATTGCTCGCGACGGTCGTCCCACCGATGCATTTTCTCTCAGCGTAGATAGGTTTTAAAGTTTCGTGTCAAGCGAATCGGAAGGAGAACGACGAGACATCGTGTATTGACGGGAAGTTTGTTTACGGCTTCTCGTGGAATACTGCCTTCGAAGAAAACATTGAACGATATCGCTCACCCTCGGCTCTCGGATGTGTCGATCGTCGGTTAAAAAGATTCTTCGGATATCGACGGTAAATACTAGCGATGGTCAAAATTCATATCTGGATAGAATTTTTGAAGGATGAATGATCGATGAAAACAAATTGGATCCCTCCGTGTCTGCTATCATTTGAAAAGATTGACAAGATCAAGATCAATAGAACACTTGACGTTCGTATTGCAGCACAGTAGGTTAGGGGATCCCGAAAAACCAGGTCAGAAGTAAGTTCTCACATTTTCTTAAATTAAAGGAATTTATTAATTATTATTTTTTTAATCGTGTTCTAGATACCTAAAAATAATTATAATCTTATAATTTTTATGCAATTTAATGAATTATCATTCTTTATGCTCTGACAGAAACTGCGAAAGAAAATTGTGTAAACAATTAACGGTGTCACAAGAACTACAAATCAGTTTTGTCAAGTTAGTTAAAAGTGATCTAATTTATGTAGTGTTTGGACTCGTTTTAATCGGAAAAATCCCAGAAATGCATCGGTATTGTTTTTAAGAAGGTAAGGTGAAAAATACGAAGAGTAAAAATTTTTCTTATCGCATGGTCTTATCGATCTCCTTACGGGCTTCTCTTTTATTTATGCTAGGTCAGGTTTCGTTGATCACGAGTGGAGAGGATTAGAGGGAATGAATCGTGAAAGGTTAACCGTGCAAATTTTGGTGAAATTTAAGGGCGCATTACTGTGATATGCGTCCAAAAATATAAATAATGAAGTCTGTCATTGTTACATGACTTGATTCTTGAATAACAATGCGGAATGGTTAAAAAAAGGAATAGAATTTTAAAATCCTATATCATCATCATCATAATAATAATAATAATTATCGTAATATAATAATAATAATAATAATAATAATAATCATCATCATCATCATCATCATGAATGTTTTGTTACTATCTATTTCTTTATACATATTTACAGTTTTTAACGATAATATAAACGCATCATAATATAATAATAATAATAATAATAATAATAATAATAATAATAATAATAATAATCAACATCATCATCATGATGAATGTTTTGTCACTGTCTGTTTTTTTATACATATTTACGGTTTTTAACGATAATATAAACGCATCGTAATATAATTGTAATAATAATTATTATTCTTATTAAACTATCGTTTAAAACCATAAATATGTATTAAAAAGCAGATAATTATTATGATTATCATATTAGGATGCGTTTATATTATCGTTAAAAACCGTAAATATGTATAAAAAAAACAGATAGTGACAAAAAATTCATGATGATGATTATTATTATGATTATTATTATATTACGATGCGTTTATATTATCGTTAAAAAAACCATAAATATGTATGAAAAACAAATAGTGGCAAAGAATTCATGAACATTTGTCCATCCAGATCGTTTAAATTGGCCACTGTGCGACGTGATCCGAACGATGGCGAAGTCTAGCGAGCATCGTCGAGTCGTGGCGAGACTTGCCGACCGTGTACCGAGCGTGACGAGAGAGGGGCAGAAGCGGGGAAAGGGCATTACGGCCCCGATCGGTCGTCAGCTAGAAAGAATACCGTGGAAGGTGAGCAACCGGTGGGCCGTGTTGCGCGTTGCACCGTGCGCGCCCGATCGACGCGAGTCAACGGTGATCCGTAAATCTTCTCGGACGATCTTTTCCTCTCTCCCCCCCACCCACGTTCTTTTCTCCCCCACCTTTTCGCGAATGCAACACCGTTCCCAGCCCTGGGAATTCCGCTTTCCCGTAGAAAAGAAACGTTCCGCGGAAACATCGAACGTTGCGTGCCTTGGCTTCTTGTCCGCAAAACGACGCGTTTCCGCGACTGGCGTGTATTCAGCGTCCAGTTTTGTGATCGCGAGTGGTGCCGTCGGTCACCCTGTCGTCGTTAGTCCTGCCGATCGAACGTATTTGATCGCGCGGCGAGCTATGCAACCGGTGAAATGGATTTATCGTTGCGGGGCGAGTGCGATCGCGAGATGTTCGGTTTGGTGATTTCATGCCGTTCGTCGTGGTAATTTCGCCGTCGCGTCCAAGGAGCTTGGAATATTTCGCCTCGAGCAGACGCACGTCGTAGAGACCGGAAACAAGGGGACGCAACCGGGGATCCGAACGGAAGCCGCACGCACGAACGCCGAACGCCTTGAAACGTACACGAATCGAAGAGTAACGTTTTACAGAGTTTCGAACGATTTCCGATAGAATCCAGAACCATGTTGATCCTTCCGGATTTAAAGTTACAGGTAAATCGGACTTGCTCGTCGCCTGAACGGTGATGTTTCCTCCCTTTGCTTATCGTCGCGCCTAGAACGTACGGATGAGAAGTCGAGGGACTCTCTAAGATCCTATCTTTTGGTCAAATCGATGCCCTTCTGGAAGAAAGTCATCGACTCTGTCGCGTCGAGACGCCAGCCCAGAGGTGACTTTCTCCAAGAAGGGCGAGAATCGATCCGATCCGTCGAGTATCGCGTAACGGAGCTCTCGAAATCGAGTCGAGGTAGATTGCTGTATTTCCTCCGGCGATTATACAGCGACCCACTGTTTCCCGATTTATCCTTGTTTCGATCGTTCGAGAAAGATCCTATCGCGCGACGCATCCGAGTTCCCCTCGTGGATCGTCGACGTTTTCATACGCATTCCATCGAGGGTGTTAGAAACGATCCGAGCGGAAGAAGCGAGACGGCGGATGGTTCGTCGCCAACCAGACGGCCAGGAATCGCAACAGGCGGCGCAACGGGCGAGCCCTGCATTTCCTGTTGCAACGCGAGCGTAAACAGCGTGCCTCGAATCCGGTAGAGCGTGCCTGGTCCGCTGAACTCGCGGCGCGATGCAACGCGTAACGCTTATCGCGAGATCGAGGATTACGGCTCCAACGCGTCGCTGACTGCCGAGCATCGAAATCTTTTAAGCACAGTATTTTAAATCGCGCCTCTGACCACGAAAAAGTCACCATTTTTACCATATCAATACAACTTGCGATATGTTTTCTTATAACAGACGATAACGTTGACAACGATTGGACTAATAGTTGCATGTTGGTCTTTGGACTAGAACTATCCGAATTGGTACGGATTGGTCGAGCTATTTGTTTTATCTCGTAACATACATTCGGTTCTCTGATTTCTATAAAAATCAAGCACTACGGTTTGCAACTTTTCAAGTAGTTCGATCTCAAAGTTTACAGGAGGCCTGGTTTTATCGGTCCGATGAAAATAATAAACGCTATCGCGGTCTATGCCTCGACCGTGCAGTTCCACGTTAGAAAGAACGAGCTGAAAGATAGACTCTTTAACTCGATTACTGAAAACAAGGATAGAAGCTCAGTAAATGAGCAACTTATAAACAAATAAGAAGAACGACTCTGCGTACGAAGAAGAACGAAGTAGAGCGTTCAGTTGCATATCTGAGCGAGGTGGTGAGCATTTCAATGCGACTTAAGAAAATTTAGTTTACCCACGTTTCGAGTAAAAGAACAACGAGGTAAAATAATTTGCATTTTTTCTTACTATTATTTCACGGAGAAAATAGTATTACAGCGTTATGATAATCGATAACACGTTCTTTCTTCAATGATTTATTCGCTTCTAGGTTAATTAATTGTTTTTCGCTGTCGGACGGCGGTTTTAAAACACTGTGCGACGCCGCCTTCCAAGCATCGAAGTCTCCAGTCCACGCGACGCTGTCTTCCCAGGCATCGAAGTCTCCAGTTCGCGCGACTCTGCCTTCCCAGGCGTCGAAGTCTCCGGTTCCTTAGGGTCGCGCCAGACGAATCACGTTTCTCGACGACCATTACTGGGGCCCATTTGCGATTTCTTTCGAGGTCTGCAGGAAGTTTTGCACTCTGGATCTCTTCTTGCGAGATCCAGAGACGCGACGTTGACTATTTGATCAACTTTTGCGCAGTGGTTAAGAAGGGAATTCCGGGTTGAAATTTCATATTCCTCTGAATCGAAAATATATGTGCACAGCCATCGGAGAAATAACAAATTTACAGAGGTTTGATTAACATTCGTTACACGCGTGCCTTAGCGCGGTAGAAACCCCTATTACGGAGACGGACACCTTTCCGGATCACGCAACATTTATTTCCGACGAATGTAATTATTACACTGCATCGGATAAACATCAGCAACAATTTCCAAGTCGAATCGAGTAAATTTTATTCGCGAACAACGAATACAGATTTTAGATTAATTCGTGAACTGACTTCCGTTTTCGTTCGGTGAACAAACTCATGCGTTGAAATTTATTAACAGATTATTCAAGTCGACGTTCAGCCGAGCAGGCATTTTAGTTTCTTGACCACTGTGCAGAAGCTGATCGAAAAGTCAAACGAAGGATCTATTCGTTCGAGATCCATGAAACTTTGACCGTTTGGGATCTTGAAAGGGACCTCTGAACGTCGAGAAGCGTCGCTCGTCGGATCCACGGCGATGGTCGAGCGTCGTTCGAGAATGGATCCCGTTAGTGGCCCGCATCTTTGCGTTCGCGTCGAACTCGTCCTCTTCGATCTTCTCGTCCAGATGGAACGCGCTCTCGCGAAGGTCTTCGACCGCGTTTCCCGCTGGCTACCACGGCGTACCTCGGTTCCGCTTCCGTCCCGGTTTCTCGTCCTAGCGCTGGACGCGGAACACCTTCTTTCTCTCTTGGCAGCTGCCCCCCCTCGTTCTCGCCAGCCAGCGATGGGATCGAGAATCGTCTTAGATCAGTGGATCTTAACCCTTTCGATACGGCAGGCTTGGTTGCGAATACGTTGCTACTGCACGGAGAGAGACCAAATTAACCCCTTCGTGGGACTAGTTGGTCTCGCCTTGGAGGCAAGTTGTTACATAAAAATACGTTTTATAACAAACCATTTTATTTTCTAACAAAACAAAACACAATATTATTTTTCAAAGAAAATCTAATATTAAAGAAAACAGCTATTATTCTTTTTGGACGTTTCATACGACTTTACTTTAAAGAAGTACCGATTTTTGTCCACTAAGCATCTCGTAAATGAAAATTTATAATTTCAATTTCTGGCGATACGTACAAAGTTGAATTTAAAATGTTTCAAAAAGCTAAGTTCCATTCTTTTATGAAACTACGTGGCTTTTCTAACACTGGATACTGCAGTTTCCACATAGTTCCGTTCCAAAAGCGATTTCCACAGCCGTGCCTTCCTCTCGTTAGCCAATAACGACAATCCGCGAGACTCGGAGGTGGTCGAGTCATTCCGATTCATCGATCGGCTTACAGTCTCTGCGTAGTACTTTATTCGATCGATCCCATCGCTACGTGGCGCCGGTAGCGACGAATTCGGTATCGATAATCGACGAAGGAGCGTGGCGATCTTAAACTTACCGCGATACGCAGAAGAAGCCGCGCCCGAGGTGATAGAACGGCCGTTATCCTTCTCCCCACCGTGTTTCGCGTAGTTTCTCTCCTTTCACCGAGAGACTGACACCGAGGAATCGGTCCACGTCTCCTCGGGGAGTCCCAGCGTGGCACAGTGGACCAAACCGCGAATCTAGCTGGAAAAAAATTCCTATTCGTCGATAAACAGCCTCTTACATCAACTTATACTGGGTCGTTGCCAGGGGACCTTATTCTTTAGCATCGCGGTGGCACGAACTGTAAATTAAAAATTTCTTCCTGCTTCGTTAAGTAAATTTTATTCATGAACAACAAATCAAAATTGTAGATTCGTTCGTAAACTGGTTTTCGTCGGTTCAAATAATCGTAAACAGAAGTCGGTGACGAATTAATTTAAAAATTTTGTTCATTATTCCTGAATATAAATTTACCCAACTGTGGCGAGAACCGGTTCTTGGCAAAGAGGGTCAGTAATGGTGGATGCCGATTTAAACGGAATTAAAATTAAAACGAGCAACCTTGGATGCAAAATAGGATCGCTTAAAATGGGTCACCCGGATAGCTCGTTTATTTTTAATGCTAGAAAAGAATGTCTCGGTCAGAAATCGTTTCACTTTATGGGGGACATAATGTGGTTTTCGATTCTGCGGCGAGGAACTTTTTTTAGTTCCAGGTGAAAGCGTCAAGGATATTCCAAGGTCATTCGGTGTTCTTCGGCAAAAAGAGATCTCATTATTTACCTTCCAATAAACGTTTGTGAGGATCGTACAATGTATGAAGGTCGTTCAAGGTTTTTGAAGGTGATTTATGAAGAAAATCGTTCTGTTTCGGGGGGGCGGATATAACGGTTCAGGAATTTGCATCTTCGCACTCCCAGTTCTACTTCAACTGTTCTAAATAGTGACCTTGAACGGGCGTTGCATACTCTAAACCGGTTTGAGATAGACTTTCTGTTCTTTCGAGCAAAGTATTGTGAAAGTTTGAATGAATTTTTTTAAGCAAGAATTCTTGTCGTTGGCTTGCCATGAACTAGTATACGAGAATATTATGATAAATACGATGTCCACGACACGGCGGAATGTTGTTCGGTAACATATTCTGTGGTATCGAAGGACATACCGTTAGACTATAGCATAACAAGTGTAAAGCAAGATGCCAACAACTAAAGAAGATATGAGAGACCGTATGAGAAAAGCTTGTCCTCCATTAAACGTAAATAAAACACGAGACGCGATGGCGTTTATTTATATTAACCCACTTCGAAGCATGCTTGGCCATTCAAGGTCAACATCTAGAATGTTTCAATTAGTTAGATAGTACTTAATGATATTTAGATAGTCTGCACTCTTACATCTATCTTGAACAAACTATTTTTCCAAGTAACTGTTTCTTCAGCGATAAATACAAATTTTTATTGGAAGTTTTCGTTAAAAAAGTAGTCATGACCTTTGGATGTGCTTGAGATTTCCACCTGAAACCAAACAAACGTCACCACTCTTATGTTTGTAAAGAAATCTACAATTTTTACCACGAACTCCTCGCAATTTAGGGGTTGATATTTAAAAATTGATCGTTTGAACCAAGAACTGTGCGGTGTTGGTTACAGTTAAGCAGTCTCTGAGGCATAGTCGCGCGTTCCATCGCCCGTGACGGCTACAACACCGACGAAATGAAAATGAAGACGCGGCTCGCCGCGCGCCACCGACCTTTGCGCTATCTAAATAGCAATAAATCGCACGACTATCTCATAAACCATCGACATTGCTAAAACAATAACCACACTTATGAATTTAATTAACAATAATAAGAAGAAGTAAGAATTATCGTCTCATTAGGCATTTTTAGAATCATAAATATAATTTCAAGCAAGGCTGCCTCGCGTAGGTTGTTCACCGTACAAAGGTAGTTAATAACTCTAATAGCACCAATTGGTCGCCTTCTGTATGGCATTACTTCACTTTTGAGTCACTCAATGGATAAATTTGATTTACAAAAAGATTAATTTATAGTGTAAATATTTTATATAAGGCGACACTTTTTGAAATCTCTTTGTATTACTCTGAGAATTATTTTGTTATCTGATTAACATACAAATTGTAATCGTAATGCACAATCTGGTAACAGGACACAGTCACTCGTTATTTTCCAGTTATGAAGTAGATACGTAGAAGATTTGTCACGGAACGTTACGCAGTTCAAGAACGCGCCGTTTACGGCAGAAATTATTGCGAATTAGTGGTTGTTAACTTTGTATAGAAGAAAATTGCCCGATAACAAGACGATTACACATTTGTCCAAGAATTTCCGACAGTTCGGTGCTCGTGACAAGATAAACCACGTACTGGTCGTCCTTGGAAAAAATATTCGTCATCGGGTTCATGAATTGTATCTTCCGGACATTGTTTCACACAATGCTTCGACGAAAAGACGGTTCGTCTATAAAATTCAAATGACTCGGCAGATCCAAGAAAATTACCGTCCACGTAAACGAGAATATAATGAAGCGATGATAAACAACATTAACAACGACCCATTACATTATGAAAAAGTCATAACGTCCGACGAGACTCGTTTCGACCTCAATGACTTCGCAAACGAGCAGAATAGTCGTTACTGGGATGTTGAAAATCCACGGTACGATTCACGGGACTATCGAATCACCTTAAAAGAAAATTTGGAAAACACAAATAATTTTTATTGCAGCTTCTTAGTCTCTGCGATAATGTATTTAGCTACTTACGCCCTAAACCTAATATTTCAACAGTTACTTCAAAGCGTACCAAACTGTATTGGTGTACTTTTAATATTACTAAATAAATAAATCGTTTTATAAAAATTTCTCCTTTTATATATTCAATTCTATATAATAAATCATTTTTAATTTGAATTAATATTAATTGAAATAATTTTAAATTTAATTGTTTAAGTAAATATTTTAAAATAATTTTTTATATTAAAATTCCTAGGTTTCTGTAATTTTCGATATTTTTATAGTTGAATATCTTGAACGCAAGTAACAAAACTATTCTCATAAGAGAACTGTTAGGTTTAGGGCACGAGTGCCTAAATACTATTTTACAGAAATTAGAACACTGCATCGAACGCTTCTTGCAAAGTGTATATGTTGTCACGCGATATTGCAGTGTAAGGGGTCGATAATACAAATTTTATTTAGAAATTGAATTCGATAGAAACTGATTTAGCATTCCCATAAGAGGACTGCTAGGTTTAGGGCACGAGTGTCTAAATATTCTTTTGCAGAAATTAAAACGCTGCATCGAATGTTTCTTGCAAAGTGTATCTGTGATCACGCGATATTGCAGTGTAAGGGGTCGATAATACAAATTTTATTTAGAAATTGAATTCGATAGAAACTGATTTAGCATTCCCATAAGAGGACTGCTAGGTTTAGGGCACGAGTACCTAAATACTATTTTGCAAATATTAGAACGCTGCATCGAACGTTTCTTGCAAAGTGTATCTGTGATCACGCGATATTGCAGTGCAGGGGGTCGACGATAAAAATTGTATTTAGAAATTGAATTCGCTGGTTTAGCGGTAGGAGGTTGGACTGAACTAATCGTGAGGCTGCAGATTAATGTTGAATCGCGCAACTATGTCGCGAGATGAACGCCGATCGAATCGTACCGCGGCACATTTATCCCCTCGGAATCGAAGATCCGTGGTTAGGCTCCTGCGGACCGGAACGCGGTTACGGTGACACGAAGTCGAACGCGGTAATAGTATCGCGCAACCAGGACCAGAAGGACGTTGTTCGCGCGCTGCGTTCGTCCTCTCTTTCGACCCCTCTCGTCCTCGATCATCGAAGAAAAAGCGACTTTTCGATTCGCAGCATCACGCTGAGCGGCGGCGGGATAGATCGTGAACAAGAGACGAACGAGATGCGGCCGCGAGAGCTAGTACTATGTTGAAGTGGGCTTACTATGCGCCTCTGACGAAGAATCGCGCATCGACGGCGACCCCGTTGGACGAACGGGAGAAGAGGACGGACTGCGATAGTGCACCGTTGCCGCCTAAGCAGACGCCATCGCGATTTTCGCGGATAGGAAAAGCTTCCCCTTCGCGGTCGGAGGACGTAGAAATTTTGCGAGAACCCTCGTCGGCGAGAAAATACCTCGGGGTGAGAAACATACGAGCGAACAGCAGCCATCTTGTTTCCGATTTGCGGCGCGCACGAGATATCCTAGCCCATACTCGACCTTTTCTTTTCTCTGTACGTGCATACGCTACGTAACATACCAAACGGTGGAACCTCGTTTATCCGAACCGATCCGGGGCAGTGTTCGATGTGTAACCCATAATCGATAAGTAGCGATAAATACGCTTTTAGTAACGATCTCTGTTCAATCTGATCGTTCAAGTGGCGAAAATAATCGTTTTACTTCGCATTCTACGTTCCACTTTCCACTATATTATGTTAGAAACATAAGATTGATTGTAATTAACGGAAAACACTTTCTTACAAATCTGACGAAGAAAACTGATTTCTTCGGGCCAAAGAAGTGTGAAATACGATTCAGCCATGACAATTCGTTTGACGCGTTTAATACTCTGTGGACGTACACATAGTGTTTAAGAAGTACAGTCGCGGATAGAATTAAATGATAAAGTAAATAAGTGTAAATTAAATTTAACCAAAGTAGTATAACTATTGTGCACTTAAGTTTTACATATCATATATCTTTATGACGTTTAGATTATTTAACATATTTGAATCTAATCGAAAACTTATGGAGCGTACTGAATTCAAACGTGCAACTAGAAAAATGGCTAAATAAGAACAATTGTTTTAAATATTTACAATTGGCATTTGAAAATGCTGATAAATACCATTCCACGATGTTTAAAAGTAATTACTGCAACAAAGGGTGCAAAAGGCTTTTCGTTAAGCATACTTTATTTCAACATAAATGTAAATATTAATTTCAATTATTCGCTAAATAATCTATGTACCATAAAGATATATAACACATAAAACTTAAGTGCATAATAGCTATAGTACTTCGATTAAATTTAATTCATACCTGTTCTCCCCACCTGTCCGCAACCGTGTGGTCGAGTATTGCAAAATCACATTACAGATATTTAACCGACGCGCAATGTGTCGAATAAATCGTATATAAATTGTTTGTAAATTTTGTAAATTGTATATAAATTCGTCAACGTGTTAGTTCGTTTTTCGGTGTATTATATTCGTCGCAGCCGCTTCCGTGTGCTCGTCGTTCGGTTTAATTGGCGCGAGGCTCCCGCGGACCAATCTACGACCCCCTCCCACGCTTCTCTCGTTCGTGCACGCGACCGATCGCATCTTCTAACGTCGTACGTTTTGTTTGATGTTGCACAGGGCTCCGATCCAAGAGTGGCGACTTGCAGGGGAAAGTTGCAGAACAAACGGAGCAAACTGAACCAGGAAATAAACAAGGAACTCAGGTTGCGAGCAGGCGCGGAAAATCTGTTCAAGTAAGAAACAAAACTCAAGATCCAGTGATCATGGACAGGACGATCGAAATTATTGACAATTTCGGCAGCAAAAAGCAATTTATTCGAGGGAATATTCCAGTCCAGGCGTCAAATATTAAAAATTGTTGAAGATATTTCGGTGAAGCAAATTGTATTTAAGATGAGGGGGGATAAAATTATTATTTAATTTTATCAGCGATATTTAATCGAATTTAACAATTTTATATACAATTGTCAGCTATAATGTACTAAGCTAATATAATATTGTTTATTTTGTACATTACAATCAACGATATTTGTTATCTAGGGCTACCACGAACCGGAAGCTCCGGGAAACGGTTGCTCTGGAGCTGAGCTTCGTCAACTCAAACCTGCAGCTGCTGAAGGAGCAACTCGCCGAGCTGAACAGCTCGGTCGAGCTCTATCAGAATGTCGACAGGTCAGTAGCGGAATCTTCTCGATTTATGAAGATCGACGATGATCTAACGATCGTATCCGTTTCTAGCGTGGAACCAGCGATGCCGATGATACCTCTGGGTCTGAAGGAAACCAAAGATATCGACTTTCGAGATCCCTTTAAGGTGAGCATCCTACGGCCTAAATTATTCCAACGGCGGCACGTTCGAATCCTCGTATTCGTCGCTTCCGGTTTTTATTACATTAATGGGCGGTTCAACTGCCCGGACGGAAGGGTCTCTTCGACCAACGATCCTCGAAAAATCTAGATCGTCCGTAACCGGACCGATCTCTAGGTATTGCCGCATCGTCATCGATGATCGTTGTTCCGTCGAACGATCACGTTTCTTTTCTTTGGAGACTTTCTCACCGGAACTTGTACCCCGGGTTCCGATGGTTGGTAACGGATTCAAGCGTGGCATCGTCACCACCAGCTTGCCGTTAATAGTGTTCCTTTCAGCGGCGCTACCGTCCACCGATACCTCGCAGGGAAGAGTCAATTGCAACACTTTTCCTTTTATCGTGGCCCGAACGTACAATGGTTGCACGTCCACGTCGACATACTGAGTGTCCAGGTACCTGGAAGTCGAGAAACAATTATACTTTCTAAGCCAACAATGAATGGCTAACATTCTGAAGGCTGCAGGTTCAAGAAATTTTACCCCTTTAAAGGGGGATTTCATTTCAAGTCGGGCTTAAGAACAAAAAGTAGAAGGTTTAAACGAGTTACGGAACTTTGAATTGAATTTGTTTGCAGTTGGTCCTAATTTGATGATCAGAGACTGTGGTAATTTTAAGGTGTAAGTCCCTTGATATTCTCTTGTAGAAGAGAAGAGAAGAGAAGAAAGTGATTGGAGCATTTAAAAGTATACAAAGAAAAAAAAGCAGAGGTAGTATAAAGGTAGTTATATTCATCGATAGTACCAAAAAGGTTAATCAAATTCAACCAATAAATGGTGGTAAATTGCTAACAAATAATAGTCATGAGTTCAGTGTAACTTTAAGTACGGAATATGAAATCGTAAATGAAATGTTAAACGCACTTGTACACGGTGACTTCTAAAACGACGCAGCTGTACTCGTCGTCGTTCAGCTTGAACGGTACCTTCGGTTGGTTGACGTTGTACGGTTTCCCCTCTGGACTGAACAACTTTGGTTTGTAGGCTCGCGGTTCGTTCCTTTGGTTCTTCCGATTTCTTCTTTCTTCCCTGCGCTGATACCGCTCGGCGATTGCGATTCGCTCTTCCGGCGTGTGATGGCTGGGCTGCTTCCAAAATTGTTCGTTTTCTTCTTCCTCATCCTCGGTATCATTCACTTCCTGCGAACACGTGAGATGCTAGCGAAAACTGTAAAAATTACTTTTAAGTACTCCAGTATGAAATGCTTCTTTTTTTATTTTGTTTGGAAATTTTTTGCTAAGGAACTATAACACCTTTTAGAAAAAATTGGAAACTTAATATACCCTATATTGAATTGTTAGAATGTATAATATTCGAATATCATTTGAATAGTCCCTAGGTGAAACACGCTTGTGTGAACCGTAGGCCATAAATGATGGAAGAATTGCTTCCACTAGAAAATGCGTATGCACGAACTCCTGCCATACAATGTGAAGTAATTATAGAGATCAGAATATTCGACAAGCAGCATGGGAAGATACGGGATTAGATATTCCTCTCGTGTTACATAAGTTATTTGTTTTCTTAAAATAAGGTTGGATTTAAATTCTTTACTAGTTTTCTATCAACTTCCACTTTGTTTTTGGCCCCGCTAAATTATTGTTCATCAATGTTTCAATAATCGACGTTCTATTTTTATTCGTAAATAATAGTTTGTATAAATTCTATTCTATCAGTACCGGTGAATAATTCTCCGCGAAAACGACATTGCTACAATTATGTTTTTTGTTTACCCATGCTTAATCTTCATGATGGACGGACAATAGTGTACGCATCTTATAAGCAATTTCACTCGCTCGAAAGTACGTTTACGTGACGTGACAATAGTCCATTTCCGTCTTAAGGGAACATTCTACTATACAGAGTGTATAAAAATTATATGCCACGATCACCATAGAGTGATTTTACATCTCCTTGACTGACTTTTTTAAGGTTTTGAAGGTCAAATTTTCTAGAACGCAATAAAAAAACGTCTTATGGTTTCTATCAGTTTCAGCCATTCTTAAGGTGAGTTTTTAATTACTTTCATCACTTTCATGGGAAAAATAAAGAAGTCCTAATAAAGAACCCTTATTTTTAGATGAAAATACCAGACCTTGACACGCACGCTTACCCTGATCGTCTCAGTGCCCGTCTTCTCGCGATAAGCAAGTATTTCCGCTTTCCTGGTTTTCTCGTACCTCGCGCAACACCTGATGATCTCTCCTTCGATCCGAGCGCAGGCTTGCAACGCTTTGATGCGCTCGGATCGTTCGATCGGCGTACCGTCCAATTCCTTCAGTTGCGTCAGCGTCGCTATCGCGTATTTCCTGTATCCGTCATAATCCGCACACGGGTTCCCCATCAGGAAAAGCTGCTCCAAATGTTCGTTGCATCTGCCATAAATGATGGAAACGCAACCGAGCATGTAATAGGAAAATCACGAAAAATTGTCTGTCCAATATTTCCTTACGAGAAAACGCGAATGGACTTGTTACGCAGCCCAAATAGACAATTTCAATAGTACCCAGTAAACTATACAAAGGGTCCAACCTTAAGGGTTTACCTTAATCTTTCGACGCCCCGTAGATCGCCGATAAAGTTCACCGTCAGGTCTAACTTCTTCAAGTTCTCGAGGCCCTCCAAGTTCTCGATCGCTTCTATATTGTTCAGCGCCAGGTTCAGATACTCGAGCCTCTTCAGTCTGGCCAGATTCTCGATCTTCGCGATAAGGTTGTTCTGCAACAACAGAATCCTCAAGTCCTTGCAGGTTCTGTCGATCAGCTCGATCTTCTCGATGTTTTCCTGGTGCAGCGCGATCTCCTCGAGCGTGCATATCTCGCCCTCGTTGTGCTCCGAACGTTTTCGTATGAGATCCAGCGTGATCCGTGACATTTTTGTGTTGATCAACGCGTATCGTGCCAACCAAAGCGCCCCGCGGTCGCTAAGCAGCCATCGATTTAACTCGATCGCTTTCGCCGCGCCAATATTTCAAAAAAAATTGCGCTACTTTTACCCGATAAATCACCCAGGCTCTTTGCTCTGTTCCCTTTCCGCAGGACTTTATTCTCGAGCATTACAGCGAGGATGGGGGCAACTACGAGGAAGCCATCGCGGACCTCATGGAAACTAGGCAGGTGAGCTGAATCGATCCATCTTGTTGTAGAACGCATTTTACATTCTCTAAATCCGTTTCTGGATCGTTGCAAGACACCGATAACAAAACGGAAGCTGACGCGCGCCATTTTTCAGGCGACCAGAACGCCGACGAGGGACGCGGCTGGCATTGCGTTGCTACTGCGCTACTACAATCAGCTTTACTTCGTGGAGAGACGATTCTTCCCGCCGGATCGTAGCCTCGGTATTTATTTCGAATGGTTCGACTCGTTGACGGGGGTCCCCAGCTGCCAGAGGACCGTCGCGTTCGAGAAAGCGTCCGTGTTGTTCAACGCAGGCGGACTTTATACCCAATTGGCCGCGAAACAAGATCGTCGGACGACTCGAGGCCTGGACCAGGCGATCGACGCGTTCCTGAGAGCCGCTGGTACCTTTCGTTACATACACGAAAACTTTACCAACGCGCCAAGCATGGATCTGGGGCCGGACATGCTCGAGATGCTCGTGCAACTGATGCTGGTAACGACGCTTTTGTAATCAGCAGACTGCGGATGTTTATAAATTTATGGGAAATTTTAATCCTCAAAAAACTACAGAATGTATTTAATATGCAAAAATATAAGAAATACTTAAAGTAAGATATTTAGGGGTTGAGACAGCCCTCTGCGAAGCTTCCGTTTCATTAATTCTATTAATAAAAATGTGAATTTGCATAAAGATCCGCAGTCTAGTAATCAGAGATTTTACTAACGAGACTTTTGAGTATGAGCCATGCTCTTACAAAGTTGCTCCAACGTTTTGGAAGCGTTGCTTCAGGGCTCAAAAGACACTCCGATTGAAAGATTAACGCTCGACTTTCCTATTTTTCAGGCGCAGGCGAGGGAATGTTTGTTCGAGAAGCTGGAGCTTCAGTCGGGGGATGGAAGGAACGTGGACGTTTCTCTAGACCTCGCGCAGGAGGCGTCACAGGTACATGGATGGCCCACCTAATGGACTTCAAGTCTTATTGCATGTTGCAACACAGTGTTAAGAAATTCTTGATCGTTTTGAGAAATTTAAATACTTCTAAAAAACACTTTATTCTCACCCGTCGAGAGGCTCACGATACTGTCTATAGCGTGTATAATTGTATGAATTGCGCAATAATTCATGTAAAAAGGTCTTGAGAATGTCGACAAGTGTAGGTTGCGAGGGTTGAGCGAGTGAATGTTTAATATCTTAAGTACACATTTACTTTTATTACTTTTCTTCGCGCACGTAAATTCTATTTTACGTATTCTTTCGATTCTATTTGTCAGTTTGTTGCGTCGAGCATAATTATTGTAAATTTCGTCGATTTTTGCTTGAGAACAATCATCGATTGTCCAGGTGGCAGCGGTCTACAACGACGTTCACGGGCTCATCTCACGCGAGCCGGTCCGCGACTACGTCCCAGAGACTTGGATCTCGCTGATCTTGGTGAAGCGCGAACATCACCTGGCTCTCGCTCACAAGCATCTCGCGCTCGGGTTGTTCGATCGATCGATCTCCGAGTGGCGGGCGGAAACGAGGCTCGCGCTCGAGCATGCACAGAAAAGCGATGGGAAAACTCAATTGGACGTGATCCTGCCGCGAGACGAGAACGAGAGGAAACTGTTAGGTGCGTGTCGCGATACACGGGTGGGCAGAGTACACTAATCCCTTGCTTCATGACGAAAAATGAAGCCCATCAAATACTTTGAATTAGAATATCGTTATTAAAATAAGTCTGAAACAGGGCCACGTTTGGTCAATTATTTTCAAATATAAAAGCTTCTAGTGTGCATTAGTATCTGCCTCGTCAAATGTTCGGCCAGTTTTGTACTTCAGTGTTGAGAGATAACCGGTTGCTTCAGGAAAGGCGCATCTGAGAGAGGCGCTGGTCCTTCACGAGGAAAGCCAAAGGCTGCAGAGGATGTGCAGGGACCTCAAAGCGAAACAGGCGCTCGCCAAAGTTTTGAAGAAGGTACAGGAATCGACAGTGGAGAGTTACAACGGTATCGGGGACGAAGATGACTTTCGAGGGTTGCTGGATCCTCCTGATATTATTGGTAAGGGAACCGAAAGACTATTGGCGTTATAGGCATATATATATATATATATATTTCTGCATATTTCTTCCTGCAAGAGCTTCTCATCATCTTTTGTTGTTATTTCCATTTTTATTTTTTTTTTTTTTCAAGCATCCACCAAGTTTCAATTAAACATCACGCATCCAGATTTTGGCCAACATGGAGTGGACGATCTTTTCAGATCCTTAGGCCCGGTAGCTATATTCTCGGCCAAAAGGCATTGGACTGCACCGCGACTGATACAGCTTCAAAGAGGTCCTGACGGCGAAGGATTCGGTTTTAGCGTTCGCGGCGACGCTCCCGTGATTATAGCCGCGGTAGATCACAATTCGCTGGCAGACGTAAGCATGTACACCATCTTCGGTTAACACGTTGACTGCCAGACCAAATTTCTGAAATTTTCTACGAGAACTACATTTTATTTTCAGACAATTGGATACTACTTGATTTAAAATGTGTCGTACATTATGTAACCTCATCAATACTCACGAGACCTATTTTTAGCTTCTGAATCCTGTAAAGTCCTAATCTTTTTTAGGGGGTGTGTTTCAGAAAGTTTGGAAATCATCGTTGTGACGTGAATTACAGCAGAACCAAGAAGGGTTCTACGTAATAAATGATCTTTTTCTTCCTCTTCAGTTAGGTGGAATGAAGGAAGGCGATTTCATAGTAGGCATTGGCGACAGGGACGTAAAATGGGCGTCTCATGAACAGGTGGTGCGACTGATCAAGCAATCGGGGGATTTCATCAACTTGAAGCTGGTCACCCCGATGGATAGAAATTATTTGAAGGTACAGGTCTACGTACGGCCAGGATCGTTTAATATTTCTTTACAAAATTCTTAATGGATAATTGCCCAACTATCCTCCAAGTAATTAAACGCAACGCTTCTTCTAGATCGTTACGATTCCCTTGTTTAGCACAGTCATACCCCGACTTTCATCATTTCATAATTTCGGTAACGTAATAAGTTTATTCTTCTGCGCAGAATAAGAATCTATAAATAAGAATATAAATTTCCATCTAATAACACAAAATTGTCCTTCAAATAAGTTTAAAAACATTTTACAAATAAAAAATAAATAAGCCAGTCGGGTGAAGCGTAAGTCTGATGTATGACTACATATATTAAATTTCATAAGACAAATCTGTTACAAGAATTTGCACTGCTGGAGATTGTGCAGCTTTGTGACAACTTCAATAATCGTTAGAGTGCTTATAATGTGCTTTTGCAAAGGGGTGACCACCTAACTTGACACACCTGCCAATTTCAGAGGCCAGGTAAGACCAATCAACAAGACAGGGGAAGCGTTTCAGCGGGCAGCTCTTCCGGCGTCTCTTCCGGTCAACCGAGTCCCGCCGGTTCCGTTACCACTGCCCACGTGGCTAAAAAGCTACCGTGGAATCCGTTCAAAAAATCGACCGCGCAGCGCGACAGCAGGGACCTGACATTCGACAACGTTATTCTGAGATGATTCGTTGGGTACTGGGCGCGTTGGAGCTTTCGTGGCAACGGAACGTAAAATGGGCGAAACTGGAGAACACCTCGAGACGCGCGCCAGACTCTTCGCGTTGCCAGTACAGTAACCCCTCGCTTAAAGATCGAAAATTGGGTCCGCGCGGAGAAGAATTTCTCTTTCTTTCTTATCCTGTTGAGAATATTGAAGTATAATATGTCTTTTTAATCTAAAAGAAATATATATATATGCAATGCGCGTTAGACGACAAAAAACAAGGTAATCACAGTATATAGAGAAAAAGAGAATACTGATCCTTCAAACTAAACTTGGACATCATTGTTTCTTTTATCTATTATATTGGATAATCAGCAGAACCGATCTACTTCGTATCAAGGATAAGTTTCTATCTTATTTTTGGTTTTGATCAAATCCAGAAAAAGAACTCTAGAGACTTGTGAAAGAAAAAAGAGATTAGAAACACGTGGTTGCCCAAATCTTTGAATGCTATGGGAAAAATAGCTGAGCAAGACCAGATTGAGAGTTTTGAGGCTCAAGTACAATAGTGGGATATTTTCAAAAAGGATTGCTTTTAAAAATTGTCATTTTTTCCCTTAAGTTATTTCTAAATCAAAACATGATATAATTTATTGAAAAACCAAATTTCTATCGAATCGGTTGAGCCGGAGGAAACTAACCAGCGGTGGGGGTGGTTTTGTTTCTTTTGTCCGGTGCTGGAATTCTATCTTTGAGCGAGAGATCACTGTATCTCAACGATTCTGTATAATATGCATCCATAGAAATACACATGTATATTCATACGCTCGAAAACTTATCGCGTATCGTACCCGAAGGCCAAATAGTTCCGATCGATGGATCTCGAGTCACGATGGTACGCGCGAAACGACCATCACAGGACTCGACGTCCCTCGACGGACTGATACGCGATACTGTACAAACGATCGGTGAAAACGTGCCGTCCCATCGAACCCGTTCGATGTCATTCTCCACGAATGTACGCATACGTTACGCGCCAATTACATATTGTTCGAAAAGAAAGTGTAATATGCCTTTTCTGACCTTCCCAACCGCACCAACACTATTACCGCTAGACGTTTTCTCACGTCTCCGCGCTATTACGAAACAGAGGTGAACGTTACGCGAAGGACAACCTTTCCCATTCGATCGCTGACTCACGTACATACGTTCTCTTTTCTGTTATAAATCGTACGTTTGCAGTCGGGGGACAAGATCGATGCAAAAAAAAAAACTGAAATCTATGTTTTACAAACTCCTATATTTTAAAATAATTATAAACAACACGTAGGTTTGAATACTGTCATTATTACTGAATTCTTGAATTTGCCGTAGAAAGTCATTTAGATCGACCGTAACTCCCGACAAGACTGAAACCAAGAACGCATAAAGATTGGAAAGAATGTCATCGCGGAAATTCATTCGCTTCCTGTTTGACGTAATCGAAAATTGAACGTGTCGTTTTCTTCGCTCGAATGAACTTACAGATTGCTTGTCGACATAATTTCTCACCGAAGATTTCTATATATTTATTGAATATTTGAAATAATCGAAATATTTCGAGATCCACAATTGTTGCGCAAATTTTCTCGCTATCTAGAAACTTGCAAAAAAAATACACGTGGCTATGTAAATTAATACTCTCGCCCCCTGCGCTAAATATAAAACCAGTTTAGAATGACTGTCGTTCACGGACCAAAAAATCAATATTTATGATGCAGCTGGGAAATTTGAACTTTAGGAATATTGAAAAATTCGCTATCTCAACCTAGACCAACGACTAAGCAAAATGGAAGAAATGTTTCTGTGTTTGGGATACTTGTGTATATTGGAATATTTACATCATTGTTTATGTCCTACATGACATATGATACGGTTTAAAAATTTGTATTTCTGGGTTGGGGATCATCCCTTGTAAGAATTAGAGGTACAACAATGGCTAGGACAGTATCAAACGAGACACATTGTTCGTATAAATTTGTTCTATTGTTTTTGTATCGCCTGTTCCCCGTTAATTCAAGTACCACATGTTATGAAACGCACCGCGTTTGTGCACAGTTTCCTTATTCGTGTAATAAAGACGTTACAATAATCGTATTATGTTAATGGTATTGCTAGCGTTTCCGGCGGTTTTGATTCGCCCAGTCGAGAAAGCGCGGACACGTTGGCACGGCATCGAAGTGGCAATATAAGAAAAAGTAGAAAGGTACGCGGGGTACAGGAGTACATTCGAAGCGCAACTTTCACCGTGCCCAGAAACATCGTGACATACAGTCGATTATGTAATCTGGCAAACGCTAAGAAACGCTAGTCACGTGTAGATGATGCCCCGACGTCCACTCGAGGAGTTTTACTCTTCAGAGTCGGTGTCGAGAATAAATAGCGTCCTCGGAAAAGCTACGACGAACGAAATTTCTACCAAATCGTTTAATACCAAATGTTCGCTTATTTTATAAATATATGTCAGTGCCATTACCATGAAACAAACTTTGTTCTCGCTTTAGAAACAGGGACGTTCGTTCAAAATAGTAGCATAGAAATTTATAGAAATTTATAGAAATTTCGTCGTTATGGGCGTCTCGATTGGTCGTAGATTATGTTCCTTAACACTAGAACTACCGACAATTATAGTGTGTTTATTTGTATCAAGGAAATTGAAACGATAGGTGCGTGAAGAAATGTATGATACAATGGAAATAAGTGTTTATTCATTCTCTTGTAGAAAATTACGATATTCCAAAAATTCAGTCCAGTAAATTTTTTACAGGTTTTATTAGAAATTACGAATGGGCCATTTTGATTGGTTTGGTAGCTCTAGTGCTAAGGATCTGTTTTCCCGATAGTATAGTCCGGGCCACAATATGTATAGCGAGGTCGTAAACTAAACTCTTGAGGGTTGGGACCGACTATTGCTGCGGTATTTAGGGTTGTACATGATATCTTGCTTGAGGGTACATGACATCTTGCTTTCTGGATGTTTTTCTATGTTCTTAACTGCACCATCTTTTTTCATTTTCTGCATGCATATATTATAAGCAGGTAAATTAAGATATTGAAGACTTGAGTAAGACCTTTACCTGTTACGATACCTCTAAAAATGGTAAACATTTCTTCGTACGGCCCTGAGGTCTAAGGCCCATATTTCTGTCAATTCACTTGTTTCGGGGAGCTGAAACGTGTAAACTTTGACACCTACTCGACTTTACGACCTCGCTATATTGTGGCCCAAACTATACAGCCCTGACTATGGTCTAAGGCCCTTACCTGCTCGTATTTCTGTCAATTCACCTGTTTCGGGAGCTGAAACGTGTAAACTTTGACACTCGAGTTTACGACCTCGCTATATTGTGGCCCAGACTATACACTGGCCAGCTACTGTGGCGCTAGCAGGGTCGAACCACATTGCGGACAGGTCCCATTTAAGTCCGGGGTTGTACATTTAGCAACCTCTACAGGCCTCCTCGTGGATTCGTGTTACGTCAATTGCCATCGAGGGCAAGGTAGTAGACCGCCAGAAGTATACGTGATCGTTAGAACCGAGGAAGGTTACCGACAATGGGCATCTTCTAGGGCCTTTGTCCCTCGCTGCGGGAGCTAATTAAATTCGTGAATAGTGCCTACAGTTGTCCCTCAACAGTGGCACGTGCTAGGCGACCGCGTCATAAATCCAGGTTTAAAAGTTTAAAGGTCCCTCGTGTAACGTCATTGAAATTAAATAGTGCTTTAAAAACACTTTTTCTGAGAGTTGTATTGCAATTGTATTTTTATTTAAGACTAAGGCAATCTATTCTAAGACTGAAAATAGACAATCTATTAAAATTGTTTTAAAATCAATACTGAAGATGAACAACAATGGACATCCTAATGCGCAAATTTCGTAAAGAAATTAACATTAAAAACACTGTAAAAAAATGTATGTATACAATGTGTTCGGTGAGTCCACTATATCGATCAGAAAATTCGTCTCTTTTCGAGCGATTCCCAAACCTTCGTGATAAATCATTTCGTCGGGCCCCTATCCAGCCATGGGGCGCAAGAGAACAGCCTCGTTGCTCATCGAAGCGATCGAAAGTGGACCCACGGTGAAAGTAAAACGTAGGATTGCGAGAAGAAAGTGAATCTTTGCAGCGAACCGCCGCTTTGCTCGTAAAACGGGCACCGCGATTAAAACTTTTTTCCGGGGGGGGGACAAAGGGTCTTACGACTCGTCGGGGACCCGTCGCCGTTCGCGCGCCTCGTCGTAAGTCGGTCAGCAATTACTTTTTCGTCCAACCGGTGATAATTGATTTTCGTAACGATCGCGCGTACGCCGAGGAAACTTGGCTCGCCGCGTGTGGGCGAGGTGGGGTGCGACGCGGCGGCCGGTTCTCAAGGTGTTTGGAAACAGGAGATGGAAGACGCGTGCAACGAGGCGACGCGACGGGAAGAACGGAAGGAGCGGTAAGAGCGGCGTCCTTAAATTGATCGCGCGAGCGGGCGAGCGGGTTTACTTCGGTCCAGGTCGCTCGACGGCGAACGTATCTTCGCGCGGCGCCCAATCGAACTGGAACGGGAACGATTTCGCGATACACGGGTTCAGTGCGCGATACTGGAAACGAGTGCACGGTTTTCACGCGGAAAGGAACGGCGGAGACGTTTTTCCTCGTAGTTGGTACCATTCGAATTCTTAAATACTGCCGTAACGTAAACATTGGCGGGGGTGTTAGTAAGTATCTCTAAACGCAGATCGGTGCAAGTACCGCGAAATGGACGTCCAGTGGACTTACAAAACCGAAATGTAAATACCAGTATTATCGTCGAGTCTTCGTTTGTTTATATTTCGCGTCCCCTTTATTACCGAGTCTGTTATTCTCTTGTACGTGAAAACGTTTTCGAATATGATATTTCGGTTTCGGTACTGCAGGGTTTAACAAGAGTCTAACAAAAATCTGAACAATGTATCGGTACCGTTTTTAGTATTTATTTTCAGCTGTTAAAGACCTTGGAATAGACTTTGGTTTAACATTTAGTTTCAGTATACATTGCGCTTTCATTTTATTCGACAATTATACCTTGCAATATTGGTACTGTTTTTAGAAAGGCAGCATGAGAACTACGGAAAGTAAAGTTTGGTATATTATGTACGATTAGTTATTTTATCGTTATCGAAGTGCCGCGTCTCGCTTTCTCCCGTTACAATCATCCTCTTTCTTTGTCGAGCAATATTGGGTGCCAGATCTTGTGAAAGTTAACCCGTGCATTAACAAATTTACCGATATTTCTGTATTTCGGTTTCTGTAGGGGTTGCGAAGGTGTGATCGAGAAATAACGGTACAAGACGCTGGTTTTTAGCAGTTGTGTCGAGGCACCAGGAGAACGTCTCGGCGCGTGCGCGCGCGCGCGCGCGATAGAAAGCGCGGCGACCGGAGAACCGCGGAGGACGGCTATTCTCTCACGAGTAGATCGGTGCCGGACTTTCTCCTGGACGGAGAATCGAGAAATGTCGTAAGAAGCCGTCGGGGTCTCGTAATCGTCGGGTGCTCGCTTGAAATTCGAACGAGTTGAAACGGGAACGCGACACGGATACTAAGGTACAGAAGGAAGGGGGAGGGCCGAAAACACCGAAGAGACGCGTCTGCGGGCCCCGTGGAAATCGGATCGTCAGTGATCGTCGGTCGAGCGGACGCAGGGGCGACGAGGATGGCCGATCTGCGTGAAGAGGATTACGGGTGCACGCTCGAGGAAACGACGAAGACGATCGCCCGTGACGAGTTGAGAGAGGACGATGCCACGAGGGAGCAGATGTTGGACCAATTCAGACACTGGATCCAGAAACATCCGTCCATCAAACGTTGCAGAACGGACGCCGCGTTCCTCCTGCGGTTCCTCAGAACCAAGAAGTTCAGTCTACCGATGGCGGAGGAGATGCTCGAACGGTACTTGACCATCAGACAGCTGTATCCGAACTGGTTCCGGAACTTGGACATCGAGGATCCGGACATCGAAGCGATCGTCGACGCGGGCTACCTGGTACCGCTGCCGCACCGCGATCGCCACGGTCGGCGAGTGATACTTTCTTGCGCCGGTAAGCATCGGACGATCTAGGGCAACCGTGCGCAACACGATGCATGGTCGACTTTCCAGCGCACAGTGGTCTGGAACGCTGCAATTTTTAGGGAAAAATCAATTTCTCGAAAAAGAATTTGCTCCACGATAATCCTTTGAAACTTCGAAAACCGAAATGTTACGCTATACAACTCTGAAGAGTATCCTGCGCAATTGGAACAGGATATACCTTCTAAACGGTTGGGGACAGAAAAATATGTTATAAATCAAAGTTAAATGGTATCAGACGATGCGTAATATGAAACTAATTTTATGCACTTACGTGCATTGGAGCATCAGGAAAATTGTAACGCAAATCAGAAACTTAGATGTTTGACTGCACCAGTCGATGTATTATAGTTTCATTCTTCGGATTTTGCCCAACGGAGAACCGATAGGGATAAAAGTTCTGTGTTCTTAGAATGCGTTGAACCGAGGATTTTTGAAATTCCACATTCTCTAGCCAGATCTCTCACAGACATATTTTAATTCGACGTTCGCCAGCACTACTGTCACGCTACCTTCATCTTTAACAACTGGTTTGAACATGTCGCGTTTTGATTTATGGAAAGACCTGTATTGACGTAAATTGGACTCCAGTTTGTAAAAATACGAACGCGAAGGCTGTTGCTGATTAGGATACGTTTCTCGATATAGCTTCGCAGCCTCGGTACCATTTTGATTGCATGTGCTAAACAAAATGAACGTATCAACTGCTCCGCTATTCGTAAATGCCACACGAGTAGTAGATAGTTTCTGATGGAAATCTTGATCATACAGTGACTAGTATTAGCAGCCACGAAACATTGTAATGGATTCGGAGAACTTTTATCTTCGATAACTTCCTAACGAATAAGTTTAGGGCACAAGTACGTTAGTACTTTTATGTAGAGCATAAGAAACTACATCGACTGGTGCAGTCAAAAATGTAGGTTTCCATTTAAAAAAAAAGGTGCAGTTGCATTTTTCTGATGCACCAATGTACATAAGTGCATAAAATTAGTTGCACTTCACGCATCGTTTGATACCATTTAACTTTGACTTACAAAATCTTTTCCTATTCCCAACAGTTTAAGATATATAGCTTGTTCCAGTTGCGTGGTACACTCTGTATAATCAGGTACAGCAAATCTTCGAGTAACTGCATCTTCAACTCCCAGAATGGCACCTGCCGAGCTACGCCTACGTAGAAAAGGACAACGAACGAAGGATAAATAAGAATAACACAATGTGAAACTTATTTATTTTTTTATTTTTTATTAGTGGGACTTAAAGGATTTTAAATGTACGGAATCGTTCGTTATTCGTGAATAAAGTTTACCCACCTCTGGATGATCGACACACGAGTTAAAAAGTAACGTAGGAATACTTTGTTCGTTGACTGCGGGTTAATGTTCGCCTTCTGATGCTTTTCTTCGTCCGTTGCGCCATATTTACGGTGCGTTCTTTTCTCGTTTAACGTTTAAGGCCGCTTCGATCCGTACAAATTCACGTCCGCGCAAATGGCCCGCGCCCACAGCCTCGTGGTAGAGGCACTGATGGACGACGAGGAGAACCAGGTTCGCGGTTACACGTACATCAACGACGAGTCCGGGCTAACCATGGGTCATCTCAGCGCGTGGTCCCTGACGGACATTCGTAACATGTTACGGTGCATTCAGAACAGCACGCCCATGAGGCACAAGGAAACGCATTTCGTCAACATTCCATGCTGCGCGACCAAGATCATCGAGTTCGCCATCTCGCTCCTCAACGACAAGTTGAGGGCACGGATCTCGGTACACGCGTCTTTGTATTCAATCCCCATTCCAACTGATCTATCAATCTACAGATCGTGTTTTCGTTCTGTTATCTAGGTGCACAAGAGCCTGGAAGAGCTGAAGGCCGTGATAGACCCGTCGAACTTACCAAAGGAATACGGAGGTGACGTCCCGCTCACCGAAATGATCGGTACGTAAGCGCGTCGATTTAATTTCGTTACAAAAACTGTCGTGTATTTTTTTTTTTTTTTTTTTTCTTTACAGCCGAATTCAAGAAAACCTTGAAGAAACAAAGAGACGAAATAAAAGCGCTCGACGATATGTACATAGAGATCTCGTCGCCAGATTGCCGCGTCGCTTTGGGCAATTTGAGCGGCATACCGGGATCGTTTCGTAAATTGGAGATCGATTAGCGGTTAGAGCCCTCCCATTCGAAGCTTCGCAAATTTTATTTGCGAATAACGTACACAAATTTTAGACGTAAACTCATTTGTAAATTAGGATCTGACAACGAACTTTTTGAACCAGAAAAACCAGTTTACGAGTTTAATGTTTATTATTCGAGAATAAAATTTGCCTGACTCTGTCTCTATTTCACGGATACGCGGGAACTTTAACACTTTCTGCCAGCCAGCAGTTGTCGGCCGCTGACGCGTGTACGTGAATCTATTGTTTCCCGCCACAATGTTATGATCAACTTATCGAGTTTGTTCAAGTTCTCTACTTTTATAATTCTTTACAGTAATGATAATTTCTCAGGTTTCATTCTATCCGAATATTAATATAACAAAAACTAACTAGTACTGTACCATAGATAAGATGTTATTTACACGCAAATCCATGAGTACGTATATTGCACATTTTCATGTACGCAGACGTGCAGCTGTATACAGCAACGGACGAAAGTTTAAGACAACTGCATTCTTGATAGATCATCATACGATATTATAGATAAAAAAATAGCCAACAATAACAATCGTATATACTCTCACGCTTCATCTGTGGTGAACTTAATAACTCTCACAGCATAAAAAATAAAACTTTTAATACTTCATTTGCTGTGAACATTAATTCAAGACTATATTAATATTTACATAGTAAATTTCTTTCAATTTATACAGGGTGTTCGGCTATCCCTGGGAAAAATTTTAATGGTGGATTCTAGAGGCCAAAATAAGACGAAAATCAAGAATACCAACTTGTTGATGGAGGCTTCGTTAAAAAGTTATTAACAATTAAATTCAAAAATTTAAAATCGTTCTGAAAAAATTATTTTCGGTCGCGGGGGTCAATTACAATCATTTTTGGTCATTACACATACCCTCGAAATCCTACCCAGTTTCGAGAAAAAAATTCGAGGTGTGAAATTTTTCGACGGGAGAAAAAACATTTCAAATCGTTCTGGAAAAATTATTTTCGGTTATGGAGATCAATTACAATCATTTTTGGTCATTACACATACCCTCGAAATCCTACCCAGTTTCGAGAAAAAAATTCGAGATGTGAAATTTTTCGACGGGGGAAAAAAAATTTCAAATCGTTCTGGAAAAATTATTTTCGGTTGCGGGGGTCAATTACAATCATTTTTGGTGAATAGACATACCCCCAAAATCCTACCCACTTTCGAGAAAAAAATTCAATACGGGCGGAACTTTAAACGTTAATAGCTTTTTAACAAAGCCTCCATCAACAAATTGGTATACTTGATTTTCGTCCTATTTTGACTAAACCTAAACTGTCTTAAACTAATGTTCGCCACGAATATAGTATCGAAAGTTTCATTGTCATAATCCCAAGTACTATTTATGTTTTGAAAGTTGTTAGATCGATCATAAATAGAGTATGAATGTACGTGTGATTGTAAGACAAACTAGGAATTTTGTCCACTATTTAGTATATACAATATTTCACGGCTATCAAAAAGGTCATCGACTTGAATTTTTGTCCGTTATTGTACCCATGTACCCGTAGTAACTGTACTCATTGAGATGATTTTCAAGAGTATCGCGTGTACCGGTGTATTTTATAAACGCGTACAATATCGAAGGCTCCAATTAAATCTTTCTTTCCGCTGAGCGGATCTACGGTCTCGATCGCGCCCCAGTTAAATATATAGTACTCCATGATGCATTACGATCTCGTTGCAAGTCACGCGACAACAATTTTGTATGACCAGACTTCGCTGTTAATTATTACGAACCTCCACGAAAGGTATGAATAAAGCGTTTTCTCCTGTCGGTGGTATTAGTTACCTACAATCGTTTAAATTTATATACAGCTTAGGATAAGATGCGACGACATTGCGCGTCGTTTGGCAATTAATTATATGCGTTAACGTAGAAACGGGTAGGGCAGTGCGTGCGTCGAGGCGTTATTTCGCGACGAATGGAACGACGACAGATAACATGGAACGTTTAAAGAAAAAACACCTTGCGCACCATTATTTTTAACAAACTTTCCTTTGTGAATTTTATACAGGAATACCCACAAATTTATACTACATCTGCGCCAAACCAAAGCACTGATATAACAACCAAACGTATGTACATCATATCGATAGACTCCTTTTTATTGGGTTTCTTTAACATTTACAAGCTCGCAGTCGCGCAGAATTTCTTTCAGAAACTCTGTGCTCGCAGGCGCCGTAGTGTAGAGACTTCCTGCAATGTATAAAACGATTGCGTAGCTGCATTGTAAACGCGACGCGTGTAAACCATTAAACAACCTTACAAATAAAGCGTGAAACTCGAAATACTTACCACGAAAATTTTTAACGTTATTGTCGCACAAAATAACTTTGCAATTGTTTCTATGTAATATTTTAAATCCTAAACAACGAAATCGTTCGTCCGTCTTGTAAAGACTGCTATTCTTTTGTATGCTCAAGTGCGGCTGCCCGCTGAACGGGTTGATGAAATCCGCCCAGTATCCGATCATTTTTAATTTTCCACAAATATCCGATGCTGCTAGTACAAACTACAGAAACAATAAGAGTAAAACTTTAGTGTGCTTGTTTTTGACAAACAAGGGCCTTTTTACAAAAACTTACATATTTGGCTAGCTCTTCCATCTCTGTTTCTGTACTCCATCTATTAGTTTTTAAATTAATCTTCTGACAAATACTAATTATCGTAAGTTGTGGAGACCCGACGTCCAAACATCCAGGAAACAGTTCTTCTATACCTTTTCTCAATAATAAAGGACATTCTTGAGCTATGCATCGAAGCGTCGCGTGTTGGGCATTGTCTTTCGGACGATTTGTTTGATCGATAGATTGTTTAGCGACCAAGTCTGTAGATACCCATTTATTGTTATCACAAATGTCAACCAACTGTGTTTTCACTTGTGCAGTGGTGGTTACATCCGACCAGGCAGGACCAACACTTCCTGGTAGATAAAATCGGAAGCCCCTTGGCGTTAGTAACTCCCAATTAGAGTTTATTCCAAGCACAGCACCATCTACATCTAGAAGGTATAGGCAAACATGAAAATAATTTCTGTATATTTGTACGCGACATTGAATAGGTCACGGTGACATGTACTCGAACAAATTTACCGTCTAAATTTTCACCCTCTGACTTTACGACTTTGTACGTGCTTGTGCTTTTGTCGCTACGTCGGGAATAACGATTCTTCACGAGCAGATTAAGGAGTACCGTGGCATTAGTATTTCTAGCACATTTTACACAAAACATCTGAAATAAATATCAACGCGAAGATTATGAGCGCCAAATTATTCCCGATGTTTTGTTTACAATCGACTCGTATTCGCCGTCACAAAGCATTAAATTAATCTACAAAATTGATGCATCGTTACCATTGAGCCACGATTCACATGCTGGATTGACACTTTCCTTATTGAAAACACTGTTTTGTTTTCGATTATCTAACTCTATCCTTACTTAGTCAATCACTTGTATACATATCGCATCTTAATTTACAAGAATACCTGATGCAACATGCAACGTCAACTCATAGATGCAATTGGATTATACAAAATGGTGGGCAGTTGATTTACTCACCAGATGGCATAACATGTTTAACTCTTCTATTTTTGTCTTAATAAGTTAAAAGTACCATCTCGGTGTCACGTCCAATGTTATTGATTTAGGACGGGGTAATTATGCAAGTTAGAAGATTTAGCTACGATGACCTTGACCTTGGCATATGCTTTAAAGACAGTCTCTTCGGTGATCGATGAGTTTTAGCCCTCGATCGTTGTTTGTTAAAAAACAGTATTTGTATTTATTAAAAATATTTAATAATGGATTATTATTTGTTTAATGGCCTTGCAGTCATTTAGTAAAAACAAAAGTCGATGGACAAACAAAAAGAACAGGAAATGTAACCAAATCTAACCCGTTTGCTAAAGCTAATTAGATTAACCCAATTGATATTCCGAGTTCGGAATTAATTTTAGTGATTAGGTCGAGTTTGGCTATTTTTTATTTCGTTCCTACACAACTGTGACACGATTCAATATTTGTCGAGATAATATTATTAACTTAGAAGTCTATTGCACCATTCGCGTCAGATATCTTCCAATTTTTTTGCGAAAGTTATTTTATGTATCGGTACTTCGAAATAATCCATAACATCCTCGATTTTTAAAACTTCGCAGGATGGGTTCTTCGAACAAAAAGTCAGCAAGATAGTATCCTTAGTGTATTTATTTTTTTTCATATGAATTATGTATATACATGTGGATTTTTTTTATGAGACAAGCATCACGGCCTCCGTGCGAACTCCGATGTCTCTCAGTATTCGAGCCTATCCCTTCAATGTAATGAGACAAAAGAAAGGATGATGGTTTTTCCTGATAACGCAGATGATAAAATAAAACGACCTCACAATGCGAGCTACGACGTAGCACATCCTACTGCTAAGCAGCTTCATTACATCGTCAATTCCTGAAACGCATCGAAAAAATGCAAAGTGAGTTTCTTGCATTGCGCGCGACATACCAATTATTCTATAAAAGTTCGATCAGTCTGCCAAGATTTGCAACAATATTTTAATTCTGATGGTAAAAGAAAATGCGAAACCATTAAACGAATCATCATACAGTGTTCTGGAAGAAAAGCACCATTGATTATCTGGCTTTCAATGACTTACCATAATAGCATTGACGATGTCGTTGTCATTATTTTTGAGAGCTTTAATAGCTTTCCCTCGTGACGCATTGGCTTGACACATTACTAACTCAATATCTTTTTCTTCTACACCTGTTTCATCGACCTCTTCTTCTGATTCTTCTTGTATAGGTGCGACGACCTGCGATGAAATAATGTTCAAAAGTAAAATGCAAATATTGTATAAAACTTGATACCGTTTTTTTATAGTAAATAGAATAGTGTATCTTACCGTAGTACTACCGCTAGCTTCAGTTGCTGGAATAACTGGTGGTTCCTTGAACTTTTCAGCTGCTGCCATTTGGGCTTGCTGACTAAGATCCTCGATCTGCAAAAAAGTATTTTTTTCTCGTGTAAAAAGATGGAAAAATAACCATTCAAAAAATATAATTATTTACTAAATATCAGCCTGCCAAGGAATTATCAGCAAAGATTTTCAGCTGTTAAGCGAAACTGTAAAGAATCATCATTCACTCTAAATAATAAAATTAAAAATTCCTCATTTTTAACAATTATATTGCAAATCTCACCTTAGCTTCACCAAATACTATGTATGTATCAGAAGCTGGATTCTTCAACACATCTGGCTTGTTGATTACAAAAAGAATATTCTTTGATTTACGAATAGTTACTCTGTTGACTCCTTGGACCTGTATACAATAGAAAAAAAGATTAAAATATTTATTTCTGTGGTAACGAATGTACACTAAGAATGCAAGTACATTCAACATACAGGTTTCAATCCTAGTTTGCTCATAAGCTTCCTGGCCTTTTTTTCTCCACGACTTTGTTTTGCCTTAGATACCATGTCAATAGGAAGACCGGTAACGGTCGTTCCTGAGAAACCAGTAGTATCACCGGCATCTAGTTCTTCTAAATCTGGAAGCGTATTGTCCGAGTCTGAATCCGTTCCAGATCCTGCAGTTGCTGCTTCGACCTTGGTAGGTTCGGAGCTCGCAGCTTTGTCAAGTTCAGTCAGTTCCGGCATGTTTGTTAATCTACAATCACCAATTACAATAAGACGTTGTCTCTTTTGTACTTACATGAACGATAACTTAATATGCACAAACGCGTTATGAGATTAGATACTGACTGATTTCAATCACGTTGAGAACAAAATTCCTAACACGACTTATGAATTAAAATCCAATCATTTTACGAGATATAGCCACACGTGTTTGATACCGGGTTTACAAAGTCCGCCCCACCTAAAACATTTACCGGACGTACCACGATTTTCAATGAAAATACGCGATCCAAAGCGCGGGAACAGAAAGTTACCGAAATTCGTCAACGAACTGGAAATTACTCCCAAGCACGAAGTAATCGTACGAGAATAGTAAATACTTATCGTACAATGATTGTCATAGACAAATGGACGTTGTTATGGCGCCCACTGAATGTAGTCGAAAAATACTTGAAGCAATGCGATCGACAAATTTTTGCCGTTGCTTGCGCTCAGTTATCGCAACACGTTGATAAGAGTTTCGTCGTGCACGAGCAACCCGTTTCGTGCCTCTTTACACTCGTACGCGTTTTAATAATGTTATCGTAACACGGCGAATTTGGTGAATAAAGATCATCGAGGTACAAATATTTCGCACGCTCATCGTTGACAATAAGTTATATCACGCGATACGATTTGCATGGGAAGTTTCATTGACTCCTCGTCTCTCGATATTCGCGCTCTTTTACCATCGTAGTAGAACGATGCCGAAAAAATCGTTAGATTTACCTCGAACAATAGTCCGTCAACGACCGAGCACTATTTTTACCATGTAAACTGAAACCAATTCACGCGTATGCACCAGCGAGCACAACTTCATAATTTTACGAACGCATAATATTTCGTTATGGGTGCGTTCAGTTTAAGCGCGTACGTTTTTAAGTACTATTCGAAATCATTCTCGTTTTTACTATTAACTATTAGATACTTACGCTTGTTTGTTATAACAGTTTCTTTCAAGATTATAAATAACTGTGAGCGTGTCAAAATGAAAAATAAACCGGGAGAAACAATGGAATCAGGACTGTTCTTGCAACCGCTAAAAATACATGCAAAAGTAAACCGCATTGACAATACAATGTAAGTACCACCATCGCGCGAGTATTTTGAACGCACCGTAAATAAACAGTCGCAATTGACCGCGCAAAATGATAGGCAAAAACAACACAATTTAACTAATATTTCATTTACATATAAATAAGTACTATAATAAAAAATGTAATCACAGCGAAAATGGTCCGATACTAAAAATATATTGAAAATGTACAAAAATTCTTTATTGCATTTGATATGTATGTACAAATTAATAATTTTCGTAAATCTTTTCGAAGCAATAATTACTCAAGTGGAGGATTTAAGAAATTTCCTTTAAGTTTCCTCCGCGTATATTATTTACTATTATTTATTATAATTGATCACTATGTAAATACAAATTTTAAATCACATTAAGTTTTACATCAAACACTATGCTTTAAACACTGCTTGAAATAAAAGCATTCGGTAATAATCGTAAAGAAAATAAAACGATCTCATCTTTTCTAAAGACAAGAATCTCCTTTTTTTTTTATGAATTTTCTGCGTCACCTATGTATAAATTGAAAAGTAACTGTAGTTATCGTTTGCTATACTGAATGCCAATTTTTCTCTGGCGCCTAAATAAATTGTAGAGCATAAAATATATGTTCTCATTATAATAACATATTTACTAAAAGTTTAGCAGAAGTTAAAAGGAAAAGTGAAATATCATCTTGCATATTTTCTTCTTTTACATAAATATAGACATAAGAAAATTTATACCATCCACAACATATAATATTAAACGTGTAATTTACCAAAAGTACCGTTTAGCATTCAATTTGTATCCCTTTAATATCTTACGAGTACAAAAAGCAGCATGCACTTAATGAAAAAACGAAAAAGATTATTTAACATTAAAAATGATAAGAATGTAAAGAAAAATCAAATTTACTATGATTTTATAAGAAGGAAACGATTTTTATCTACTATAAATACTAATGTCCACTATTGACGAGATAAGCAGTCTTACATAAAATTGATCACTGACTACAATTTTCAACGTGGGCGTTTTTGTAATGATTCGGATAATTTACGATCTTTATAAGAATAAACGATTTCTAAAAATTCTTCAATACATTATAAAACTTCACGATTTTATAGGTAACGGATAGATGAAGCAAAACTTTTAAAGGGATCGACAAGATATTATATTAATAATATCTTCTAAGTACTTGTGATAACTTTGCTTCATTTTACAGTTACGCAAAATCCTAACAAGAATTAGACAAGAACAATTTGGAATGACTTCTCATTCGAATACGAGAATATAGCATTTATATAGGTCACGCAAATACTATATTACCATCTACCGTTTAGTATGATACTTGTTGCTTTTTGACTATTCAAGTAATATAGTATTTACATTTTTGCTACACATATTTGTAAACCTATACACCTGTATACTACAAACCAATTGTAGTACGGTTCATAACAAAATGTTTCATGTCGCAATTTCATTGAGAACATGTTCTTGTTAGGAGAAAGATTCGTCGATGTCCATTTTTTCAACACTTTCATCACGTTTATTAGCTTCTACTGTATTGATGTCTGTGTAGGCTTCCTCTGTGTTGGTTTCTTCTGTGTTGACTTCTTCTGTATCTGACTCGTCTACGATTCATAGTTGCGCATGCAAGTAGAAAAATAATAAACTACATCAATAAAATCATTACTTACCACATTTTTTCTTTATTTGTGCTGTAGTGTGTTCAGTGTCTTCAGATATTTCCGTTGGTCTCTCAATTACTTCGATATCCGAGTCTAGAAAGTATGCATGCATTACGACACAAAATAATACTACAATCAAATATCGTCAAACGTGTTCAAACCTGTATCCGACGGACTTGATGACTCAATTTGAGTATGCTTCACTGATTCGGAATTTGTAGCAGCTGGCACATGTTCTGGTGTGCCTAATAACGACGAATTCTGTTGAGGAGTCGCGCAAAACTCCAATTTTTGCGCGGAAGGCTTTTGTTTTCTTGCAGGATTCCAAAAGTTGCAATAACAACATCTGAATCCTATAAAAGAACACACATATTTTAAACATTTAGTGTTACAATCGAATCTTTATACTTAACTCTTTTTGTAGTTTACGATAAATGTTTACCAAGATATTCAAATTCTTCTTTCAATGCCATTCCGTTATGCGACTCGCAATGTTTGCAAATAAGTGCATATCGACTTGATGGGCCATCACCAACTATGTATTCAACCAATCGATCTAAATAATTCCTTTGACGAGGTAACACCGGACGCGGTAAAGGCGATCCTAGTAAGCAATAATACATTTTATAATTTTCTGGTTCAAGCAATACATCTATAACGTCTACTCTTTATTATCATAAACATTTGTTTTTCATAAATTAAAGTAACAAAAAAATATAATGCACTTGCTAAAGAATTACATTACATAAAGTAATGTTTAAATAACAAAAAAAAAGTAAAGGTAGGAACTATAGTTCTAACAATACTAACGATAAGCCATAGCTGGAACAGTAGGTCTAACACCACTTTGAAAAGGAGTGACTGGTGTATTTCGAATAGGAGCCGCGCCAACGGGGACAAGGCCAGCGTTAGTGGGCATTCCACTTTGCGTATTTAATGATTGATTTTGACTTGTTATTACTCTTTTCCTCATTTCCCCAGAACTAGACAATGGGGATATATTCTGTGGCATATTTTGTCTTGCTTTTAGAGACGTTTCCATTGGAGTTGATACTCTAAATGTTGGCTAGAATAAAATTGTTTTTACCACGATGTTTTACTCCCTTCTCTTTTACTACTGTTAAGAACTTTTTGCCCCCAAATAAATACGAAAGAAAATGAATATATATAAATCACATACCTGTGGAGATAACTGTAACAAAAAAAATAGAAACGAAATTCAATCGATTGAAACAAATTTGCGTATAAAATATATGTAACTTAAATAATGATAAATTCATTAATCAGATTTTATTAAATTTTATGCTGTTCTTACTTACAGATGTTATTTTTAACTGATCTGGAGCAAACTTTAAAAGTATTTCTTTAGCCTTTTTATACGTCTCTGTTTCTGTAACATCGTCTAAAATTTTCTTTTTCTCTATCTGCATTGAACTTAACTTTTCTTCATTTTCAGAAATTTTACGTTTATAGTACCATGTAACCAACTTTTTTGTAAGTAGTATTCTGTGACAATAAAATATTCAATTGGAGCATGAGAGTAATAAGAGATAAATAAATAAATTTGATTCAAAGACATAATACTTACAGTATTGGAAAAATCAGTAATGGAATAATATAAAATATTTGATCATATAATGACGCTGGAAAGAAACATAAATAAAAAACAAATGCAGTTATTATATAAAGTATGGCACTGTAAAGAATAAGAGTGCCAACTATTCTTTTGTGCTTCTGCTCCGTGATATGCCCATATCTTTCTATGTCTTTAATTTTCTGTTAAAAAAAAATATTTGTTATAATGTTGAAGCTTAGTGCTATATTTAAAGAAATATAAATTTCTTACCTTATCAAGATCCTCTAAGATTTCAATTGTTGTTTTCTTTTTCTGAAATGTTCAAAACACTAATATGTTTATGTGTTTATATAATTTAATAGTTTTATTAGAATCATGATTATATAAAAAAAAAAGAAAAGGAAAGAAAAACATCCATGTAAAAAACACAGTTATATTCATATATAACTGTAAATGAAATTTGGACCCTTGCATCAAATTCAAATTAATTCATTACTGTGAATCAAATATGTTCATGGAATAATAATTAATATGTAAGCTTTGAACTACATGTACAGCATGTTAATTCATAGTTTTTAGCAGCCAGTGCCAAATCATGGCACTGAATAACTAAGTTTTATATATTTTTTTAATAATATTTTCTTTAATCATAGCATGTTTATATATTCTTTAATAAAAAAAAATGTTCTATAAAGTCATTGTCTAGGGAATAATGCTGCAGACTACTATAATGTTTTTGATTTAACAATGAGGAATTTAAATATGTTTAATGTGGTGTCATTGAATGGTAATCCTGTACTGCATGATAAATCTGCTGCATAAATTATGTTTCATTTTGAATTATCATTGAATGTTCGAAAATTTCAAGTGCGAAAAGCGTCGTATCGTAAAAGAATATTATCATAGAAATAGCGTGTATAATTTATTTCCAAAGAACGACAAATATGTTAGTTTTTCTTTAAGCTTTGTTTAAATTCTTCTTATCTTCGCGCCTAACCTAGAAATGCTGTCAACCATAAAACCGTATCTCTATTTACATTTAATCCTAGCATCGAGAAAACGTAAGATATCGGACATTAACGGTAATCAATGCGCTACGGAAGACTATGGCCGATTAATAATTCCTAAATGCACAGTAAAAGAACAAGATGCAGTAGAACGTTAACCTTAAAAACAGAAGATATCGTTAATATTATATTTGTAAATATTGACACAGACTTACATGAAATCTTGATAATATCATCCCCATATTGTAGTCACTTTAACAAAATCGGGATATTGTTTGAGAAAAATAAACGGCCCGTCTGGAAGGTGTCGAAGTCAAAACAAGAGGATTCGTAAAATTTTAAAATAGACTAGCCGGGCGGTATCCACAGTCGTACGACCCAAATTTAAATCCTTCCAAGTTTTGTTTCGATATTTATAGATCAAATTATCTATAAACACTTCGCGAATGGCAATAGTACGAAATACGCTATCGAATACACGAAGGGAATGTATATATTCTGTCGGCGCGCGATTTATTCATAGAATGCGAAAATATATCGGCGAATCAACAGATGTCGGGGATTTCTTTTCTCGCTTGTCACTTTCACGTATTACAAAGCAATGGAGCGTACTTGTAAAATGTTTTTTTCGATCGTAGTATCTATCGGTCGTTAAGTTCACGTACTAATGAATCACGTAAGCCGGTTACTTCGCATTTTGTTCTTGCCAAAAAATTAACCGGAATTCTGATCGTCCGACCGTTTGAAACTATAAAATGAACTGAGGCACGAACGACTATGCACAGTATCAGAAGCAGTTTTGCTCGGCGAACGTAGCTTCCTGTATCGATAAGGAAGAAATACAAGAAGCAAAATAAACGTTAGCACCGTTGGGCATACGCATGTAACATTTTAGTGGATATATGTATAAATAGAACTGACGTGTTACGCTCGATCGCTTAGAGAAATCGATATGTTAATACACATTACTATTTTTATTGATGTATAATAATACACGCTTTATACCACAAAGTAAGAATGCAAAGACAAGTGATTTCGGTATTGGTTAAAACCAGATAAATTTTCTTTCTTTGCACGAAAAGCAGAAAAATAAATTAACAATGATATTGCAATAATGTGATTGTTGTTTAATGGAATAACATCGTAAAGTTATCTCGCTGCCTTTGTTTCTCTAAAAGATACCGAAGAGTAATCGAAAAGAATTCGATTTAAATCTCTGTTGCTTAACAATTTAAAAAATGATGACTTCGTTTTGATAACGTAGGTAACGATTTTATTAAATTACACAATCTCGCATGCGAAGTAATTAATTTATATATTTTTCAGCTTATTGTTTCTGTGGCTGGAAACCGTTTTCATTGCCATTTCGACGTATTCGTTAATGAACGGGATCGCTTGTTCGATAAGTACTATTTCCATAGGTGACATTTTCGGCAGTCCGTAATTCTTTTGTACACCGCCTGGACCGAAATGCAGCTCGTTCGTAAAAAATCGGCAACCTGGTATCACGTTCGATCTCACGTAAGCATAATTAACGATGTTCGTGAATCCGCTAAGCCCACCGGCAAGCGTGAGAACTAGTTTAGCAGCAGCTGCTCCAGCGGACAATATCGGCCCTCTGGATTCGATGTTCGCCATTTCTTTGTCCGAGCCGCGAAAAGATTGCAACAGCATGTCGTGTTGTGCCTATAAATACACAATATCGTATTCAATTATAAATTTAATCGCGTGTAATTAAGAAATGTTGACAGAATTCAGCGGATTTCCGATAACATTGCATTATTCTACATCAGTGTTTCTCAAATTACAGTCTAATTTCGTTTGGTATTTATACGTATGCATTATTTTAGCAAGGAACATATAAAACGTATAGATTAAAAGATAAACTTTATAAATTGAATAACATCAAAAACTTCATTTTACTACAGAGGGTTTACACAATCGATTGAGCGATTGATTATCGGTACTCGCGAATGTACCCGGTACTCTGTGCAAATCTTATCGCAAGATATACAACGTTTGATTAATTGTCTGTATCACTATAGTCTAAGTATTTGTTTAAAAGCTGGAATTTATGTACCGTCCTCCGCTGACTTGAAGTCCCGTGGCAGGAATGCGAGAAAAGTAGAAGGGATACACGATACACGTATTCCCACGCACACATTGAACTCTGGCTCGCTATTCGTCGCGGCAGTTACACACACATGTGGACTGCCTGAGCGCAAGTGAGGAAGACAGATAAATGGGCGGTCCGACTCCTCTTGTCCCTGTGTCGTCCCGCGAGACTTCAATTCAGCGGAGGACAGTACTCTTGTACATACATCGGTGAATCGGTTGATCGGAGAAGCCCGCGATAAAAGCGGAACGATGGTGTGAGGATCTGCTCCGCCAATCACGGGGATCGATAGGAAAGCAGGATTCAAATCTAGGAGATTTGCAGTCGTTGCTTCCATTTTCATGCGTTCGAAAGCAGTGGAACCGATGATTCGGTCCGGGTCCCACCATCCAGCGAGTTTATAAATTTCCGATACCATAGGAAGCATCACTGTGACTGGTCGAACAAATACAGCTACTAAAGCGTCCGGGCTGACCGATACCATTTGTTCGGCCATTTCGCATGTATACACCGTCGCGGCCTCGAATTGAGCTTCAGGATTCGAATCCATCATATTTGGATCCGTTTCATCCATCAACGCGATAATGTTCGTCTGTAGATGATATCAATTTACGTATATCAAACGTATTCGGTAACAGTGAACTGAAAATGATATATCGTTGCATTTTCAATTGCTTGTAAGATTAGACATTATTGTTATTGCAATGGCCAATTTATTTGGTACTGTCAAGTAGCCAAAGTATCCCATGTATAGTATTACAAGTTGTTGTCTCGAAAAGAATTAAAAATCAGGGCCATGCTCATTTTTCTTATTTTGTCTATTTTATGCCAGAACCATGAAACTCAAATACATGGTTCTGACACAAAGGGGATGATTTTATAGAGTACATTGAGGCTCCAATACAGGACGAATTTATGGTACACGATTGAATACAAAATAAAGTTCACTTTCTGTACAAGATCCCCTAATACTTTAAAGAAAAAGAGACAACAAATATTTATACTCTTTAATAATTGTGGCGGGAAGATAATTGATACGTACTTCTTTGAGAGCATCTTTTATACTTTTTTTCTTAAAATACTTTATACGAGTCGACGTGTCGATATGATTTGCATCCAAAACTGCAGTAGCCATGGAATTCCGTGCATCCACCAGATGCACGCGTTTTATCATTCGTGATTGTTTTAAAAGAACAGCTGTGTAAATCGAAGCCTCGCCTCCTCCAATTATACAAACTTGTACGTCACCTTTGCGATCTGGTAGGAAGCAATCATAATCCTTGAATTCGGATTTCTTCGCGTTACTAGATTCGGCGTCCTTTTCTGAGTTTTGGTCATTTTCATTGCATTTTTTGCCCGTGACTTTTCCATTATCGGTTGGAATTTTCGAAATGTTTCGACGACAACGGAATATACATTTCTTGGGGAATTTTAGGAGGCATCGTTCTATTCCAATCATGCTCGATCATTCACCTTGCGATGCGAGTCATTGACGATAAATTTTTGAATACTATCGGGATTTATAACATGCGGCAAAGATGAAATTTGGCAAATAATTAGGTTATCAGTTTTAAGTTACGATATTAGCTAATAAAAATATCTAATGAACAATTGAACGACTTTGTATAAATAAAACATATTACACAAATTTATGTAAATGATGGTGGTAACATTTTTAAAAATTTTATTTTTATTTCATCGTTGGTCCTTTGAAGTAGGTGGTTGAGATTTTGTTGTTACTGGTTCAGCTTCAATATCTGCAAGAATTATGATCATTTGCTAAATCATTACAAGTTTATAAATAACGGAACAATATTTATATTCGCAAAGTTTTTCTTTATTATAGTTTTTACATAAAATGTAAAAAATTTAACATCCATATATGTATACATATGTATAACATTAAACAAGTTAAAGTCACAGACAGTAGCAGAGGTAGAAATGAAAGGGGAACAGTTAGTGCCTTTGTATTAGTTTTTGTTAATATATCTGACAATCTTTTATAAATGTCACTGAAATATGTATTTTCTTTAATTTTATTTTCCGTTTCCTGTATTTACACTCATGCTATCATTATTTGAATCCAGGATTTTCTAAATACATTTCTTTAATTGTTTTATATCAATTTTTTAGTATTTAATTTGTCCTCATTTCTTAAATTCGGTATTAGCTTATGCAGGTAAAGCTTAGTAACAGATTCGATATTATTAGTTTCCACCCTTGAAACTGGTACTAATGAGAACTTTGGTAATGCAGCTTGTTTTGTGTCATCATCATGAGACAGTTCTATTTCTTTCCTTTTCTTACCTCGTTCTAGATGACATTTCTCTATGACTCTACTCTCTCTGAAGAGTTTTTTGAAATTATGCATTTTCCAATGGATTGGACCAGCCCAGTGAATGCTTGTACCTTTCCGAAGAACAGAATATTCCGACATTTCTGTTGCTTCTGTATGAGTTACAAGTTTACAAAAAGGTATTCTTGCTTCCATACATTTTTCTACATTGTTTTCATCATCATGAGCGTTAAGACGAATTGTTTCATCTTCCGATGGTTAATTTTGAATTCTGTTCCAACAATAGTGACGAAGAAGAGAAACCTAAGGATACACAACAAGAAGAAAATAGATTTCTATTCTCCTTATTTTCTTCTTGTTGTGTATCTTTAATATTTCTTTTAGATTCTACAGTATCTACAATGATCATTATGCATGTGTGAATAAAACTTTGAATTTGCATGATTTGGCAGTGCTACTTGGTATAGTGCATTCATAGTTTGTATATCTTCTTGGTCCATTATCCATGATGAAGGTTTTATTACTTCAACAGTTCTTTTCAAATCATTCACGGAAGACAAGATTTTTTGTTTCCATTTCTTCAATCTTTTTTGTTTTATTTTTTCTGCATCACTCATTTCGTTTCCTTCCACGTTATTCATATTTTCATGACAATCATCTATTGGTGTTTTATTTTCTTCTTTGTCAAATTCACCAACCAATTTCAATATTTCTGTATGAAGACTGTCTACACGAAAACCATAAATCTTTGCATTCACATCCAAGGATGTACTAGCTACTTGGAAATCAGATATGTTAACATCTTGTTTCTTAATCATGTAATTCATTAAATCAATCATTTCTAAGTTAAAAGCATTTTTTAGATTAATTTTATTTTTGCTGTTGAGTTCTATACTGATATTTGTGCTAAACTGTCTGGTTAAGCAGTTGACCATGTGAGATGAATATTGATAACACATTGACAACAAAATTAACAAAAGCGGGTAAACGACAATCTCTAGGACTTGCCTATTTAGCACAAATATCAGCTCCTGAAATAACTGATCGTATATACGAATGTATAGAACTCATCAACAAAAACAAAATTACTGTAAAAAATGCTTTTAGCTTAGAAATGATTGATTTAATGACTTACATGACTTACATCCTTGGATGTGAGTGCAAAGATTTATGGTTTTCATGTAGACAGTCTTCATACAGATATATTGAAATTGGTTGGTGAATTTGACAAAGAGAAAAATAAAACGCCAATAGATGATTGCCATGAAAATATGAATAACGTGCAGGGAAATGAAATAAATGATGCAGAAAAAGTAAAACAAAAAAAATTGAAGAAATGGAAACAAAAAATCTTGTCTTCCGTGAATGATTTGAAAAGAACTGTTGAAATAATAAAACCTTCATCATGGATAATGGATCAAAAAGATATACAAACGATGGACACACTATACCAAGTAGCACTGTCAAATCATGCAAATTCAGTTTTATTTACACATGCATAATGATCATTGTAGATACTGTAGAATCTAAAAGAAATATTAAAGATATAAAAGTAAATATTCCACAAACAGAACATTTTTCTGAATTAAGCAAATAAGGAGAAGAGATTTCTAGAGAAATTCTACACTATAGATTTCTACACTCGTATATACGATCAGTTATTTCAGGAGCTGATATTTGTGCTAAGTTATTAATATTCATTTTATGGTGTAATTACAAACGTTTTTTCTCATCATTATTTTCTGATAATGCATTTTGTACATAGACAGATTTTCTTTTTAAAGAAAATAAAGAATTTAATAATAGATCTTTTTCGTTTTGTTGATTTGCCATTTTATAGTTTCATTTAAATTTGTATACAGTATTTAGACCTCTAGATGCCTTGTAAATATATATAGTTTACATTCCTGAAAGAAACATTTCTACTTGTTTGCTTTGTTGTATTTTATATCTACAACACAGTTTTCCGTACATACGTGAAAATACGCGAAATGAAGACTTAGGAAAAATAATATTACACACAGAGTGTTTGAACTAGTTGTACGATTACGTTATCTCAAGGAAAAGTAATATTTTGCTATCTTCAATTATATTTATATTTACCGTTTAATGCAGTGAAATTGTTTGTTATCTTTTCCAGATCGGTCCTCATTAATTGTAGTAAGGCATAATATTGTTGCAATTCGTGGTGAACTTGTTGCAATAAATTCAATTCGTTTGAAGAATCCTGAAAGTAACAATAAACAATTGCAAACAAAATAGTTTAATAAATGCTACTATTTTTTTCGTCTGTTAGTACCTTATCATCCATTTCTTATTAAATTCGTAAAAAACAAAAACATAGGAAAGGTATTTAACAAAATAAAGAACAAGTCTCACTCAATGGTGATTTCTATACAAGATACCGTACAATTGTATCGTATATTCGAATAAGTTTGAATCTACGAGTGTTCCTAAAATTATTTTTTTCGAACGATTATTTCTCGTAATTCATGTAAACATATTTTGTCGTTGAAATAGGAAAACAATGTACATTTCCATGAAGCTTGAAAAATTTAAAAGTTCCGCGAGTGGATATAAAAATGTGTAGCCTTTTGACGACTAGTAGAGATTAGAGATGGCGTGAACTGCTACTTTTGAATCACTCGTGACTCGATCACATTCATTCCCAATCATGGTGATTTTTCACGGTGATTCGTGATTCTTCGTGATCGTTTTTGATTGGTAGGGAGTAGAGATGGTGTGACTGCTATTTTTGAATCACTCGTGATTCGATCACGTTCATTCCCAATCATGGTGATTTTTCACAGTGATTCGTGATTCTTCGCGATCGCTTTTGATTGGTAGGGAGCGTTCTTTTCACTTTTCACGAATTATGTCCTTAAAATATGCAATTAAGCAGTCTTTTTCATTGCTTGGACTACATTATTATACAATTTAAATGTGGCGCATTTGTAATTCTTTGAATTTCCACTGAGGGTAGTTAGCGGAACACTAACGATCACAGTTAACGTGAACCCCTACTAAAACGCCATCTGTCGGATCACGGTCGTGAATGGAGTTTAATCACGAGCGTGATCGTGATTTTGTGATCACTGTGATAAATCACTGTTAGTGATTTTGCACGCCATCCCTAATGGCGACCATGGTGAAAGAACAGATTTGGGTTGACATGAACGAGCAGAAGGAATCACAGTGAGTTACAGGACATTAAGTGTAACAAAAAAATCATTCTACACGTTATGTGCAATTCCGTAAAATTGTGGCACAAAGAATACTGCAATTTTGATTGAGCTTTCGAAAAATAACCTAACGTACACCATTCGCGATTCTTAGCAATATTTTTTAATTTATACATGCATTTACATTGCAGATTCGACCAAGTCAGGTACAATTGGGTGGATATTACCCAAGAATTTTTCGAAGCCATCACAGGTGCTTATTTTAAAAATTAGTTTTTTCCCTTGCGAACACTTCACGGAAATTTTTTTTCCTCGTTCTTCTTGTTTTATTTATTTAACAATAAGACAATCAAATTCAACCCGCCCACAACGTTTTTTGTCCAAATATTATTGTACTTTTATTAAATCACTGTTGGTTGCAATTGAGTATCACTTGACAATTTACATTTAAGGGGGGTTAGTTATTTAAATTTAAATTTTCTCTTATCTACATGGAAGTAAATTATTTCATTGATGTGTTTGTTTAGAGTTGGAACTCGGAGAACTCCTACATGATGATCTGTTCGGATTATTCGAAGCAATGTCTGCGATTGAAATGATGGATCCAAAAATGGATGCTGGTATGCTATGTAATCGGGGCAACAACAAACCATGCACTTTTACGCAAGCTGTAGAGTCTGGTGCATTGAAACTGGATAATTTGACAACATTTGAAGTTATAGGAATAATTGACTCAACTTATGCGTGTATAGTGTCTTGGCTCGAAGGTCATAGTTTGGCTCAAACAGTTTTTACTAATTTGTACCTTCATCAACCCAGTCAAATAGTGGACAAACCTTTGAAGACTTTCTGTTATGCTGTGTACAAAATAATTGAAATAATTAAGGGTTGTATTAATAAAGCATTAGTATTCGAGGAAGAAGACTTTCAAAGTGTTACTTATGGCTATAGATTGCAAGATATTGCAGAACAAAAGAGTATATCCATGTTACGCGAAGTAGAAGAGGAATTACAGAGGAAGAGAAGAACAAAACGTATCGATGTAGACTCTGAGAAAGAAGTAGGTGTAATAGAATTAAAACATTGAATATTTCCGAATTTAATTAACATGTTTGCTATGCATCACATATGTACAATGTGCCAATTCTTATGGGAGGTCAACATTACGTATGTACGATAGCAATTATTAGATAAAAATATGGATTGCAATAAGATTAATACCAATGTAGCATGGTATGTGGTAGATTTTTCAACTTGACAGTTATAGCAAACGTGTTAATTAATTTACACAATTGCTTAAATATTATTGTTATTTTGTTTCAGTGCAGTGGCTTGTTGGCATTGTATGCCAGAATTAGATTTACCAAATTATTTTATCAAATATTATCGTTAATGGGAAAGAAAGAGCAGCTACAACAGAATTTAAACGATTGTCATAGATTGTTAACTACATGTTCGTATATGATTCAACTTATGATACAGACGGTACCTCATGGAGAGAATGCCGATGAGATATGTGAGTTTTCGAAAATCATTTTGTAGATTCTCTATACAAGTATATTGTATTGTATGCTAATTTTAGCAAATTATCCAAATATTATGGGATTCGACCCAATGGTGAATCAAAGATTATTGCCACCAACATTCCCTAGATATACGAAAATAAAACCAAGGATAGAAGCTCTAAAATATTTGGACGAATTGTTAAATAGATTTCGAATGGTTACAATGATCACATACCGGAACGGATTTCACGCAGCTTTGGTAAGAAACGACTTGCAGATTAATGGCAATTTTTCGTATAAACGCCAACGTACACTGATTTCTTTTTAGGACTTTTTTTTAGAATTCTCGCACCAAAGTCCATGTATATTATCTAGATCAATGTTACAAATAGTTTATTTGCCTACGATAAATCGAGTGTTCGGTGTACAAAACTTCGCTGATGTTTTAAAGGACGCGGCGCGGAATTTCATCGCGCCGCCGGTTTTAATGCCAAAGAGCACGTTACTTCAAAATCATCAAGCCAAGGAATATGTCGATAGTTTCATGTCTCACTGTGTAAGCCTTTTTAGTAGTTTATTACAGCTTACCGGTCACAACAGAGCAAGGCAGAGAAATAAATTGGCACATTTGTTAGAGGAATTTGCCGCGTTGCAGGACGAAGTGAGTTTGAAAATAATTTAAATCGGTTCGCGCGATGCTTAAGGAATTCTATTGTTTCAAGTTTAAAATTTTAACAGGCTGAAAGGGTAGATGCGTTCTTGCATACTTTGTCTTTAAAAAGTATTACACCCAGGTCGCATCTAGCTTGTTTTGGAACGTGGATTTTGTATCACACGCTACGGATTATGGTGATGTATTTGTTAAGCGGCTTCGAGCTTGAATTGTATTCCGTACACGAATATCATTACATATTTTGGTACCTGTACGAGTTCCTTTATGGATGGCTTGTATCTGCTATAACGAGAGCCGATACATTTTTAAAGGAACAGGATGAACAGAACGATGCGCGTAAAGGAAGAAGAGCCAGGAAGAATAATAAGAAAAAATCGACGCCCAGACCGTACAATTTAGAAATATTAATGTATCAGGCTATGCAAAATATATGTGGAGGATATTATAAAGTAATTTTTTACTTTAAATAATTCCATAGGATGAGAAGGACACGCAACTTAATCGGCGATATAAAATTCGTTTGTATTATAGGCTTTAGTTGGTTTTCGTATGGACGGAAGAATACCGCTTCCTGAGATTCAATATGACTCGGAACGAGTTCGATACGAGCATAGGTTATTACCGTTTTTTTCGTTACTGACCCCACCACCGGTACATTACCAAGAATTCTTAGACATGACTAATGCACAGATGCATAAAAGAAATGTGAGTAGAATAGTTTTTTTCTCGCGTAAATATAGCTTCTTTTCTTATTGCCTATTTTTGTAGGAGAAGGTTACTAGTGAAATGCAGTACTTAGCTGGTTGTCGACATTTTCATCAAGCTAGAAATATGTTGGAACGAGCATTGTCTCCTTTCCCCCCATATGCTGGTACTATAAACGAGGTAGAATAATTCAAAATTTTATTGGTACTTTCGTTTCTTTAAAACTCTTTCGTTCATTGTACATTTCTCGATTTACAGATTAATGAGTTATTAAAAGTCGCTAAAACGAATTTCGTGGTTCTAAAGTTGCTTGCAGATGGTCATCAAAAGGATTCCAAAGAACCTCCAGTATTCGATTTTTCGTGTCATCAACATTTCCCACTTATAAAACTCACCAAATTGAAACCCTTGTAATAGCTCTCATTTCAAGTTGTAAATGACATATTATTTATTTTAGCTTTAACCGTGCAAAAAATATTTTTGTGTTGTTGACTTTTAGATGCCTCCGCCCCACCGTTTAATACAATCTTTGAAAGTTCCCATTCTCCTCTCATTTTCTTCTTTCTTTTTCTTCCATGAACGAGTCTCCCTTCATTGTACAGATATGTATTATTTGCCGTACATACTTTGTGGATAAATTTCTATACTAAATGAAAATGATGTTTGTATATAGGTTATCAGAAATTGTATATGTTTTAAGTGAATTCATGTGGATATTAAGGATGAATGTGTCGATTGTTTGAGGACGAGGTTTGTGAAATTTACAAGTCGTTGCGGAATGTAAATACAAATGTAGAATATACAGTCTCGAAATGTTGTATAATAATTACACTTTATCAATGAAACTGTTAACAGTTCTTGTTAGTGGCACGTGCAACATTCTGGATATATTGCAGGCTATTCGGGTGTGACCATGTGACCATACGCGACGATAGTCTTTTTTATAATAACGATCCCGTAATTTCATTAATCTCATCACCCAATTTGTTTGCGTGTAAAATCGCTACAGTTTATACATTGTTAAAGTCTGTATAAAATAGAAACACGAGAATTGTACCGAATTGAAACATTGAATTTGACTGTAAAGTTAACAGTGAATACAATTGAAAGGTAGAGATACTTATAAATAACAAAATTCACGTGAGAAAGCGATGTATGTCTAATAAAAACAATAGCCCAAGAAGAGAATGAAGCGTACACAGTGGTATTTATTATCTTTTATGTTCATACTTGATCATCGATAACGTCAATATATCGGAAATATACCCGAATGGGAACATTGGAATTGAATTTAAAAAGGCCTGCGAAGCGACAAATGGATTTCAGATGTCAATTGGAACGTGGAAATGGAAATTCTTCAATTATAAAACCACGATCAAAACTACCAACATACTACGATGTGTCTGTACTATACATACGAAGAAAGAAAAATGAACAGCGGATCATTTTGTATTCGAAACTGAAGTCCGTTCGTAACCTATCATTTTTCAAAACCGGCACAAAATGGTTTGCAAGCGATTGATAGTAGAAGATCGAAGAATAAAGAAACCCTTTTTGGGTGGATGGCGGCACAAACTTACCAGCGTGAAATATTTAAACGCTGAGTCTCAAACAGGACCATGGAAGATGCCATCGAAGAACACGTGTAGCAAAATGGTACAATATATCTGCACGACGGACGTAGTTACACAAACACCGTGCCATCATCCCACGCAAATGTGGCGGTGCGAAATTCTTCATTAAAATTAAAAATAAAATTTTTATACAGAGTGTTCGGCCAACCCTGGGAAAAATTTTAATGGGAGATTCTAGAGGCCAAAATAAGACGAAAATCAAGAATACCGATTTGTTGATCGAGGCTTCGTTAAAAAGTTATTAACGTTTAAAGTTGCGCCTGTAGAACGTCAATCTGCGCGATAGTGGAACTTTGAACGTTAATAACTTTTTAAGGAAGTCTCGATCAACAAATTGGTATTCTTCATTTTCGTCTTATTTTGGTCTCTAGAATATCCCATTAAAATTTTTCCCAGGAATACACCCTGTATATCGGGTATCGAAAATGTCATGTTTTACTCATATTGTTTTTTGTCATCATCAGGCCGGATTGTTTCATATCGAATGAATCGGACAAGTACTTAACGTCGAAACCCTATGAAACGTACGAAGAGATGATGCGTAGATTGGACTATGACGGGAAAGCTCGAATCATTCAAAGAAACTACAGGATATACAAGTTGTTAAAGTACGTGAAAGAGTACGCGAGACAGTACCGAGAACTGGTCGAGAATTGTGAAAAGTACGAAGAAGAAAAGATGGCAATTTATAAGTACGTACGCAAATGTGCCGGACTTGTAACTTCATTTTTATACATTTCAATCAGAGTAATATCGTTGCGATATTTAAATCGTGATATTAAGAAATACCTCGTTTGCAGGAAACGACATCAGCTAGAAATTCATCGGCGAATGAATCCCAAATCCCGGCTTGATTTCGATATGTTGTACCATTTGGTGGAGCAATGGCGGCGCGATCGTCTCGATTGCGCGAAACGACGTTTCTTCAGGGCGGCCAGATGCGCGGAGAATTATTTGATCCTGGAAAAAACTGTGGAGATGTTGAATGTGATTGATCGGAAGAGGCTGGCTGTGAAAACTCGTTACAGGAATCAGAAACGCGTGAATTTTTTGACGGTTAATTGCAAGCCCGTTGCGTGGCACGATAGCAAGAAGAAACTGGTGGAAATGACTACAATGAGGAATCAGAAGGCGCGGGAGCTAATGATCATTTACGATTCACTGACGAATTACGACGTCACCCGAGGTGAACGCATGGGAATGCTAACGATGCTGAAGAAGTCATTGGAGGTGCACAACTGCGTCGCCGCGTTTCATTTGATTCGGCTGTTGGACGAAGAGTTGAGTTACCTGGCGAGAAATATGGCGAAGGACATGTCACTGGACTATTTTAGGGAAAGAATAGCTTGTAAGAGAGAAATTGGTAGAACCTTGTTATTCGTGAAAAATTGTTTCTTGTACAAATAACTCTGAACGGTTTGAGACCTTTAAAAACTAAATATTCGAAGCCTCTCCCGATATGTAGGATATCGTCTTTGTGGTTCTTGATAAACGATGTTCTTCCTGTTTGTTCAATCACGTAGATAGCTACTTGTACTTTGTACGGTCGTCGCACTCGTGCTGTTGCCAGAACGACGACGAACATTTTTGTAAGAACGCAGACGACGAGAAGCTGCGAGAGCACATCGAGGATAGGACTAGAATCTGCCATAGTTGCTCGAAACTGCTCCCGTATAGCAAGTTCACGGTCCATGGAAGAATGACAAGGCTGTCGACTTGCATCGGTAATGTTTCAAGTGGATTCGAGCTCTGGTTAATTAGCAGTATGACTAAAAATAAATATCTGTTCTGTTCAAGCTTGTACCTCGTTGCGTGAGCGTAATATCAGGCACGTGAATTATGATCCTTACGTCTACCTTTTGGATTGCGTGCGCTCCGACGAGAGATCAAGAGATAACGCATCAGCAGTCGCGTTCATGATGCAAAAGCACGATATGTACCATCTGGTAAACAATATTTGGCATGGCTACTCGGTCGTCAGCGAGAACAGGGATCTGTTCGTCTTGAAAATGATACGTTACGATATGGACAAGGAATGGTCACCGTGGAATTGCATTCTTTTGACATCTGAGGAAGCCGAGGTCCATTACAAGATCAAGGATCCCACGACTGTGTACTCAAAACCGTTGATCGAGCAAATTTTATTGACCCACGAGTTGGCGAAAAATCAATTCAAGTACGTGTACGCGATAGTTACTTACAAAAGTAGTAAATTTGTTTGTTTTACAATAAATGTTCAAAATGATAGCAAGCAAGGCAATAGCACTGATCATTATCGCTATATTTATGATTTCGACACAATGTTTTGTGCGTATATATGTTAGATAAGTAGCGATATTATAGGAAAAGGGCACAGCAATATTTGTCTTTCAATGCCATTTAATTAACGACAACTAAGACGATTGATAAGTGGAAGTAATGCATCAATTCGTTGCAGGCACTTGAGACACTTCGAGAACAAGTTCCGAGAAACGTTTCGCAATATTGAAGATAAATTGGTGTACGAATCGGCGATTAAAGTGGACGAATATAATTTCACGTAATCGATTTCTCAAAAACCATTTAGGTGTTGTCTTCCGTTCGTGTGACGCCACTACCAAAAAATTTCATGATTTACAATTTTTATATTGGCAGAAATGTTTCGTTTAATTCTGTATTTACTTTTACTTAACTGCGAAATTGTATAATGTAAAGGAATGATTGTTGGACGAGGAAAAACGGGGTTAAATAAAAAGGGCACGTAAAATGAAGTTTCATTGTCGGGGTGAAAATAAATTGATATAGATTTGTTGAACAAATTAATTTTTATCTGTTTCGTACTTTGATATTTTACATATCTATGACTCTTCGATTTAATTGATCACCGTACTAAGAGTCACTGTTAAAATAAATAATGATAGCTAGGCTCGATGACCGAATTCCAGAGGGCTATCTTCCTAATGGTAGGGGCATAAATTTTAGCTAAAGAATGGACAGGTATATTCTAAATCGGTTCCTTTGGCTCACGACTATTAGAGAAATGGGGTACCAGTTTCAGGAGCGCGAATACATTTTTCATTATAATCCACTGTTAGTCTCTACTAACATTAGACCATTGACTATTGGTGACCACGACTGACTACGGCTGACCACTCCTGTTACTTCTAACAACGTATAACGATTACGACTGACTATTGCTAGCCTCTCCCAGCCTCTGCTGGCCTCTGCTGACCACCGCTTATATTTCTGACAATGTATAACGCTTACTACTGACTTCTGTCAACCTTCGCTGGACTCTGCTGACCGCTGCTGACCTTTCCTGGTATTTCTGACAACGTATAACGATTACGACTGGCTACTGTTAGCCGCTCCCAGCCTCTGCTGGTCTCTGCTGACCACCCCTGATGCTTCTGACAACGTATAACTATTACTACTTGTTACTGCTGGTCTCTGCATGCCTCTGCATCCCTCTGCTGGCCTCTGTTGGCCCCTGCCGACCACTGCTGACCACTGCTGACCTTTGTTATCAACTTCTGACATGATGTATAAGTATTCAAGCCTTGTATAATGTAAATCTATGGCAATAAATGATATAATTTAACAGAATTCTATGTGTTCTCATCATTTTTACCTTTCTTTTCCTCTCCAAATCATTGCCTTAGTTTTAAGAGACCGTTTTTCCGGTTAAAATTTGATTCCCAAAGTGTCCAGCTCTAATACTTGCTGCCAAAATAAAAAATTAAAAGTCCTGAAACAACTGGAAAGTCCTGAAACAGCTGGAAAGTCCTGAAACACCTGGGAAGCCCTGAAACGCCTTGGAATTTTGGAACCAGCTGGAAAGTCCTGAAACAGTTGGAAAGTCCTGAAACAACTGGGAAGCCCTGGAATTTCTTGGAAACGCCGAAAATTCTTGGAAACCCTGAATTTTTAGCAAAGTTCTGAGTTTCAGGACTTCCGAGGTATTTCAGGACTTCCTAGTGGGTTCAGGGAAACCAAGGAGTTTCAGGGAGTCTTATAACTAAGGTAATGATTTGGAGAGGAAAAGAAAGGTAAAAAATGATGAGAACATATAGAATTCTTTGTAATTATATCATTTATTGCCATAGATTTACATTATACAATGTTTTAATACATATATATCATGGCAGAAGTTGTTAACAAGGGTCAGCAGGGGTCAGCAGGGGCCAGCAGGGGACAGCAGAGGCTTGCAAAGGCAAGCAGAGACCAGCAGGGGCAAGCAGTAACATGTAGTAATCGTCACACGTTGTCGGAAGCATCGGTGGTGGTCAGCAGTAGTCAGCAGAGGCCAGCGGAGGCCAGCAGTGGCAAGGAGTGGTAAGCAGAGACCAGCAGGGGCAAGCAGTGGCAAGTTGTAATCGTTATACGTTGTCGGAAGCATCAGGGGTGGTCAGCAGTGGTCAGCGGAGGCCAGCGGAGGTTGGCATACGTCGTCAGAAATATAAGTGGAGGTCAGGAGAGGCCAACAGAGGCTGGGAGAGGCTGGCAGTAACCAGTAGTAATCGTTATACGTTGTCAGAAGTATCAGGAGTGGTCAGCAGCGGTCAGCAGGGCCCAGCAGAGGCCAGCAGAGGCATGTAGAGACCAGAAGGAGCAAGCAGTAACACATAGTAATCGTTATACGTTGTCAGAAGTATCAGGAGTGGTCAGCAGGGCCCAGCAGAGGCCAGCAGAGGCATGTAGAGGCATGTAGAGACCAGAAGGAGCAAGCAGTAACACATAGTAATCGTTATACGTTGTCAGAAGTATGAGGAATGGTCAGCAGCGGTCAGCGGAGGCCGGCGAAGGACTGTAGGAAAATTCAAAAGTACATGTAGTCGTACCTTATACATCGTACTTTTTACCTTATACTTCAGGTGAAAAGGGGTATAGTAAAGTAACAATACCTGGGCAGTCGAGACTTGGAATCGTATGCCATCGACGTGAGGTCGAATGTCAGCTGTTGAAGAGCGCGAAGGCAAATGTGAGCCTTCCTCTCTCGACTTCCACGAGACGGTCTGAAATTACTTCGGGCAGCTTCGGAGAATCGAGAAAGAGAGCATGTGTCAGTTTGCCTTTGTCGACTTTCCAAAACTCCACGAGCTCACGTACGCGTGATCTAGCATGTGTGAGTAGTGCACTCGGTGCTGAATATGGCATCACTGGTTAGCAGTGGGTAGCGTTGCTGAGCAGTGGACAGTAGTTTTCAGCAGAGATAAGGTATACCTTGTCTAGGATTTGGCACGTTAAAGGAATTGGAGTTAACGTTTTGTTTATTGCTAGGATACGTTTAACGGAAATTGTTTAATCATCGAATCAGAATAATAAAAGCTTCTCGAGACACAAGTTGAGTTCTCCCGTATTTTCCAAGATTAAAAAAAAAGGCTGTCATCTAGCGTCGAAGACAGCGAACTAATTCTCGACAAACTTGGACGTTTTGCCGTAGGTGGCAGTGAACGGGGTTATAAAATTCTTTTTTTATTCCTCTTTAAAAATTATTCCCTTATATCGCAATTGAACAGCAAGTAGAGAAGATCGTATAAGGTCATCGTCTATCAAATCATACTAATAATTAATTATGAAAACAATAACAGTTGATGTTAATAATTGTATGACTATTATTAATAATTATTCAGAATTCAGGAAACGTATCATAGGCATAATACAGATACATTTGATCAAAGAAATGCATCGTGCAGCAAGTCTTAGAATCGAGTAGTTATAATAAGCTGTTTGACTTAGAGAGGGGTACAAACACACGAAACAAACATTTTGAAAGTATTACGACCAAGTGGTTTATTAAAAGTATTTTGCACGTCTAATGTAGATATTTATACGTATATCTGTCTACAAATTTACATGCACACATACATCCATACACGCATACACTTACGCACCCACCCAAACCTAACCCACGCATACACACACACATACAATACAAAGCTGCACGGGCGCGCGCGCAGCGTTTAAGAAAATCAATTCGAAGCCTAAATAACTGTTCGCGAGCACAAATCGGTCGTCATTTAGCCGAGTATGCGTTAGCATGTCATCGATTCGATGCAATGTGTCTGTAAATAAAAATATTACATAATTCGACATGTACATACAGTAACGATCAGTCAGAAGTGTCCTGTTCATATGAAGTATCGTCCGAGGATAAACGGTTGATGGATTTGCGAAGTTTCAGGTTATGGCAAATGTCAGTCGGCGCATACCGGCAAATTGACCACGAAGAACGTGTTAAGCTCGAGGATAGATGCGAACGTCAAGAAAATGGCGTACATTATCAGACAGGCGACACCGACGCTTTTCGTCAATTTGAATTTGTTCACCGCGAGGGAAATGTAAAGAACGGCCAGTGTGGAAAATAACGATATCGCGCTGTAAACGAGACCCTGCGAGTTGATCTGCACTTGGTGCTGGCCGGGTACTGTCGGGAACACTGCTGCTTTTAGGAACCAAGGCAGCCCGAGGCAAAGCAACACGTCGAACACGTTCGATCCTATCGAGTTACTTATACCCATAGCTCCGTATCCTGAAAATGAAAATAAAGAAATAGAAGTGAAATTGATGTCAGTGATTACCGGTGAAATATCGTTTGCTAACAAACGGTAATCCAACAGTATTTATTACGCTCTGGGTCTGGTAATCGAGCATCTTTAATTTCGTGTATCGGCCACCAGAGGGCGCCTGCTAACATTGTTAAGTACTTGTTAAGTTCTATCTTTGAGAACTTAAATAATTAGTATAGAATATATATAAGCCCTATAGTTGACTAGCTGTAAGACCATGTATATGTATATATCTCCAGTAATGGAGATCCAAGAAACTCTCAAATTGTATTAGCTAGTATTTTTAAGACTCACTCATGTACTTGTATTTCTCAACTAGTGCAAAAGCTGAACACTACACATAGACTTAAGAAGTGCAATACTGTATCTAGTTCAATATTATCTTTATAACTGAATTTATGGGCTCAACTGGAGCTTAAGATCTCTATTCAACAAATAGAATGTAATACAGAGCACAAACACTCAAATGATAGATTTCTACTGCAGTTTCATGCGTATCTATTTTGATCAAAAGTCTTTTGACGTTGCAACTGTATAACATTTAGAAAATAATATCTATGTATTTATATGACCAATTTAAAGGCACCAAAACTTTAATGTGGCATTTTACGTACAAGCAATAGTGTCTTTTTTTTTTTAATTACTTCATTATTATTGGATTTGATCGAAAACTTATTGTTAGGAGTTGTACATGGTATCGACGCCATTTAATTTCTGAACAAAATTCTGTAAGTTTGCCTCTGCATTGGTCGTGTATCTTGCGAGTGAAAATTGCGACACGTCAGTATTAATTACGGTTAATCGCCGCGACCAGAGATCATTAACGAATATTACGCACGTCGCGAACGACGTGGCTCGTGACCGAGCGTAAAAGAAACGTTTCCAAGATCGACCAAATTTGATAATAGGGTCGCGATAGCGTCACCATGCCGCGCTATCGTAACCCAGTCTTCTTACGATAGCATTATCACGATCGTTACCCGCCAGTTATATGTATTATTTCTTGATTGTCGGCGATTATCTGCGACGAATCGCGGTGAGTCACAAGCAGCGTCGTTCCGAGCCCGCGCTCAAACGAGAATTTATTTTAACCGATATTTCTGTAATGAAACGCCGCGAGAAACGAGCACTTAAAAAGCCCGGGAATTACCTTGATTCGCGACGATAACGCTCGACACAGCCTCCGGTACGCTCATTCCTGCCGCAAGAAAGGTCAATCCCATTATGGAGTCGGGGATCCTAAACGTATCGCCTGAAATAATGATCGATTGTCACGCGACGTCAAAACACAAGTTTTTGACCGTTCGTCCTTTCCATTTAGTCTACGGACGTTGGTCAAATTGATACGACCACTAGTGGTCACCCAGTGACTGCTAGTGACCACTAGTTAAGTAGAAAAGGAATAATAGAAATTCAAGATATTTCACATCCAATCATTATACGAATTTAATCCAGAAACAGAATCGCTAAACAGAAATATAGATTCAAAAATGGGTGAAATATTTTGTTAATTATTATCATGGATTTAGACCTGGAAGACTTAACCCTGAATCCTGAATTCTCGTAATGTTTAGTACTATAAATGTCTTTTTGGAGAGAATCTATACCCCCAAGATTTAGAATAGAAATTCAAGATATTTCACATCCAATCATTATACGAATTTAATCCAAAAACAGAATCCTCTAAACAGAAATATAGATTCAAAAATGGGTGAAATATTTTGTTAATTATTTTATGGATTTAGACCTGGAGGACTTAACCCTGAATCCTGAATTCTTCTACTGTTTAATACAATAATTGTCTTTTTGGAGAGAATCTATACCCCCAAGATTTATACACAAAATATGTTTCTCATGTTTTTTTTTTTTAATTGATTGTGAATTTCATTTTTCGTATTCTACTATGTTTATTTGTGGAGTAACGAATTATTTTATGGAAAATCGTATTCGTCTGGTGACTTATAGATACTCCAAAAACAAACGGTGAAATATTTTGTTAATTATTTTATGGATTTAGACCTGGAGGACTTAACCCTGAATCCTGAATTCTTCTACTGTTTAATACAATAATTGTCTTTTTGGAGAGAATCTATACCCCCAAGATTTATACACAAAATATGTTTCTCATGTTTTTTTTTTTTAATTGATTGTGAATTTCATTTTTCGTATTCTACTATGTATATTTGTGGAGTAACGAATTATTTTATGGAAAATCGTATTCGTCTGGTGACTTATAGATACTCCAAAAACAAACAGTCGAATTAAAATTGTAAAACGCGTACCGATCACAGTGATGACCCATCCGACTATGTACGAAGTATTTGCGATCCATACTATGCACATAATGAACGTAAGAGTGTACCAAGATTTCAGTGAACTTCTCCGACAATCGGGGATCGTTATGAGAAGCACGAAATTAATCGGCCACGTGACCACCCACCATAATTTCTCGCACGCCGAGCTTGGCCAGTTGGTCATGTTTACGATGTCCTCTAAAAAAAAGTACATATTTTTCTTAACAATCGAAACGATTGCATAATTAACGTCTATTCTTAAACAAATAAAACACAATCTAGTGGTATATTTGTTACTACAGCAATTCTGGTCGCCGCCATTGTAATTTCTGGGACACTGGAAAAGCTATTTTCTCCCCTTTTTTTATTTTACCATGGCTTCCACCGATTTCAGCTTTTTATTGCTCAGAATCTAACTTATATTTCGTTATCGCATTCACCTAAACGATGCATATAGATTTTGCACTCTTGTAAAATTCACCCTTTGGAAACTACATTTATTTATACAGAAAATTTTTATGGGGGTCACGGAAGATCATATTATTCCAAGGTTAAAATAGCTAAAATAAGAATTCTCATTGCTTATTCAAGAGTGAAGAGATTTGTATCTATCGAAATTAATAGTAAAGTAATAGCATATAATTAATGGTCTTAAACTACTGAGAAACCATAAAAAAATATTGAAAATTGAGAAGAATTTGAGAATTCGATTTTTAGAAATTATAAATAGAAATAGAAATATTAGACCTTCGATGGTACTCTATGAATTAAATCATCCGTGAAACCACTAGATCGTCTTAGATTTGTTTGATCTTACATTAAATACTATTTACCTGTCTCGTCCACCGCGTCGGATTCCATTAATTTAATATCCGCATTTTTCACGACGTCTGAAAGCAACAAAAAGGTTTAAAATACTTGTCAGCCATTTTTAATACGCGTGTTCGACAAAACAAGCTTACCGGTAGCGATCAGGGGGCTCTCTTCGGACAAGTTTTTATACTTTTTTCTTCTGCAGGTTGTACGCTGAAGAAATTCGTTGATCGTACGACTGAAGCACATCGCTGAAACGACAGACCGTCTATTTAGTAGAATACCTCTAATTAGTAGAACGATTTGAGAAATACTTACTGAAAATGTATAAAACGTAGAATAAGATGAGAATCAGTGCTTCGTACCACTCGACGCGGCCGTTTCGCAACGTGAAAATTAATAATCCAACGGTGATCGTGTACGCGATGGTATCCCGCGTCACTGGCCACCATTCCAGACTCAATACCTACGAGCAATAAATTTTCTTTAATCCCTTTTCGATCGTGTGCCCAATCTAAACTCGACATTGTATTTCGGTTCGGTTCTTGCATCGAGTACTGTTTGAAATAAAATATTCTGACCCCCCTTGTTATGTATCTATCTTCTTGTAAAATATTGTGATGCAAATATCTCATAGTTATTTAGTTGGTATTTGCAATGTAACATAGTTAAGACAAGAGAAAGAAGAAAAGCCTAGTACATCCTCTATCAGACATTGGTCGAGGAGCGTACGAATAGAGGTGGTCGATCGAGCACTTGTGAGAGAGCGTGGCCCTCTGTTGGCGCGGAGGCGTCACCACAAGTGTTAATACCGTAAGTCCAAGGAAACAGAAATGTTAAACACGAGAAGAAAGCATGAGCTTGGAGAGTGTTTCAAAAGACACTTTACTGGAAGAAAATAATTAAAAACACGCCTCGATAGTTGAAAGAAGTTATTCGACGAGAAGAAGATCCTACAGAATTCTAATTTCGATACCTGTGTACCTGTTCTGTGTTTCCTGTTTCTGGACTCACCTGTTTCGCGAATAATCCGCAACAGGCGGGCACAGCCAACACGTTGAAGACGGCGGAACCGACGATCGTGCCTACGCCCAAGTCTCCTTCCGTCACGAAGGTTCCCACGACGTTAATGAACAGTTCCGGACTAGAACTGGCCGCCGCCATGATCGTTGCTCCTGCAACGTCTTCCGTCAGGTTGATCTCTGGAAACACGAATGTACGAGTTATTCAATTATCACGATTACCCTTTCGCGAAGAAGGACACCGTTCGTCTTTCGAAGAACCGTTTAACAATCGATTCGTTATCGATTATCGACATAACAAATACCTTTGTAAAATATATGCGAATATATTAACGGAGAGGCTTAGAAAATTAGCAGAGAAAAATAAGAATTAGAATAGCAAAAAAATAGGATTAATAATCAAGAAATATACCAGGAAAATGTTTTCTTCGTAGATTTAAAGAACAGGGGAAAATAGAGGTGGAACTGTCTATAAGGAAAATTGTAGATTAAAAATTGCAGTTTATTTTAAACGAAAGATAAATAAATCCTTTCATCCGGTTCCTGGAACAGCTCGTCTCGACGTTATCTCTAACACAGAACCGAAGTTATGTCAAGTTACACCGAGATCGCGTATTAACTGTACCTGACTCATTTCTATTGTTTTTCAATCGATCTTACTATTCTCAATGTTTACAAACGCGAGCGTCGAGCGGAGATAAGGAGCGATTGTAATTTCTCTGCCCACCCTTTCATCGCGTCAGTCGCGGCCTCGAGCTAGTGACACAATGAGAGGACTTACCGTGTTATCTGTATTTTCAACCAGGAAAAAAATTAATATTCATTTTAATCAGCGGCAAAACACATCTCTGCGCCGATTCTCGCAACTTATTTCTCAACGACCTTATAATAATAAACAAAGCGATGATAATCATAGAATTAAAATAGTAATTTTCGATGCACCTAGGGACCAAGTTTGGAACGTTAAATGGCTCAAGAAGGTAAATAAATAAATTCTACATATTCACGATAGGAGTGGACAGAATTCTATCGAAATAATAGACGATGAAAAATAATTCTTTCATAGAGATAAAGTTTTTATTCGCTCGAAATATAATTCGATCGCAATTTTTGGTCGAAGGGGCAACGCATGGAGAGTTGTTTACCTTTCGTGCGTTGCTCGAAATCTTTATCTAGATTAGAATTATGTCCATCTCGAGTGCGGCAGATAAAAATATATATTTTTTTAAAGTCGCCGGGAACAACTTACTGTCGCAGATCTTTTTGATCGAGGGCACGAAGAAATCGTCGCAGACGATGGCCAGCAACAGGAACATGTAAATCGCTATTAGAAAATGGATCACTATGAGACCCGATTGTCTTTGCTCCCGCGTCAAACCATCGGACGGGAACTCTTTTATGGCTGGAGAAGTGCAGTTCATCTTTTCTGGTGCCAAGGTAACGGGTTCTAATTGCAGGAGTTTGCGAAGTCCTTCAAAGAAAAATGCTAATGAACACTTGATGCAGAAAATACTGAAAACAGTCGCCCAAAAGGAACAAAGGCGGAGGATAAAAAATGAAGAAACAAGACTATATTTTGCAAATTTCGTATACCTTGAAATACCAATTAAGTTACTAATTAAGATACTGGAAGTTTATTGCAATTTTACGTTTGTGCTTTAAATTTTATTTATACCAATTGTATAGTACGTTTTAAACTTTTTTACAATATCAACGATTGGTCCCAATTTTTGTGTGTCAAACGATTATGGTCTTTGAATTGAATTTATAAAGAAATTGTTCTTTATATATTTTATTAAAATAAGATAAAGGAAGAGAAAGTTAAAACTTGTTAATAAATATAACATTCATGATCAGAGAGTAAAACTACGACTATATCGTGTAGTTAAAGGCGTAATAAGATTAACAATCTGAACTAAAGGTATTGCTTGATTGATGAGTTCGAGCCAAACACTCAAACGTAATGAAAGATAAAACATAGGGACTGTGTAATGGCCACGATCGTTTGTACTAAAATATTATATGGAACGCTGGTATTAAAATTTCGTCTAGTTTTTTTGCACACGTCTCTAGAAACAAGGTATAGTCGTCATAGAAAAAGAAAAAAACTAAAATTGCTTCTAAAAGAATTTTACGCACGGCTCACAAAATAACCAAAGTAACCGTTAAAGGGAAGGTAAAAAATTCCTTAAATTGTTCCTCCAGACTTTTGCGTACTTTTGTTATTAAAATAGGAAACTACGTGGAATGGATTCTTTAAATTGCACGTGAAAACTTTTTATCCGCGTGCTCGCGAGATATATCGCGACAAGTAGATGATACTGTACCCTAAGCTCGTTATGTAATGAATCATTCGACATTTTTATATCCCGTCTCTTTAAATTCGTGTACACCTATGGAGATGATCAGAATACGAACGATAGACAAGTACTTTGCACAAAGAATACGAAAATGTATTTACAAAATTTATTCCATCGAAACATAATTCGATCGCGATTCAAAGAGAACGAACAACGCGTTAAAAGTCTTTTATTATTTACATATTACTAGCGATTCACGTTGTAATAATAAAGTCCATTGTGATAATGAAGATCGTTGCTTCCAATCGCGACTGGCGAACGGAGGAAGAAAGAAAGATGGCGGAAAAAGGGATGGCGCAAGGGATTTTAGAAAACGAAACTTACGCGTGTCCGTCGGTTTAACCGCACTTTCCATGCTGTTTGGCAGAAATATCGCTAACGCATTTACGAAAACCAGGTACATCGTCGGTACGACGATCATGCAGAGCATTCTGTAGCCAATCATTCGGCTCTGCTTACGCGCCATCGTGCAATTAAATTCTCTATTCTCGTATTAGACTGATGAGATATTCAGCGATCGTGTCAACGATGCGACGTGGCCGTTCCGTTTGATACTGATTTTGTTTCGCGGTGTCGGGACAGCTACAACGCATCGATATTTTTCGTTTACGAGCCATTATCGACTTTACACAGATAAGATACTACAAAGCGCGTCAAGACATCCCTTCGTTGATAATCTGGCGAAAGGTAAGTGTTCCTGCTACTGAAACGACAATAATTAAATACGAGCCTATCGATTGACGTTCGGGGCAACCGCCAAACGTCTGTCGATCGCGTTCATCGATCTAAAACGAGCCTAAATCGTACCACTCAACGCGTCGACTGCCATAACAAACTATACGAAGCGTATCTTTTTGTTCATTCAGCTCCACGTTTTAAAAATACTCGTAATTTTTCTTGTACGAAAATATTAACAATTATAGAAGTTATGACGAGTTCAGTGAGAGGCCTCAAAGGAAGAAGTTCTGATTGACTGATTAACACCAAATAAACCGACTCACATCCCTCGAATTGTCCACGAAAAAGGAGACCTTGTTTTTAGACAATTGGAATTATTATTTAACATAGAAATTATTTTTACAGCTAACATTCAAGAGTCCTATTTAGATTTATTTTCTTCATCTAATCTTGACAATTAATTTTTGTAGTTTCTTAGAGAAAAATTATATCACCCATTGTCATATGTTTTAACAGTTCCTCAGAAATTTTCTTGAAAGAAGTGTATTTTTTTGTTCATTCAGCTTCATGTTTTAAGAGAGTTTGTAATTTTTCTTGTACGAAAATATTAACAATTATAGGAGTTACAACGAGTTCAGTGAGAGGTATCAAAAGAAGATAAAATAAAATGACTATGTGTTAAAATTAGTTACCAGTGTTCACAATACGATACAACATTACTTATATCTGTGAATATAAACAATTTCTCTTATTTTTGCGAGAGATCGTCTACCGAATCAAGAGGAAATTAAGTACGTAATAAAATTAACGTCATTGGCAGATGTTAACTACCAAAACATTTTAGGGTTTTAGCAGAAAATTCGACACGATTACGTATCGCGCATCTGGCATGCTTTGGCTTTGTGAAACGATAAAGTCGATACGTGTTTTAATAAACTTCGTAGGATTTCGAAGAAGTTATATAAATACTTATGGTAATTTTTTCTTAATTCATCAATTGACTTTTTAATGATATTATAGAACCTCGATAGTTGCACGAAATCCACGTTCGTTATATGGTATCGACGAGTAGAACGAACAGAGTGTGCTTCGTATTTACCAAGCGAATATTTTGAAGAATGTGTTGCACATATGTGATCTTGTATACAGATCTTTGATCTGCCATTAAAAAACATTATGTGACACGTGACAGCGAATGCACTAATAAACATTTTCACTCTTTAAGACTGGTGCTCAATTTGGTACTGAAGCAGTGCACGTAACAAACGTGACGTTGATCCAAACAAACATTGAGTTAGACTATTCGCCAAGTGCACATGTACTTAACTAGCCATAGTATGTTTGGTTCACAGAATCTAGCTGACCATCGCTGTTTCGGTTTGTGTTTAAGAACAATGTCAAGACCATTGGTACCGTGATAGCTTGTCTGCTGTCACTTTTGCTTAGAACTGTCTATCCATTGGAATTATCAGTGTTTCTGAAATTGTCGCAGTGACAAGGTACACCAACCGTTGGATCGATCGAGGCAAAACAGTTGCTTGGCCCCCAAGATCAACATATCACGCTAAAAAAAAACTTCAAGTATTCTAAGACGCAATGAATTTCATTTAATTTAATTTAACTGAATGGATAAGAAAAGAATTTCATTGTTAAAAAGTATGAATTTCAAAGAACTTCAAGTATTCTAAGACGCAATGAATTTCATTTAATTTAATTTAACTGAATGGATAAGAAAAGAATTTCATTGTTAAAAAGTATGAATTCTCATTTCAAAACATTAATCGTTTAAACTCAATTTTAGATAGTAACAATTATTCAAGTCGTTTCAGGTCAGCGAAGTTGGCCCCTTTGCTGCCTCGGAGTAGAATAATTACAATAATGAGACAAATAGTTGTAATGACAGATAATAGCCTCAAATCAAATAAAAAACCCACGCGTCCTCAACTAGCATCTACGATACGCGTACGTTAAAGTCTCGTAACTGCGTTCATTCCCCGAATTCCAGCTGCAAAATTTCAGAATGCGATTCTGAGACATTGGATGCATAGAAACCGTAGAATAAAAGGAAATTCGATCATTAAAACCTGAAAAATGGCGCCCGGGAGAGGACTAGGCGATCGAATTCCTTTAAAATAAAGTCTTTGCATGTTCAGACTTTTTGCATAATATAACATATACCTTGAAGAATAAGAAAATTTGAAAATTGTCAGTTTTTTTGTTATAAATAAAACGTACTAGAAGGCTAAATTCTGCATGACATTCTACCTTGGATAAAACAATTTTAAATATTAGATTTTCAAACTTTTGATGGTCTGGCTTTTAGAAATTTCTGTTCTTTTTCTCGAATCGCAGGACTTTAAGTCCAATGCTTGTTTCTCGTTATGCTGAGGTTATCAAGTGTCAACGCATTAACATTTTCGTAATTTGTTTAGCCGTAAGACGATGCCCATTATTAAAGCTAATCGAGTCTGAAACACGATACAGAACGCATTGTACATGGTGAAAATTTACACTGCTTTGCTTCACGAATATTAACCTCGACTTGAAAATAACATAAATAAAACGTGAATATTAGGAAATATTGTCAAAGATGATTTTATTTTTATTTACGAAACTTTAAATGTTAATCACAATTACAATCTTTTCAGCCGTAGAATTGTCAAAATTCGAAGCTGCAAACTAATCTGAAAGCATGAATATGAACTTTTGTTATCTCTCAAAGTCAATAGACTCTTCAAAATTGATTTTTCTCGTGATTGGATTCTCGTTAATTCCCCAAATTCAATCACAATCCACTCAATCATAATCTCGGTCATAATTCTCGAGCCTCGAGGCTTTAAAATAATTTCAAAGCGTAGAAAGGAATTTTGACTACCTCCCAAAGTTGATAAACTCCTCAGAACTGATTTTCTTTTCATTCTCTGATCTGACCTACTCAAATTTAATCACAACTCTTTCAGCCATAATATTTTCGAGCTTGGAAGTTTTGAAACAATCTAAAAGCAAAAAAATGAACTTTAGTTACCTGCTCAAAGTCAATAAACACCTCAGATTCTCGTTAAATTGTCAAATCAATTACAATCTTTCTTTATTTAAAAAATTCAAAAGCTCTAAAATCATCTAAAAGAATCAATATTGATTTTTGTCATTTTTTAGCGTTAATAAACATTTTCTAATTAATTTTCATCGTAGCTTGATTCACGTTCAAAACTAATACTTTAAAAAAGCATAAAAATTAATTTTTTTCATTTATCAGAGTCAATAGAGTCTGAATTCTCACAGAAATGTTAAATCAATTACAATCTTCCCAAGCATAATATATATTTAGGAAGCCAAGGCTCTAAAATAATCTAAAAGCATAAAAATTAATTTTGGTCATCCTTCAGAGCCAATAGACTCTTTCAAATTAATTTTCATCGTAGCTCGTAGTTCGAGTTTTACAATTTCCAAAATCCAAAGCACTACAATATTCTAAAAAGCATAAAAATGAACTTCAATTATCTTCTAGAGTCGATAATCTCTTCAAATTTGATTTTCATCACAAAACGTGGATGTTGGATTCTCGCAAAATTATTAAATCATTTACAATCTATCCAACCATAATATATTCTAAAAACTTGAGGCTCTAAAACAATCTGAAAGCATAAAAATTAATTTTCGTCATCTTTTGGAGTAAATAGACTGCCAAATTTGATTTTTATCACAAAATCTGGAGGGTGAATTTTCAGCTAAAATATATTTAAGAAACCCAAAGCTCTAAAATAATCTAAACGCATGAAAATTAATTTTCGTTAACTTTCAGAGCTAATAGACTCTTTCAAAATAATTTTCATCGTAATCATAACTTTTATCATTCGCGTTAACTTCCGAAATCGTTCCAATCCTGCAATTTTCAAAACCCCAATGCTCTAGAATAATCTAAAGGCATAAAAATTAATTTTCCTCATCTTTTGGAGCAAATAGACTGCCAAATTTGATTTTCATCATAAAACGTGGAGGGTGAATTCTCGCAAAATTGTCAAATCAATTGCAATCTTTTTTTATTTAAAAAACTTAACGCTCTAAAACCATCTAAAAGAATCAATATTAATTTTTGTCATTTTTTAGCGTTAATAAACATTTCCTAATTAATTTTCATCGTAGGTTGATTCGCGTTAATTTATATTTTAATATGCTATTTTCAAAACTAATACTTTAAAAAGCATAAAAATTAATTTTTGTCATTTATCAGAGTCAATAGAGTCTGAATTCTAACAGATATGTTAAATCAATTACAATCTTTTCAGCTAAAATATATTTAAGAGTCCCAAAGCTCTAAAATAATCCAAACGCATGAAAATTAATTTTCGTCATCCTTCAGAGCCAATAGACTATTTCAAATTAATTTTCATCGTAACTTCCGGAATTTTCGAAACCCGAATGCTCTAGAATAATGTAATGGAATAAAAATTCATTTTCGTGATCTTCCAAAGTCAATAAACTCTGTCGATTCTCTTCGGCGGCCGGTTCGTTCGACGTCGGATGCACCGAAATGCAGAAATAAATAGCGAAAAAAAATTCGACGCCTCCGGCTCGAGGAACGGTCGGAACGAAATGCACACACGCCGCCCGCGACGTTCAATTTTCGAGGAAGCCATAACGACGATTAGTGCAATGACGATTTCGCATTTTGACCGCGGCACGATTCAGCAGGCGCGATGCGCGAGAGATGAGACGAGAAGAGTCAGAGGGAGGGGCGATTCCAACAAACGCTGCCGGACTTCGGAGTAGTTGTTAATGTAGTATATGTGTGACAACGGGATTGACAACATGGATACGTCTGACTTAGGAGGAGGTTCGTTTGAATATATTTTCCGATATTATCGGAAACCAATGAGCTACGCGTCGCTAACCGTGATCAGTTTTGTTCGATCGTGACGATCGGTGAGGGGTGTGTTTCGATGAATCGTGACAGGTAGAACGGGATAATATTAAAAAAGTGGGAATTAAAGTATCGAACAACGAGGAGGTGGAGGAGGAGAAGGAGAAGGTGGCCGTAGGACGAGGAGGGGGCAGTGGAGGAGGAGAAGGAGGAGGTGGAGGAGATGGAAGAACGTGCAGGATGGCCAGCACTAGCATCAGCAGCAACAACAACAGAGGAAAGAGTAGAAGAAGATAGAACCTGGGGACAAACGTGGAGGAGGAGGAGGTGCAGGCGGAGGAGGTGGATGAGGAGAGAGGGAGAAGATGCCAAAGATCGTATGAGGTCTAGATAGAAATTGAAAAAGAGAAAAAACAGAATTAAAATTAAAAAAAGAGCGAAAGAAAGAATATAAAGAAAATGGTGCGTCCCGAATGGTTGGAGGATCAAGCAAACAGGTGTGTCGTGCGGCGTTGCCTATCGCGTAACAATACTTGTGATTCGGTAGCCGACGATCGAAAACACTCGGGAACGTGAACCGCCGAACGAGAAATAAATTTTTGTCCCCGATGCACGCAGACCCCGCTTACCGATCTCCGTGGTCGACGATGGAAGGATCCCCCTTACGAATCGAAGGTAGTTTCGTAGGTCCGAGTAGCTCGAACCTTCGGCGAATCGTACTCGTTTCGACTCTATGGCCCCATTTCGTTTCGATATGTTTCTTTCCGCGTCGTCCGCACGTGTGGCAAATTCTCGATCGATCAGAAAATCGATTTTATTGGCGACGATCGTTCCGGCTACGCGGAGCATCGAGTCGGTGAGTACACAACGTATTCGCGGGGATCGCGATTCGTGGGACTGTTTTTTAATATTGCAATTGCTGATAAATAAAGATAGAAGGATGTCTAAAAAAAACCAGTTTCTATTCGAGATTCTTGCAGAGAGAGAATTAAGAGGAACGAAGTTCCGCAAGTCGGTTGGTCGTCGAATTATAAAACTAAAAATAGAGAAAAGGGAGAAAAATGTACGTGGAATGGATTCGTATCGTAGAAATTGAATAAGACGACCCTTGCTCCAATAACCGCGCGAATCGTGAACCATAGAGCGTCATTAGCGGAAAAACGACGGGATGTCAATGATACGTAATAGTCGGTCGAGTGCATGACTCGAGGCTTAATAACCGACGTGATCGTTAATTGTCGCGAAACGGAAAGAAATTGTAAGGTCAGTTTCCTGCGTGCAGCAGATATTTATCGACGACGAAAATTCAAGCCGACCGACCAAACAGATGATCGAGGCCGTTGGTACGTCGCTGCGCGTGGGCGGTTCGATAGATTGCTAATTGGCTACCGACGTTTAATGATCGACAACCGAGCCGATGACTGTCGTTTGTTTCCAACGAGACGAAACCGTTCGACACCGAGTGGCCAAGCCACGTTACATCTAGTTTATACGACGTACATTAGACATGAATGGCATCTCCTCTGCCAACTTGAATGAGAGCAATTTAACTTCTTTAGGTTGCTTAATCGGTAGGAAGTCACATCAGCTATACAGCTGTATAACCTGTACAAGACACCAATACGTGCATCGTTTGCTTCGTTACGTCGCCAGTGAGGAATCATAGGAGAAAAATCACCGAGAACAACGAACGAAAACAATGCACAGAACCAACCAGAGACCCTAGGAACCAGTGAATTACTTTCCCAGACGAGCGACGATAGATCATAGTCGAAACGGATCTGGATTTTCGATCATTGTCGCCGGGACACGCGTACAGGTTCGCGAGTAAAAATTCTTATGCAAGGATCACTATTCGTTTGTTTTCGAATTGCTGCTTTCGGCTCATCCGCCATTGTGATCCCAAATTTTAGATTCGCGGACTATAGAGAACTTATGGAACAATCTCATTTTATTATCGTAGTTCGATCGAATTGTCTTAATTTATTTTTACTTTTGGGGGTTTTATCATTTTTAGATTTTATCTCGAGTTTCCGTTCGACGCCATCTTCAGACTCGAGAAGGATCCATTTTTGTAATTTTTCTTTCTTTTCTTTATCGGTGACACGAATTAATCGTCCCTTCTATTTTCTGAATTTATTTTCTCCAAATACATTCTGATCGTATAATTTACTTACTAAATTTGAAATAATTCTTCTTGAATATCGAAGTGAACCAAAATGGCGGCTAGTAAAGTTTACTGAATTTATTTTCTCCAAATACATTCTGATCGTATAATTTATTTACTAAATTCGAAATAATTCCTCTTGAATATCAAAGTGGACCAAAATGGCGGCTAGTAAAGTTTACTGAATTTATTTTTTCCAAATAAATTCTGATCGTATAATTTACTTACTAAAGAAATAATTCTTCTTGAATATCGAAGTGGACCAAAATGGCGGCTAGTAAAGTTTACTGAATTAATTATAATTTCTTTACTAAATTCGAAATAATTTTTCTTGTACGTCGAAGTAGACCAAAATGGCGGCTCGTAGAGTTTGCGTTAAACGAACTATGTTTGTCCATAGTGTATGCTGTTGCATTATGAAAACGTTGCGCGTTTTGCACTATAATGGAAGCATTGATAACGTCGTGAAGAAGGTTCGTGCGAAAACTGGTATCATTCGAGACGAGATCTTTTCTCGCTCACGTAACGCGGACCTAACGCTAATGAGCAATGATCGACGACGGTAATACTTCGCGAAGAAATTCGATGAAAGCTCGGTGTATCGTAACAAGTTCCTTAAAGTTGATGTAATGGGCTACCTTAACGAGGCGTTTCCTACTTAGCCTTATGTATAATATTTCATCGTTACCACTACGCAACGCAGTTTGGGCGCTGCTTTTCACTGACGGTCGAAAGACACGCGAAAACGCAACGTTAATTATCGATTCTTTTGCAGTAGTTTTCGAACAATCTTCCCCACGAAAACTACTAAAGGTCAATTTATTTCAGAAAAATGGCAAAGTTGTTAAACATATTTCTTTTGAAACGATACGTAAAATTTTAAGATCCAAGAATCCAATAGTATCGATTTAATAATATTAGCATTTTATAACATTTTACAAAATTACCAACGTCTTAACGTTTGAAACCTATTTGCTCCGAAATTTTCTTTTTTATCGAAAAGATTGGAAACCATTCGATTATATAAAAAATAAATTATTCGAGCGTATAGTAAACTATGTTTTATCGTGCTATGCTTGTTTGTATCGTTTGTTTAAAATGCAATTCGATGTCGAAAGTAGATCGTCGCGGAAGAACGATCGCAACGACCGCTCTCGAGAGCGATTTGTCTTTGAGTACGCGTGGGAATGATTTCCACTGAACAGCTTCGTAGAAATGAGAAACAAGCTCGTGGATTTCGAGCCCGTCGTTAATTTTTCCCGTCCCTCGAAGCTTTTTATCCGCTTGGCTATTTATCACCGCGACTTGGGCTACGTTCGTTAACCGAAACCGCGTTTTTCCTCGTGAACATCAACGACGGGTCGCGAATGGAAATTAACCATACAGCAAAGGTGGCATTTTTCATTTTTTAGTAACGGTAGTTCAATTATAGAAAATGGAAAGCAACTTTTACATTAAATATACTTTTTTCCCCTGCAATCAGAGATTGAACGATAATTAATTATTATCGAGACAATTGTTTTGGAGCTCTACTACTTTTATCTTAGTGTTTCGTTTCATATCTACGAAAATATACATATATTTGTTTTTGAAATAATGGCACCTCTGACGTATATGAATCTGTCAAAGAAATTTATATTTCGTCCAACGACGATTAAAAAAATAAAAATTGGTTTGTAATAGTATCGATTGCGATCTTTTAAGCTCATATATCAGAGTTAGGCAAAATTCTAATCTAGATAAAAATCCCGTACAATGAGGAAAAGATAAACAATATATTTCTTGGTCATTTAATAAAAATTGGTATTTAAAATACGACGATATAGTTTACGAATACCAAAGAGTTCGAAGAGTACTGAATAAACGGTGCAAATAAATCGCTGTGGATCAATTTTATTCGTCATCTATTCTTCGAATAAAATTAAATATAGGCAAAAATAGCCTCTATTACGCATATCTAAAACTACACGAACAAATCTGTATAAATTACACCGAAATTATGTTACAAGAGACGCGGTCAAAATGCAGTTATCGATACCTAATGAAGGAACCGACTTTTGTTTCGCCACTCGTTGATTGAAATTAGAATTGGGGGGAGTGTCTTCTAAAAGATACGTTTATATTCTCTCAAAAAAGTTTACCAATTGTTTCAACGACTGGTTTTATCTATTATTCGAGCAAAACGTCGCCCGTCTCTGTCGTACATTTTAAAGAGACCGACTATCAACGAGCCACGCAGAGAACAATGTTGACGATCATGGCGATCGTTTATCTTTCGATGTAATTGTTGACGATTGCAGTTCACGATAATCATCATAGTCATCACCGTTGCGATTATAACAACGTTACTATCGGCTCTACGAACGAGAAACTTTACGGAGAAACGTATCCGCTGGATGAACGGCGAAGGTCAGTGAACTGATTATGTTTGTACTCACCGTTGGCTACCCGAGCGAATGCGACCAACTATCATGATTCGTAATCACCGAGTGAAGTGTGTGTCCGACATTTGTGTTCAAGTGCGCTGTACCAGCTACGCAAGGTCGTCGAAACTTACGTAACGGATTTGTCCAAAATCGTGCAACGATACGACGCAAACCGGAGAACGCGATCGATAGATCGGCCGGAATCGTTCGCGAGCCCTCCGACAACGAATTCGAATCATCGACGATCACGAGGGTGGAACGGAAACCGAAACCAAACAGTGGATTCTCCCTTCTGCCGCCATTTCCTCGTTCGATACGCCCACGAATATCGAGACAATTTCGGAATGTTCGTTCGAAAGGGGTAAACGCAGTGGTGGATCTAGACTTATCAGTACTTTGAGCTACAGTCAATTTTATTCGCGAACGACGATAAAATTTTTCGTTAGCCACGAATGAAATCTTCCTTTTCTGAAATATTTATTCATACCTCCTATTATTCTCCTATTAGCACTGACTATCCCTCAGACGAAGACGTACATATTTTTTAATAAATTTTGTCGTTTAGAGAAATTAACAACAAAAAGGAAATGCCAACGTGTGATTAGCCACTAATGACCATTTTACTAAGACGCTAAGTTTGTTCTCAAATTATTGGCAATTGAAGAACTTGCAGCAAGAGGGACGAAACTCCATGTTTACCAATTTCAAGTAAACTAGAGAAAACTATTTGCAAAAGTTATCAAATCGACAAGTTTTTATTTGTATTATGCTAAACTACGTGCAGTAAAAATCAGAATTTATCAATTTATTGTTTTCCAAATAAAATATGGAGAGAAATAGGAGGTTACGTGCACGATCAACGGGGAAATAAGAAAGAAAAAACAGTGCATTTATGTAGTTCTCGAGGAGCACCGCGTTAGATCCGCCCCTGGTTGCCTTCTTCCTGTGTCGGTCCAGCACCGCCACCGACCGCCATCTTTGTTTCTCCCTGCTCAATTATCCCGCCTTCGAGGTCGGTCTGCTCGGCAAGGCGGGCGCAACGTTTGTTAAAACTGGTTCACGTTCCAGGTATAAATTGTACACCCCCGGCGATAGAAGATTTCCCACACGATCTTTTCGACGAGAAGCAAAGGCAAGGCGGGGCTGTCGTTGTACACGTGATCGTTTCGCTTTATCTATTTATCGCGTTAGCAGTAGTATGCGACAAGTTCTTTGTACCCGCGGTGGAAAAAATTTGTCACGGTAAGGAAAACTCCATGCATCTGTTCTCTACTACGTTTTTGTCACGAGGCGGCCAACGACGCGCTCGATAGCCCTCTGGCGTCCGGGGGTTTCCCGTCCACACGGGACCATCCTCACGGACCAGCTTCTCCTCTACGGGGAGAATAGGGAAAAGAAACGATCGTCCGTATCGTGGTAACGGCTGCCAATAATCGCCCGTTGAATTCTTTCAATTTCAGCGCTCTCGATGTCCAAGGACGTGGCGGGCGCTACATTCATGGCTGCGGCAACGTCCGCACCGGAACTGTTCGTGAACGCGATCGGCACGTTCATCACCGAAGGTGACATCGGCGTCGGGACAATAGTAGGCTCGGCTGTATTCAATATCCTCGCTGTGCCGGCTTGTTGCGGCATCGGCGCCGGAATGGTAAGTTTTCCGACTCGAAAACGCGCGTCGATACATCGACGATATCGATAACCCGCGGCCCGCTTATCGCCTCCCCGAGTTATCAATTCACGAGCAACGTACGTACGTCGATCGGTGTGCACAGGTAGTTCCTCTGGACTGGTGGCCGGTCAGCAGAGACTGTCTCGCCTACGGCGTCACGGTCGCCATTCTGATATGCATCATACACGACGAGCGAGTAGAATGGTACGAGGCGTTGGCCCTGGTCTTACTCTACATTGTCTACATCGCCGTCATGTACTGGGACAAGTCGTTTCAACGATGCACGCGTTTCCGTACCCACAACGTCGACCAACCGTCCTCGCCCGACGACCATCGACTCGCTGCAGGTGAGCATTATGGACGCTCCTGGCTCGCCTCCATTTGCAAAATTAAGTGGACAGGCGGGGAAAATAGGTATGAATCACATTTAATCAAAGCACTATAATTATTATGCACTTAAGTTTTATACATTACATAACTTTATGATACGTAGATTGTTCAATGTATAATTGAAATTAATGTTTACATTTGTTTTAACGAAAACGTTGATTGATTGTCGAGGAACAAAAATAAGTGGACATTCGATCGTTGAAATATCCTTTCCACTCTTATACAGTGGTCTCCAATTAACTATTTAACCAAATAGTCGATGTGCAAGCTTTGCATTAAACAGATCACTTGTAAGGAAACAGCAGAATGTCGGTAAGAAGAAAATTTTCAAATCAAATTCGTAATTTAAACTGTAGCAATTAAAAAAGAAGCACCGTGTATGGAGAAAAATAGCTGTTTTGTATTGTTACGTCGACTGTTAAATTTAGCGAAGGGTCATTAATTTTGTGGGGGTGTTTTTCGTGGAATGGAGTTGGCAATTTGGTACAGATTGACGGAATAATGAATGCAAACAAGTGTATTGAAATAATAAACGAAAATTTAGAAGATGCAGTAGCGAAAATGGGACTCGAAGAAGAATTTATTTTGCAATAGAACAACGAGACACACTGCTAAAAGAAAAACAAACAAATTTTGGAGTATTCCAATATTAAATTATTAGAATGGCGGACACAAAGTCTGGATTTGAATCTAATTTAAAATCTGATAAAATTGCACGATGTCTAAAAGCAATTATTGCAGCAAAATGATTGATTTTATTACCTGTCCACTTATTTTTGTTCCTCGGCAATTAACCAACATTTTCGTTAAACATACCTCATTTTAACACAAATGTAAATATTGATTTCAATTATATGTTAAATAATCTATGTACCATACAGATATATAATACACAAAACTTAAGTGCATAATAGTTATACTACTTTGATTAAATTTAATTTATACTTATTTCCTTTACCTGTCCACTTAATTCAGTTTCGAAAAGAAAAAACACATATTTTATTTTAGGTTGTCCAATAAGGGACTCAGAAAATTCAACAAAATTTGAAATTATGCAAAAATGTAGTTTACGTGATCATATATTAGCGAAACGATTTTTTTCCTGACGATAAAACGATTTTGATGGCGAAAACTAGAACTATCGAACCGGTCAAAACGATCTATTCATGATTTGTAATAATTTTCTATAAGAGAATGAATTAAATTCCATAATGGATTTGTTTCCATTGCATTATATGTTTCTTCAAGTATCTATCGTTTTAATATCTTTTAGCTTTAGCGTTAAAGAAATAACGAAAAAGTTAAATTAAAATCTTTATGATTTTTATACCGAACAATGTGGCGGGAAAGAATGTGAAAAAAGGGTTATTTTACTATAAGAATGCATTTTTAATCAATGTAACAAATTGGTATTAACCTTATTTTTAATACTTCTATAAAAAAGATTGACGAGAATATCCCGTAAATTGATAAAAATTAGCGACATGACGTGACTTTAAAGTAGCATAAAAGGAGGGTCAGGCGTAGGTAGAACACGTGCCAAAGGGTTTTCAGCAACATGACGGTTCAACAAATTCCTTCGACGTGCAACAATTCTATTCTCGATGAACAACACCGGCTTTTTATCGGGGCGATTAGCTACGAGTAACCTGTTATTATTTCACTATTATGTACCTAACACGCTCGACAAAGCGGAAAGCCTTTGACTCTACAGGCTACTTCATCCTAATACAAAAGTTGAAGGCCATAGAAATTGAAGGTAACTTACTGTCATGGGCTTCTAGTTCCGTTATAAATAGGACAATTAGTTAAGCTACAGAACTCTTTCACTATGGTTATCGATGTTTCATCTTAAAGCTCTCCCTTTCTGTTCAATATTTCCATCAATTTGTGAAACTTTCTTTTCACCGTACATTCTAAATGCACGACCTCAAACATATTTCTTGCAATTAGAATATTATGAAATCGTAACGCAAGATAAGTGAACTCTTTATAACCCAGTTCTGAAGTTACATCTTATTCGAGTCTGATTTAATCCTATTCTCAATACATACAGAATTGTTTTGTTAAAGCGATAGTATGGCTTGCAAACAATCCGTGCACAATTATTTTACAACGTCTCGCGGCAGAGCACACTGGAAAATGTGTCTTCAAATTTACCTTTCAATTTATATCTCATTATCAGTGTTTGTCAATGGTCGTATCGTATAATTTGTTTCAGACACAAAGTGAAATACCGTTTACAGTTTAACATTACCAAACGGCGCGCTGCATTCAGCCGCATGAGAAACGTACTGCACAGTCATTATGTTCTTAACTCTTAGACGACCACGGGTCCGCCAGGGACTCCAGCCTCATTATTTAATTAATAACTCGTTGACTTAATTGAATTACAATTAGTATATGGTAAGTGTCTGCTGTATAAAAAGCGAGCCAATGGGTAATGCGTGGCGGTGGCAATAAGTACAACATGGGCGTCGAGCGATCTTGACTCGCGACATTTGACTATAACGTCTTGTTGGGAAACTGAAGGGAAAATTTTTCGTTCTTCGCGTTTATAAACAATTGAATAATTAAATTACTGATCTTCGTTACAGAGGGAAGTACGGAAATTCGGCTGGCGAGGTCCGACAAAGTGCAACCTGCCGCTGATCAGGCCGAGCACACGGACGTACCGTTGCAAAATGGCGGAACGAAGACTCAAGAAGAGAATCCCGATCCCAGTAAGTCAAGAAGTTCGCCCGTTAAGACCGCCGTGTGCTCGTTTCGGAGCTTTGCATATTTTATTGGCTTTCACGGAATTACCCGTTCTTAGGTTTCGTGACAAACTTTCACGCGAACAAAGCAACCGACGATTGAATCGATTCCTTTTTCCGACTCGATGCTTGTCGCGAATCGCGATAGAACGTTTCCTCCGGCCCCTCTAATCCACGTTGTATACTTGGCTATTTAATTTTTCAAACCAACAATCGTCAAGCTTCGTCGATACGTATTCTCTACACTGTGAAACCTTAAGAAAATATTTGAAAAATGTTCCAATTTAAAAGAAGATTAGAAATAAAATTTGTATGGATTTCTTTTTTAAATTGTTATTAATTTCGATTTAATAATAAAACTTCGTCGATACATATTCTCTATACTGTGAAACCTTAAGAAAATATTTGAAAAATGTTCCAATTTAAAGGAAGGTTAAGAGTAAAATTTTATATGAATTTCTTTTTTAAAGTATTATTAATTTGGAACAATAATTTAAAACTTCATCGATACGTATTCTCTACACTGTGAAACCTTAAGAAAATATTTGAAAAATGCTCTAATTTAAAAGAAGGTTAAGAGTAAAATTTTGTATGAATTTCTTTTTTAAAGTATTATTAATTTGGAACAATAATTTAAAACTTCATCGATACGTATTCTCTATACTGTGAAACCTTAAGAAAATATTTGAAAAATGCTCTAATTTAAAAGAAGGTTAAGAGTAAAATTTTGTATGAATTTCTTTTTTAAATTATTATTAATTTGGATTTAACTTCCCATGGGGATGTAAGATGTGTTTAAATTGCAGAAAATTATTTTTTTTAAAGAATATTTGATAAAGACGAATGCCCAGTGCAAGGTAGTGATCTCCCAAATCGGTTGGCATCGCGTTAAAGACAAAATGGAGATGACGGTGAAAGTTAAGCGTTTTTGATTTCCACAGATTACGAGTACGAGTTGTTGGTGTGGCCATCGCGGGCCGGATGGATAAGAAAAACGGCCTGGATCATGACATGGCCGATTCACCTCATATTCATGTGCACGATACCCGACTGCGAGAAGCCACGATTCAAGAATTGGTTCCCAGTTACGTTCCTCATGTGCATCATCTGGATCGGATCGTTGAGCTACGTCGTCGCGTGGATGATCACTATAATCGGTAACGGATGGACCAGCTTGCGAAAGTGGTAAATTCTGTTTCGCGTGGAAAATCAACGACTGTTTTCTCTTTTACAGGGGATACTTTGAAGATACCGGACTCCGTGATGGGTATCACTTTCCTTGCAGCCGGTACCAGCGTTCCGGAAGCCGTGTCGAGCGTTATTGTGGCGAAGCAAGGTAAAACAACACGTGTATAGCTCGACAATCTAGAAAAGAGCCTTGGAGCCTTAAGGGTGAAAACCACTGTGCAATTTTTAAGAATTTTTTGGGGGCAACTTTAAAACTTTTTCTAAGAAATATTTAATCTTTTCGAAAGTACATTTCTCGAACTACTGCTTGTAAAAATTTCGTACAAAAATATTAACTATTATAGACATAATAGAAACCAGAGTGAGAAGATTCCAAAAATTTGTTGGGTCGTGTAATTTTTCACTGCAAATTCTAAAACAAGAAATCATGCAATTTTCTTAAAGTATAAGACAGTAGCTTCAATTGAGCTTAGGGATTTATAGAACTAGTAATTTATTATGAAATTTTGAAACTTTGAAGAAAAGATCTCAAAAACTATTTTAGAGGGTTGTTCTCAACCCCTCAAACATTAAAAATTTTCAATTCGTCACAGTGATTTCCTCCCTTAAAGTGCCGGTCACCAGTGACCACCATGGCACCCAACGTGTTATAGAGTTGGACTCGTATACGCTGAAAAATGTTTCCACAAATCGCAAGGATATTTCTCAAGCTGACGATCTATGCGCATATAGTTGAGATAATATTTCTTTCCGAGAATTTTGGCTGGAAAACACTTTCTCTCAAGATGGTCCTTTGTTAGCTTATGCTAGCTTTGGTGCTCCTCTGTGACAAAGACGAATGCGTTTGGGGCCAATAAAAGCGCATTCCAACTTTTCTCGGCGTTTCTACTGCCAATGATTTATCTGCATTGGCAATCGCTGATACCTTTTTGCTTTCTCGATAGATTGGCTGTCTGGCTGCGGCCATTTCTCATCTATTCGGAAGCCATTTCTGTTCTTTTTTAACATTTAAAATAACATTGCGGTTCCCTTAACACGTTCACTGTCACGATAGTCGCATAAACTTTCCTTTTAAATAATTCCAGCAATACAGGTTTTGCACTTAAAGATTTTCTAGAAATTTCTTTTTACAAGTCATTGCAAGTTATTGTTTTTAAATAAAAATTGTATTGCATCTGTGTGATGATAAACAAAAAATAACAGTGTAGGTATCGATGCTAGGTGCGAATAAAATCTACATTGGTTCTCTTTAAAACTTGGTTTGATTTGAAAAAAATAATTAGGAATGCAAAACCCTGTACGAGAAACTCTGTGCATTTGTTTTTCAAACTAGAATCTGAACATACAATCGAGTAGACGGAAAGCAGTCGTGGCAGTGAACGCGTTAATCGCGATGGCGCGACAATGTCCGTGACAAGAGCCACGCTAAAAACTTTCGATCGGTCTGTTTCATATCCAGGACACGGCTCGATGGGGATCAGCAATTCGATAGGATCGAACACCTTCGACATATTGTTGTGCCTGGGTCTGCCTTGGCTGATCAAATCGTCGTTCTCGCCCACGCAACCTGGAAAGCATTACATCAGTATAAACTCCGGCGGTCTCGAGTACAGCGCCATATCGTTGTTGTCCACGTTGATGCTACTTTATATTGCTTTTGCCTCGAATAAGTTTCAGCTCGATAGAAAAGTAGGCCGTGCCTGTTTATGTATGTATGCCGTGTTCCTTATATTAGCCTCGTTGATAGAGCTCAATGTATTCTTCAGGGTGAATTTGCCCACGTGCCAGAGGACGGTCAAGTGATACGGGATCGAAAGTAGAAACGCTTAACGATATTCGATACGGTTTTAGTTGATCGTCGTACGTTCCGTAGAACTTGCGAGCAACACCGTGGACCGAAGAATACTGTTTTATATTACGCGAAAACTACTTCTTCTTTCTTCCGTCTCGCCTCTGCGAGACACTATCCAACCCCGAGGCTCCCATTATGTCATGCCATCTTTTACTTCGCAAAACCGGGCCGTGTACGGTCGATAAAATATCTTTTATCCGTCTCAACAACAGCTTTGTCCCCTATTCTTTTTCATTCTTCCTATACACGACTGTTTCTCTCTGTACTTCTTTCTCTCTCTACCTCCATTCTTCCTTGATCGCGATCGAACCGCTAACTCCCCCGCCCCGCTCCTCCCGTTCGTAACATTTTCCCCTTTTGAATACTTTTCTTTCGCCTTATCGTCTCGCTATTGCTCTTACCGTGAACAGCGAATAATCTCTAAGGATCCGTGAAACATTGAATAATAAAAATACCGCAAACGCGGTGATTACATCCTCTGGTAGTAATAAGTAGAGACAGAACTTCGCAAGAACTCGCCGCCATTTTTACCCGCGCGCGCGCGCGTACGCATTTCGACGGTCAAGATGCGCTTGTATAAAAAGAGGGACCGGTCAATCACGTGAAATTCATTCGAGAGCAACATAGAAAATGCCGAATCGAACGCGAACGAAACAAAAAAGGGAAAAAAAAAATAAATAAAAGAATCGCGTAAGATCGTACCATAGCGTAGACAAGACTGCCGACGAAACGTATCGCCAGCCAGAGATGGGCAAAAATTTCTTGTCCCGATAGAAAAAATGGAATCGCTTTTACCGACCGAAACAGTGTTCTCCAAAATGGACGGGGACGCGAAAAATTTCTAACGACTTAAACGTTTCTTTCTTTCTTTTTTTGTTTACTTTTAAATTTCAAAAGTTTTGAGAACCTACCGGGCCCCCCCCCGAAAAATCAGCCGATCCGAACAGAATCGTGGCGAAATTTTGCCCGCCTCCGTCGCCGACGCGGGGACACGCATCGACACGTAAGCAAGTTACGATCGAGCAGAGTTCCGATAATCGGTTATCGTTGCGGAAGAATAACGATGGTCCGCTATCGGAACGCGACTAATTACGATACATCTCACGAAAAAAGAAAGAAAAAAGGAAAAAAAAAAAAAAATATATATCGCGACGCATTCGTTCGATACCGGAACCAGATTTACGTGTACTGATGACTCGCCGCAGGGTGTATATTTAGGTAATCTACGAACTTAACGAGTTTAATAAAGTACTGTAATAAGTTATTAAAAAGAAGTTTATCGATCCTCTCGCGGGTACACCGTCGGGAACATCGCGGCCACGGATGATTCGTCGACGGGAAGAGGAACGTCAGCGACGGGATAATCGGAAAAGTTGCGGACGGTTTCGACGTGTTCGCGCGCGTTGGCAATCGTAATCAATGTTTTCGAGACCTTTGGCACGATTTCAACGGAGTGTCTGCTCGTACCCAAGAAGGGAACACGACCGCCACGCGTCGCAGACTCGTTTCAGCGAGGAGCAGACTCACGTCGTGGACGCGTTCGCTGATTTTTGGCAGGTAGGTAAGACCGAATCGTCCATTTTCGTCGCGTTCTACGTTCATCGCGAGTGCCCCCCTCTTGGATCCGCCGCCGTCTCGATTCCGTGCGTCGATCGTGCGTTAGGGATACATGCAAACGGGCGCGCGCCAGCCACCCGAAAACCGTCCACGGTCGCTTTTTACTCGTCTCTGCTACATGTTCCCCGCGTTTCAACGATTGTCCCTTTTCGAAATTATTTTCCTTCTAAAAACGTGGGATGCAACGTTGCAATTAAGCAGAAATTGTCACCTAGAAACGGATCCAATGAATAGAACTGATTCTTGAATGGGCCTCTCTTGGGATCCGCTACCGTCTCGCTTCGTGCGTTAGAGATACTTGCAAATGCGCGCCAGCCATCATTCACGGTTCACGGTCGACGATTATACCCTTTCGTATCGGGTACTGAATTAAAGTTATCCCCTTGCCATGCAATGACGAGTCTGACATGTCACAAGTTCTGGATGTCAAGTTTCAATAATTATGAGGCTACTCACTCGTCATCAAGCTTTATAAATCAAAATCAACACATTTTTACATTGAGAAGGTAGTCGTAAAACAAATCTATTCTTTTTCGTAACCATTCTTTATACGACCTAAACCGAATTAGATATTATACGTTTGAATAATTATTTGGAATTAAATCGTACGTCAAGGGGTTGAACAATTATTTTTCTTCTAGAAACGTGGGATGCAACGTTGCAATTAACCAGAAATTACTATTTAGAAACAAAGAGAAACGTGCACCCCCTGGGATCCGCTACCGCCTAGCTTCGTGCGTTAGGGATACTTGCAAATGCGTTCACGTTCGATTCCCTCCTTTCGAATTACTGAATTAAACTTAAGCAATTAATTTCCATTTAGAAACGTCGGATGCAACGTTGTGATTACCCAGAAATTGTTACCTATTAAAAATCTAATAAAGAGGACTGATTCTTGAACTGATTCTTGGGTCAGGCGGAGGAAGGTGGCTCTCTACACGACGTCCCGAGACAGATAGTCGTTTGCATAAAGAGAGGCGGCACCGAGACATTCTGTTGGGAGACTCGTGCATTGGGTTAGGGGTATTCGAGGCAGACGATACTGTGACGTATCGGGGATGTGACAGAGGGTGAAGCGCGATAAGAAGGGTTGGCGGATCGGAGCTGGGTCGGGGTGGCAGTAGGTCGAGCGCGTACTAGGTCGGTAGGTCGAACAACGTGGGCGGTCATAAACGGTTCAGGAAGGGGTCAGTTGCACGTCACCACGCCGGATCCGCAATGCGGCGTTGTCGCGCGGAGACTGTTGCCGATTGCGTTTTTCGATCGCCCCCCGTTATCGTCGCGGTCCCGGTTCCCACGGCCGCGTGGCGCACGGGGACGTTTTTTAGCGCGCTCGTACGCGCTGGTGCGTCCCCCGTGAAATAACGCCCGACGAACCGCTCGTTTCACGCACGGACACGGTGGCCTGGTTCGCTCGACGGCCGCGAGGCACGCCGAATCGATCGTGAATCCGGCTCCGTTCCGCTCCCGCGAAATGAAACTTTAACGTTGTTGGTACGACGCCGCCCGCCGCGAACGGGAAACCCGGAATGGAGGATGAACAGCGGTACAGCGTTCTGAATACGCGCGGAGAACAGACAGAGGCGAGAGGGTGGGTCGAGACTGTCGCGAGAAGATTTCAATGGCTGTGTTATGGGGACGGAAGATCCGCACTGGGAGCTTTTGTATACATTGTACGTCGATGGATGAGCGTTAAAGGGGATGAAGCTGATCAATGGGGGAATTATTTTCGCTCGTTTTAGTTACGCGTCGACGATGGATGGACTGATACGGGGTCAGGGATGTTAGATTTAGATTTCAATGACTGCGAACGGTGGGAAGCTCGAGTATATTATTTGGAGGTGGATGTATATTTTCGAATAGAACGAAATCAATGTGTAGGAGAAATTCCTTTCGTTCGTTTGGCACATGCATGGATACGCGGATAAACCGAAACGGAAGGGGTCAGGGCTGTTCCGCTCGGATTTCAATGAAAGTGTTGTGGGATGGAAGATCAATATTAGCTGCGGATGGCTATCAATTTGAAATATAATTAGATCAAGGTTTGGGGAATCCTGTCCGCTTGTTTTCAACGTTTATGGAAATTCGGGAGAAAGTAGACGCGGGTAGACCGATACGGTCAAGGCTGTTCTACTTGAATTTCGATGAAAGTGTTGAGGGGTGGAAGGTCAATGCTGATCGCTGACAAAATGATCGGTTCTATTTTCTTTTTTTTTTTAATTTAATATTGAATTTAATTCTATAAAAACATAATATTGCATAATATTCTGCTTCTGCAGAAGATCTTCGAGGATTGTTCGTATCTGGAAATATGTCCCAGTCTCCATAAGCCACGTTGCGTTCCAGTGTTTGCAGTCCGTTATTGTTCGAATCGTGAATCGTGCTCGATATCGCGGTGAATATCAAACATGACAGTTTTCAATCGAAACAATGAAACGTGCTTCCTGTTCCAACAAACTGAAATATTCTACTTTCCTTAACGCTTGTCGATATTGGCTTTGGAAATTTAACAATTTTCATCCTACCGTTTTGAGAAAGATTACGAAACGTTTTTGCAAAGAGAACAGTAGAAGACTAGGAGATATTAGAAAAAAAGAGATTTTCGGAGAACGTAAAATTTTTTATGGAAAAAATAGATATTTTAAAAATATTTGTTATTCGTTTCGCGTTAGATTTTATAAACATTTTTGTAACGCTTGTATAGATAAATAATTAAAATATTAATGAACAAATTAGCAACGAGTTTCACTGGATCCGCCCCAGAAACTATTTATAATTCGAATCAAAATGGATTTCAATTGGAAATTCATTCTGGGATACCATTATCCGAACAAGAAACAAAGTAGAACATATTGTACAGTCTGTATCATAAACTCTTGCACGATACAGCCAACAATTTCTTGCGATGGCAGGCTATTATCACCTTTATTTATCATGCTGCAAGAACATGGTGGACAGTTTGGGCCAAATGAAAAGAAAACCTGTTCAAAGCAACATACCTTCTTCTAACAACATCGAATTCTGGAAAATTGTCGAATCTGAATTTTTTAAAAATTTTAGGTATCAAAGCAAAGTCAAAGACCCCTTTTTCAAAATGATGTTCTAAAATAGTTAAATTTTTTAGATTCGTGCTTCGCTAAATAAGAGCTTATATTAAATAAAAAACGATCGAGGTGTTTTGTTGTATTTTTAGATGTTTCCAAAATGTTGTTGAAACACTTCGAAAATGAAAAAATAAAACGCACTTTTTTGGATGGAACACAAGGAAAGTTTGGAAAATATTTTTGACATTAACTGTTATTGATGGTTGCTGAATTCGTGAGCAAGCTGCATCCTCAAAACGTACGGATTGAAAAGTATAAAGATAGCCCCGAAATTTCTCTCGAAATAGATTAACTTCCGTCTGAAACATTTCATCGAAACAACGTCGGTTTCGGTAATAATTGCAGGGATCCGTTAAAACGGGACACCCTGTACAGACAAACGAGAGTCGTGCGCATACTTGAAACGCTTAAGAAGTTCGATGGGTCATCGAGCCGCGCACAAGCACCGTTTCGTCGACGACGTCGAAAGCAATACGTGTTTATTGTCATATTTGTATTTCGTAATCGCTGTAGACCAAGCAAGCCATGATAAAACAATATACATAACACCTGATAACGAGTATTATTTCTATATTGAATATGTGCTTTTCTTCGCACGCTTGGAGCTTTTAAACAAGATCGATGGAGCACGTGTTGCTGTCTAATTTGTAATTCATAATCAATATAAACTAAGCAATCTTTATTAACACCGGAAGTACCGACAATGATGGTGGTATTTATCATACAAACGTACAATGAGAAATAAATGTTTATTCTCTATCTTATAGAAAACCACGATTTTGCAAAAATCCAGTGGAATAAATTTTTTATAATTTTTATTAGAAATGGGTCATTTTGAACACTTCCGGTAGTTCTAGTGTCAAAATAATAGATTTTCGTGCAGATGGTTGAAACTTTTAAAAAGGATCGATGAAAGACCTTCCACGCGAGTCGTAAAGGGTCAGACATCATAGTCAGCCATAGTGAGGCTTACTCGCGCTGTCCACATTCTACTTACGCGTAGTGCCGCGTCTCAAGCAAACAAGAAGCGGAACATTCGCTTTCTCGATAGTTTATTTCACTACATTAGTTTTTATATCATTTTTGTTTAAAATACTGTTGAAAATGTTAATTTTTCCCTTGACAGTAAATCTTCGCGAACGCTTTCGTTCAATTTTTTAATACTATAATTTGCCCCGAGAAACCAGTCAAATACACGCGTTCCGGATAAATATTCAATATTGTTTTCCTCCAGGGGGGTAAAAGCCACGTACGAGTTTCATTTCATATTTTCGATTTATTTTCTCGCGTAGAACGACAATATTGACGCTTGTACCGCCGATTACCAAACACTGCGTCGATCGACTGTTAAGGGGGAAACAGAGAATGTCCATTTTCAGTGATTTCGGTGTGCGTGTAACACATTTCGTTGGTAGCAATTGGAACTACAGAATCGTCGACTAGCAAAGGGTTTCTCAATGTTAAAAACTCGATGAGTCAAAAAATTTCTATTATAAACAAAAATACAAATGATTCAAACAAGATTGCCGCACGAAGAACGATTTTACGGGACTCTGGCTCGCGCGTGACAAGCGAGTCGGAGATAAACTATTCGACTATTAATAAAGTGGGTGGACATTCCTTCTGTTGGTAATAATAGAAGCTATTTCTTATGTCGTTCCAGTATTTAGCAGAGTCCATCTTGAAAACAGAAATTGAGGTAAGGTAACACGAGGTAAAACGATCCCTGTCGCGTGAACCCGACGTCCATCACACTAATCACCCCTAATTTGAAATCGCTGTTACTGCGTGACAACGTCGATTAATTCTTTCCATGCTCGAAAATAATATTTTTTCTTTTATCTCATAATGTTGTTGTCACGAATGGGAATCTTCGTACGTAATAGTTTAATTCAAGAATTCAAATAAAAAAGATTGCTCCCATTACTCTTAAATAGAATTAAAATTATTTCTTAGAATATATTGCAAAACGCGCGCATAAGTTACGATATACCTTGAGTTTACGTTCGCAGTTAGGAGGAGGGGGAAAGGAATGATCGAAAATTGATTTTTTTTATCCGGAGTATCGCGATTTGGTTCACCGTGGCGGCGTTGCGTGCGCCTGGACCCGGCCTCAGAGGTCACTGTTTCGCGGAGTGCAGCGGGCCTGGAGGGGCGCGGGAGGCGGGCGGAGGGGAGGGGAGGTCAGAATCGGGAGATATAATTCCGAGAGGCAACTCGATGCGGCAAATGCGGCGAATGCGTTGAATGCGACGTAGGCAACGTCATGCGCTCTGAAAGCGACCGCAACCCTCCGTTGAAGGACGAGGCGGCGCGCAGGGGGTGCGTTTGGTCTATAGCGCGTGCGCAGTGGCGCGCGCGCGCGTTCGCTCGATCGGTCGGCTCTCGCGTCGCTCGAAAGGAATCGCCGTGGAACGGTGGTGTACGGAGGTGCACGGTGGTACGCACGCTCGTGGCCTCCGCTGCTGAAAAAGGAGGGAGTCGCAGTGTATCGAGGTTGTGCAGTGTTGCTTACCACGTAGGAGGTATAACACTCGCCGTTTCTACGATAGGATTTCCTTAACATTTTTACGAGCTTTACGTTTGTTCCGCGGTTCGTTCGGTGTTTCTCCCCTATTTTTTCCCCCCATACCCCGAGGGCTCGGTCGGCCACGCGAACGTTATTATTCACGCCTGATCGTCGCGACCGTGAACCCTCTGTCCGCCGATCGGTCCGTTCGCGCGAAACGGGAACAACGATTTAAGAAAGATCGCGGCGATTAGGATACGTCGCGTCGAATGTTCTTACGTGGCACGGCACGCGATCGACAACGAAGGTTAATGCTGGAACTGCCGCGCAATACGGAAACACAGCTGCGTTTGAACGCCAGATCGAAGCCGAAGTCGCGATCCAGATCAAAGCCGCGATCCAAGAAGAAGTTGGGCTCGGACCTGGAACCGGAAGCCGAACTGGATGCCACGTACAGATCGAGAACGGGACTCACGCTGTCCGCCTAGCCCGCCGAATATCCCTGTTTTCCCATCGATGGATATCGCTACGGCGCGGCCGTAATACCGTAAAACAATTACGTTCGATTCGCAGGCAATAAACGGCTGTCTTTTGTCCGTACGCACACGGCAATCGTATCACATATCGAAGCTCATATCGACCATCGTTTCCGTTCGCAGAGCGTTTAGAAAATAAATAAGGAAAAGAGGAGAGAATATAAAGTGGTGTGTGGTGTATCGGGGTTTTTTGCGGGGGTTATCGAGCTTGCGTTCGGAACGTGAAACGTCCCCCCGTCGCTACGTAACAGAGAAAACGTCGCGAACCGTACTTAATATTCTTTACTGTGGTGCCTAAATAACTTAAGTAAAGAACAAAACAAAAGAAAGAAAAGAAAAAACAAATACTAGTGCCTATACAACGTATGCGCAATAAAATATATCAAACGTTACGACATTGAAACATATTGACTCGCTGAATACAGGATACGTTCGAGGAACGACACACGGGTGAATCGATATGCCTGTTGTGTGCCACGGCACAGAGATCTGATCGTTCATAACGTATCTATAGATCGCAACGATATTCACGATTATCGGATGGACGACGAAGAGATGCGACTCTGATCGGTTTTTATCGGCGAATTATGAGACTCGGGCACCAAGAGATAGACTCGGCCGAGCTCGTTCCGTTTCACGGATAAGGGAAGAATCGAGTTGACCTTCTGGCACCGTGCTCGATCGATCTGTTTCATTGGATCTTCCTTTCGTCGCGTCCGCCCCCCCTTCGAGATTCTCGAAGGCGACCCGAGCCTTTTCCCGGTTGCAGTAGTTTTCAAGATACGCGACAATGTCTCGTTTAATGCTGTGCAATCTTGGCAATACGTCCACCGCGGGGAACGATACCAATAACAATGCGAATACTAACAGTAGTATGGAGGACGACGAGTATTACCCGCTGCCTACTATCTATCGGTGAGTAAAATTTTCACCAAATAACCCTCGTTTCCGCGCGAAAAGGAAAGCCATTTTCGTTTAATACGTCTTAACAGATTACCGAACGATCGAGGAGATCTACCCCTATTCGCAATACGCTTCCCTAAATCTCTACACTTCTACGTAATATCGAATACAAAACACGGTCACGTTCTAATTATAGACCCAATACTAGGAATTCAAATTTGTCCTCGTTGGAAAATGTTACGTGTTTCCACCCTGCTTGTTTATGTCGAGCCATTAATGGCGGTTTTAACAGTTTTTTCCTTGCACGTTTGAAACGTTTACGTTATTATTTATGGCAGAAATTATTCTGTATTTGTTACCATCCTTTAATTTTATTAATTATTTAAAACGCGACATAATCTTTGTTTCTCGAGCAATTTCTGTTTGGGAAAGTCCTGCACAATTACAAAGAATTATTTTCTAAATTATTTCTTAAAATTTAATGATCTTAGATTAATTTCGTGAATGTTTTCGCAAAAGTATCATCCACTTGTGACTATTTTCGTTTTGATAGCAACGAACATACGCACAATTCAGAATATACGAATTCAGAATTTATACGATTATTGGTCCTAACGAGCAAACAATACAAATTGTCGACCCTTAAGGTTAAGGTCATCTTCAAACCTTAACGTTTTGAAAAATAGAAATTGTCATTTTTTTCCGCGATAATTTAACGCAAACCAACGTATTCTATTTACGTATAATTAATAAATTAGAACCACGTGGTCATATCAGATTTAGTGCATGACAATTTTAACAAAATTAAGATAGTCTAAAGAATGTCAAAAGTCTACTAAAACACTGTCTAGTTTGCATTAATTTTATACATGCCAAGAAACATTGTACTTTATTAGAAAGAAAAAAAAAAGTATAGTAGTGTCCATATTAACATATGTTAATATAACAGTCCAGTTAATATCCACGACTTGGAAGACTGAAATACACAAGGAGTTAGTCACAATTATTTTTATAAACGTCCATCCTTGTACCAAATAGCATCGTATTAATTTTGGCATGTGAGATTCGACCGGAAGCTCTATAAAGATTTAAAGAATGATCGCGTTCAGAGTGCATCTTTAACGTTTTCGAGGAGGGGATCGAAATACCACAACGCAAACATGTCGACTATTTTACATAATACCACCGAGTTGACTATATCCGCGATATAAGTGACTTTGTTCGACACCCGGAAAAAATTCAATTACGACACAGTTAGACGACGAAGTCGAAATGTGTCAGTTTCATCGATAATCGTCGCTGCAGCCACCAATATTGGGACAACCAAATTATTCGACACTTTTATTATTTAGTTTACCTTTACGAAAACCTCCTCGCTCTCTCGCAAAGTGACCACGCGTCGCGTACCGATATTATCGAGGCTTTGTTGTTGCAGTGGGTGATTTAATAATTATTTTACACGACGTAAAAGTGCATTTTAAAATCGATGGAACGGCCACTCTCAACGGAGCTAAAATTACTATGCCAAGACAAAACATCGAGTTTTCTAATATTTTGCTAGGAAGCCTCCGCGGGCATAAATTCTATTGACAATACCATTAAAAGACCATAAATAAAAGCTCACAGAAGCCTTGATTAAAAATGTGTTCGTAGGTTTTTATTAACATTGATAGATTTTTGTTTCTTTTTTTCAAATAAATTTCGTTTTATCTATTTTATCCAAAAATATATGTTCGTATATGTACAACTGAATTCTACGAAAAAAACAAATTTTATTGCTCGATGATAATACTAATGGTTTGAATGATATTCTGCATGTTTCAATTAATAGTTGCAACTAAATTAAAATTAAAATATTCACTGTTTTAAATTCGTCAGAATGTACATTTTGAGCGAGTGTAAATAATGATTAATAAAAATATTTCAAAATCTATGAAATATTAACCTTTCCATTCCCATTGTAGCCACACGATTATAGAAAAAACAAATCGAAAGTAACGGATGAAATTTGTTCGTTTGCTATCGAAAAAAAGTGTATTTGCAGATCAATCTTGTACGCATGCACCTAACTCGTGACCGACGTTGCGGATTTCATAACAGATCGCTCTACTGTAGCCATTTTTGGACTCGATACAATGTCAGAGCTTTTTCGCTGTCAGTACTTATTTATCAACGTGTTCTTAAGGCGTTAAACACACTAAATAAGAGTAAATAATAATTATAAAATCATTAAATATTCTTCAAATTAAATTAAAGCCTTGCGTATCCTACTACAAAAATGATTAATTCAATACATACATTGCGTTCGATTCGTAAACCTTAAGAACGCCCTAATAAAGACACTGATTATATTCAATTGCATATTTTTCTAAAACGAAGCCTCCAAAACCAATTTTCGTCTGGTTTGCATTCGGGATCTATATGTTCGTGACTTCCCTAAAACTCCTATCATTCGTGTCAGATCCGATTGAAACTTTGTTCACTTGCCCGTTATAGTCCAACAAAAAATATAGGCTACTTAATTTGCGGAGATATTAGTTGCAAAGCAGACTAAGGGGAGGAAAGACTCGGTTCCTCGACTGTACAAATCCCCGAGTTTCCGAGCAAAGTCGCAAAGATTCGACTTCGTTTCGCGTTTTCAAGAGTCGTGGGTCCTGCGCGCGGACACTCGAGGGTTTAAGGGTTGGAACGAGTACCGTGGCGAGAAATTGTTAAATCTATTTCCAGTCGGTACTCGACGAGAACACACGTAAACGGACTTTGACGGGAGCGATATATCAGGAACCGTGTAGCCATAAAGGTTTTGCACGGTTGTATCGAGCCTTCGATCGATCGTAACCTATTAATACTTTGTATACTTTGTGCGCGCAGCTGCCGTGCACCTATAGCGAGTCTCGATTGCATGGAAGAGTTCAACGGCGGCGGCGGCGTCGGTGGCGGCGGTGGCGGCGGCGGCGGCGGCGGTGTGGATTCCGGTGTGCACTGCAGCAATACCGCTGGAACGAAGGAACAGCTACTGACTAACTGCATTGCCGCACAAGCGCAACGCTTACAGCATCCTTCGCCAGGTATTCGCTACCGCAACTTGGGCAAAAGCGGTCTACGTGTTTCCAATGTTGGATTAGGTACGCTGAATGTTTTCCCCCACTTTCGTAGAGTCGAACAGAATCGCGGCTACCCGTCCGTTTTATTTCATTCTCGATGTAAACCAGTGGTTTCCAAACTTTACGAAAAAGTCGCCCTCCTTTGAGCAAAAAAGAATTCGAAGTCAAGGAATCATGCTACTCGAGATCGCGAATATTTTCTTAGCCGGGGGGGGGCGGACACGATTTGGAAAACACTGACGTAAACACGCTTCCCTCTGAATCGCTCGGACGGTAGTTTGCCAAAAAATTTGCTTGTTTTGCAGCGAGTCCTCGAGTTACGCGGTTTCGTAGACTCCCCTCCTCCATTTGTCTTATAAATATTTTATACACGTTTTCGTCGATCTCTTTTTATGAACGAGCACGTACGGATCCGTTGGATTTTTGTTAACTTTCGTGTCGAAAATTCTAGACCAAATGTATTGCACGGAGGAAGAGAAATGAGACCTGGCGGGAATTCGAATCTTGCAGTCTGCTTTATAGTTAATATTTCCGCAAATTAACCCTTTTGTTAGGTCTTAAAGACTCTATATCGTCGTTTGTTCATCCCACGTTAAATTATTTTATACGAATAAAAATTCTAGTATTTGCTTCGAGGACTTGCTGTATTTACTTTCGACTGCGAATGCAACGAATTCTGAGACAGACGTTTTTCTTCCACCGATAGACGCGTTTTCACTCAACCACTCCACCTCCCCCACAACCCTTTCTTTACGTCTCTATTTTCTCCCTGTTCCACGTCTGCTTATCGCTTTCAATCGACGCTTCTATTCTACGATATATACGCGCATGCAAGCTTTTCGTGCCTGTTTTCGTAAAAGAGTGACGATCGCGCGAAATCAGGATGGAAACGCAAGGTACAGTATTGCCTCTCGGGTTGTCGCGGTCTCTGAGGGGACCGGGAGCTGCGGCCACCCGAGAGGCTGATGAGCGAAACTCGATCGCTGGCGACTCTCTCGCGACAACCCGTGAGACAACACTGCGGTTTGAACACTCGAAATCGACCTTTCAGCAAAAAAATTAGTTTGACATGTCTGTTGTGCACCTTCGAATTGGTTCATTACGCGCGTGCGTGTTTTTTTTCAAAAAGGTTGAGAGTAAACGAAAAGGGAATGAACCGACGGAGAAAAGAAACGAGAGGCTTCTGTTATGCGCAAGAACGGTGGTCGGAGAGGAACGAAAACGGTAGCAAGAGGGCGATTGCTCGAAACTATTGTCCCAGGGCAAAAATTAGGTAGAGTAGCGGCAATTTTCTAGTCGACTGTGCCCCGCAAATTCACGCTAGAAGATACAGAGAGAAGGTAAGCCGAGTAACGCGCGTCGTTTCGCTAAGAATTCTAACGATCGCGGAGCCCACCGGTGTCCATCGTGCGCGACGAAGGGAACGCTGGGGTAGGTAGACACGAACCGAGGGTTTCTAAAACAAAAAAAAAGTTACACCGTTTCCGGACGGTTGGAAAGGATGGAAAATCGACTCAACGTTCGCTGGAACACAAACGGATCGGCTAACAAAGTTCGCTTTGCACGCGTAGGTACGTGGACGACTTTTGGCATTGGGAGTTGCACTAGCGAGGAGACGGCCGAGGCTGTGGTCGCCCTCGCCTACGACAGTGGCATAAACGTGTTCGACCTGAGCGAAGCCCACAGCGGTCATCGGGCGGAAATCCAGTTTGGACGAATTTTGTTGCGGCGGGCTTGGAATCGTTCCAGCTACGTCGTCACCACCAAAATATACTGGAATACCAAGTGAGTGTGAGCGTGATGGAATACCAACCAACCATAGACTTTTATAAATAAAAAACGATACCAGTCAGGGTTCGAACTTTCATCCTCATTGGAGACACTATCTCACTATTCTAATATTTAATAAATGTAAAAAAAAGCATTTTGTAGTAGTTTTTAAGCGCGGGTCACAAGTAACCCCGTCGTCTTTTGGACTACCGAAATATCGAGCCGTACTCACGGAATTTGTGTCGCAGGGCGGAGGGTCGTGGATTATCGCGCAAACACATAATCGAATCGGTACAGGCGTCGTTGGTCAGGCTGCAGCTCTCCTACATCGACATAGTAATGATTCACAAGGTCGATCCGATGTGCCCCATGGAAGGTTTGTTCTCCAATCGTGAAACTAAAGTTGCGGACAAAATTCTACTATAGTTCATACTATAACTATTATGAACTTAAGTTTTACATGTATACCTTTATGGTACATAGATTATTTAGCAAATAACTGAAATTAATGTTTACATTTACAATTTCGTTAAATATATCTTATTTCAACACAAATGTATATATTAATTTCTATTATACGTTAAATAATCTATGTACCATAAAGATATACAGCCACCTCTAGGAAAAATTTTAATGGGAGATTCTAGAGGCCAAAATAAGACGAAAATCAAGAATACCAATTTGTTGATCGAGGCTTCGTTAAAAAGTTATTAACGCTCAAAGTTCCACTATCGCTGTTCACCGATTGCCGTTCTACAGGCGGAACTTTAAACGTTAATAACTTTTCAACGAAGCTTCCATCGACAAATTGGTATTCTTCATTTTCGTCTTATTTTGGCCTCTAGAATCTCCCATTAAAATTTTCCTTTACCTGTCCACGTAATTCTGTCCGCAACTGTATACATTTTTTAATTTTTTTTCTTCAGCGTCTTGTTCTTCTTTCAGAGATAGTACGCGCTATGAATTACGTGATAAGCAAAGGATGGGTGATGTACTGGGGAACGTCCCGTTGGACCCCTGTCGAGATTATGGAAGCATATACGAATTGTCGTCAATTTAACTGTGTCACACCGATCGTAGAACAGGCCGAGTATCATCTATTTTATAGAGAAAAGCCGGAGCTCTATATGCCGGAGTTGTACAACAAAATAGGTACGGAGTGTTCGTTCGATGAAATTAACGTTTCTTGTACCTGGTTACGTGAACTAAATTTGTCCGTAGGGGTGGGCCTGATGGCGTGGTCTACGGTCACGATTGGTATGGTTTCTACGAAACCAGAAGACTACGGGGTCTCCTTTTTGTCGAGATCTTCTTACAAGGTAACGTTGTAATCAGAATCGCCTAGCAGTATGACAAATTTAATGTTCTGGTTTGGATGGTCCAAGCAATACTGGTCAACAGCAAATATGCATTCTTCGTCTAACAAGTCTTGCAACTTTAATTACGAAAATGAAGGTTTAAAAAATATTGGCTCTAGTTCCTTTAAAACAGAAACTAAAAGTTCTTTCCAATTTAAAATCTTTGCAGACTATTTAATTTAATTTGATTCTTTCTTTTCTAAGGGTGTGCAGAGAATACATTCTTCGCCTCTGTAACACCAATTACAAACTATTGTTGGAACCTAAACGTAAACGACATTGAGCAAACTTACACTTACATCGATCCACTTGAATTATATCATGTGTTACATTTTTCAAACCAGAGCCAATTAATCCTTTTTAATCGTAAAGAATACGAACTGTTGTTTAGAATTTGTTGACCAGTGTGATTGATCTAATCGTTGCGTTTTCTCAAGGTCCAGGACAGCGATTTTCAAGTTGTTTGGAAGACACCTCCTAAAAAATAAGAAAATGTATACGTCTGTGATGGGTGGTAGGTTCAAAACGATACAAGAAAAACATACTCCAACGGTTGTTAAACTTTCCCGTTCAACGTATCGATACGAAGATTTGTTTTAAGTTGTATATTAAAAAATTTCTCGTTAAATGAAAATTCGAATTTGGATTATGAAAAGAAAACATTTCACAATGAACGAATAACCATTTAATTATTCAACCGAATAAACCTCACGAATAAATTACTAAATGTTGATTTTCATACGTTGCCCGTTATTTCAATAAAATTTTGCCCATCTCTGTGCAAAACATGTAGGATATCGTGTTTCCAAAAAATGGCAATTTTTATTTTTTAATTAACAAAACATCAGCTCGAAAACGACCGTCTAGCCCAGAATATTCTCTGAACCCTTCATTGTACAACCCTTCTGAAGTTCACTGAGGAAATTAAACTTACCCTTAATTAATAAATAACCAAGACATGATTTTTTTTGCAAGAGACATAATAGAACTCATGCAATGGAGGGTTGATTGTAACAGACTGTAGTAACACCAGCGATAGGCGTCAATGTTTGATGTTTGTATCGAAAAAAAAAGATACTAGTGAGACTCGTGTCCTCGATAATCGACTAAAGTAAGAAATACTTATGATTTCAGAATAAGTATTCGTCGTTCAGTTGGACGGAGGACGAAACGCAATCTTTGTACAAAGAGGTACGTATTTTGGTAGCGTGCATACTGTTTTCTAATGCAAACGAAAATACGAGTATCTTGGCGGGGAAAAAGAAGGATCCGAGTCGTATTGGGTCAGCTAGAAATGGGCAAAAGCTTTTACTCGGTCGAACAATTAAATTCGTTCATTGTGAAATAATTCATTCCGTAACTGTAATCTTTACTCCACGAATAACGAATAGAGAGCTATTCACCTGTTATCATAAAAAATCTACAAAGGAAGTTTGTCCACATTCAACTCAGTTGTAGTGCTACTGTGCAGAGACCAGAAGTTGGCTAGCAGGTCTGATTGGCCATAGTATACTCTTCTTTCCATAAAGATATAGATCTATAGAAAAAAGATTATACCATAAATCAGTCAGCGGAAGAACATTCTTACAATTCTAGCCCCTATTATGACTCTGCTTGCCACACAAAATGGAAGTTAAATCCAAATGTTGGTTCTGGCAAAGACGTTGATTAGAAAAAGGAATTAGATATGGTCTGTGAACGCGACCGTTACTTTGCTCGTGTTTTAGCAGGAATTTGGCTGGAAGGAAAAGACGGGCGAGGAAGAGACGCGGAAGTATTCGGACAAAGTACGGGACGTGTGCGCTCTCGCCGAACGACTCGGCTGCTCTTTCGGGCAACTCGCCATTGCGTGGTCCTTAAAGAATGAAAGTGTTCAGTGCCTTCTCCTCGGTGCATCAAACATAGATCAACTGTACGATAGTCTTCAGAGTTTACAGGTAATTTACACCCTATACTATAACAGTAAAACACCGATTATCCAGCATACTCGGGACTGGGGCCAGATAATTGGACTATACCTATACCGCCATGATTGGTCAGTGTTTTTCGTTAATAATTCAAAAACGAAGTCCCATCCGACATTTTTGCAAAGGAAATTGTTGTTCAGAATCGTCTCAGCTACCCTACATTTCCGGTTTTTACACTATTTACGGGATACCCTGTACATGACGTGATAAAAACGAGGAATATGATCACAGATGAGGTATACGAGTAGACCTTATATCCAAAGTATTCTTTTGACCCATTTTCCTGGGGCTCATTATCATTTTTGTGTCACACACAACAATACCAACGGGTTACAGACATGAACACAAGAGGAAATGACACAGAAAGTGAAATTATAGAAACATTACTGGCCACACGTTATATTATATTTTAAAGAATTTTTTTCTCGAAAATGATTAGAATTTCGAGGGTATGTCTGGTCACCAAAAATGATCGTAATTAGCCCCTGCAATGGAAAATAATTTTTCCAGAGTGATTTGAAATTTTTCAATTTTTACGAAAAAATGCACCTACCCCTGTCGACTTTTCTTAAGAATTCGTTTCTGATTTTTAATAAATTTGTTTGACACGTTACGCAAAAGTTGTTTAGCACTTTTTTGTAGGTGCCCAAGAGCTCTACTTCCCCCCAAAATTTCATTGAAATATATTCATTATTGTGGGAGTTATGGCTGTTTGAAAATTGGACCATTTTCATGGAGTTTTTCTCATTTTATGGGGTCAAGGAACAACTTTTTTAATATTCTTAGAATTTCTACATATTCTTCACTAAAATACGCGTTGTTTGCATTTTGAAACATTAAAATCCTTCAATCCGTTCAAAAGTTATGATGTTTTAAAGATATGCATTTCAGGGAACCATTTCAGGCCAGAAATTATATTTTCCGTAAGGAATTTTTTCTTCGAAAGTGCGTAGAAATTCGGGATGATGTGTATTGACCAAAGATGATTGTAATTAACCCCTACAACCAAAAATAATTTTTTTAGAACGATTTGAAATTTTTTAATTTTGTTGAAAAATTTCACATCTTTTCGAATTTTTTTCTCGAAAGTGGGTAGGATTTCGGAGGTATGTCTATTCACCGAAAATGATTATAATTGGCCCCTGCTAACGAAAATAATTTTTCCGGAGAGATTTGAAATTTTTCAATTTTGCCGAAAAAATGCACCTACCCCTGTCGATTTTTCTTAAGAATTCGTTTTTGATTTTTAATAAATTTGTTTCACGCGTTACGCAAAAATTGTTTAGTACTTTTTTGTAGATATCTAAGAGCTCTACTTCCCCCTAAAATTTCATTGAAATATATTTACTATTGTAGGAGTTATGGCTGTTTGAAAATTGAACCATTTTCATGGGGTTTTTCACATTTTAGGGGGTCAAGGAACAACTTTTTCAATATTGTTTTAATTTCTACATATTCTTCGCTAAAATACGCGTTGTTTGCATTTTGGAACATTAAAATCCTCCAATCCGTTCAGGAGTTATAATGTTTCAAACATACGCATGAAATTTCGGGGCAACATTTCTGGCCTCACATTAGATTTTCGGTAAGGAATTTTTTTCTCGAAAATGCGCAGGAATTCGGGGGTATGTCTATTCACCAAAAATGATTGTAAGTGATCCTACCAGCCAAAAGTAATTTTTTCAGAATGATTTTGAACGATTTTTCTTAAAAATTTGTTTTTGATTTTTAATAAACACGATGGGTAATGTAATAGTTCATTAATAAAAAATAAAATATATAAAATTCCTACGCTTTATTCGTCAACTATTTAGTATCTCAGAAGAATACTATTTAATCTCATTCAAATTTGTTCATACGTACGATGTCCATATAAAAAGGAACAGATTTGTTTTACATTCGTCGTCGTGGAACATGGGATTAAATAAAACAAATCTAAAGATCAAGCGAGCTTAGAAAAATGATTTCGTGGTCCGTGTGTTTCAGCTGATCCCGAAATTGAACGCCAACATAATGAACGAAATCGAAAGGATTCTCGACAACAAACCGTCCCGACCTCCGATGATCTCCACTCTGGCGCTTAGATGACAATCAATTTGCCCTCACGGTAGCGGTGGGGGCTCACTAGAGGACGGAGGCAGCCCGAAGAGCGAGGGCGCCAACAGCCAAGATCAGGAGACGACCAAGGAACTGACCGGCAAACTACCGTTTTGCGAGATACAATGAAACGGCTTGTACGCGATCACGTATACGTTCGTGCACACTCTGATCCCGCTCGAAGCGATCCGGATCGAGGAGAACCGAATCTGAATATCCAAAGACATGCCCGAAACACACACGGCCAGGCAGAGGATGAAATTTTCCATGTTGATATCCGCCATACGCGCGGGCGGTCAGTCCGCGATCGGGGATGTCCCACGCGCGCGAGTTGTTCTCGCGTTATGAATCGACGACAATACTTACGATTACGGTTACGGTCACGGTTTACCGCTGCGATTGCGTTTACAATTGCACTCCGATGATCGAAAACGCGTTGGACGGATTTTCTTTCCTTTCTTTTTTGGAAGAGACGCGGAAAGGGGGGGGCGGACACGCCACCGCCCCGGTTGACGATTTTTTTTTCGTACCCCGACGACGCTCGTGCAACGGTACCGCCGAGAAACACGATTATCGGGTATCCGCGTCACAGCTTTTTCGTTTAGGGAAAGATCAACGACGAGCCAAGGTTTTCTACGAGAGTCAGCGAGTCGAATCTTTGTTCACGATTCACTACGCCAAGTGTTCATTAAAAGCTAAATAGTATGATGTAGCGCCCATCCGTTACGGCCCGTAGAGAACGGTATATTGTCGCAAATGAAAACTACTGCGTTTCCGCTCCGAGGGCATCCGTTCCCGTTTTGCCCGTTACGCGATTCCTCGCGGCTCGGGACAGGCGATTGTTTATTCCGCGACGTTCACTCGTACTTGGTGGGACAACGCTAACTATCTCCTGGATAGACCTGGTTGATCTTCTTTTGGAAGAAACATCCTGGTGTACGGAAGTTTTCCAGGTAAACAGATGGGGAGGCAGAGCTGGATGGTTTCATGGCTATTTAGATCTTCCTTTGAACCTTAAAATATAAACATTTGGTATCAACTGAAGAAGTTTACCTTCAACTACTTGTTACTGATATGGAGAATGTCGAGAGTAGGCGGTTTTCCACGTGGACAGAAGCAGAACTGGTTTTCTGGCTAGCCTAGTTGGATCTTCCTTTGTACCCTGAAACAGAAACATTTGATGGTGACTGAAGAAGTTTGCTTTAAACTTCTTAAGAGTGAGATGCTCTAGTGTACACAGTATGAACTATTATTGATATTGAGAATATTAAGAGTAAGGGGATTTCCACATAGATAGAACTGGATCGTTTCATCCTTCGAACTCTAAAACTTAAACATTTAACTGGGGAAATTTACTTTACGCTATTTACTTGTTATCAAGAATAAAATACTCTAGTGTACACCAGTATGTATTATATTGAGAATATTGAGAGTAAGGGGTTTTTTACACACATGGAATCAAAGCTGGATGGTTCCCTGGCTAGGCTATTTAGTTCTTCTTTTGGACCCTAAAACATTAGCATATGATGTTCACTGAAGAAGTTTGCTTCTAAACTACTTGTTATCACTTTTAATCGACACAGTATATCTGTCATCGATATTGAAATGGCATCACAGATGTGTTGTTTAACAGCAAGCTCAGATGGATCTTCTTTTGGACCGTAGAACATTAACACAGACAACACTTAAGGTCCACTGGAGAAGTTCACGGTCAAACTACTTGTTATCAAGAGAAAAATTCTTTCCTAAATAACGTTTGTTGCTACAGCCTGGCCATCGAATCAGGACCAGTCGAGACTCTCGTTTCGTTGTATTTGTCCCACCAAGTATGGGTTTCCGAGGGAGACAGCACCGTTTCGACGACGGCGTTGTGAGATTATTCGCGAGACGTTTCATCTAGTTTTTAAAGTATCGATTCGAACATCTGTCGCCGCTCTTTTCCACCTCGCGATCGGACGAGTGTTCGATCGGGTCCTTTCTCAAGTACCTAGAGCGTGTATAGCTCTCGCTGTACCGTTCGTTATCGGAAAAGGACAGCAGGCTGGCTAAACCAGCCAACTAGACCTACACCAAGTGCTAGACACAGTGGCTCGAGTTAATATTCGGGCACCATACGTACTCCATAAACTCTGGACTTAACAGGGGCTTGGAGGATTATTTCCCGAAACTTTGTTTAATTTGCTGACCCTGGCCATCGAATTAGGACCACTCCACAGACTTCTTCGTTTCTTGTTTGTACTTTTTATGGTAAACAGTGGTCGAATATTGACGCGAATCGCCGTAGCTCGCTGGGCAGCCGCGTAGATAGGTGAACTACATAGACGGGTAGATAGGTAATTAGATAGACGCGCGTAGTCGAGGTAAATTGGTTAGGTAAGTATGTACATAAGTAGATAGCGATAGGAATGCACGAACGGCGGTAAGTGAGAAAAACAAAAAGGAAATTTTGCGGTTGCACGCGACACCGCTCTGTCGTGGGACGAACGAGATGATGCGTGAAAAAAACGAGAATTTATCGTGATTTGGTGGGAGTCAGAGATGGGTAAAATCGAAAATTACGGATAAAAATTTGCTTCCCCCACCCTTCGTTGACTAATCGACCTTTTCGAACCACTTAAATTTTCGACGAGTCTTAAACCTAAAACCTTAAAGTTAAATCTGAAACCCTTGGAGGGAAAAGATACTGTATTATATTGGAATGTAAACTTCATTTGTAAATAAAGGGCATCGATGCTGTGTACAGTAGTTTATTCTACGTTTCGATCACTAATGTACGTGTGTGTGTGTGCGTGAGTACCCTTTTCAGGAAACAGTAACGAAACCTTATTTTATTGTTTTTATAGTATTCTAATTCCGATACATTCCTTTCTTAAATCGCTATACACAGCATCGATGGCTATTCGCTTAAAAAATTTTGCACATTGATTCGAAAGCTTGCTCGAATTATATTCTGCCCATCTCTGGTGCGAGTCGTTCGGAGAAAGCGCGTCAGCCACAAGAACGTTTCTACTCTACGCTTATTTCGTATTACGTAAATTCGGCGGATTCGTTATTCTGCTAAATATCACCTTTATGCTAAAAAAAAAAAAAAAATATATAAGAAATGAAAAAAAAACGGCGTCTTCTCTCGCGGCCAGGTTCTTTGAATCAAAACCGTCCTTATGGCGCGGCGTAGCCTCGTGAAATCATCGAGATCAAGCTTGCAAAATAATAAATTATCGCTCGCGCGCGCCGGCTCAAATTTCACATTTTTCGACGAAACCAGCGAAACCGTAAACAGGCACGATAAGAGAACAATTTTTAAAAAGCAGACGGACGAAGAGAGAGAGGATGTTAAGATCGAAACGGCGCGAAGGTACGATGGTGCTTCGAACGTGAAATCCGATCGTCGATCCGAATTTCGAGCAAAGAAACAGGACCACAGATCAGCGGAGAGACGATCGATCGACGTTATCGTCGATGAGGAGATCGGTATTCGGCGATTCTCTTAAAAATCCCCCCACCCCCCCAAACGTGTGTTCCAACAGTGATAAGAAATCTCGTCGGAACGGCTCTGATAGGGATTCGATCAAGCATCGATCAATACGATCGATATTAAATATCGATCGCGAGCCGGTTACTTGCGTCGATTTAATGGTAACTACTTAACCCACCGTTCCGATACGTCGCGATCAATATAATGTTTTCCACGAATGTTTTTATTGAAAATAACGAAAAAAAACTATTAACGCGATAACACACAATTGTAATGTCGTGCACGCCGTGCTGACACGGCGACAAAATCGTGTACAGACCCGAGGAAATTATGCTCGACGAACGAAACGATTCGACGGCGATTAGACCGCTGAAGCCGTCGAGTGTTTCGTCGTTTCGTTGTTGGTTCCTGTGTTTCGCGAGTGGACGATATCTAGATAACAACAAAAAATGTGTATATATCGATCGTGCATCGTTCGCGATTAATCGAGAAACGATCGAAGATGGTTAGCAGCGACATACGGAGGGTGGTCAGGAGCGATGAATCGCGACGAAACTTTTTTTAAAACGGTTGGCGAACGATCGATTCCTCGTGGCCGGAATCGCGGCGAATTTTCGTTACGAATAACCGACACGTCGGATATCCCGAAACGATTTGTTAATAAATACTAATTCACCGACGAAATATGAACGAATCGAACGGTTCGTGTCGGTTATTCGGAAACGTGAATTTTTCTCGAATTCTGCTCGTGGCCATTTCTTGCCGCTTTAAGGGTTGTAGTCGAGCCTCAGAATTTCCAATTTCAAGTTCTTTTCTTTAACTTTAAATTCCTAGGAGATGGATAATTGTGTAATCGTTCGAAATGTACCATAGAGTATTGTTCGTTGTTCTATGAATTTTGTCAAAATTTCATTAAAAAATATTGAGAATCACGGGGAGTTACGTTTAATTAACGTGTGGTTATTTTTTTTGTTTTTAAACGTAGAAAAAAGAAATTTGTTACACTCTAGGATGTGTCAGGAGCAAAATTTTGTTTTTTTTACTAGAGGTTTTCACTAAATTTCAATTTTATTGATGTATACAAGTTTGTACGATACGCTACAATAAAGATGCATTATTGTTATTATCATTAAGAATTGTTCTCAGCTTTTTTTTTTTACAAATTCTGCTTCCGACACGTCTCAGCTTTTACTTAATTTTTAACACGATTTCGATTCTTTATTCCCAATGTGGGCTCAAACATATTAGTTTTACTGTTTAATTATTCATACCTTACATTAATTATCAATCAAGAAACAATTAGAAGCACGATATTGTAAAACAGTTCATTTTCATTCTCAATCGAGATTAATCGATTGTTGTTTAACAGAAAAAACCACACAATTTACTCGATTAAAGTTATTATACCAATAATACATCGAAATTTCTTTATCTTTCGTTCTTTATTCGAAATTGCAGTCTCTAAATACTCGCCGTTTGGAATTAGGGTAGCCATTTTATAAACTCTTAAAACTTTTCTGTAACACGTAAAGAGGAGCAGTTTTTCGAAAGTTTTGAGGCTCGACAGGTGTTGCATATATTTTGGCTGCGCGTTGTAGGTAGGTAGATGGCAAATGCGCACAAAAAAAACACTATAGTCGAGTTTTATTGTCGCTGCACGATTATCGGTTATCTTATCTCGTTACCGTAGATGGGTAATTATCGTCGTACGAAAACACTTGAAGAACAGGCGGTAATCGTAAGAAAAATTCGCCCAGAACGGGGCAAACGTTACAATTAATCTTTCGAGTCGGTTTAAAAAAAACTCGATATTTCAATCCTTTATAACCCGCTATACATATTTGTTAAGTCAACTAACTATTTTACAATTTTTCACACCGAGGGTGGATACGGTTAAAATTTCAATTTGCATCCGATCGCTAATATTTATCGATGTTCCTATTTCATAACTCTATTCTAAACACAATTTGGGTTACGAAGGGTTGGAAACGAATCAGTTTTATTCGTTGTTCGGGAATAAAATTTGCCCAACTCCAATGGCGCCAGAGATTAACTTTTAACATATTATACATTAGGAATTCTATAAAATAACACAGTGGACTAGACGAAACGTATTAAAGTGTATGTATAACACATCAAACGCCTAGATCGCAGACAGATACCGAGCGTACGCCATTTTGCATCTCAAGAGTCATAGGCTATCGTTAATCTAGCCTACTTGATATTTTTACGACCACTCGTAAACTGATTTATCGTAACACCTGTGGAAACATAAAACGCAACTCTGTAAAGAGGATTCAGGGATTTGTAACAACCTGACGACGCGTTGATTCATCTTCTTGAAGCTTGTACGGCCATCAGGGAGCCCTCGTTATTTCGTTAATAACTCGTTGGCTTAATTGAATTGATACTCGCCAATTTAGGCAATCCCCTCCTCTAACCTCTTTAATACTATGCCAAGTTATCTCGAGTTGACCGAAATTATATAATTTAGGCTACGGTCGGTCGTAGATCCCGCGTAATGGTTCGCGTGTTATATCAACTCGAACAAGCAGAATTCTGAATTAGATTTACCGCTAATATATTTTTAATCGATTGTTAAACGATGTTATTATCCGACGATAACAAAATTTCGCTTGTCCTTATTGGCGTGTATCCATCGAGCCAGAAAAATGGGTTTCGAACATGAAGTCGACGTTAAGTTCTGAACTATTGTTGTCTATTTTTAAAAATCGTCTAATAGCGTCTGATTCAAAATAATCGACATACGTTTTGGGATGTTTGCCTAATTTCGAGGTACAGAACCGTTGCGAGTCCTTCGACAGGACTTTAGTATTACCACGTACGCTATAAACGTGACTACGAGCACACATCTACCTACCTACAAAGTTGGGCAAATTTAATTCACGAATAACGAATAAAATAACGAACGTCGATTAAAAGCATTTACGAACGAATCCAGAATTGTTTGCACGTTATTCGAGAACGAAATCTGCCCAACTATGTTTACATACGCTGAATTTTACGTGTTTGCGGGACCATATAATAAGTTTGACGAACACCGTGATTTCTTTGATTCTTTTTACGTTGCATGTGACGTGTGCGTGTGTGTGTGTGTGTGTGTTAATTGTCCGTTGCGACGTTGCTTCGAAAGCAGTATGCGAATATTGCAATACCATCAACGCCGACACCATTTTTCCCTCCCCCAGCTTTTTGCTACATGCTTTATATCAGCGTTGGGCAAACGGTAATCGCGAATTGATTACACTTTGCATTATGATCCGATCGATAAGTTAATAATAGAATGTTAACTAAAAGAGAGAGAGAGAGAGAGAGAGAGAGAGAGAGAGAGAGAAAAGAGAAAAAAAAACGCAAGCCGGTAAAAAGTTGAAGCGAAATGATCTCTTGATTGAACGATTGCGAATTGTATTTACAGATTGTAAATGTTACTTATGATTAATGATTATCGTCACGATTACTTCTATTTGTCCGTTACGAAACTAATTATAGAATAATCAATTACTGCCCAACTCTGCTTTATATACACCCAAAGGATTTCGAAAGGGGTAAATGTTACTTTCGAACGACGATCAGAGATTTTCACGTTCGTTCGTAGTTTCCACACGTTCAATTTTCATCGAACGAATTTTAAAAAAAATTTTTACTCGTCGCTCGAAATGTAACACTGATTTAGACGCGAGGCGATGGGACGCAGTCCAACCCATAAAGTTAATCGTTAAACGTTCGTTCCGACCCCGACGTTCGTGTTCGTGGTAACCAGCTGCGAACGATTTGTTGAGATTTTACCTAAAATTCGCCCTGATCCTTTCTACGCGCGCGCTTCTGATCTTTGAATCCTAATGCTTTCGCGCAGACGAACCGACCGTTGACACACGATTAGCGTGTATTCGCCGATTAAACGATTGTCCTGCTAAAACGTTTTCCCTTCATCGAATTAATTCGTCGGATGCAGAAAAAAAAAGAAAAGAAAAAAAAAAAATAAATTATTCTTTATTAAGAACGCACGTGTCGACGCAAGATTGAACCTGGTCCATTATTAGCGACGTCGGTCGATAGATGCTTAGAGCCTCCCACGCATTGCAGCAGACCTAGGCAAATTTTACTCGAGACGAAAATAAAAATTCGAATTTTTATTCTGTCGCGATCAAAAATTAAAGTAGACCATTCTTTAAGCTCGTATTAAAAATATCTAAAATAATGAATTATACGAACTCCTACATTTTTTTATTTATATAAATCATTATTAAAAATATAGTATTTTTGTAATCCTACATTCAAAGCTACGAATATTTATGGCGGACGATGGATGCGCAAAGTACCAATAATTTCTTCTTTTTCCTCGAATCTAAAATATTTTTAAAGTGTCTGAGTACTACACTTTGAAAACAAATCGATCATTTTCGAGTATATTTTTTAATTAAAAGTACAAATACTTCGTGCAATAAGATAACACGTTACTTGGAACGGTATTTCGAATAATATTATTTGAAAAATGTCCAGGCCTGCATTTTAATAGTCCGTTGCTAGCGAAGGGCGTAATACCATATCGATAATAAAGTACCATTTTATATAAAATCGCTTTGATACCTACGCAACATTATCGATACATATCGATTGCAAGAGCACACATGTACTTGGTATCGATTTACGATACTTTTGTAGCGAATACTGATCGATATAAATATCGCATAAATCGAACAGGCATTAATAATATTCTAAGTGGACGAAAAATAAGAAACGAAACTGATCGGTGCAAAATAACTGTTTTCGTATCGATTAAATCATTTGTTATTGTTAAAAGATCACTTATCGTCTGTCAGTTAACAATGTTTACATTTATTTAAAATGATATCGATGACTACGCGGTACCAGGAATGGGCAAAATCCTACAAATACTAATTCTAATAGGTCAACGCGTTCGAATTCGTTTGAATTAAAAATAGATTTTCTAACATTCCTTGTTTGAAACGAATTACACAGTTACAAGTGACAAGAGAAATTAATTAAAAGTAAAGAGAATATAACTACGAGAATGATCTTTATCAGCTATGTAAGGAAATAACAATTTCAAAGAACAATATACGATATTGATATCGATCACATATTCGTTGCATAAGTATTCATGGAAAAAAATAAATATATGTCAAGTACTTGAGATTTCGTGAGACCTCGATCTTTTTTTATTAAATACTTTGGTGTCCAATGGCTCAAATATTATCAATATATAATCTTATCAGCATCATCCATATCAATTGTCACCATTGTTTGTTCATTTTTCTTTTATTTTTTTTTATCTGCACGCGACAGAAGCTCGTTTTCCTTTCGATAATAATCGTGACATTTACCCTCCTTTTTCATACAACATCTGAAAATAAAAATTCTTCCCCTTCTGCCACAAAAATTTATAAATACTTATGATTGAAATTCTATTCGTTTATTTAGGTAAGCCAGCTTGTGTTACTATAAATAAAACTATGCACCGATTTGTAGTGCACACTATTCAGGGTGAGTAACACACCTTGTCTAGTCTGAAATTTGTTTATCTTTTGTTCCTGTCTCCGTTTCAAATGTTATGGGAAAATTATGGTTGCATCTTTGAGGAGCATTTAAAAATACATATGTACTACATATTTTAATATAAAAATATATTCTCCAAGTTTGAAATTTGATAAAACAACGAAGATACAGAATTTCGAGAACGTGTCAGATTGCTCAAGCAAACAACACGCTTTTCTCAAAATCATATTTCCCGAAATTATCGACACGATATCTCGGAAATTATTAAAACGATCAATTTGAACCAGTCTTGCTTATAGCCTCTACCAGACTCAAAATAATTTCTACATTATTGTATAAAATGCTGCCATTTTGTTTAATTACATTTTTATTCATTACTCTCTTAGAAGTTATAACCATACTCGTGTGCCTCGATCATTTGTTTATTTCACTCGTTTCCTGTCTATGGAACAGTGCAAATGACGTCGATAATAAAAACACCTTTTTTTTTAAACACCTAACTCATCACATTAGCTTATAACACTTATAATATCTATTAACAAGCACTTATAAAGTACCTAAAGAATCAGCGAACAAATTATAATGTTCCTTCCTTAATATCTATCAAGATCAACTATTTTTCAATTCTCTATCTATCTACGAAGCCTCGTTAAAATCGACGCGTATCACACCGTGTGGCCCCCTTCGCAAGATTAATTCTTACATCTTTGTAATTTACTTGCTCTATGCTTCATTGTCAGAAACCTAAATGTCTTACGCTAACAAGGAAATATCACGAACTGTGTACCGAGTTTGGTAATTTTTTTTTTTAATATCTGAAATATTTTTCTATATGACTGTTCTCTGGTGACCTTGGATGATCTTGGTCTGCAAGTCATTGCATTTTTAATTCCAATATTTACAGTTATTAATGTGGTTCAAGTGCCCACTGAATAAGATTACATTTTATTCTCCATTAAAGAAGATAGGGAACGTTGTTGATCAAAGTACAATTAGGTAATCTTCAAATTTGTTTTTAGAGAGAAATTTTATAAAATTTCCTTCGACCGCGATACTTTCGTTTCCTTATAGGTTGGAAAGAAAACTCGGACCAAAATTCGTCAATTCCCTTGTTAAGACGCCATGTTGGACGGATGACCTCTATCGCTTGGCGTCCATTAGAAAGTTTCACTCTTGATTATCGTAAAACATTCCAACGAACGCGGCATTTAGAGTAAAGTTTCTTTCACGCAAACATACGAAATTTATTGTTCACGAGACATCAACAAGAAAGAAGGAAAAGCCCTTCTTTAACGTGTCGAGTATCGTGGGCAGACACCGGTGACCGACACTTCGATATACACCGCTTTCTGGAAACATTTACGATAAATAAATCCTTATAGTTGTAAACGAATAATATTAATATCATTGGGAATACTGTAATACAATAAGTACGCCATTAAGTATTGAATTGATGACACGAGACCCCCCCCCCCTTGTTTTGCATGAGTAATTAACTTCGCTCGAAATATTTTCCCGTTTAAAAAATATTCCACCACTAAGGCTGTTGTCGAATATCAAAAATTTCGACGAAGACGGATAGCATTTAACGAGTATCGCGCAATATCTAAATTTCAGTTAAATCGTTCTTCCGTCTGCTATCGGCGATTTCACGCTGGATAATGAAGACAATCGATATCGGCCACTTCGATAGTGATTGAACGCACTATACGTGCGAGCAAAACGAAAATAGAAAACAAACGAACACCTGTTCGTTACTCGTCACACATGGGCAAATTCACGAAGAAGAACACGTTCAGCTCGACGAGCAGTGCGACCGCTAAAAATATCGCGTACAACAATAGACAGATGATCCCTACCTTCTTGTTCAGCTTAAAGTTAAACGACGCTATCACCGCGAACAGAACGACTATGCAAACGACTAACGAAAGTACGCTGTACGACAACGCCCCCGAAACGATCTCCACGTTCTTGTTCGTGATCAGACACTTTATCGTCCACGGTAGACCCAGACAGAGCAAAATGTCAAGAATGTTTGCTCCTAGCGTGTTGCTCATCGCCATGTTTCCGTCACCTGCGTGCACAGGCGGTCCAATGTGAAAACGTTCGGTCAGGGCAGGGGTCGGCAAACGATCTTCAAATCGATCATTCTCTCTCAAATTGAAATCTGTTACAGTTCTTGTGAAAATAGAGGTAGTTTAAGTCATCATTTCACAGTTTTTACAACTTTCGACAGAAAACTGTCTTTGTAAAGCAGTTTTTGGACCAAAACCACTTGGCAACCTTTAAAATTACCCCAGGAAGATTGTTGCACTTCTTTTCACGAAATTACAATGGCTCAGAGATTGAGAACGTTTTGGCCAGGTGTCCTAATCACTTATCACGGTGTATTTTGTATTAATATTAGATCGGGGAAAAAGAAATCAATTATTTTTCACCTGGATGGCTGTAGTGACTTGTGGTCGTTGGAAAAGTGATATTTCGTATTAAAAAAATTCTTTTACAGTTTTTTTGGTAAAAGATGGAAGTTAACAAAGAGAAAATTCAGTATATTTTACAATTTTGCTTCGATAAAAGCGAAAATGCAAGCTAGGCGACTGAAATTGTGAATGGTGTTTATGGTCTTGATATTGTCAAAGCCAATGTCGAAAATGTTGATAAAATCATGAAAATGATCGAAGTAGACCAACGTGTTAGCAGTCATAGGAGTTAAAGATCGACCAGAATACAGTTTTAAACCATTTGCATAAAGCTGCACTCAAAAAGAAGCTCGATGTTTGGGTGTCACACGAATTGATGGATCGAATTCGTGAAATAAACGTAAAAATAATGAATCTCTTTTTCCCCGACCTAATATATCACTTCGATACGCAAAGATATTTAAAGTATCAATCTTATTCGATATCATTTTAACCCCTTGACTTATTAATTCCAAATAATTTTTCAAACGTATACTATTTAATTTTGTTTAAATTTGTTTGTATAAGAAATGGCCACGAGAAAGGATAGATTTGTTTTACGAACACCTCATGAACGTAAAAATGTGTTGATTTTAATTTATAAGGCTCGATGACGAGCAAGTGGCCTCATTAATTGTGAAACTTGTCATCAAGAACTTGTGACGAGCCAGACACGTGATTGTATGGCAAGATAAGCTAACTTTTAACTACTAATTAATATTTTTGTTACGTGACCATGTTTGAGAAAGATTTGCCGACCCCTGGAATAGAATCAACGCTGAAAAACGAGATAATAAAAGGACACGAGAGCAAAGATGAAACGAGGCTTACCCTGTTGCGCTAAAATAATAATGGACGCGAGTTCCGGCACGTTTCCACCAGCGGCTAAGAAGGTGATGCCCATGATGGAGTCCGGAATACCTAGGGTATCGCCAACGACAGTCATCATCCAAGACACCAAATAGGAAGCCACGGCGATCCAAACCACGCACATTAGAAACGTGATCGCATACAATTTCCTGAATCGTTCGCGTCGGGTGTCCGGTATCGTTATGAACAGCAGGAACCTCAACGGCCAGGTAAACGCGAACCAACACTTTGTCGCCATATTGTTCTCTCTTGGCCACGTAAACGGACTTTCTGCAAACAACAAAAATCTGTTAGAAGTTAGTTTACAAAATGTATTTAAAATTTGATCGAATACCTGGCGGTTCCTCGTCCTCCAATTTTGTCGATTCTTCTGCGTACTCTGTGTACTCTGGGTTAGTATGCCCATTTTTTTGCAGTTCTTGCACGTTAACCGATATAGTCTCTACGTGATTTGCGGCAAAACCGTTCCGGAAATGCTGCTTATACGAGCCCACGGGCATCGTGTCCTCGACAAAGTTGGTAACTAATCATGGATAATAAATACGATTACTTGGTAATGTCTAAATCATAAAATGGCTCTTTCGATGCTCGCCATCTTGTTATTTATTATCGAGGTCAAGGAAACACGTATCGTGGATTCGACAGTTTATTAATGAATCAAACTAGAATAGTTGACATTATGCAAGGGTACATTTGCGAGAATCAAATCGGCTCAAATCCTCATATAAGATATTTAAATTTCTGCAAAGACCTGATAAACACACATCGATAAGAAAGATAAAGAGAAGTCAAAATCAGCTTGAAAATTGATCGAGGATACTCAAATGATTTTTACATCCGGATGTAGCTCGGTAAGCCTTGAACGAAACACTTACAATTTTAAAGCAGCTCGTAATAAGTCATGCGCAAATTAAGCAAATCGTGGAAAAAGATTAATGTTTATTATCGTTTAGATTTTACGCTTCAAATTTTTTTTTATGTAATACAAAAATGTTTGTGAATTACTTATTTAATAGCAAATAAAAACGTTCATTCAATAAATAAAGACGTTTAATAATTTATGTGAAAAATATTTAATACTTCATCTTTTGGTTAATAAAAAGCAAGATTGATTCTTTTATCAAGTTCGAGGAGTGATTACTCGTGAAGAGCAAAAATTGTAGTGTAAGATTAATTTCTATTTTATAGTCTTATTGTAACATTAAATTAATCTTTATTTGTTAATCTCATTGTTGTACGAGATTAAGCTTTATCCGTCGATCTCGGTAGTCACTCGAGTCAACATTTCCAGTAGTAGATAAAATTATTATGAAATTCATTTATATCTACGACGAGAATAAGGGTTTATTAAACAAAAGACGGTAACGGGGATGGCTCCGTTGCCTCTGAGCGGAATCAAGATGGCTGCATACAAGCGAGCAACATTGTGTATACTCACGTTTCATTTTCGAGCCAGAGAGCCCGCCGGAACAGGAACGTATCACCCATTTACCACTAAACAGCAGGACCAGGTAAATAAAGAACAACGCCAGCAAAGTTGTTGCTTCGTACCACGTGATCACGCCGTCCCACATTACTATTACTAAAGTTCCAACAGATATCACGTACACAATACAATCTCGTGACAATATTCGCCATTCTAACGGTATCGCCTGTCGAAAGGGTTTAAAGGAATTAAAAAAAAAAAAGACAAAAACGTTCCACGGTTTCGAATTTTCTGAACGACTTCCATCGCGAGGAGGGACACAAGATAACGAGCCGGCATTGAATCGTAATTGCAAAACACGGAGATAGCAAGATCGTCGGCAGACAAATTCGATACGACTCGACATCGACGACTGAGATGCTTATCGTCTTTTATCTGAGACTATAACGCGATAGAATGTTAATAGAGACGTGGGGGAGACCGAATGCTCGACGTACGTATCTATTGACATTCCATTGAGTATTTGATCGGGGAAAACAAGGAAGTCTATCAGCAACCTGTTGTATTAATTTACAATTCGATCGATTTTCTCAAGCGACTTCGTGCAACTAATTATAGCGATAGTAATAAATTCGTTAAATTGTTTCTTCCGTTGAATTTACATACGTGAAACGAAAGGGTAGAACTGATCGTTCTATTTCCATTAGCACAGTGATTATAAATTTCTGACAATCCAGTCGGACGTACTGCGGTCCGCTGACTTGAAGTCCCGCGAGACGGCACAGGGGCAAGGGGAGTCGGACCGCCCATTTATCTGTCTCGCTCCCTTGCTCTCAGGCAGTCCACATGTGTGTGTAACTGCCGCGACGAATAGCGAGCTAGAGACCAATGTGTGCGTGGGAATACGTGTGCCCCTTCTACTTCTCCCGCATTCCTTCCGCGGGACTTCAAGTGAGCGGAGGACTGTACAAAGTGTACTCACATGAGCGGCTATCAATGCACCGCAAGCTGGTGTTGCGAACGTGTCGAACACGGCGCTGCCGACAACGGTACCGACTCCAAGATCCGTTTCGGTCAGAAACGTGCCGATCACGTTCACGAACATTTCGGGGAACGAGCTGGCCATCGCGAGAAACGTGGCCCCGGCCACGTCCGTGCTTATTTTCATGCTCTTGCATATGCGGTTGATGGACGGCAGCAGATAATCGTCGCAGACGAACGCTATTAATATGAAACAGTAGAATCCGAGGAAGGCGTGCAGAAACACGGCCCCATGTCGTCGTTGCTCGTACGCGAACAGATCGTTCGGGAAATCTTTGATCGATCGCTCGGCACAGAGCACCTCCGTCTCGACGTCCCCGTCGATCATCAACCGACGTTTCACGTGGCCTCGAAACAATCGCTGGTCATCGTTTCCCATCGATCTCTTTCGATCGATTTCGCCCGGGAACGACTCTACAACGAAACGTGTTATTTCCCGGTTCATTTGGCGATCGAACAATTTTTTTTTTTAAAGTAGAAGAACATTTAACACAGAGAATGTTTGATTTTACGGGGGAGCGTGGTGGAGGCTCGATGGTTCCGGCCGGAAACGCCCCGGACGTTCCAAGGTCGTTAATGTTTAATCTTAATACTCTGACGGCCGCTGTCACGTGTATGTGATTTCACCGTTCCAGTCCATTCGATTCATTGTGGCGTCCTAACATTTATAATTTCGTGTAATAATGTTTCTGGCATCCTAGCGTACTATATGTTGTTTCAAACTGTACCTACGAAATCGATCGACTTTTTATTTTTTGGGGGTTTTTTTCTAACAAAAAAAAGATACATTCTCCTTTAACACTTTGACTACCACGTCATCCACGTATGACAGGATTATTTTACTATAGAACTGGGACGATTAATTCTCAGGATGTGAAGTGTTAATGTTGAAATTTGAATAGGATTCATGAATTTTAGCGAGTTTACGAAAATAAATGCTTTTAAGTTATGTAGTTTACAATTGTCTAGAAGCAAAGTATTTGAACTGTAGAAAATTGTACAGTTTTGGTCTGGCAGTCAATGTGTTAATCTATATTTCTTTGCAAAGATTAGATACTTTAGTGAAAAAGAAATGAACAGATTTAGAGCAAAGGTGTAAAGTAAATATCTACCGAAATAAATACTATTTTTTAATTTCCTTGAATTAGTTTAGCGTGTTCTTTTGGCGACAACAATACGCAGAATTCTCCAATACGGTTGACAATGACAGATTATACTAACGCAGAACTAGCAAAAGTGCATTTAACGTGTGGTCTTGAACGGTTAAGGTTTACGATAAGACGTTCAGAAGTCTTCGTTCGAGCCAAGGGCGTCTACTTTGAACAATTTCTGTAAAAATAGTCGAATAACTATGTAACGTTACAAATAATAAAAATGTAACTTGGAAACAAAGTCGTATAGGATATATAATTACACGACCATTGAATCATTCGTTTAGCAAGCCTCTATCAGACGGTAAATAAACACATATCTTTCCACTTAAAAATTAATGACCTTAAAATGTCCACGATAATTCCACGTAAAGCTAAAAAGACGCTGCCGCGCTATTGAAATCAAATAACTTCCGTTAAAATAAACGATTCAGGTGGGCAGACTGTTCAGTATTTTAGGCGTACTGTGTTTCAATATTATAAAATTATTACGACGTATAGAAGGTGAACGAGCGCGCCAAAAACCCGTTGTTCTGAATCGTTACACTGGCCGTAAGTACACCTTTGCATCGTTACCTGTTTGTCGCGACGATTAATTAACGACGGGGGCAAGGAATAAGAACAAGGTACAAAATAATTTTAAATATGAATATATACACGCATATATACATACATACATATTATATATGTATACACAAATGTTGTATAAATTGACGGAGTTCAGCACTCACCGTTCCCGAGAAGCGCGCAAGTACCCGGGAAGCACACAGATAACACAACGATCCACGCGCAACATCTGGAAAACCGTATATTCATTCCGCAATCGTACTTCAGATTGTGTTTCACGAAACATCGGCCTTCGATGCGGCTTCTTTACTGAAATACGTTAAACTACTTCTTGGGTAGCAGTTTGCGCAGTTATAGTACATTCCACTGATTACGCTCCCTACCAAACGGCCATTCGTGCGTCGTTATTATCTGCTTGACCATCGTTGATAACAATAGCGAAATCCAATTTTGAAAAATATTTTACGCGTTGCTATCGCACAGTTCGCAATTAACAGAGTGTTCGGATCGTGTCGTTTGCAGTTTGCTCCGCGACTCGTTCCGACAATTATCCGTTCGTGCGCCAAACGCCGCACGCACGTCGACAGTATCCAACGGAAGAAAAAGGAAGGCGATAAAAAAAATCGTTCACGCGTTTAAAAAATAATAATTGCACTCGATCGCGTACAAAATAATTGTATTCTTTTCACTCGTTTTCCATTCGTTTATTCATTCATACCACGTAAGCCGCAGCTCACGATAACGTTTGTGGAATTTCATGATAAATCATGCTTCTTGACACTGTTCATGGCAGGATACGGTAAAAAAAAAAAAAAAAAAAAAAATTTTTTTAGAAATCGAGTAAATTCACAGGTAACGTATTTTACCTCTATCTGTATACGTGCATGCCTTCCATAAATGTACACGCATACATACACATACAGGTACGCGCAGACGTATTACATTGTAAAATGTAATGTTCATAAAATTTTTCCCGAAATTCTATGCACGAAACAAAATACGGAATACCAACAAGTTGATTTCTTATCGTATCTTACAACAATCGTGATCGCGCCACCGTACATAATGCTTTGTACACGTATCAGAATATAAAATTGTGCTATAGCTTGACGATTCACGATCCCATGTGTTAGCACGCACGTTTCGTTCCTTACTTCACTACGTTTTTCTTGGAGGACTTGTCTATACTATGCAACGCATCTAGAAGCAATCCTGAGAACACGATGAACGTACCTAGCCACTGTCTATAGGTCAAAGTATTGCCAAAAATTAGTATCGAACCTAGTACCGTAAAGAATTTTCTAGTTGTGGTTATAATCGAGCACGGTAACGGGCCAAAGTCCGCGATAGTCAGGAATATGAAGTACTGTCCGAATGCACCTGCTATAGAGAAAGTGGTTATCAACCATACGGTTGATGGGTGTCTCTGTAGGAACTGGATAAATTCAAAAAATTCTCCGGATAGTAGGATGACAGCACCACTGAATATTGCGGACCAACCATTCATATTCAGCATCATATGGCCAGACTTGGAATTATGTTCCGACCTCATTCGTTCTTGTACAGCACAAGTTAAACCATCCATTGTTAACGACAGTAACAACAACAGTTCTCCGAATGCCATTTGCCCCTCTGGTTGCTTCTTTGACATGCCACCGTCTTTGTATATGAACAAACTTATGCCAATGACGACTAAGAAGACAAATAAGTACTTCCTAACTGGGTAAACCTGCAAGGTAATGTATCTATCATTACGAAGAATGACTTTCCCAGAATTATGGTGAAAGAAACATAGAATTTGTGCAATCTGTCTACTAACAACACTTCTGTCGATTCAAGCATCTGTTAACTTTTAAATAATCTAGGGAGCTTGGCAGAGAAATGGATTATAGGTCTGTGGGCAGTTCATGCGTATCCCTTGGTGCATAGCAAGGAGAGAACAAAATGAAAAATTGGTTAGTCGGATAAGAAGAGAACGATAGAACGAGAATAAAATGGAAATAAACAGGATAGAGGCTATACCTTCTTCCCTAGTAGTACTCCAAGTATCATCACAGGAATTGGTTTGCCGGTTTTCCCAATTATTTGTGTCGGGTAACTGACAAACTGTAAAGCCATGTTACTGCAAACCATAGCCAGTAAATACGTGAGTGAGGATATCGCGTAATATGTTTTCGGAGTACTATCTTCGCCCTGCTTCATGACTGTCAATAAACTAGTCTTAGCGAACAAATAGTTGACTGAACATTGCCAAAAGACTAAAGTGAACATGTAAGTGAATTTTTCACTATTCTTTTCGTCCCCATACTGTCCTTGGGTGATTTTTTCTTGTAACATGCCAAAGTGGAAGTAACATACGAAAATACCGAGAGCACAGAACAACAGTTTGAAACGTCTTGAAAAAGCCATTGTGATCGTGTACGCGTAATATGTTAAACTGGTCACGGATCTTTTCTGTTACAATACCGTTCCGTTCGTGGGCCGAATATCACACCGGAAACAAAAACATTCTAAATGAATATTGCGCGCGTATGGTACGTGGCACTTAATGATAGGTTATGTTCCACGCGAATCACACGCTACCACATACCACGTTTACGAGATATCAACTGAAACTGATGTCAACGCGATGATAGATGGCAGCACTTTCGATTTTTCTACGACTCCTCCGCCATTGCTTTTTACAAACCTTGCAAATTTTGGCGCTCAAATAATAATTCTCTTAAAATTGAATTTACAGCCACGTACACTGAAAATCGTACAGTGTACATCGACGGATATTTTAGCCAAGTTTAGTTTAAGAGGATAAGGATTACAATAAAATTTAAATTAGGATAAATCAACCAATAAATGATAGAATTGCGTAGTACGATGAAAACCGTAGGTGAGTGCCAAAAATAGAAGAAAGAAGATTAATACCGAGCTAATAGAAAGATTTTTCTAAGTTTGCTAACTTCGCCGATTTCTCCCATAGTGAACTCACATGATTTATGCACACACTACAGCTGTCTACTCATCAATACTAATTCAGTGAATAGTTTCTTAACTGACCGCCATCCATGAAATTCACCTCCGAATTTTCAGGTCGGTATGGCAGTCAGATTGGACCACGAAAGTCCATAAGTTGTAAGGTCTACTCGTATACCTCGTCTGTGGTTTAACCTAAACCTTATTTGAAAACACTCAAAGTAGTTAATAAATTTCTACGTGTAATTAAGTGACTGATACCCGTATTCCAATACTTATTTTTACTATTATAAACCGATCCATGGACTCAGAATGAGAATTTAGGACTGTCTTTTCCAATCAGTATAAAAATATTGCTTTCGTTGGCATTGGTTGTCGTCTGTTGTCATCTGCCATGGAGAATGACACGTTAATCGTGCGTGGTGTTTGTCAAAGTCTATTGTCACTAATCGTTTGTGAATCTATCGATCATCGTAGAGCGATAGGTTTCCATCACTCTTCCAATTTTGTATTAAAATATTTTCCAACCTCAAAATGAAGTCGTGTTCGGTACAATCGATTCCAAGTGTAAACTCGGCGGCGTTATTCATTTGCACAAGCATGGTGCTTATGTTGTGTCGTGTAGCGGGAAGCTTCGAAAATGATCGTTCGAACGATGAATCTTTTCACTGCGGACAGGGATCGAGCAGACAAACGAAACAGACGGGCGAAACGGAAGGCTATTGTCCGGTGACGAACAATGCTCCCCGCGTATTCGCGAGAGAAAACATCGATCGCGCTGATCGATTGGAAAATATGGCTCGGATAGAGGCAGGCACTTTCGCAATCGGAACAAATGATCCAGTTTTCGTGGCTGACGGCGAAGCACCGAAACGACAAGTACATCTCGATAGTTTCTACATAGATGAATTGGAAACGAGCAATCGCGAGTTTTTAGCATTTGTCGACGCGACTGACTATCGAACAGAAGCTGAAACGTTCGGCGATTCTTTCGTGTTCGGAGGTCTGTTGAAAGAAGAAATCAGAGCAAATATACCGGAAGTCGTTGCTCGTGCTCCTTGGTGGTTACAGGTAAAAAACGTGAGCTGGCAGCATCCAGAAGGACCCGATACTAATATAACACGTACGTATACTCGATCAAAACGTTGTTCTGTCGGAAGTAACGGGAAATAAAACCAAATGATCCAGATAGGATGGATCATCCTGTTGTTCATGTATCGTGGAACGACGCAGTCGCCTATTGCGAATGGTTAGGGAAAAGGTTACCTACGGAAGCAGAATGGGAGGTAGCCTGCCGAGGAGGACTTTCCGATAGATTGTACCCTTGGGGAAATAAATTGATTCCGAATGGTCAATACAGGTAGAAAGAAAAGTGAAAATCTAAATGACGTAGTTACACAGATTCGTTTCGTGGTTAGAGCGTATTAGAGCTAAATGATTTTCAGAGCGAACACGTGGCAGGGCGATTTTCCAAACAATAATACTAAAGAAGACGGATACGAGAGTACGTCACCTGTTACCGAATTCCCGCGAAATAAATATGGGTTACGTAACATGATAGGGAACGTTTGGGAATGGACGTCTGATTGGTGGACGGTCGACGCTACGAAACGTGGTGGGCCCATGAATCCTGTACGTGTAATTATATGCAAGCCTTCTCGTCTTACGTATGCATTAATGTTTTTTCACGAAATGGAACTTATTTTCAGACTGGTCCACCACATGGCACGGACAAAGTGAAAAAAGGTGGTTCGTACCTTTGTCACGATAGTTATTGCTTCAGATATAGATGTGCCGCGCGAAGTCAAAATACACCCGACACGACGGCTGGTAATCTTGGTTTCAGATGCGCTTTATCCATCTAATTTAAAATAAAAAAACGATTGATTCCTTTCCGAATAAATAATACCCAAATATTTTTCATTTTACGTTTTCTTTTTCCTCGATTGTGTTGCTCAACTTCTTTAATAACCCGTCGATGAATGTGGGACAATGTTGATCCATGTTCTGCCTTTATAATCAGACGATTCATAGGTTGTTTATATTAATGTTGAGTTGAAAACTTGAGATCTAGATTACAAGGATTATAGTAACCTGATGAAATTCCACCGTTAAGTATTGTGTAATCTATCTGTTTACCTAATTATAAGTTCACCTACTTACACATTTCTGTGCGCTTCGGATGCATTCGACTCCCTTCGACGAGCCTCGGCTTGATTCATTTAAACTGTCGGGCGTCGGCTCGTGATCGACGACGCATGAAACTGTAAGTGTGAATATGACTTTATGTTTATGTTTTTCAACATACAAATCAAATTCTATCATACAATCACGATCGTTTGTAGAACAAATTTGCGTGCATTGTTTATAAATAGTGGCTCGCGTAAAATAACACTTCTGTGTTAAAATTATACTCGATTTCTATGGCTTAACCTGTCTGGTTACGAGCAACTATTGTTTCAACGTAGTGTTTTAATTGAACTGTCGTCGACTCTGCGCTATAAAGAAAAGTAGAGCGTACAGGAAGAAGTGAAAACACAAAGAAGACGATTAAATTTCGAAAGAAGACCGAGGACGGAGATTTCGAACTTTACAGGATAAAGGTTATTGATTCGATCGAAACGGGACAGTATGAATTACGGAAAGAAATCTCCTAGCATGGGCACTCCATCGCTATATTCGCACGTTACTACACGCAGTAGCGCGAATTTAAAATCTTCGCGATCTGTGCGCAGCGTCAAAATACCCTGGTATCAAAAGCCAATATTGACACACGCCTATGTGCTTGATATTCAAAGGGGCGCTATGCTTACAGCAATATTTTCACTGGTAGGTATTTGACCGAGCAATTACAGCTTTTAAACTAGCTTCTGGTATTCACACATTCTAAAATTCTTTGTTTAATAATAATCAATATCTTCTTGTCTTTGTCAGAGTTTGGCCATATTCACAATATGTACATCAATATTTGACCTGTACTGCCTTTCTCAAGCTGCACCAGGTTCAACGCACTATGGTTACTACATAATATCATACGAATTTGTTTATGTGGGCAATCGGCATGGTAAGGATAATATTCATTGAACAGAAATGAAAAGCAAAGAAGGAAGTACACGTATATGAAATTCTAATTCAATGTTTTATTTTAGTTCGTAATGCTCTTGTTGTTTTTGCCTTATTCTCCACACTCGGGGCAGTAGCAGTCTTCGTAACATCTCTAATGTTAATAGCTGCTCTGAGAAAAGAGCACGAGAAAAGAATGGTGCCCTGGCTCTACAGTTTTGCCGCATTCAGTGTCTTCAGATTGTTTGCATTTTTATTCTTTAGTATAGTAAATGACATGATATTTGCTTATAACACCATGATGTGCATTCTGTGGTCGTTATTTGTTTTAATTTCCGTTTATGGATGGTTAATCGTATACTCTCTGTACGTGGAATTGTGCGATCTCACGCGATTGGAGGACTTGGCACATTTGAGAGTAAGTGTGTCTATGACAAAATTTGGAGAAAGGACACTTTTGTTCGTTAAATTTACGTTTCTATTGGTGGATTTGAATTTTAGATCGGCACCATGCAGTCGCTGAACGCATCGACTACACACTCGATCGCTGGTTCTCGGCCAACAACACCTCACAGTGCGGTATCGACGATGCCAGCCAATTAAGTATCAAAATTCTCATAATCATTTATCGCGTTCAGTACGAGAGGGCGACTCTAGCATGACCTAAACACCAAATTCGGGTGGAAACGATATAGTCGCGTCGTGAATACGACACTGCCTTAAACGCCATGCATATCTAAGTTGGTTATGCGTTTGTCGTTTACCTGTTCTCGATACCAACCGTCCATTTGCTTTAAATTCCGTCCAGAATTTTATTATAATTAATTGTAAGACGTGTATGATATTGCGTGTGTTTTACGTAATTTCAATCGCGGTACGAATGCAGTGACAATTACCCCCATTGTAATGTCCAAGATATTTTCTATCGGAAAGATCAATCTCGCGATTACTTGTATTTATAGTAACTTTTATTATGCCTTCTATTTTTATTAATAAAATTTACCCTAATATATAAATTGTAGTTGTTATTCTCCTTGTTTTCTCAATGCGCGCTTTTCTCCTTCCTTATCCCAGATGGCGCCAGTCTCCAGTTAAAAATAATCGAGCAATGAAACGTTGGTTAAATATCTTGCTGCTCGAATTAGATTAAATCGTATTACCTGTTCGATGACGCGAGGGTAATTTAGAGGAAACGTCAATGACACTTTCGATCGGAATTAAATTCGAAGTAACCTTGAAATCTAAACTCTGTACATCCATTTGAAAATTTATAGTTGTAGGTGTAACCTTAGGGTGATGTGATTTTTACCGTACTTGTCCGTCTCTATTACAACATTCGTGGGTATCAAAATACAATCGAAAATTAGTATATCTACGAAAAGAACGTACGATTCGATTTCTTCGAAGGATAGGCGCGGGGGTTGCGTTGTCGACTTGGAAACAATTCCGTCGACGTTACCAGCATTTTGATGAACATTCGAAGAACTCGGACCCGATGGTTCGACGGGTAACAGAACCGCGTTAGTTTCGTTTGACGTGTGTGTCAATGTATAGATGATCACATACACAAAAACTATGATTTTTCCGATAACGTTTAAAAGGAATATACCAATCGCTATGAATATCTGCCACAGTATTCCGAAAGCGGCGGTCACTACGTACAAGGCGATCGCGAGGCACATTTTCTATAGAAACCGTTTTTTAATTGCTCGACTTAATGTTTTTGGTAATCATCTTCTTAACGAACAAAATAATAACGAAGAAATGTCAAATGCATCGAGTTAATAGCCAACAACGAGATCTCGAAGGGTGTTTTTTCTTGAGGTTATAAAAGCCTAAAATTGACAGAGGGCGCGAAAAAATGTAACAGGATGTTCTTTGGTTCAAGGCTAATATGTAAGAATACCGCTTTAAACACACTATTCATCTCAAGTGTGAACAGATTCCTTCTTTTTTCAGGGCTATACCTTTCAAAAAGTTTGGAAACTATTACGTTGAAGGTAAAGGATACGTGCAATGTATGAACAACAATATTTCACGTCGTTCCTTTTCTTCTGTCCTTTTCTGTGAAAGAATAAAATCAAAGCCGCGATTGCTTAACGCTGATTTGGAAAGACAATTAAGCATGGCGTAACGTTGACGCAAATTTGCGAACGAGGCCTTAAAAGAATGTGCTTCGAGCAGAAAATGATACGAGGTACGAAATATAATATGCTCATCGCGGATGTGTTTTGTGATTGTACGACAAAGATGGTTAAAATTTTTATGAGAATAAATTTTAAATATTGAATTAAAGATACAGAAATTCTTATCGATTATTCATTTTCATCTAATGTTCGAATATAATTTTGTCCATCTCTGTTATATGGAGAACAAGGATGAAACTGTAAACAAACAAATCCAATATTAAATGCAATTAATGCAGTTAATGTAGGATCAGTTTCAAAGAATTGTAAATTGTAAGATAAACGGATTAACTTTGTTTATTAATCAAAATCGTTATCTAATAATAAATCTAGAAACTCATATTACAAAACACAGTTAATTAATTTGTAGGGACAAGTTTTATCTTTCAAAATGGCGCCAAGCTAAAGGTTGAACCGTCAGTATAAGCTTGTATTTAAGATTGAACTTGTGTGATTTATTGTACATTCACAAGCCCTCTGTTGAGTTGTAAAAATCTGGAGACGATTCCTATTGTTTTATACGTTGTCTCGGTATCCTACATTGTTTTTAATATGTGGTTCGACGTGCACGATAGCGAAATATATACAGTAAACATAGAAAACAACTTGTATATATACATAACGTATTGATGTAGATTATTGTAAAAGTTAAGTGTCTAGCCTGATTATGCGATCGTCAGAGAATCGACGACATCAAAACGGTATCGGCAATGGCGTTATTATTGGCAACGAAGACGTCGGAAAGTCTGCACGCCGCGCGATAAAAGAGCCAAATCATGATGCACAACGCGGTATACTTGAGGAGTCCGTGGATAATGGCGAATCTGCGAAAGAAATATAACGTATCGAGGGACGGAAATGCGTTCATCAAAACCAAGAATTTAGCGACGTTACCTGGCCATTCGAAGTTTAGCGTGAGGTATAGTGCTCGGATCGTCTTTTAAAATGTATAATCTTAATCCACGCACGGATTTGTACATGAAATCGTTCCAATCGAACTCCTTCATCGAGAACTTATACAATGCTCGATCTTTCGGCCCTAGGGAGTCCCAAAGTGCCTTGGTGTTGTCGTAGGAAAACTTCCACTCGCGCATACCAAAGTAACTGGTCACCGCGCTGAACTTGTGCACTTTTCTATAAATTTTCAACATTCTGCGAAACAAAAAAAATGTTCCTAATATCTGTAAAATTGTAAACGGCGCTACTTTGGTCAGCGAATAGTTTTCATTTTGTCACGACGCGATGAAAAGATCGAATGTAATGAAAATAGTCACCTAGGTTTTCTGCCAGTGAGGATCAGCATGGCGTCGATGATCATGGCTGGTAGCAGATGAAGGATGGCGGTCAAAATAAAATACGCGTACATACGTTTCGCGGTTGTAAAGGTGTAGCACCAAACGCTCCGTACGCTTGGAATTTCTTTTCCGTGTTTCATAGCCAAGTTCATGTACTGACCCCAAGTGATACCATTGCCCCACGAAGAGTGGTAGTTATAGATCGGTGGATCGTTCGTTTGGCCCCTGCAAGCAAGTATTTAGAACCGTATGTAGAAAACAGCGTATCGAAGTTAATAAAAATACAGTTGAAGAATTAAGTGGACAGGTAAAGGAAATTTAACCAAAGTAGTGTAACTATTACGCACTTGAGTTTTATACATATAATATACAGAGTGTTCGACCTAATCCCCGGGAAAAATTTTAATGGATGATTCTGGAGGGCAAAATAAGACGAAAATCAAGAATACTAATTTTTGGATGGAGGCTTCGTTGAAAAGTTATTAACGTTTAAAGTTGCGCCTGTAGAAGAGTTGCGCTGCGCGCGATAGTGGAACTTTGAACGTTAATAACTTTCTAACGAAGCCTCGATCAACAAATTGGTATTCTTGATTTTCGTCTTATTTTGGCCTCTAGAATCCCCCATTAAAATTTTTCCCAGGGATTAGGCTAAACACTCTGTATAAGTATACATATAATAGTATAAGTAGTATAACTATTGTGCACTTGAGTTTTATACTTAGAATATTTCGTCGCGACTGTCCAAGCAGCCACGATAAGAGCATTAACAGTGTAATCTGCAGGAACTAGCTCTGCTATGCAATCTTTGTCCATGTTCATGGTCCTCAGAAGGCCGATACCAGCCGCCGCGAGTGCCCCTGTGGGGCCATACGCGTTATCCACCCACCCCACCAATGGTTCCTCGTACGTAGAGACGACTACAAAGATTCGTATCGATTCGCTAATTATTTCACAAAATAATCGACGATTTTTGGATAGCACGAAGAAGACAAATTTAAAAGTCTTAATCGCGAACATCTATTAACGCTAGAACTACTGACGATTACAGTGTGTTTATTTGCACCAAAGAAATTAAAACGATAGATAGTTTATTCATTCTCTTATAGAAAATTACGATCAATTTTCAAAAATTCAGTCGAGTAAACTTTTTACAAGTTTTAGTAGAATGGGTCATTTCGACTGCTTTGGCAGTTCTAATGTTAACGCGTTAAACGTGGCGCAATTTTGGTTTCACTGTCTACTTAGGCACTATGCAAATGCAGAAAATGGCGTCCGTTTTAAACGAAAATAGTTTTAAGAAAGTCTATTAAAACAGTATCTTTTAATATCGTATGAATTTTTCCACAGCATGATTAATTTCAGACTGAATTAGTTAAATAAAATGCAACGAAAATGATTTGTCGATCGATCCTCTTCTTTTTAGAAGAGTACCTGTTTGGTACTCTTAGATACTGTTTCGTTTAAAATTATTATATTTTCTAATCGATTAATTATTCTTTGTAACGTCGATGGGTACCGTTTGTTTCGTAGATTCAATTTTGTATACCCGAACAGGTGGATCGAAATGTTAATAGACGCTCGAGTAAGATCGCTAAATTCGTCTTCCTTGTTATTCAACAAACTGCGAATTCATTTACGTGGAAAAACACATTACCTATAGAGGGTCGGAATATTCCAACAGGTAACTCTTTCCCGTATGTTCGTACCAACTGCTCCGCGATGCACTTTGTATAAACGTAAGTGTTTGGATAGGGACCGAGAAAGGTTTTCGCTAAATCATTCGACTCGTCGTCGGAATTCTGCGCCAATTGCATCGCTTCGTCTTCTGTCGAGGATCAACCTTTTTTACATCATCGAATTCGCGGTGGAAATTCGATAGAAAAATACGCGTATTCCATCCAATGTTTTCAATTTATATTTCTGATCCTTTAATTAGATATTTTTATTCACTAACCGGACATGGGTGCTGGATAAAACTTCTCGCCGATGTCCTCGCGAGTGCAATTGCTGTACGCGGTGGAAACGTGCATCACGACCTGAAAAACAATTTAAAAACGAACGAAGGGTTTGTAGATAATATTTAAATCGATGATCGTATGCAATGGTTACAGGGGTTCAAAAGTTTATTATTTGAATTTCAGTAGCCTCGAGTGATCCTCTTATTCGTTGACAAAGCTTGAACTTTGCTAGCGTTGGAATATTAATAACTGAATTTTAGGGATTAAAAATGGGATCGGTTCTTTGATGTATGATCGTATTTACCCGCAAATTTGGCATACGTTTGCAGAGTTCCATCAGCTCTTTCGTTCCTCCGACGTTCACCGCTATGGCTTTCCTCAGTTCTTCGTCGAACCTAACGGTGGCAGCCACGTGAAACACTACGGAGACTTCTCGCGTTAATAAATCTGCATCCGAGGCAGACAATCCTAATCCAGGCAGCATACAATCGCCCGAGATCACTCGAACTTTTTGCTGATACTTCGGTACCTCCTTTTCGAGACGGTCGAACACCTTTTTTTATAACGACACAGAGGCAAACGATAGTTCAAATCTTGTATTTTACGAATACGAAAAGAAAAATGGTGTTATTTGAACGGACGCAAGACGATTCTATAATAAATTAAGATTAAGGGAGCAATACATGGCTGTATACTTGGCCCAACTTTCACCACAATATTATATAATAATAAATGTGAAAAGAGACCCGTAAAATGGAAGGATCGACGCCTAAGCGGATAATTATGCCGACACAAGGAAAGGGAGAACCGAAACTAGAGATAAAAAGACTGGGTGAAATCTTGCACAGGAGAAAATCACAACAAAAAGAAAAGTTACACCTCCGTGGAAAAAAGAATCTAGAGTACTCGTGCACTTCTAACGGGGAAAGGAAGAAAAGGACTTTCGAACTGGAGATAGAAAACATCCGACACTGAGAAAGTGATGGGGAAACCCAGCATTTAGGCAACAAGAGCAACTAAATTGTACCACCGCTTTAGGTTTTGCTTTTTATCCCGATTACTGTTTATTCTTTCGTTTCCTAATCACCCGGCTTGTCCCGCGTTCATCGAAAGTTATAACGGGGACCTCGAAAACGAAGGTCGAAATCTTAATAATGATATTACCACATGAATACAGCGCGGTTCCCAATCGAAAAACCATTAGTCTTTTTATTTCCAACATTTAGATTCGCGCTATGACGAAATTGTTCCCGTCGGGAACGAACGTGTAAATTTTCGAGCTGTTACATCACACAGAATATAATTACACGTGCACAGACTTTTTGCGGGAGAAGTTAACGACGAGCACAGGAATTCTTTCCGCGATACGTAATTAATTGTCGTCTGAGTTCGAAGTCAGTTTTTTCAAATTTATATTCGTTTTTTAATGGAAGGAGGATGTTGAACAGTTCATTTTCATCTGTCGGGTGTTTTTAAAAAATTTCTAAGCGGTGATTTTTATGTGATACTTTAGACTATTTCTATGCATTTTAATATGTAGTAAAAAACTCTTTCTCTTGCTTTTAATTCGTCGAAACGTGTCAAGGATACTTCCAAACTTACATCGTAGTTATGATAAATCATTCGACAGTGTACTGTTACACAACCGATGACAATACATTCTATTTATCACGAAGGCTGAATACGAGGGTTGATTGATAGTCAAGGTCTCGTAATGGAAGAGTTAATGAGATCATCGATCAGCAGACGATACTTACAGCACCCTCGAATATTCTTTCGAAACGTCGTTGTGCATTCTCGCCCTTCTTCGGCCGCGACAACGCGTAAATACACTTGATTTCCGTGCACGTTCGGAGCAATTTTTCAATCAACAGCTTCCCAAGGAAACCGGTACCCCCTGCGCAGACACCATTTTCTCGTCAGTTACAACGTCGCTCGAAATACAAGTGGAATAATGCTTTATTTAACCTAGCGGAAATTTTCTAATGAGGAATCGTTGTTGTCTAGTTCCACGTCTTTTATCCCATCTGCAATTCTAACAGAGTATCGCTGAAAATGTAACGTAAACAAGCGTAGAACTGGTTTAGGGAGGAAAAAATCAATTACACGACAAAGTAGAACAGATAAAAAATTAAATATGTTCAAGTGATTAAATCGTGGCGACACTTTTGCCCTAGCACTATATTTAATCCTTACGTGGATTTTCAATCTTAGTTTAGTTAGGCATCTTTCTCTTCCACTTACAATAGATTCTTCAAAATGCCAATTGTTGTATAGTGTAATGAGTTTAGAAATATAGGAGGATATTAAAAATTTCAAAATTAAAGTAGACGAGATTAATTTACGACTAAAGCACTGAGAATGCTTCTTTATTTTAAGCAAATGCAAATTATTTTTGAGTGTTCTTACTTTTTTGGCAAATTTGAAAAACATGTGTCTTTATTAACCACAAATGACAACTTGGACTTATAGTTCTGTTGATGGGCCAGGAATAGTACTTTCTTCAACAGCACCTTATGGTACACTTTCATTATTCTCATATATGTGAGATTGATAGGTAAAATTACTAAATAAATTTTTTATAATTCATCATTTTTTTGATCAATCTGTTAAAAGACCGCTCCCTCATGGATTCTGATGGGCCTGAAATATGTTATGAAGATATTTTGGACAATTTTTTCCTATACGTACAATAGGTCATCGAATTCAATATAATGACACTGAAAATTTTTGGAAATATCTTGGAAATTAAAATCGATCATTTATTATGTGTATAGGAAATAGTTGTGCAAAATATTGTTCTTTGCAGCATATTTCAAGCCCGTCAAACTTCGTGAGGGGGTGGTTTTTAGACAAATACACTATTCTTTCGTCACACGTATTAAACTTACCCGAAAATGACCTCAATATCACAAAATATAACTCTTTCAGATAAGCACAGTTAAAATGTCTTACAAGTTCATAGTAGATTGCCTTCTCTGGCACCATTTTAGCACCGAAAAACTCAAATCTAGAGTCTAGAGTTATTATTTCTGTTTAGATCTGCTTACATTAGAACTCTGTGACGAAAAACAGATCTCGTTGCTAAAAGTTAAGCAACTAGATGTTCAGTAAGGGTAATGTAAAGTCCAACAAGTGAATTATTTTACTTAATTTTGATTTTTACCAAATTGGTAAATGGAAATCAATTTTCCTTTAAAGCAATCGAAAAATAGTGAGCTAATGGAGGATTACATAAATTTTCAAATAATTACATTGACATATATTAAACAATCATTAGTTTAAACTTGCGGAGGACCGCAGCGACCTCCAATAATCCACTCAAGGGTTAAAACTGGTCAAAATTCGTAATTTCTAATAAAAATTGTAAAAAATTGACTCGATGAGATTTTGGCAAATTTATCGCAATTTCCTACAAAGTCTTTGATTTTTGGTTGCATATAGTTGATATAAATATGCTTTCCTTGTTTTTTCAATTGAAAACAACGAAGGCAGATGCATGCAAAGTGGCAGTTGCTCGATCGTTAAGAATTAACACTAGAACTACCAAACCCATTCGTAATTTTTAATGAAAATTGTAAAAAATTGACTCGATGGGATCTTTGCAAATTTATCGCAATTTCCTACAAAGTCTTTGATTTTTGGTTGCATATGATTGATATAAATAAGCTTTTCTTGTTTTTCCAATTGAAAACATCGAGGGCAGATGCATACAAAGTCGCAGTTGCTCGATCGTTAAGAATTAACACAAGAACAACCAAAGCAGTTAAACCCATTTGTAATTTCTAATGAAAATTGTAAAAACTTAACTCGATGGGTTTTTTGCAAAATCGCAATTTTCGACAAAGAGAACAAATAAACTTGAATTTATTTCCATAAATATAACATTTCTTCCAGTATGGTTTTAATGCCTTTGATACGAATAAATACACTATAATTTTCGGTAGTTCCGGCGTTAAAAACCGTCCGCGAGGGGTAAATGTTTCGCGTACCAAAGTCCAATACGAAGAACAAACGTACAGATGGTCGAAGAAAAATTTAAAAAATATATATAAAATTGTAAAAAATTGACTCGATGGGATTTCTGCAAAATCGCAATTTTCTATAAACAAATAAACTTGAATTTATTTCAATAAATATAACATTTCTTCCAGTATCATTTTAATTCCTTCGCGTAAATGTTTCGCGTACCAAAGTCCAATACGAAGAACAAACGTACAGATGGTCGAAGAAAAATTTAAAAAATATGTATATATATTTTGTAAATCGTAAAGCAATAATCGTGAGAGAAGAAATTGTCCGTTACCTGTGATTAGTACGCTCTGACCAGCGTAGAACGAGTTCACCGAGGACTCCTGTTCGATCATGGTATCGCGTTCGATTGACTGTTTGCGCCACGAGCAAAATCGTCGAGACGCGACAGGTGAGACGCAACACGGAATACTGCTCGCAAACGTTCCGGTTTACAATTTTCAGACTGACCTTCCGAGCGACTCGAGAGGGGCTGACGAAGGAAAGCAGAACGAGCGTAAGACAAGGAGACGACGAACGAACATTTTCAGAAGGAAACGTAACGAAGTTAAACGTCGGTGGGAGTAACAGTAAGAATCAAAAAAACTTCCCCGCCATATTCTGGAGCGTCTAGTACCCGCTCAAAGAGTTTTAACCCTTTGCACTCCTATGTCGAGTGTGATTCGACATCAATTTTGATCTCAGGAGCTCCTTCGTCAAGTCCCATTCGACATTTTTTCAAGTCCAAATCAAAGAGATATCTTACACTTGAATATTACAAAAAATAAACAGATATTCTAACAGGTAAATTTCAAATAAAACACTTAAAAGCGTTGAGAGCTGCTGGTAACAAAATTGAAATATAATTCGGTGTGCAAAGGGTTAATCTTGACGGTTCTTACGAAGAATAATGGCTCCTTTGCGCGACCAAAGGGTGGAGGAATCGCTCAAATGGTCGCTCGTCGGCGTACTTGGCAAAAATTTATCAGATCAACGAAACGAGATTATAATTACGAGGTTTAACAAATTTGAAAGGGTCAAAAATCGATAAAAAATTCGAGATCTCGAGGATCCTACACTTGGAAATTCTAAATGGGGATTTTAGAGGGCAATGGTAGCAACTGGCTAATTTTTACGGTATTTATTTTCATAGTGCCCTGACACTTTGATGACCGCACGTTTAAAACTGAATTAAAAAATTTGAAAGGGTCAAAAATCGATAAGAAATTCGAGATCTCGGGAATCCTACCCCTGGAAATTCTAAATGGGGATTTTAGAGGACAATGGTAGCAACTGGCTAATTTTTACGGTATTTATTTTCACAGTGTCCTGACACATCGATAACCGCAGGTTTAAAACCGAATTAACAGATTTGAAAGGGTCAAAAATCGATAAAAAATTCGAGATCTCGGGAATCCTACCCCTGGAGATTCTAAATGGGGATTTTAGAGGACAATGGTAGCAACAGACTAATTTTTACGGTATTTATTTTCACAGTGTCCTGACACATCGATAACCGCAGGTTTAAAACCGAATTAACAGATTTGAAAGGGTCAAAAATCGATAATAAATTCGAGATCTCGGGAATCCTACCCTTGGAAATTCTAAATGGGAATTTTAGAGGACAATGGTAGCAACTGGCTAATTTTTACGGTATTTATTTTCACAGTGCCCTGACACTTTGATGACCGCAGGTTTGGAACCGAATGACCAAATTTGAAAGGGTCAAAAATCGATAAAAAATTCGAGATCTCGGGAATCCTACCCCTGGGAAATTCTAAATAGGAATTTTAGAGGACAATGGTAGCAACTGGCTAATTTTTACGGTATTTATTTTCACAGTGCCCTGACACTTTGATGACCGCAGGTTTGGAACCGAATGACCAAATTTGAAAGGGTCAAAAATCGATAAAAAATTCGAGATCTCGGGAATCCTACCCCTGGAGATTCTAAATGGGGATTTTAGAGGACAATGGTAGCAACTGGCTAATTTTTACGGTATTTATTTTCACAGTGTCCTGACACTTTGATAATCGACACGAAGATTGTTACTTCGATATATCTTTCCAGCTCCTGTAACTTTCTTCCTTTCCCACCGTTCCGTTTCAAAACGCGGCTGAAACCGGGCGGGGTTTCTCTTAAAAATCGCCCTGTACAATAAGAACACTCGTGAAAGTTAGAAAAGCGGAAAGAAAGTGGAAACGCCGCGTTGTGTCTCGTTGTTTGCGTCAATCAGCTGCAGAGACACGGACTCCTCGTTATCCAAGATTTAGTTATGAATTATGACACGATACGATATGTATTCAAACTCTTTGGTAATACCCGGGAAGGGGGTTGGGGGGATGTGTGGAGAGAATAAAATAAAAAAAGAAATACTCGAGACTTTTGCGTTACCGGAACGAACAAGCTTCACAGAACTTTGGAACAAGGTTGTAGCATTAAGCAAGTATAACCGTTTCGTCGAATGAAATTTATATTGAAAGAAAGTTGTGAGTTTCTTGGTATAAGTCCGCAGGAACTTTCAACCCGTTGCCTAATATTATCGGTAATAGCTACGACCGTTGAGAGGCCCTCTCGTCCGCAACGATCCACGTTAATTTCCTAAAGAGCCTGTTTATATACAATTATATTCTGTACGTTGTTGATACAAAAATTGTACAAATTTTTATTCTCCATTTTATAAATAAGTACGCAGTTAATTTTCACGATATTATTCCTTGGCCCGCGGGGGCCAAAATTGTTACTATCCAGCCCTCCTCGGAAAGAGTCCCACGATCCCCGGCTGTCGTAGACGTCCAAACGAGAAAACGACCACGGCGTCGGTTGTTTCGATCCCTTTCCTGTTCTTCCCGCTCGTTTCTCGCGAGCTGTCCAAAATACCAGAAGGTTGGCCGCGTGATTTTTTTGGCTAAAGACGCGGGGGCCACCGTATAGAATCCGACGAACGGCGTCGACACGATTCGATTCGACGGCTAATAATCCATTCGACGCTGTACACTCACGCACACGCATGCACGTACGCAATATTAATAATTATATCAATACACTCGTACACTGGCTACGCGGATTGCCGCGTGTAAGCCCGCAACACGTAAACTACCGACATCCAACATATTCGCAAAAGAACGTAAGACAGAATCAGCTTGAACGCCTGGTGGACCCAATATAATCTGCAAACAAATTTACAGAATTAATTACGATCAGATCCGTTCGAGAGAAACACCATTTGCACTTTGCAGTTTTCGCTGGAATATAAATTCGGTTCAAATTTTATTCACGGTTACGTAAATTGAATTAAGGGAGCATTCTAGTCTAGAACCTTCAAAAAGTCAATTCTTTTTTATATCATTTGAAAATATTTCTGCCAACAGATATTATTGTATTCGAAAAATTTCCTGATATTACAATAGCAGGTAGTATACTTTAAATCCATTTTTCTGGAAACCACATTTTTCCAGATGACTGCCATGATATCTTAAGTTCTAGTTGACCTATTGCAGGTATCTTCAGCACATATGACTCTATCGTCCAGAGTAAAATTTTTTAAATACAATGGTTTTAACTATTTTTTTGATACGCTGAAGTTGGGGGAAAAAATACAAAAACTCGATAATGGAGGTTCGTTTGTCGATTTCTGATGAGAAGAACAAGCATGTTCAATTGAAGACGCTCTACTGAAACAGCTGTATCGTCGACAATTTGAAATATATATTCACGACAAAAATAGAGTATATTCCTGAAATATAAATCAATACTATGTCACAAATCCAGATACAATAATGTTTTATAGGTTCTTTAGAAAAAATTCCCAAACGTCACTTAAAAAATTGACTTCTAGACTAGAATATTCCCTCAAGTATACGAATAAAATTTTCGTTACATGCATTTAAACATTTTTATCGAGAAAATAATTCTTGGAGCGCAAATTTAGGTATTACCTGTGCCATTTAATGCGAGCCTTCTCGAGAGTTTCGATCGGGTCTTTTATCAGGTACATGCGAATCCCTTGTATGTAAAACCGGAAGTAATTGTCCCAGTCGACTCGCGTGATGTCGCAGGCGAAGTTTTCGCGATCCTCGGGGCTCATCTTGGCGAGCACCGACCTGAAATTGTCGTTGATGAAGTCCCACTGCCTCGTGGTGAAGTAATTTAGCACGTCCATAAATTTGTGTATCTTTTTGTAGATCTTCATCATCCTTCGATCAAAGAAACATGCTTTGTCAACAACGAGGGAATGAAAGCACGATGGGTCAGAGATCTAGAAAACGTGGCAACTATTCAATAAATGGAAGATGTCTCCAGAGGTTTTTATAGAATTAATATCTTCTTCAATTTAATTTTATTAAATTACACAGCTTCTCTATATCGTTCTAAATGTCAAAGTATCTTTAATTTCTTCATTGCATTAACCCCTTAACGTTCATGCTCGAGTCTGACTGCTTTGAAAAACGATATTTGTTTAATCTAATGGTTTAAGGGATGATAATATTTGTTTTCCTGCAAATTATACGTTGGATACAACATTGTAATTAACAAAAACCGCATTTTTAGAAACAAATCCAATAAAGAAAACTGATTATTCTTAATTAACCGGAAAAATATGAGCGTTAAGGGGTTAATGAGAATTGAAGTTTTTGATTAATTTATTTTAAATTTTATCGACTGTTTTTGAAGACGATTTGTCGTTTCCATTTTTTTGCTTACGAAGATGCTAGAAATTTTAATATAAATTTCTCAATATTGTCCTATATATCAAAGATAGTGTCTTCGTATATTTCTTCATTGCATTTATGAGCATTGAAGTTTTTCATTAATTTATTTGAATTTTTAGCAACTGCTTTTGAAGACGATTTGTCGTTTCCACTTTTCTGCTCACGAAGATGCTAGGAATTATTATAAACTTCTTGATATCGTCCTATACATATATCAAAGACAATATCTTCGTATATTTCTTCATTGCATTTATGAGCATTGAAGTTTTTGTTTAATTTATTTGAATTTTTATCAACTGCTTTTGAAGACGATTCATCGTTTCCATTTTTTTGCTTACGAAGATGCTAGAAATTTTAATATAAATTTCTCAATATTGTCCTATATATCAAAGATAGTGTCTTCGTATATTTCTTCATTGCATTTATGAGAACTGAAGTTTTTCATTAATTTATTTGAATTTTTATCAACTGCTTTTGAAAACGATTTCGTTCCTATTTTTCTGCTCACGAAAATACTAGGAATTATTATAAGCTTCTTGATATAGTCCTATACATATATCAAAGACAATATCTTCGTATATTTCTTCATTGAATTTATGAGAATTGTAGTTTTTGACTAATTTATTTGAATTTTTAGAAACTGTTTTTGAAGACGATTTGTCGTTTCCATTTTTCTGCTCACGAAGATGCTAGGAATTTTATTTTAAGCTTCTCGATATCGTCCTAAATATCAAAGACAGTGTCTTCGTATATTTCTTCATTGCATTTAAGGAAATGATAGTTTCTGCTATTACAAAGAATTATAAATACTATGATACCATAATGATCACACTCAGATAGCATATTAACATATAAAAAAATAGGAAAATAATATAAAATATACGATCCTTATAACCACGAATCTACTTATGACTCCAATAATATTGACCACGTCATCAGGATCTCCTCACTCACTCTGTGGACAGATTACCTGGGTTCCTTGCCAACACAAACTGTGATGGTGTCGATGATGAGGGCGGGCATCAAGTGCAATATATAGACGCACAACAAGTGGATCAGTTTGTGTTTGTTGTTGCGGAAGCTGTAATACCATATCGCCTTTCCGGTCGGGTACTCGAGCCCGTATTTCTCGGACTTGATTTTCAGATCATCGTACGTGATGGAGTTGTCCCTGCAGACGAAATTGTACACCGGCACGTCGTTGTTCTTCTCACCGGGCGTGATCGAGGATCTGCAAGCGAACGATGATGGCTCAGTAGGAGCGACGAGGGCGTAGGATTTACGCGCGCAGAAAGAAAAAGTGTATCGGAATAGAAACGAATACGCGAACGAATCGGAATATAGTCGAACGACTCGTTGTCTTCGTGTTTTACCTTCGACGGTTTGCTACGTCCCAAGCACAGGCTATCAGAGCGTTTACCGTTAAATCTCCGGGCACAACGTTGGCCTCTATCGAACCGTCGCAGTGGATCGATCGAAGGATCCCGGTACCTGCGCCAGCCGCAACGCCTGTCGGTCCGTATAGATTATCGATCCATCCACGGAGTGGTTCCTGATACGTCGATATCACTGGAAACATTTCAAACGAATCTCTAATCAGAATTTACAAATTATCTTTTATTCGTCGAAATTATTGTCAACCCTTAACGCGAGACAAGGGGAAAAATTTTAATGGGGGATTCCAGAGGTCAAAATAAGACGAAAATCAAGAATACCAATTCGTTGATGGAGGCTTCGTTAAAAAGTTATTAACAATTACATTCAAATATTTCAAATCGTTCTGGAAAAATTATTTTCGGTTGCGGGGGTCAATTACAATCATTTTTGGTCATTACACATACCATCGAAATCCTACCCAGTTTCGAGAAAAAAATTCGAGGCGTGAAATTTTTCGACGGGGGAAAAATATTTCAAATCGTTCTGGAAAAATTATTTTCGGTTGCGGGGGTCAATCACAGTCATTTTTCGTAAATATACATACCCCCGAAATCCTGCCCACTTTCTAACAAAAAATTCGAGAAGGTGTGCAATTTTTCGACGGAAAAAAAAATTTCAAATCGTTCTGGAAAAATTATTTTCGGTTGCGGGGGTCAATTACAATTATTTTTTGGCAATAGACATACTCCCGAAATCCTACTCATTTCCTAGAAAAAAATTCGAGAAGGTATGACATTTTTCGATAAAATTAAAAAATTTCAAATTTTTCTGGAAAAATTATTTTCGGTCGCGGGGGTCAATTACAATTATTTTTGGTCAATAGACATACTCCCGAAATCCTACTCATTTCCTAGAAAAAAATTCGAGAAGGTATGAAATTTTTCGATAAAATTAAAAAATTTCAAATTTTTCTGGAAAAATTATTTTCGGTTGCGGGGGTCAATTACAATTATTTTTGGTCAATAAACATACTCCCGAAATCCTACTCATTTCCTAGAAAAAAATTCGAGAAGGTATGAAATTTTTCGATAAAATTAAAAAATTTCAAATTTTTCTGGAAAAATTATTTTCGGTTGCGGGGGTCAATTACAATTATTTTTGGTGAATAGACATACCCTCGAAAACCTGCGCATTTTCGAGAAAAAAATTCAGTACGGACGGAACTTTAAACGTTAATAACTTTTAACTATTGATTGTTTTTCGTCTTATTTTGGCCTCTAGAATTCACCATTAAAATTTTTCCCAGGGAACACCCTGTATAGAATACAGACGATCGTGCAAGTGGGTGGCTTTTTATTTTTTTAATACTGTATTTTGGGATATAAAAATACTCCATGTAATATGTTAAGGGTTAACAACGCTTTGTAATCTTTCAATAAAGGATTTTAAACAATCGTAAATGTGCCTTTACGCCGCCTAAAGGGGAAAGTGAAAAATATTGTCCGTCTTGTTGCGAAATTAATTTCAATAAAAAACATATAATACGTTGCTTAACGTGGTTATGTATACGTGTTTCGATAAAATAAAAATAATACTCGATGATTTGGGTCGTCACGATTAACGTTAATATAAATGGTAATTCAGCGATTATTATTCTCTATAAAAAGAATTTCGATGTGTTTCGTCCTAGATTGCTAATAGACTGACCCAGCAGCTCACTGACGTCGAAATTTAATGAACTCGTGGGAACAGGTTTTTAGACGAATTAGAGACGTTATTCATAGGCCTGAAAAAATTAAATTCGAATACTTGGCACACGGAGTTTAAACTATGTCACTGAATTACCATTTACATTGATAGCAATGAAACGAGTTACGTGGTTATAAGAGCAAGTTGAAAAGTACGTATACATTTTATTCGATTCTATTTCAACCACGTAATATGATTTAAAATGGTGGCTTCCAAGCCATAGTGGCGCCTTAAAATACAAGCACAAGTTGGAATTTTATTTCTGGTAGCCAAATAAATTTTCCTTCGACTGTTTTTGCAGCTAACGTTGACTTATAAAGAGGCAAAAAATTGCCATTTAAAATTAATATCTTCCGGATCGCGATGTCTCTGAAATACTAACCAATTGAGGGACGAAATATGCCCACGGGCATGTCACCGGCATCTTTCTTCACGCTACTTTCGGCCACTGCTTTTGTGAAAGTGTACGTATTCGGCCATATACCCAGTAATCTGCAAAAATAAAAACACTTCGTCGAGTGTTCGTAAAACAAATCTGTTTTTTTTTTTACAAGCATTAAAATTAAATTAATTCCTTTTCTTCCGTTCCATTTTTCAACTCTTTCGTTTTCGTACGCCGTATTTTAAATTGCAAGGTCCGAATTTACAAAATAGACTGAATTAAACGACGAAGGATGCATACAGGAAAGCCTTCGTTGCATATTTCTGTTATTCAAAACATGCATTTATTTAAAGCCTCGAGATATTCTATGGAAATGTGATTTAAATATTTTTACTTGGTTCTCAGAACCGCGTGGTTTGCTGACCCCCGTTCTCGAAAGATGAAACCCGATCTCTCCAAAACCGGAAACGCGACGACCGTTCTCCAAAATTAGAGTCACGTAAACACGCTATTTTACGAATTACGAATGATTGTAAAAGAGATTCTGGAATGCAGCAGTGTTTAACAACAAATTAAAATTTTAACATTTTTTTAAATCTAACCTCGAAGTATGAATTAATTTTAATAGTATACTGCTAGCAACTATTTTAATAGTTAAAATTTTAGAGCAGGAGTCCCTCTTTCTTGTAAATTATTATTTTACTGTAAAATTTGCTACAAATAAGAACCTTGATATTTTTGCATAAAGATTAAAAAAACTGCAATAAAAATTATGGAGTTAAAAGACAGATGCAGTTTTTAGACGCACTAAAACGAAGAAAATTACATTCAGTTTGTTTCCATCCATTCACTACAATATTCCAGAAGTTAAAAGAGCAACAATCTCTGAATAATAAATCATTCGATGTAATTGTTAAGTGCATATTTTTCCATCGTTTTAACTTCTTCAGATACGAATTGCATATGAAGCAAACGAAGATTTTAAATAATATTGACCCGTGACATCTATCAATCTTGTCATGGTGTTGGATTATATCATTGGGACATCAATATTTATTCGCAATTATTGCGATTAATTCCGGGTTATAGCACTTCAACATTGGTCGTCAACATTTAACAACCTGGGTAGAAATTGCTTTGCATAAAACTGAAATTCTATCTCGTATTGACCCCGCAACGTCCATCGACTTCGTGACGATGCTGCAATGTTATATAATCGAACAAATTCAATAATTGCAACACAATCGGGGAGTGATTTTTCTTATAAAAATGAATAAAAAACGTGGAATAAATTTGTTTGAAATATCGTTCTGTTATCGAGGAAAACAACTTTGAAAATCTGTAAAATGCGGCGCTAATCGTGAGTTTTCAAACACGGCTCTGTGATCACCAGACTGCGGATGTTTGTGCATTTATGGGAAATTTAAATTCTCAGAAAACTACAGAATGCATTTAATATGCAAAAATGTAAGAAATGCTTAAAGTAAGATACGAATTATTTAGGAATTGAGACAACTCTTTTCAATGCTCCCATTCCATTAATTCTATTAATAAAAATAGTGATCACTGTAAGTGTATTTTATAAAACTTGACCTTCAAACAAAATGCTAATTTTCTGATACGATTTCTGTACTCTGACAAACAATTAAAAAAGTTGTTAATGCTCTTTGCCTCCGTTGCTTACCGCGGAGTAATCTCGTCCAACAATTTCTCGTCCAAGCACTCCGTCAGAGCGATCAATTGATCTCCGTCCATCGGTGGTTCGTACACCCTCTCCTCGATCCTGGTCAGCGGACAATTCGCGTATGCCGTCGACACGTGCACGAACGCCTGAAAACACCACGCAGAATTCGTTACGCAGTTCCCTCACGAATCCTGTTTCTGTGTTTCGTTTTACTCGCCTTCAAACGTGGCATGTCTTTGCACAGATTCAGCGCTGCCTTGGGACTCCTCACGTTGATGGGCACCGCGACTGTCATCTTCTCGTCGAACCTGACGGTCGCAGCGACGTGGAAGAAGATCGAGACTTCTCTAATTAATGTAGCTCTGTCGTTAGGAGAGATCCCCAACCCAGGGAGGTAGCAGTCCCCAGAAATCGCTACAATTTGATGCCTGAACTTCGGATGCTGCTCTTTCAATCGACCAAAAACCTTAAAGGACAAAGGAAATCGAATTAGATCGGGTTATTTGTTCATAGAACGTACGGACGAAGAGTTTTTGGCCGCCATATTTGTTGTTTGCTCGTTCGAGCGATGTTTTGATATTGCAGGAATTATAAACGTTATAATTACATAAATGCAGAATGTAATTATGTTTTTATTTCTTTCTTTAACGAGAATTTACAAAATGAATGGACGTAGTGTTTTCTATGGGTTTAAATGAAGTTGATAGGGTTTTATAACGAGGTATAGAACTTTCGTTCAACATGGCCGCCATATTTGTTGTTTGCTCGTTCGAGCGATGTTTTGATATTACAGGAATTATAAACGTTATAATTACATAAATGCAGAATGTAATTATGTTTTTATTTCTTTCTTTAACGAGAATTTACAAAATGAATGGACGTAGTGTTTTCTATGGGTTTAAATGAAGTTGATAGGGTTTTATAACGAGGGATAGAACTTTCGATCAATATGGCCGCCATGTTTGTTGTTTTGATATTACAGCAATTATGAAAGTTTAAGTTAAATGCAGAATAATGGTTTATTAATGAGAACCTATAAAAACAAAGACTGAACAAGTGTTTTCTATGAGTTTGAAAGAAGTTAATTATTCCCTCGTTCGAGTGATGTTTTGATGTAGCAGGAATTATAAACGTTATAATTACATAAATGCAGAATGTAATTATGTTTTTACTTCTTTCTTTAACGTTATCCGTTGTATTAGGTAGAACGAAGTTTGGCCAACAAGCAGTAAATACGTATATAATTATAACAATCCTAAATAACAGAGTTTCGTATTTGGGGTTGTAGAGCCAATCGTGCTGGCGCGGTTACGCTGGAGGGCAATATGGCGCCGCCACAAAACCTGTCGTAATACAGGTTTGATGGACGACGGTTTTGCACTTGCCTGTCCGTTTCAGAGACCAGTTGGAAAGATTTTCTCTACGACCTCAGCTTCGAAATCGCGGTGCTAGAATGTAGCAGAATACAAGACAGAAAGTCTACAACTTTCGAAAAGGAGCGTTCAACGTTACGGTCCGCGGATGTAAGGCTCTCTAGACTACCATCTTGCGATCCAACAGACGACAGAAACTGTGTTAACGTCACGTGTGAGCAAATATTATTTAAAAAGCGATCCTACTATCATTAACACTGGAACCACCGGCAATTATATTGCATTTATTTTTATCAAAGAAATTAAAACTATAGATAAAGAAACGTATAATGCGATGGAGATAAATGTTTATTCATTTTCTTATAGAAAATTCTGGTAAATTTTTTGCAATTTTTATTAGAAATTACGAATGGGTCATTTTGACTGCTTTGCTAGTCCAGTGATAATTCTTGAGATTTACATCAACTATTGCAACTGAAAATCAAAGATTAACAGACACTGGATAAGACTAGTTTTAATTTTAAAGTGTCTTGTCGTTCTTATCGAGAAACCTGTTGTTGATTCAAAAAATTTTTAGCGCGAAAACTGACATTTTGCAGCGGATGTGAATTTTACTTGCGTCGGTGGTGGGTGTTAATTTAATGTGGCTCGACTCTCCCTTAGATCAAGCGAAAGGTCCGCCGGAGGAAAGGTGGCGAACACGGAGTCTAGACGTCGAGAGAAAGTCGTAAGTTTAGTTACGGGCTCGGAAGAAGTGGGAACCATAACTAGCGATGGGATTTGAAGTATGTACTTTGAATCGATTCGAACTTATACACAAGGTGTTCGTCCAGCTCTGGGAAAAATTTTAATGGGAGATTCTAGAGGCCAAAATAAGACGAAAATCAAGAACAACGTTGATTGACGATTCGTTAAAAAGTTATTAAAAATTTAAATTACAAAATTTCAAATCGTTCTGAAAAAATTATATTTAGTTACACGGGTCAATTGCAAGCATTTTTGGTGAATAGACATACCCTCGAAATCCTACGCACTTTCGAGAAAAAAATTTGAGTAGGTGGACTTTTTCGACAAAATTAAAAAATTTCAAATCGTTCTGAAAAAATTATTTTCAGTTTCGGGGATTAATTATGATCATTTTTGGTGAATAAACATAACCCCGAAATCCTACGCACTTTCGAGAAAAAAATTCAGTAGGTGGACAAATTTTTCGACAAAATTAAAAAATTTCAAATCGTTCTGAAAAAATTATTTTATGTTTCGAGGGTTAATTACGGTCATTTTTGGTGAATACACATACCCACGAAATCCTACGCACTTTCGAGAAAAAAAATACTTTACCGAAAATATACCCTGTGGCCAGAAATTTCATGCGTGCGCTTAAAAAATCGTATCTTATGGACAGATTGAAGGATTTCAATGATTCAAAATTCAAACGATGCGTATTAATGGAACTCTAGAGCCCCAGAAAAATTGGTCAAAATAATACATTGGATTATTGAACTACTAGTATCTTGTACCCTCCTGTATAGAGAGTGTACGGGCACCTCGATGGAAAATTTTAACGGGAGATTTTAGAGACCAAAATAAGACAAAAATCAAGAATGTTAATTTATTGACTGACGCTTCGTTAAAAAGTTATTAATTTTTAAAGTTCCGCCTGTAGATGATGGTTGACAGTGGTAGATAGTGGTTCTCACTCAGCATGAGAAACTCTATTTACTGATGTATCGACAGCCTTACAGTTTTCTGAGTGAGAACCACTAGAACTGACCCGCCTCAACCTATCGTGCGCGCGCAGCTGTTCTCAGATTGCCATTCTACAGGCGCAACTTTAAACGTTAATAACATTTTAACGAAGCCCCAATCAACAAATTGCTATTCTTGATTTTCGACTTATTTTGGCTTCTAGAATCTCGCATTAAAATTTCTCCCCAAGGTGGCTGTAAAACCTGTACACGTAGCAAATAAATTCCAATACAATTCGAAGCTCCAAACTCTTGAAAGTCTCGAGTGTTGTATCTTAAAGATTCTGGTAAATTTGGATGATTTCCAATAACCCTCAAGACTCAGAAGCTTCAAACCGTTTGGAAACCGATGATCCATAACGAAAGATCAAACAAAATCAGTTTTGAGCGATAATTACCGGATCGTCGAACAGTTCCTCGATGCGCTGATGGACGTCCTTGCCCTTTTTCGAGCGTACCAATAAATAGATGAACGAGATGCCAGGACACTCGCGGAGGAGTTTCTCGACGAGCAGCTTGCCCATGAATCCCGTGCCGCCGGTCACGAAGATGCTCTCGCCATTGTAGAATTTTTGTATGGGCGTTAGTTTGGACACCTCGACGGTCGAGTCGCAATTGTCACTGGGCGAGCATTCCGTCGAATTTTCGTTTAGATTGCATCCGTTCTCAGGCACGGCCACGTCCTGGCCACACTGCTCCAACAAAACTTCCACCATCGCGTTTGATGTCCTCCGCGCGTCGTTTTGGAGACTATCGATACAACTGAACAAATCAAATAAATCAGTAACAATCACAGCATGGTCCATGGTGAAAAAAAACGAAATAGGTGAAAATAATATTCGTCCACTACAACGTTTTTATAAACGCTCAATTACTCCCTTGTTGCAATTTGTGTGTTGTTAAATATTCACCAAAAATCGTTACTTTACAGAGTTATTCGGAGGAATTGTGGCTTTAAAGATTACAGATTTGCAAAAGTTCCAGGAATTCTGATTTGGAATTTTTAAATTGGAAAATGCACGTTCTTGGACCACCAAATGCAATAGACGAATGTGTAATACTTGAAACGTTTTTGGGCGTGAAGTATTAATGAATTTTGTAAATATTAATTTTGAAAGTAATAGAGCGCCTTGTTCCTTATAAAATATGCGTTACAAGCGAGCGTATTGCGAAAAATGATCGTTTTCGAAAGCGGGTCTCGTGCCATAAAAGTTTGGGAAGCCTTGCCGAGAAATTATAGTTCGGATTAGGTATAATCGATTCCATGAAAAAAGTATCGATATAAATCTAGCTATTGATAGATATCGATAGAAATTTATTATTGGAATGTTCATTTTACGATAATAGATTTTACTTGTTATTGAATCTGAGTATCGCACGCGATTAACGAGCCGACGTTTAAGGTGGAAGTGTCTGGCTAAACCAGACGCCGCTATTTTCACCTATTTCTTTCTTTTCCCCCCGACACAAACAGGCCATAAAAGAAAACGAAAGTGTTCGAGAGCTAAGCCCACATGCCAATCTGAAAAGTGCTGCTCGCTCCGCTGCTCCCGCGATAGCTACTCGGAGAGAAACCGTCGTTGAGTGAAAGTTGATCGTGAACTTCGTCCGTGCGTCTCCCGTGCTCCGAATCGAAAGACCGATATGATCGATGTCGCGTGTCGACCGTAAGACGAAAAACTCGTTTCCCGTCTCGTCGTTTTACGATAATAATTACCGCGAATACGCCACTCAAATGTCAATTATCGTTACGTTACGATAACAGTCGATTCTTACGATCGTAAATCGATCGCACCACACTCGACTAATCGATTCAAAAAGTCGAAAGATATTGCCCCTTAATATAAAATTCTATCTTCCTTTGCTCTTCGACGTGTCCATTTGAATTATTAGATTGGGATTCCGCGTTGGAGGGATCGGAGATTTGGAACTGCGGACAAAAGTCAAGGGCAATGACATCACAGTATCAACACGCTGGTTAAATTATGCGGAAGAATCGCAAACGCGTGTGAAATGATAATTACAGCGGGTCCTCGATTTTGACGTCTCGTTTCGCGTGATTGACTTAAATAAAAAATTAATTAATCGATCCGGTATCGAGAATGGGAGCTCTTTTGCAATATTATGCGGAAGAGCCTTCGTGATGGAGGTTGCCCCCGTCGCTCGTTGATTCGTAAGGTCGACTCTCGCGTGCCTGTGTGAAAGTGTACACATTCTCACTCTCGATCCTGCGTCCATTAGAGAGTCTCACTTTTAATAGCAACTTCTCGAGAGCAAAACTCACCACTGGATAGCGTAATAGTTAGACTGCGGATGTTTATGAATTTATGGGAAATTTTAATCCTAAAAAAACTACAGAATGCATTTAATATGCAAAAATATAAGAAATACTTAAAGTAAGATACGAATTATTATATTTAGGGGTTCAGACAGCCCTCTGCGAAGCTTCCGTTTCATTAATTTTATTAATAAAAATGTAAATTTGCATAAAGATCCGCAGTCTAGTAATAGTTATTTGAAATGTTTCGAATCTACAAAATGGCGGGAAAATCAACTTACTCCGCTATCTTCGATATTTTCAACAATTCTGACGAGCTATACGAACTGACACAACTAACCTTTGCTATTTGATGACAAAAGTATGGAGGTTTAATATATGAATATTTATTAAATGAGAACTACGGTTTGTCACAGCTTATAGAATCACCCTGTATACTCAGAACTGCATCCAATCCTTATTAATATTATAAGAGCACATAAAAACAGAGATCGCAAATATGTCATTGGTTCGGGAAACATCTAATTCCACCTTATTAATATTTAAAGGCGTGTGAAAAAATTGCAAAAAATTCGTGGAGTGTAATTTTATTAGTCGATAATATGTCACATGCTCGGGAAGAATCTTATTAATATCCCTTCTGATTAATACGTAAGTGCAGCTTGACAAAAAATCCTAAAGACACGTACGCAGTAATTTATGCTGTCCACATGTTGCCAACACTTTTTTTACTTGCTCTTCGATATTAATAAGGATGGATTGAATATACGTTGCGGGTATAAAGTGTAATTGTGTATCGAAGAGTAACGAGTACGATCAAATACTAGTTTCGATTGTAAAATATGGGAGTCATGTTTAACTCTTGTCTGAAATATTGTTTTCTGTTATTTTGTCTACGAAATAAGGAGTTCAGAGTTTTCAGAGTTATTTCGAATCGAACGAAGTTAATTTACACCTAGGATTAGGATTTTTAGACATGGGATCTCGCGTGATGCCACACGCAGTTAACACATTTTACGACTGCTCGAATAAATTTTACGAAGCACATGACGTATTTACGTATTTTTTGCTCTTATTTTACATTTACACAATATGTCACGTGCGAAAGAAAATTTTTAGTATCGAAAAATATGGAGAACTTAAATTACTCACTTAGTATTAATGTAATAATAGATGGAAGCTTAACAGTTGTCAAAATATATTTTTCTATTAGAATTTTAAATTCAAACGTTGGAATTTCTTACTTTAAAGGGAGTACCTCGGAAAAAAATGTTCAAACTACTGTTTCGATAAGTTTGAGATCGTTTAAAAATATTTCTTAACATAATTTGGTATACCAGTATCACTCGAAAACGTAAATTTATCGATGGTGTTAACACATTTGCTGCCCACACGGTTTCTCGAGGTTATTACGTTTTGCAAGCTCGTGTTTCCTCTGTCTTCGAGTAAACGAACGTACGTAATGTTATGTACATATATAAAATCATAGTCTTCAATCGCTAAAAACGTTCAAAAAATTTACTAAACGTATACAGATATGTACAGGGTTTATCACTTAACTTTATCGCCTGAAATATTTCGGTTGTTTCGGATAAACTCGCAAAATGGAACGATGTCGAGGACGACGTAATTTAATTTGATGGGTTTTTCGTGGGAGGACATATAAAGGACATATGAAAACCAGGTTTTTTTTTTCTAAATGGAATCACCTATTTTGTATACTTATAAATAATGGCTACTTTAAAGGCTCAATGACCTGTTGCCTACAGTCCTTCGAGGTCACGAATGGTGGTAAATTATATCTTCTGTCTAATTTTCTATGCTACTGCGAACTTATATTCCGAAAATCGAACAGAAAAATTTCTTTATACGACTCTTCTATTCCTGTTGCTAAAAAATATTATTTGTTTCAAATAATCTTTAAAACGGTGGACAGCGAACGTGTTAACAAGGATAACCTTGGCTTAGGCTCGAACACATCGAAACGTTTTATTTAATTTTTGGAAAATTTGAGAATACGTTCCTAAAATTTTGTCTTGAAATTTTTAAAATGACGAAACTGCTCGAACGCATTAATTTCTATTTGATAAAAAGTCACGATCGCACGATAGGGTCACGATCAACGATTAATATATCGCACATTTCTTCTTTGGAACGCTGCACGTATCTTTAATTAAATTTAATACTTGTTAAGAGTTAAAAAATAAAATTTTAATTGATGGTTGTGACTTGGAAATTAAACATAAGTACACAAATGGTCCGTACTAATTATTATTATTTATAATTACGGACGTTTTGGTTTTTGGTTCCAGGTCTTGCTCAATATAACAAATTATAAATGTAATTATATAAAAATTAATTAATGGAATATGACAACTAACATGGAAACTTTTAAATCAAAGTTAAAACTATTGCACATACACAAAACCAGGATTAGAGTTAGGAATACAATAAAATCAAACTCTTGGTGACTTTATGCTTGCCAGAAATTCAATAAAAACTATATAATAATAATAAGTGGTAAATAAATAAAATGATACAAGAGATATCTTATAATCCAATAAGAAATAATTTTAATTTCTTGCTCCTATATGAATAACCACAAATTGTTAATGGACGAGGTCAGGGATACGTGCAATTAAACATTCCAATTAAAAGTCACGACTATTATTAGGAAAAAATGTTTTATGTATGTAGATCAGTATCTATTTACTCATTTGCTATGATTTTGCCATCAATTTTAATTAGAACGCTTAATTACGAACATTTGCAATTACCCACATTATGCCACGGAATCCATAGTACCTATATAATAATTTTTTATTAGGATGTAAGATAAAAAAAATTTTTCCTTGTCAGATATACTCTTTCTCTTGCTTAAATCGGTGGGCCCATTTTCTAAATAATTACTTTGTATTTGTAATTCCTATTTCTCTGTCTTCAACTCAGATGTCCGTATGACGTCATTTAAATTTACGTACTGAGGACAGCCAGAACCAAAGGTCGAAACGTCTATTTTCCAAGTCGCAAATATCTAACGATTCGTAACATACAACGATAAATTATTGTTTTTGTAGAAGTTTATTGAGTCCGGAGAAAATCGAAATATGGTCGAAGAATGTTAAAAATTTGCCTGCCAAATCTATATTTTATCGACTCAAAATAAAAAAGGTCTATTTTCCTAGTTACAAACATCTAACGATACATATAACATACAACGACGAATTATTGTATCGATATAATATTTGTTTTTATAGAAGTTACTATATTGAGTCCGGAGGAAATCGAAATATGGTCGAAGAATGTTAAAAATTTGCCTGCCAAATCTATATTTTATCGACTCACAATAAAAAAGGTCTATTTTCCTAGTTACAAACATCTAACGATGCATATAACATACAACGATGAATTATTGTATCTATATATTATTGTTTTTATGGAAGTTACTATATTGAGTCCGGAGAAAATCGAAATATGGTCGAAGAATATTAAAAACTTGCTTGCCAAATCTATATTTTATCGACTCAAAATAAAAACGTCTGTTTTCCAAGTCACAAACATCTAACGATGCATATAACATACAACGATGAATTATTGTTTCTATATATTATTGTTTTTATGGAAGTTACTATATTGAGTCCGGAGAAAATCAAAATATGGTCGAAGAATATTAAAAGCTTGCTTGCCAAATCTATATTTTATCGACTCCAAAAAAAAACGTCTATTTTCCAAGTCGCAAACATCTAACGATGCATATAACATACAACGATGAATTATTGTTTTTATGGAAGTTACTATATTGAGTCCGGAGAAAATCGAAATATCGTCTAAGAATGTTAAAAACTTGCTCGTTAAATCTATTTTTTATAGACTTAAAATAAAAACGTCTATTTTCCAAGTCACAAACATCTAACGATGCATATAACATACAACGATGAATTATTGTATCTATATATTATTGTTTTTATAAAAGTTACTATATTGCATCCGAAGAAAATCAAAAAGTGGTTGAAGAATATTAAAAACTTGCTTGCCAAATCTATATTTTATCGACTCAAAATAAAAACGTCTGTTTTCCAAGTTGCAAATATCTAACGATTCATAACATACAACGATAAATTATTGTTTTTATAGAAGTTACTATATTGAGTCCGTAGAAAATCAAATTATGGTTGAAGAATATTAAAAGCTTGCTTGCCAAATCTATATTTTATCGACTCAAAATAAAAACGTCTATTTTCCAAGTCACAAACATCTAACGATACATAACATACAACGATGAATTATTCTATCGATATATTATTGTTTTTATAGAAGTTACTATATTGAGTCCGGAGAAAATCGAAATATGGTGCATCGAAAATCGATGAATGTTAAAAACTTGCTTGCCAAATCTATATGTTATCGATTTGAAATATTAACGATCGTCCAATTTCGCGTTCAATTAGAAAATGCAATTACCGCGAGGAAAGATAAATATTGCAAAAGATGACCTTACTATTCGAGCCGGGCACCTTGGCTGTTTCTCTTCACAAAACACTGAAACGTTGCACCGCAAAGATTGCGACAACTTCGCGACCCCAGCACCGACTAGCGCGGTTCGTTTGATCTCCCCGAAGGCGCTTCGATCTCAACCACCGCGGTTCGATTCGTACGTTTCCGTCGATCGTCGTGTCGATTCGCTCGACGCGCGGGGCATTTTTGGAAATCGAGATGGAACGCGAACGAAACTGAGTCACGGTTTAACGAAAGTTGAACGCGCGTCGTATTTGGGTGCGAAATAACGGTCACGGGATGCTGCGCGAGCACACTTGTCGCTCAACGATTATTAAATATTCCGTTCGATTGGAGGAAATTCCGCGAGAGAAGCGCTTGAACGCACGTCGTCGGTGCCCGTGACAGTCGTGAATCCCCGAGACACGGTCGTTCGATAATTCTCGAGCAGCAGAAACGAGCGTCGTAATCGATACGAATCGCGAGCCGCAAACTCGCGTTGAATGTCTAACGAAGAAAGTCGGGTAGCCGCGTATAGAAAGCTCGTGAGCGCGTCGAATCAAAATACGTATTACGCGTTCGTTTAATACATCGTGGCGCGTTCCACTCCTGTGTAGAATTTAGATTAGAGTTGTATGAAACTATTATTTTAATTAATCGTCCGCGACGTGCGTCGTACGGTCGCGCGAAACGACCGACCGTCGCGTCGCAAATTGAAACGGAACCGGGTTGTTTCGTTGCTCGATATTGCTTTCTTTTCGCACGAGCATCTCGGTTCAAACCTGTTTGCCGTTCGTACGGGCCCGAAATTCACAGCGATCCGCCGGAACCGTCGCCAGTGAAATATTTCGGGACAGAGATCACTATAAACAACGTAGAACTTGTGCTGTTTCGAGCGTCGCGCACAATCCGGATCTATCGACCACGAAGGGTTACAATTTCACTGACCTTTGCTCCGCCGTTCCCGTGAAATCAATTTCCCGCGCGACGTTCGAGAGAAACACGGAGAATCGTCGCTCGACGAACCAACTGTACAAACTAACGAATGAAACCGACTGTTAAACGCACCAACAAACGGAAGAACCGAACGCTAGGTACCTTGGTAACTTTCTCTTCGCGCGAATCTACCGATCCTCCTCTTATGCCACCTCGAGTCTTTTGCAAGCGATACACCACAGAATTGTCACTCGTCCCGTCGTTGGTCTCGCTTTTCCTTTCTCCTCCTTCTACTCTCCTTATTGCCTTGCCCCTTCCCTCTACCCTTTGACACTCCTTCTCCTTCCTTGACACGGCTTCGAATCACGCTCGACCCCCCAGTCCAACCACCTCCCTGCCACGAATTTATTTCGTCTCTCGTTTCTTCTTTTTGTCCTATCGCGGGAGGTTCTTCTGCACGTTTAATCGTATTTTCGTTCCCTTCGAATACCCCCGTGCCGGCAAAAACCAGTCGTACCACGGTGTTGTCGCCCGCCCGGGAATAAGAACTGCACGACGCGCATCGATAAACGCGACGCGTGCATTCGTTACGCGAAGGGATCCCCAGAAGTGCGCGTCGCGAAAGAGTTTTAGACGTTCCGAGCGTCCGTGGTGAACTCGAGGCGACACGGTCACCGGGAAACGATTCAAAACAAACGACCGGAAGACGATGGCACCGACACGCTGTGGTAACTAAACAAAATGGACAAACTCCACTATACTCGATAGAACAAATCTCCGATCTTTTCACAATTTTATGAAATTAATCTTATCATACTAAATTAATCTTTTCAATTATCACGAAAAGACTATTATAAATTAAAATTATTTTTAAATTGCACTATTTCGAATAACTGTAAATTTAGTAGACTACCCTCTACAAACATTAAAATTAAAATTATTTTTAATTCCTTATTGGACCACTACTGGATAAATAACTATATTCTTCATTTGTTATACGAATTTTTCATCTGAATATGCAGTTTGCTCATTTTTAAATTGCACTATTCGAATAACTTTAAATTTAATACACTACCCTCTGCAAACATTAAAATTAAAATTATTTTTAATTTTTTATTGGACCAGTACCACATAAATAACTATATTTTTCATTTGTTGTACGAAATTTTCATCTGAATATGCAGTTTGCTCATTTTTAAATTGCACTATTTCGAATAACTTTAAATTTAATACACTACCCTCTGTAAACGTTAAAATTAAAATTATTTTTAATTTTTTTATTGGACCACTAACCGGATAAATAGCTATATTCTTCATTTGTTGTACGAATTTTTCATCTGGATAAGCACCTGCCCATTTTTAAATTGCTCCATTTCGAATAGCTTTAAATTTAATAGACTACCCTCTGCAAACATTAAAATTAAAATTATTTCAAATTTTTTATTAGACCAATACAAGATAAATAATTATATCCTTCAGTTGTTATACGAAATTTTCATCTGAATATGCAATTTGTCCATTTTTAAATTGCACTCTTTCGAATAGCTTTAAATTTAGTAGACTACCCTCTGCAAACATTAAAATTAAAATTATTTTTAATTTTTTATTGGACCAGTACCACATAAATAACTATATTTTTCATTTGTTGTACGAAATTTTCATCTGAATATGCAGTTTGCTCATTTTTAAATTGCACTATTTCGAATAACTTTAAATTTAGTAGACTACCCTCTGCAAACATTAAAATTAAAATTATTTCAAATTTTTTATTAGACCAATACAAGATAAATAATTATATCCTTCAGTTGTTATACGAAATTTTCATCTGAATATGCAGTTTGCTCATTTTTAAATTGCACTATTCGAATAACTTTAAATTTAATACACTACCCTCTGCAAACATTAAAATTAAAATTATTTTTAATTCCTTATTGGACGACTACCGGATAAATAACTATATTTTTCATTTGTTGTACGAAATTTTCATCTGAATATGCAATTTGTCCATTTTTAAATTGCACTATTTCGAATAGCTTTAAATTTAGTAGACTACCCTCTGCAAACAGTAAAATTAAAATTATATTTAATTCCTTATTGGATCACTACCGGATAAATAACTATATTCTTTATTTGTTGTACGAATTTTTCATCTGGATAAGCACTTTGGCCATTTCTGATTCGTGTCACGGTAACTCGTCGGCCAGAAAACAACGAGGCAGAAATTTTTACACGCGTTCACTCTTTTTCTTTTAACTTTTGAAATACGAGACGAGTCCCCGCCACGCGTTTCACAATGCTTCGAGCCTCGTATTTGCAATCGCCTGATCGCAAATTAACGGATAACGTTTAGCATCCACCGTGGTAACTAACGATGTAATATAAAAAATAAATTTTTGAAATGGTGATATGTATCGTGCAACATTTTTCGAGAGCATTGCGTTTCATCCAAATGGTAGATCAATGTTGTAAAATTATTAACAAAGACTACATTTCCTTCGTTTATGTTTCTAAATATTCTTCTGCCTCTCTCAGTTACAAAAAGAAATATTAATAACGAATAAGAAGAAATTGTTTTAAAAAATATACGGTTATCCCTATAGTCAGTATCCGATGCGTTTTTATTTTTTCAAATAATAAACAAAAATTGTATTTTGAATTTTAGTTTATATAATTCGTGTAACTTGAAATACCCCATTTTCTTTTTCGTCACATTTCGATTACGTAGCTCCGACTGCTTAGGTTTGACTGTATTTAGCACTAATTGTTGATATTGTTAATTTCCACTTTAAAAATAGGTTCCACCTGAACATGTTTAATGACATAATTGAAGACTGAATAATAAGAAGGGAAAGCAAAACTTCCGCGCGTGTATGACACAATACGGTCTCTAAGCTATTTCTATTACTGGAATTTAAATATTAATTAATTCGCTGAGGTGAGGTGGCCAACAAAATTGCAGATGTTCGCTACATAATTTTACAAAAAACGCGAGACCTTTACGCGATGTTTTGTTCATTAACACTCAGACGATGAACCTTGACTCTTTTCTTAGACATCCGTTCCAAGTTCACTCGGATTAGTGTTTTTCAAAGCAGGCAGCGTGCTTTTTAACACAGAAAACTGCGAATAACTTATTCATAGGGACTTAACAACCGTGGGAGTATATGTCTCTGATAATATTTTAAGTATCTTATACCATTTAATAAATGACTTCGTTTTTCATGCTTCGATCAAGCAAATTATACATAAGTTACTTGGATTATTCGCGATCTTTTGTTTTACATCACGTTATACGTAATGTTCATAAAATATCGTCTATCTATAAGTGGTTTCTTTTATGTAAGCTCTTATGTTCGACGAGTAAAAAGTTCAACGAATCAAAATTAATAGGCAGAAGTTTTACTGAAATCGTGGAATATTTCGGTCTACGATCCTATAATGGACAAACAGTTATTTGTATTTTATTCTTCGTTCGACAATTTTTTATGTAGATAAGAATTTTGCTCAACTGTTCCTCACTAACACGTATGTCAGCGGAACTTTGTGTTACGTAAGACGGCATGCAATTTGAGCACTTATTAGGAGCCCAATAATAATACGATTACGTACCATAAGCAAAAGATCGAATCTACGAGTCAGTATATCTGATTTACGATTCTAAACAAATGATTAAAAAACAACTTCAAGGGACATCGTTGAATCTGCAATATTGTATAACAAAAAAAAAAAAAAATACCCTGTTGTTTAAAAAGAATTCAGATAATCCTGATTTTCTATCGAAGAAAAAGTATTTGAAAAATACAAGAGGAAACGAGAAGGATAAGTTATGCATGTGAAACATGTGACAGAGCGTCCTAACGTTGCGTGTCCGGAATTGTTTAAAAAAATACCATAACTATTTGTAAATTATAAATAAATGTCAAACATATTCTTATAAATAATTGATATGTTTACTTTAAGTATATTATTCAAAATTGGCGTTTCATTAATATTATAAAATGATTAAATATATCTGAAATAAAAGACTCTGCTATCTACTGTGGAGAGTTGAAAAGTTGGCACTTGGATTGTCACAGATTTCACATTAATTTGATATTAATACTTCTTATTTCCTTTCCTCGACCAGCAAGATCAACCAGGAGTTTATATTAAAACTAATTGGATTATCTTATCATTATATATATATATATATAACCTTCGATTCCCCATAAGTATTGGTCATTCCAAAGAATGTTTCAAGTAGAACAACTTTGATATCAAAGCGACCTTTGTTTTTTTTTTAAAAGCAATTATACCGGTTTTCCAAGGTCATTTATAGATCCAAGATTTCAAGGTGACCTTTACTTTGTCAAACGGAATGTATTGGGATTTTTTAAGGTCACTCAAGGTGACTTTTTGCCGTTCAAATCTTACCTTCCTTGAACGCCCTCAGGACTCTATTTTATTGGAATATTCCATCGATTCGGACGTGATACTCACGCCAATGATGTGACTAACATGATCAGTATTACGAAGATTCAGTATTAACACGATTAGTGTTACACGTTCTTCTTTTTAGTAGCCATTTAATTCACGATGATTCATTACATGCCTAACGAGTACGACTTTAGTTTCGGTAGATTACTCGAATAATTCAAATTTTCGAGAATTTGCTGCTGTGTAAGAAGACACGTAGTTTCGATATGTCTCAGAAAACTATTTATCATGTAAATTCTGAATGTTCTTTTCGAACACCCTGCATAAAATTTGACCCACATCGCTCGAGCCAAGGATTTGACACCCAGGACTATTTTAAATTCGATAATTTATCTTTTAAAAAAAAAAAAATCCTTTTTAGACCAACAGTAACGAAAAGTGGCTTTTAAAAATGTGAAAACGTTATGCATGACAGAGACGTAACGTCATGGACGCGTACGCTTATAAATACACTATTCTCGAGGCCTGTTAAAAATTATATAAAAGAAATATATCGCGAAAGGACACATCCCTACATGTACGAGAGTTTTTACCGGCATTGAAACCGGTAAATAATGATATGCCGCTATTTTCGTACGACGCAATGACGTCATACAGGCATTTTTATTTCTAAAAGGATTTCCCAGGGGTGACCAGAAAATATAGGTGTAATCTCGTGTTTTCAGTGTCACTGTAAATTCCTCCTCGAGGGTGTTTCATAATTGTACATTTCTCTCTCTCTCTCCATGCATTACTATTCAAAGAACAAACTCGCAAACATACGGCCGCGAACCGATCATTCGCCAAATTCGATGCATCGTTCAAGTCCAACGTCGCGAGCGTTTCATTACATAAGTACAGGAGATGGTAATTACCGTATATTTATCCACGCGTACAGATATGTATATGTACATACGTATGTATATATATTTTTTTCTCATTTGGTACAAAAATGTCCGCGTACGTGCACGTGTATGCATGTAGAACGGAAATATATAAACGAAATATAAAGGCAAGACGTATATAAAGAAGACGAATCGTTACGCAACGGACGACAGGAAGCAAAGCTCGATGGCGAGATTGGGTTCGGAAAAGAAATTGCGAATGTAACGAATGGGAAACGAGACCTATCGAGATTTACAGATTTTCGCAGTTCGAAACAAAAAATCGAAACGATCTACACCTGGAACATGTTTTTTTATACACGCAGTGGCAGATACAAGGGGGTGGGGGACGGCGTGATCAAAAGAACTATTTCTAATTCTATTTATAATTTCTAAAGGCGAGATTCTCGAGATCTCGAGATCTCGAATTCCTCGTGAACCCCTCTTCTAGGTCCGCCACTGTACATACGTATGCGTTTCTTTACGCGATGCACAAAAAGAACAAGATTAACACATTCGAATTATGCATTACGTAGATATAAACCATTAAATTAATGCATGCCAAGTGCTATTTTTCCCGAACTTCGATTCTCTTTTTTTCGTCGCGAGATAAGGAAAACAGGAATTGTTTTTGTCTAACGCGGGTGCAACTGCTCCCCGTACAGTTACGTAATATTTTCTATTTCGCGTTGATCGATTACGTTGAAAATCTGTCCGTTCGGGAAGACCGTGGAATCGTCGATAACGAGTCGAATCGGAGAGGTTTTCGTTCCCCCAGGAAACCACGTGGAACGATTTACAACGAGCTTCCAAAAACTTCCATACCTTTGACATTAGACGAAAGAACGACCATTTCGTATGCACCAACGTAATAGCGCGTTTCTTACGTACCTATGCTAATTTCTAAGCTGCCGTTAAAAAAAAAAAAAGTAAGTGCCGCGGTTGGTCACATTCGCGCGCAAAGGATACTCCGACCGAGCGTATTAAAAATGTCGCAAAACTTTTTTTCCGCGCTGCAGAAACGGATCGAATAGTTGTAAATTGTCTTGTGATTTCGGCAAAAACTGGTAAATCGTGCGACGCTGTAAAACGCCGCCGCGTATAATTTATAGTCGCGGACTGTTTAAACAAAAACTGGACGTATTCATTAACACGGTACGCGATCGCGGAACGTTCACGACTGAAAAAAATTATTTATACCCGGTCACTTTTTTCGTGCATCTTTATTTAGAATGTCTTGCTTTTTAATACGTACAGGGTGTACGGCCAACCCTGGGAAAAAATTTTAATGGGGTATTCTAGAGATTAAAATAAGACGAAAATCAAGAATACCAATTTGTTGATGGAGGCTTCGTTAAAAAGTTATTAAAGTTCAAAGTTCCAACCGTACTGAATTTTTTTCTCGAAAGTGCGCAGGATTTCGGGGGTATGTCTATTCACCAAAAGTAATTGTAATTGACCCCCGCAACCGGAAATAATTTTTCCAGAACGATTTGAAATTTTTTTTTTTCCGTGGTAAAAGTTCACACCTTCTCGAATTTTTTTCTAGAAAGTGGGTAAGATTTCGGGGGTATGTGTAATGACCAAAAATGATTGTAATTGACCTCTCTAACCAGAAATAATTTTTCCAGAACGATTTGAAATTTTTTTTTTTCCGTGGTAAAAGTTCACACCATCTCGAATTTTTTTCTAGAAAGTGGGTAAGATTTCGGGGGTATGTGTAATGACCAAAAATGATTGTAATTGACCTCTCTAACCAGAAATAATTTTTCCAGAACGATTTGAAATTTTTTTTTTTCCGTGGTAAAAGTTCACACCTTCTCGAATTTTTTTCTAGAAAGTGGGTAGGATTTCGAGGGTATGTCTATTCACCTAAAATGATTGTAATTGGTCCCTGTAACCAGAAATAATTTTTCCAAAACGATTTGAAATTTTTTTTTAGGCACCTAATTAGATTTTCGGTGAGGATTTTTTTTCTCAATAGTGCCTAGGAATTCAGGGGTGTCTGTAATAACTAAAAATGATCGTAATTGACCCTCGCAACCGAAAATAATTTTTTTAGAACGATTTGAAGAATTGTTTCCTTCGAAAAATTTCTGCACTTACCTGATTTTTTTTCTCAAAACTGGGTAGGATTTCGAAGTTATGTGTATTCACCAAAAATGATTGCAATTGACCCCCACGACCGAAAATAATTTTTCCAGAACGATTTGAAATTTTTTTATTTAATTGTTAATAACTTTTCAACGAAGTCTCAGTCAAGAAATTGATATTCTTGATTTTCGTCTTATTTTTGCCTCTAGCACCCTGTATATATAAATGGAACGAAACTTATAACATACTACTAATTGTATTCCTAAACCATCAACACTAGCGTGTCTAAACCACGATTTTGTATATAGTGTTATTAATTTTGTATATAGACGAATAAGACGTTCTAAACGAAGATATACGGAAGTGGTACAAATAATTCTGTCGGTAGTTGTATATTGTAACTTCTTTGTTTAAATTTCTAGTTCACGATCAACTAAAATCGAAACGCTCTTGTTTACCATGGACGTAGAATCCTGTCGGTGTGCTAATTACTACGATCTTTAGCACCGGTCTACGGAGTCGTCGGTTTACCGCGTTGGTTACGGACGGAACGATGTACACTCGTCTCGAGGCGAGATCTCTCTTAGAAAACATTTGCAAGGGCACTTGTGGCAAGGCACACGGACGTCCATTATGTAATATTATTCGCGTAGGCCTAGGATTTCGCGCGTGTACGTCTCTCGCGGCTGTCGGACGGAGATGGCGCGACGTCGAAGCGACGAAACGAAACGGCGCGGCGGAGAAAACATGGAAGGAAGACGCGCCCCGTTTGCCGTGTCTCTCCGTGTGTTTGTGCACGCGCGCGGCCCGGCCGGAACAAACAAAACACGCTCGTCTCAGATATTTGCCGAGCACGAACAATCCGACCAAGTGTTTCGTAGAAGTAAAAAAGAAAAAAAAAGAATCATTAAAAGTTTGCGAATGACGAGAGACGCAACGTTCGAGAACTTCGTCCAGATGCTAATCGACCAGACGGGATTTTCATTTTCCTCGTTGACGACGGCATAGACGTTGTCACGCTAATACGTAGCGAGTCGATCGCGAGTAGTGATCGTCGATCATGTTTGTTGGTCTTTCGACGATCGGTAAACTTCCATTCAGAGCGTACGAGTATTCGGAATACCAGTCGCGGTGGAAAATGTTCTCCAGTTGCTGCCTGAGGTTGTCCGGCGTTTGCTCGCCCACGGTCTCGAATATCGTGCCTATACCTGTCGACGAAAAATTAGTATCGTTAATACCGATGGCCGGCAAGGAGAGGCCACGACCTTCGGGTCAAACTTTGTACTTGGAAGAATGTATCGTTACAGGGTTAGATGCTTATTATTTGCTTACTAATTCGCGTTCGAAGCTTTTCAACACCTTTAAAAACTCGGTCGATATCGTAACAAATTTCACATCGGATTGTGTATTCTCTGGGACCGTTTTCTTCTAAGATATTTTAATTTTAATATATTTATAATGTCACCGCCTAGCAATGGTGCTTTCAGTACTTTTGTACGAGGAATCAAAGTGATTTTATGCAAAGCAAATACTATAATTATCGTTTTGGGATAGATAATTGCCTCCAGTGTTTGTGAAGTAATCGCCGGACCAGTTGCTGGTTCCTATGTAGGCGGCCACGTCCGTCACCATGTACTTGTTATGGTTCACCCTGGCGAACGGTATCTTGTCCAACTCCGGATCGGTAGGCACCACGAACCTTCTCTAAAATCAGAAATTAACGCGAACGTTAAAGTTTTACTATACTTTCACTGCGGCGGTAACACAAAGTCTCAGGATGGTACGTGTTAGGTTTGAGGAATGATCGAAAGTGCAAATAGCGTTTTCAAACATCGGAAAAATGTTCAATATAAACAGTGCTTTGGGAAGGCGAAAAGTAAACATTGACATGTATGATCAACGAGTCTGAAACGAATGCAAGCTACAGAGAATCCACAATGGAAGAAATCTACTAGAATCTACTGAAAATTAGATAAATTCAAAATTAAGATTAAAAATTAAATAAAAAACATATTGCAATGATATTGTACACGATAATTCCAAATATGTAGTCGTCCACAGTGGAAGGATTGAAACGTTCGAAAAATTTCGTAAGCCATTGTTGTGTACCAACCACTTCAATTTTAACGCCCGCGTAACTGTCCGTCAACTCGACCAGCGATTTCAGAAAGGCGACCTCAGACTTCCTCGAGTGCTTCCAAGATGAGATCAACAGACGTATGTGAACCCTGCGTTCGATGGCCGCGGTTCTCAATGCGTCGTCAATGATTGGCCAATACCTGAATGTTGCAACAAAGTCCACACTTGAGTCTAGAAAAACTGAAAACACTGTGAAAGAGAGGGGATGGCCAGGAATCCTTAACTTTGCTGCTTTCCTGAGTTACAATTTAATATATATCATAATTGAATCACTAACTAAAATTTATATATGATAAAACTAGCCAGAACTTTAGGCTCAAGAAGAACAGCAGACTACTGTCAGGTTACAATGTGCAACAATGTGCAACGAATGTCCAAAATATTATTTATTAATCTGTACGAGTGCACCTGGATGCAATAAGGAAGACTTTGTTTCGTCAAGAAAATTTGGAAAATATCGCTTAATTCTAAACAACGGAGAGTCAGCAGCTTCGCGGTAGCTAAAAAGATACTTGGATTAAGAGAGACATGGGCACACATAAGACACATAGGTATTTGAGGCGATCGTTAGGCACACATAGGACACAACGAGAGAAAGTGCTGGACACGCGACTCGATATTCAAATTGAGTTGGCACTTTTTCCGTGTAAATTATCTGCGCCCAACTGACGTCCAATCAGCGGTATCGCCATTGCGGTGCGCCAAACAGGATGAATTTCATTAAAAAGCAAATCGATGGCGGCAACCTGAGCTTAATTACAGGTAACATTATCTATAAGAATATCTCGAAATTCTCTTTTACATTCTGCGCCACTTTTAATCGACACTTTGACCAGAACTGTTAGAGTTTTATTTAAATACATACATATTAATTTCAAAAAATAATCTCAATGATATTGCACGTCTAGACGATTTACTCTATACGATTAAAATCGTCGTGTGTAATAATTTTTTAGTGTTGAGATAAACGTATGATCTTGTTTTCAAATTAGCAGCTTGTTTTGTATTCCAAATTAATTACAGGTAACATTATCTATACGAATATCTCGAAATTCTCTTTTACATTCTGCGCCACTTTTAATCGACACTTTGACAGAAGCTGTTAAGAGTTTTATTTAAATACATACATATTAATTTCAAAAAATAATCCCAATGATATTGCACGTCTAGACGATTTAATCTATACGATTAAAATCGTCGTGTGTAATAATTTTTTAGTGTTGAGATAAACGTATGATCTTGTTTTCAAATTAGCAGCTTGTTTTGTATTCCAATAACTGTTCAACCACAATAGTTCCAGAGAAGTTGTTCAGCCCCAAGTATTGTTTACAAGCTCGTCTGATCTCATTAATCACGAATCTTGAGAGAAAACACTGAGTCAACATCCAATTACGTGTGTCGCAAAAAAAAAGTTGCTCCAACACAAAACAAGGCGTAGCTTGAAAACAAGATCGCATTGCACGCGATCTGCAAAAGAAACTCGACTAAAAAACATTTATTGTTCTGGAGGAGCCAAAAACAGTTAGTCACCTTACGAACCAACTATTTATTAAACTTATTAAACCGGTAAAAAAAACGAATAAACTCCAGGACACATTTATCAAACTTTATTTTCTAAATTCATTAATAATTCCAGATGTGTCGTTTTGTTATTCTGTTCTTCGTATGATTATCGCGAGTGACGCAAGTGGTAGCGAACGCATTGTTTCCGAGATATTTAGATGCAGTTCTCAAACAAACACCCTACGTAAATGCATCATTTTTTCACGCGGTGGTTTTCGAACGGAATAATTTTAAAACAGAAAACAGAAAATGCACGCGTGTAAATTCACTGGAGCGAGCAGGGTCTTTTTCTGCGTATATAAATGGATACAGGAAACAGATAAACGCAGTAGATTGGCGAGAGAAAGCTAATCGCATACGTACTTGATTTTAGCGGTGTATATAGTCAGAGGAAAATAGTCCATTACCGCGATATAAATAAATTTCTCTGCTTTCTCGATACAATTCAGAATGGCGTCGACGTCGTTGGTCCTACCCTTCGGCGAAAATGGCGGCGGCGAGCTCTGAAACACATTCTCGCGTTCTAGAAACCAATCTTAGAAACGCCTACTAATCAAAATCTACTCTAATATAAATTATCCTCGATTTCCAGAGAAACTCGCGTTTGGTTGATTAATGTTTAGGGCCCACGAGCTCCATTAGACAAAGTGGAGAAAAAAGTACGTTTAATACGTATACGGCATAAATGCATAAAATTCGCAGTCTAGAAATTGCACTTACCGCGATGAAAGTCCGATACCTATTGTTCATGAAGGTGAAAGTCATTGGATTGTCCAGATTGATCTTCGTGTTGAACGAATCTGGCCAAACGGACGGCACTTTATTATCTTCCGCGACTGTCCAGTACACCTGCGAAGATTTAAAAACAAATATTTTAGTACCGCAGAGAGCGTGGTAACAATTTCTCGCGCGTTTATCTTTTTACCTACGTCGAAAATTTTCGCGTAATCGTTCGCCAGACAGCTGCAGTTCAGAGCTAGCAGACCCAGCTCTTTCACCTGCGACAGAGATCGCCAGTCCATGTTCGCTGAACCGACGTACACGTGGGTTCTGTCAACGAGCCATAATTTCGTGTGAAGTACACCGCCACCGAGCAATCCGGCGAAGTTTAAGCTTCTCACCTGTTTGAATTCCAATCAAATGCAACGGCCTTAAATAGACGACGATTGAATGGGCAATAGAAAATAAATACAAAATTTAGAATGTTGTTCTTGCTCAGAAGGTGTCCTACAGTTCGACCAACCTTGGGAAAAATTTTAATGGGGGATTCTAGAGGATAAAATAAGACGAAAATCAAGAATACCAATTTGTTGTTTGATGCTTCATTAAAAAGTTATTAACGTTTAAAGCTCCGGTTGTAGAACAACCACTATTGCGCGCGCAGCTGAAACTTTAAACGTTAATAACTTTGTAACGAAGCTTCGATCAGCAAATTGTTATTCTTGATTTTCGTCTTATTTTGGCCTCTAGAACCTCCCATTAAAAGAGTTCTGCTTTCTGTCGATTAGTTCCTTTTCCAAGCTGATTTCCACCTTGTTTGTTCCGCTAGTTTTCTGTTTGTATCGTTTAACTATCAGCTGGACTGTGAAATCAGATCAATATATTGTATTTTTATTTTTTGCGCCAATATGACTTTACAATATTCGAACGATGAAACTCAAGTTCAAGTTGCAACATCGTCTACTCTCTAATTACGTTGTTTTTTAATAGAACGTTGTATAAATTGCTCGCAAATATTCATCGAGTATGGAGTACTGGATTACCATTAAGTATGAAATCGATTAATATCGAAGTTGCCCTTTTTTTTTGTTACAACCAGGAAATCAAATATGATTTCCGATTCTGAGCGAGAATGACGAATAATTGTTAAATTACACAAGAAATTAGAAAGTAAGTGAATCGAAAATGAAGCGTAACGTATATAAATCCCTCTTTTTACTTTTCTTTCGTTTTCATAGAAATTACGCAACCTAATCTATCATGCGTTTTATAATATTCCGATTGACGCGTTAATGGTGTTCATTCATGAAGTTTTTATTTCTTGACTTCATACACTGCCCTTGGAATATTAAAAACCGAGAATTATTCATTTTTTGAGTACGCTTAAACTGTCACTTCATCGATCTGTTACAGGTCATTCAATTATCGCCCGTTTTTATTCCTGTTTTTTCACTATTATTATGAATATAAAATTCAAATTCAAAGTCTGTGAGCTTGTCATTTCCATCCGACTGCTACAATTTTCGTTTAAATTCTCTTTATGCTCCTATGAAAAGTATAGGCTACTCAATTTTCAAGATTTTAGCTATAAATATTATCATATTAATATAAAACTAATCTTAAACATACGATCAGCGCTCTCTACGGCAAAACCCTTAAGTTTTTAACAAAATGGCTCCTATTTTTGACGTTACAGACACTGTAAATACATATTCATATGCAAAATTTCTGTGTTTGTGATCGTCCTTGAACTTCTACGTATTTAAATAACATATTTTCCATAGATTTTTCATCACCAAAATATTCTCAGGGAAATTCATTAGAAGAAGATGATTTATTACCAACACCTGACACATTATCATTCACTACCGATGAATTAACGTTGCTAAGATCGGAAAAAGTTTCAAAATACTTTTCACACACTCTACAATAGAATAGAAAGACTACCAACCTCGTTGCATGTTTTCTGAAAACTGAAACATACTTGTGACTCTCTGACGCTATTCTCAATAAATAAGCGAATACGCCTACTATGTAATTATTTCTAAATGATTATACGTCCTTTCAACAAATTCAAAACAAATAAATAAAATCATATTCAAAATATTCCTATTATGTAATTATTTCTAAATGATTATACTATTTCTAAATATCCGTAAAAATCGACGAAGCCAGTAAATATGGAGCAAATAAATTTCCAAGTAAAAAAGTTACATTCACTTATAATTGTTTTTTCCAAAAAAGTGCTTTTTCGATCTTAAAATCAGATCTCCTTCAAAGATAATAATTGACTCAAAAATCTTTATCCTCTAGCTATAGTAATAGAAACGTTTCCTGCAATGAGTTCTGCAACGATTAATTTTTGTAAAACAAAGTTACCTTAGCGTTCGCTTTTCGCGCCAAAATTTCCGTGTCATCGTTCGGGCGAGCTTGCGACGGCATGTTTTGCGCGATATTTAGAGCAATGTTCCGATCCCTGCCAGCCTCTATCATCATCCGAAAAATCTCCTCGCCCTGAAACAACCATGAAAATAAATGTTTGCTTTCGATCGCTTTCGCGGTTAATTTTCTTACGCACCTGTCTCGCGCTGTCGTCCGGATACACGTCTTCTCTTCTCAGGGTCCAATAAAGCGACGCTATTTCTATTTTCTCCCGCGCTAACGAGATCAATTTCACCCAAGAGTCGTAAGTGCTCTCGAGGATCATGTTATTGTCCGTGTAATTCATCCCGATCGGTATACTTTCTACCAGCGATAAATTGCAGCCGTTCATGCAGCTCGAATCGAAGCCCGCGTTGCTGCCGTTCGACGCGTACTTGTCCGCCGCGTGGTCCAGCAACGGCAGCAAAACAACCAGCACTATTAAAATTAGGATGACCGTGATTGGAATACAACTGGGCTTGCACCATCCTTGAGCTCCTCCCCATCTGTTTCAACGAACAATACCAATCAACTATTTAATACCACGCCTCTCGACAATTCAGGCAATAAACCAGTAAAAGTCATTAACCCTTTCATTACCGAGGACATCTCGGTTCAACTACGATCCACACAACCAGATAGACGAAGTATTCAATAGAAAATTTTACAAGACAATTTAAAGTAAATAATACTCTTCTACTTTTCAAAAATAAATTCTTCGAAGGATTAATCATTATTTACGAATACTAACTTTCCGTGCCCCATCGAGTCGTCCGCGTCGCTCCTCAACATAAAACCTGATTGATCCCATAACTCGAAATCATCGTCGGGGACACTGTTACCGCCGCCCCCGCCAGCGCAGCCCGAAGGATTCACTTCCAGACGCGCGTTTTCGGAGACTGTCTGTAACGAAATGGTCAAAATAGACCTATTTGTAATTTCTAATAAAAATTGTACAAAATTTACTCGACTGGATACTCGAAAATGTGCCATACTTCTCCATAAGAGAATGAATAAAGTTGCGGACAAAATTCTACTATAATTCATACTATAACTATTATGCACTTAAGTTTTACATATTATATACCTTTATGGTACATTGACTATTTAGCAAATAACTGAAATTAATGTTTACATTTACAATTTCGTTAAATATATCCCATTTCAACACAAATGTATATATTAATTTCAATTATACGGTAAATTATCTATGTACCATAAAGATATACAGGGTGTTCGGCCTAATCCCTGGGAAAAATTTTAATGGGAGATTCTAGAGGCCAAAATAAGACGAAAATCAAGAATACCAATTTGCTGTTCAAAGCTTCGTTACAAAGTTATTAACGTTTAAAGTTTCAGCTGCGCGCGCACGATAGTGGGTGTTCTACAACCGGAGCTTCAAACGTTAATAACTTTTTAACGAAGCCTCGAACAGCAAATTGGTATTCTTGATTTTCGTCTTATTTTAGCCTCCAGAATCCTCTATTAAAATTTTTTTTGGCACCATAATTGTTGGTAGTTCCAGTGTTAACGAAGGGTATAAAATCCACGTTTATCGATACGTACGGATAATTTGTGCTTGACGAGGGCGGTTCTGTTCTTCCGGTGCGGCAAAAGAACGACCACGTCCTGATCCTTCCTACGTTCCTTCGTGTATTTTGTGTAAGACTTGACCGTCGAGGCTGCGCCTCTGTTTACCGAACAACCGGCGAGCCCTATCGAGTCACCATCTTTGGTGGAACACTTCGAGTACGCGATATTTCTCACGTTGTTGCTGCCGCCGTAGGAAACGTTGTGCGTATTGTTCACCTATCGAATAGAAAATATCAAATTAAAAGATGAGTTGAGAAATGAAACGAATTTGACTCATATTCGTTGCAAGCTGGCTTGTTTCCTGATTTAAACATACTTGCACCAATATATGGCAAGCCTGAGAGGCGATTTGAAAGAGGCCATCCTGCAAGTTGCGTCCCGTGTGTTCAGAGTTTTCGGAACGGCCGCCACTTCTCCATCCGAAGAACGACATTTCGATGGATCCGCTAAAATTTTTAATTTAATTTTTACTAAAATGTTTATAAACCCATAGAGCACATGGTAATGACCTGTTACTCGTGACGTGACAGTCTGAAGTGCATAATTATCGTGAAGCAACGCGAGACATTAGCGTCAATACGCAGGAAATATAAAGTGATATTTGCTCAACGGATGACGTTTACCTTAAATAATCCATAGAATGAAATTACCTGGAGACAGGTGTCGAAAGATACTATGTTCATAAATGTGTATACCATTGTTTTGATCGTTTCCAGGATATTTATCGTCCTAGCATGCATACAATTAATAACGCAAATAAATAAAATACACATTTATTACAAACCATGCAAATGTAAATAAATCTACATCTTCAATGAAAAAAAAAAAAAAAATCAATCGACGAGATTCGAACTGGCGCAGAAAATTAAAACCAAACCACAATAGGCAAACACTCTACCCACTACGCCATGCTGTGACCATCAAAAAACAGCTTACGACTTGGTATATAAAATTATACGAAAATTCATTAAATATCTCGCGAACTATTAGCCAATAACGTCTATCAACTAACTTTGATTTAACATGACCTGTCGCAACGCAGCTCATTTAAATATCGATGACACAATCGGGATATTCCCATCTTCGGATACGCGTATATCGCGTTTTACGGTTCGATCGCGTCGATGTTACGCGGAATCGGACACGGACGATAAAAATCGTGACGGAATCACGATGGTCCCGAAAAGTGGCGTGGTAATTGCACTCCTGTCTCGCACGATAACGCGACGGATCACCGCGAAAACGTGCTCCTCGCGATCGCGTCGGGGAAAAACCCGAGGAACCCGAGGCGCCTTTTGAAAGGATGAAATGTAAATATCGTGGTCGAGGTCCGGTGAAAACATACCTCGACGAAAACAAATGTTCGTTGACATTCGTGTACGCGCGGCGTCCCAGGCCGTTGCGTCTGTTGACCTACCTATCGACGTATGTATTTTGCGGAACGACCAGCGTCGATCGAAAAGTCACGTTTGCTTCACGACGGACTTGCGCTCAAGAGCTTTCCATGTCCTACATAGATTTCAACTGCTGACTTACCTGCTGCAACCGTTCCCTTGGAACTTTTTTTTTTTCAAACTTCCTACGGAATTCCGTGCATTCGAATCGAATTTTGTCAAAATGAGCGTAAATTTTCAATTTTCGAGGGATCTGTACGTATCGATGTACTTGCGCGTACTTTTTTAACGTTTCGAATAAACGACGATAGTTTATAATTAATGATCGAAATAATGATAATTAGCATCGACGAAACGTTGCAGTCTTCTGAATTCTGGAGCCTCGTATTTTCCAGCGTTGATCTTTATATCGTTCGTTTTCGAGAGAAAAGATCGAGTAGCGATGTAGAATGAATAAATCGCGATAAATGGCTCCAAATTCCAACGAAAAGAAATTTTTAACGAGCTGCTGTAAATTCCAGCCGATTTGAAAAGATAACGCGAATGGCTCTTACACTCGATGCATAATGTACGGGACATCCATCATGTTGGTATCACATTCTCCAGCTATACGTTTTTCTAATAAAATTCCAAGTGTATTCTTCATGAAGCTGAATATTTAATGCCAGTGAGAGTTTGGTCGATAAAGTATAGCGCAATTATTATGTCTTCTACGATATCCTACCACATATTTATTGACCATTGTCACTGATGTTTGATTAGTCGTAAGCAGTAGGGAGTCTCGACTTTTTATGCAAATTTATATTTCCGTGTTTAATATTGCCGAACAACTGTATCGACGGAGGTCGATAATAAATGCTGGCACGTAGAATACTCTTCTCAAGGTGAATGACCTTGAATGTCCTTCTATTATAGTTCGTCGAAATTGTCTAAATAGCAGGTACAAAAATAAGGGTACAAAAGTGCGAGGACCTTAACATCTCCTATTTTACGACTCTTCCCAAAATAAAATAACCTTCCTTACGATGGACAGCTTCGATACACATTTTTTTCTGTATTTAAAGATAACAAAAATATTTCTATCTGTTTCCAAGAGAAGATATAGCCAATAGATCAATGGAGGCCAACTACGACTTCCGGATATGTGTTGGAATCCGGGTGGTCAAGTAATGCTCCTTTTGTATTATGAGAGTTTATTCATTTACGTTGAACTCACGCCGAACTCAACTATGAAGAATAACGGAATTTGTTTTTGAAAACCAACGCCTATAAGAATTAACATGAAGTGCAATTGTCGAATATGAAGCCAAAAATCTAGAAAAGAAAAAAGAGAAATATTAAAATGCATATACATAAAAAGAAAAGAAATTAATTTGCAACAAACCTATTTTCTCAAAATGATTTCTAGAATCTTTTTTTAAATACCTAACCGTAACAGCGATACAATATTTTAATGATATCGCAAGGCTTGACAACCACTGTTACGGAGTATCCCGAATTCTTTTTGTTTCATATAACATTTATCAAGAGACGGCATCGCGTTTCACGTGCACCATATAGGCTGAAGCACGTCACTCGATGTCAAACGTGTCGTTTAACGAATTCCACCGATAAGAATTAAGAAAAAATTGTTATTGTCAAACACTGTTGACGTATATAATATTGTATTACCAACGGTTCTCGGTATTAAGACATTCAAGTAGTAAATAATAAAATAGTAAAACGTATACAACAGAAACATCGTGAAAGAAAATACAATTTAATAAGGTGCTTCTTAATCACTCTGAACGGATGTTTACGTCGGTTACTTGTGATCGACAGAACAACGAACATATTAACATACGAATATAGAGGAGTGCGCCTAGGAATGTTGGGTCTCGTGTGCATATACTTTGGTACGGAATAAATCCGTTTTACAGAACGTACATATATGCAGTTATCATATTCGTACACAAATTCGACCAAGCAATCAGACTGGGGTATAAATATTCGTGTCTGTCGTGTCAAAGCAAACAATGAGAAACACGTGTACTTGCGTGCACCCACACCTACATATACGTATAGTCGCGTCGTAAACAAAGGCGAATAAGATACGTGAACTCTATCCAATAGAAATGGAGCCTCCAGTTGGATCATCTTTTATTAAATGAGAAACGTATCGTTAAACGATACACATGTATGGTTTGTATATGTACAAGCATATAACGTAGCGATTCTTTTAACCAAACGTTCTCAATAATTGTACCACAAAGCATGCTGATTGTGGAATGTCAATGGCGGTTCAGCTCCAACGAAAACAAAACATCGTATCGTTCGTACAGAGAGAAATAGTAGAAATACAGACTTAATTTGTAGAGAATCTATCTTTATTTAGTACTGAAAAATAATCACTGATCTGTTTTTCCTTCGTAATGATACGTATAAAACGAATCTCACGAACCTCTTTTCCTTAAACCGATTCGATGCTTTTTCACAGTTTGTAGCGTTCTTCAGAACACATCTACCGGAGTCGAACGAAGTCGAAGAACATCGAGTCTCATCGAGCACAGCCGACGCAAACCAAACTACCAATGAGTGCGTTTCTTATTTTTAGGCTGTATATAGGGAGCCAAGTAGATGTATCAGTTTCGCGGGTTTTTTAGTTTCCGTTACAAGGAAACTCCCTAAAATTTCCAAATGCCAAGTGATTGAATTAGAAGTATATTAAAGGACCTCGAACTACTAGGCTCTTTAATTCGAATCGTATAACCTTGAGTGAGTTTATATTTCTACTTAGCACCTAACACGTAAAGACTCTAGAATCTAGGGAATCTTAGGGCATAGGAACACCAACACCGTTTTCAATCGCCATTAGAGTGAAGTCATAAGTTCGATCATAGATGGCACCACCTGCCAATTCCCTGACGTCATTAATCTGTACTTTTCCTTCAAACTCAGTTTAAATAAATTTTGATCGAAGCACCCAATTATTAGTAATTATAGGATGGATTGTTTAAACTTGATGTTTACATTTTTTGTATTATTCGTTTTATAAATCTAAATAACAACTTTAGAAACAGAATTTTTTTGAGATTCTTGTTATTTTTTAGGAATATTGCATCAAAAATAGAATTTACTGCACTCTTCTTGTCAGAATAAATCTTTCATATGTATCACGTGAGACAACGTACTTTTTAATTTGCGCCCAAATGAGTGTAGGTACAGTTGAAACATAATTTTATTATGAGTTTATATCATTGGCTAGAAGGACCAATACAATTTGAGTCACTCGACAAGCCATATTTACATTCAACTTCCATCGTCCATAGAAAGTGGTATAATAGAGTGTTCACACGCCTTCGGTTCGAGGTCCCTTACTACGCTCGTTTCTATGTAAGCAATATCCCTAGCCGTCGGTTAAATTCCCTATTCTTATTTGCTCGGCCAATTTACCGGAACAAAAGCAACTATTAAAAAGGGATGAAATCGAAAGACAAATCCTTGGGAACAGGATGCAGGAACGTGCAGGAGAAAAGGAAATGGCTTAGGGTAGAGAAAAATATGGGGAACGGAAAAACGGAAAAAGCAAAAGATTGCGAGAGGTAGAGGGGGGGTACGGTGGATTTGAAAAAGGCACTAAATTGTAATAGCGTAACACACCAATCGACGATACAAACACAGACTCGCGGTCGATGAATGGAGGCGTGTATTCTGGCGTTCCGCAGTGTGTCATCGTGCCGTCGAAATAGTTGGTGCGGCGTTTTGCTCGCCATCCATCGGCCGTCGCCGCCATTGTTTCCATGGGCGAGCGATCAAGCGTACGATCGAATAAACGAACAACCGGGGGAACGAACGTAGCAAGCAGACGTAAAACGACGCACGCTAGTAGCCATCGAATACCATTGACAGTTAAAAGTTAAAGTCGCGCGGCGTCCAGAGTAATGAAAAGTGTTTGCGTTCCGAATCTTGACGTGTGGCTCGTACTTGTGACTGTCTGGTAAACATAAAAAAGTCGACCACGGAACGTCGTGAGGACTGTACGGTGCGTCGAGTAACAACGAGTGTCCCGTGTTCGTTTTCGTCGTGCGTGGTATTCGTACGGTGATGGTGATGGTGTTAGTGATGATAAAGAGAGTGGTGCGTTGCAATCCTGTGTCGTTCGGCGCGACGAATGCTGTTTTAGTGGATAGATCGGACGCGTCCAGCTCGTTCCTTTGACCGGATCACGCCGATCGTCTCGAGGAAGATCCAACCCGTGAAAAGTAATTTCGCGCCGTACGACGGTCCCCTGTTCCCCCAAAAAAATTCTCCGCATGCGGCACCTTTACCTTTGTAAAACCTTCCCAGGCAATCGTTAAACATACCGTGCAATCACGATCGTCCACACGAGAACTATCCTTCGATCCTGACGGCTCGCTACGCGCGAAACCTTCTTTCCTACCCTGAAACCACGAGCTTCGATCCCAGAACATTATGTGAAATTTTTTGGAGGTTCGCGTCCTTTCTTCGCCACGGTGATTGCGATTCCGAACGTGCAAAGGTTAGTTCCCCACTGGGGCGATCGGTCGACGTACGCTCGAAGAACCGTTCGAAACAAAAGAAACCTATCGATCTTTTCGAGGATTCGATTCTTTTTTTTTTCAAACACGAGCATCGATGAATTCGAATTCGGTACGAGTGAAAATCAAAAGGTTCGGGAAAGCCGGTTTCGTGAAAGACGATACGTGGAAAGAGGTAGCGCGGAAAAGTCGTGGACAAAGGGGGGTTAACAGTTTCGGACAGTTTCGCGGAGCGTCGAAACAGTTCGAAAATAGGAGAAAAGTTAAAGCGAGTACGTGTTCGGCGTTTAAGAGTTCCCCATGCGCAGATCCGCGCCTATTCGCGCATCGCTCGAACGAAAGGGTAGCAGGTATATACGAGGCTCGCGGTAAAGGGAGCACACGTTGAACGAAACGGATCGGAACACGTGTACTTCGTTGAATAATGCATCTCTCACGGTGGCTTCGTTTACAGTCACATTTCGCGGCTATCTCGAAGCACTTTTACCGCACTGTCTACATTGTCGCTGCCGGCAATCACGGCAGACGTTTTTTCCGCTTTCCTACGATCGGTTCGAATCGTTCGACGTCGAGGACCGAATGACGCGCGCCCATTGGTACGTTTCGTTCAAACAATTCCACGAAAACGATCGTTTCGATAAAAGACGCGTCTCGTGTCGGGTTACTGGCCCCGGAATTCGTTCGAACAATTAAATAAAGCGCTTGATCGAATCAGTTCGTCTCTCGAATCGAAATTTGGTTAGATCGACGAGTAGAAAACGAGTGTTTCTTCGAGCGTGAGGGGGGGGGTGGGGAGGGTAAATGCGAGCGCACCAAAATATTGTACTTCGTAACGATTACGATATTAGCGACGATCGTGACGTTTGTATCGTTTCACGTTTCGATTTCACGGATGGTGAATCATAATGTACTTCCAGGATGCTGGGACCTTCCCTTCCGCATCGAAAAGGGAGTCTCGGCCCGACGACGATGTTGATGCTCTTGATTTTATCGTTAAGCGACTTCCACTCAGCGAATGGTGAGTAGCTGATTTTAATGTACCGTAAAAATATATGACGAGTGGCCTGTTTGACAGATATTTCTAAATTTATGAATAGCGTAAACGTAATCAAGAACACGGTAAACAAAGTTAAACAAAAATTCAAAATTCCACACGAAAGAAATCAGGATGTAATTTCTGTTGCAATTGGAAGATGTAAATGATTAGTAACAAAATATAATACCTCGATAAATCTTAGACGTACATTATTTTAAATTGGAACATGTTTTATGTGGCCCACAAAAACTAGAATTTTATTTTATTTAGCTTGCAGAAAATATTATTTTATTTCGTTTGACCAGCAGAAAATATTTTATTTTATTTGTCCCAATAACGAAAAAGTTTTTGGACCACCGACGTGGTGGTTTGCCAGAGCTCGACCGTATTCCAAAATTGGACTGTTCGTCGTTTAATATGCCATTTAAATAGCCAGGTGGTAAAATGTCAGAACAGAATCAATGCTTAACAATAAGGTCGTGACAATTATCCGTAGCGTGGGAAAAAGAGTCGTCTCTGTCGTTCGCTAAAAATAATTCTGTCTCTAACCACTGGCAACTGACACCGGTAGTGTAAAGAACGTGCAGTAGGTGTTTGGAAAAGGTAGAAAAAGTCGGCAATTTTGTTTTCTATTTGCCTTTCTATTTTCGCGCGGAAACCGCGCGAACTCGTTTTCGAATTTACGAGCAACGAAAACGACTGCACCGCGACACTCAACGAACATTACTACTGTGCCCCCCCTCTGCCCCCCTGAATGTTTCGATCAAATTTTTTTTTAAAGCGTTCGGAAGATTTTTTAATTAGAAAATGTTAAAGTTTTATAGTTCCCAGCGACGCTGCGCACGATGACCCACCACCGGATATAGCATTTCATATCTAGATAAAAAATTCCGAATAACTGATAAAAGATAAGCAACTTCTGATCGGTTATTTGCTCGATAAATATTACTATCTGAATTAACAATCATATTACGTTCCACGTACGCGGAATAGAAGCTTATCCGAATAACTGCTAAGTGGAACGAACTCTGCAAATAAATCGTTAGACTGAGGTTTTATTATCTACTAGTATAAACTAGTCGAGCGTGACGGACGACTATAGTTTGAAAACACATTTGTGTACTTTGTCCGCAAATTGAGTTGCCTATACAGGGTGTTCGGTTACACCTGGGAAAAATATTAATGGGAGATTCCAGAGAGCAAAATAAGACGAAAATCAAGAATATCAATTTGTTGACTGAAGCTTCGTTAAAAAATTATTAAAAAATTAAATTGAAAAATTTCAAATCGTTCTGAAAAAATTATATTCGGTTGCAGGGGTCGATTACAATCATTTTTGGTCACTACACATACCCCTGGAATCCTACGTATTTTCGAGAAAAAAATTCCTTACCGAAAATCTAATTTGAGGCCTGAAATGGTTCCCCGAAATTTCATGCGTATCTTTAAAATGTCGTAACTTCTGAACGGATTGGGGGATTTTAATGTTTCAGGCGGCAAACAACGCGTATTTTAGCGAAGAATATGTAGGAATTTTAACAATATTGAAAAAGATGTTCCTTGACCCCGTAAAGTTAAAAAAACACCATAAAAAGGTGTCCAATATTCAAACAGCCATAACTCCTGCAATAGTGAATATATTTCAATGAAACTTTTTTCTGAAGTAGTGCTCAAGAGTACCTACAAAAAAGTATTTGACAACTTTTCTGTAGGGCATCAAACAAAATTATTAAATATGATAAACTTTATTGAAGAAAACTCCTCAGGTGGTAGGTGCCTTTTGTTGACAAAAAAGAAAACTTTTCAAATCGTTCTGGAAAAATTATTTTCGATTGCGGGGGTCAATTACAACCATTTTTGGTCAATAGACATACCCCTGAAATCGTACCCATTTTGTAGAAAAAAATTCGAGGTGTAAAATTTTTCGACAAAATTAAAAAATTTCAAATCGTTCTGGAAAAATTATTTTCGGTTGCGGGGGTCAATTACAATTATTTTTGGTGAATAGACATAGTCTCGAAATCCTGCGTATTTTCGAGAAAAAAATTCTAGAAGGTGTGAAATTTTACGACGAAAAAAAAAATTTCAAATCGTTCTGAAAAAATTATTTTCGGTTGTGGGGGTCAAATACAATCATTTTTGGTGAATAAACATAGCCCCGAAATCCTGCGTATTTTCGAGAAAAAAATTCATTACGGATTGAACTTTAAACGTTAATAACTTTTTAACGAAGCCTCCATCAACAAATTCGAATTCTTGTTTTTCGTCTTATTTTGGCCTCTAATTTCTCCCAGGGTTGGCCGAAACACCCTGCATAGTTTTTACCAGAAGATACAGAACGACTAAACAAAATAAAATTCTCGATTTACGGTGGATCGATCGATACTTATTGTGGGTTATTTGCAATTTATCGAGGGCCACTTGCAGTTTATCGTCTCTCGAAACTTATCGTGAATCACTCGATACTTATCGCGAGTCTCTCGAAACTTATCGCGGGTGAAAGAAAGTTTCGAACGACGAATAAAAAAAAAAAAATCACAGAACAAGAGATAAAAATTAAAATTTTAGAATTCGATGCTACACGACGGTATGGACACAAATTTAATTGTTCCACCGAATGAACGTCATGAATAAATTGCTACGCGTTCGTTTTATTGGTTATTTATTATACAAAACAAATTTTGCGCGTCTCTGGCTCGAAACCGATTCGAATTCCGGTTCCAAGTAATTTGTTTTTCAATTTTTTTTCCCTTATTTTCCCCAGTTTCCTTTTTTTTAAAATAGTGTAAACAATTAAAAGAAAATCAATACAACTCCGATGGAATGAAATTGTGTATTAAAAACGAGGGGAAATTTTATGAAACTATTTCATAATTTTATCAAGGATCACCTAAATATTAATAAAAAATTTGATCGAAATTTAGGGGAATTAACGTTAACATCCAACGTGATAATGCAAAGATAACGAAAATCGATTAAATTGTCGTAGGTTCCTGTGAGTTCCCAGCGAGTTGGGCGGGAGAATGGTACCAGTATGGAAAACTGGTACCGATTGCCATAAATGCGACCATGCTGGATGAGAAGACGTGCGTGGAACGATCGAAAGACTCGTACATCGTGTTGTAAGTATTTAAATGTATTCGAAAATGGTATACGAAATTGTCTACAATAAAAATATTCACGTTAAAGAACAGGTTACGATGATCCTTGTATGTTTCAGCGGCGACAATTGCTATCAATGCTTGATCGTCAACGACCGACACGAGAATGTGATCCAGTATCGCGAAGGTGAGAACGAATTTTCATTGCAAAACTGGCTTGTCCGGTCTATAAATATGTAGAGGGTTGGTCGATAACAATCACCATCTCAAATAGGGTATTTATATTAGGGATGAGACGCTTGAAACTTGCAAATTCATTCGAACTCGAAACTTTGTGCTATTTTTGTAAGTAACTGGTTATTGACTCACTCTGTGTACCATATTTCAACGACACAAATTTCCAAAAGGCTTTAAATATTTTATATCCTGGTGGTCCTGATACTGTTGCAAATAAAAGTGTTTAAAATCTTTGTCACGTTTCTCAAGATACTCTGGGGTGATCTCTTATAGAATTATACGATAGCATAATGGTCTAAATTTCATCTCTTTCCATTTTTTTTTTTTCAGGCTGGTGGTGGCAGGAGCAAGCAGCCTTGGAAGAGATGTGCCAGAATATCAAATCGGACGATACTCTGTACTCCATGTTCCGCGTGAATTCCAAGCCCATACCCTGCCCTTTCAGCGGATCATCGTTCACATTTAGCTACGACAAGGGGTACGGCGAATGCGCGGCGCCCGTCAGCCTCGCGGAAAAGTGCACCGACGAGAGCAAATTGCTTCTCAAGTATCAATCCTGCCCGGACGTCGCGAAAAGCGAGAGTAACAGTGAGTCCTCGAATACTGAAATCGTCGTCGAGCCCATTCCCTTTGTTCCCTTTTTGTTTTTCGCTTATTCCTTTATTCATTACCGAGAATTAAACCCATTTTATGCAAAACAAACAAAAATAATGAAAAGAGAAATTAGAAACATATTACAGAAAATAAGTAATAACATATAAAAGCTTCAGGCAAGAACAAGCATTAGAGAAAAAGATATAGCGAGAATTTCAAATACAATTTGTTGGTAATAAGAGTATAGAAGCATCAGCAAGTAGTAATATTCAGGCAAGTATAAAGCTTCAGGCAAGAACAAACATTAGAGAAAAAGATATAGCGAGAATTTCAAATACAATTTGTTGGTAATAAGAGTATAGAAGCATCAGCAAGTAGTAATATTTATTTGCCCGTGTACAATGTACAACGATGTGTCGCCTAAGGACTCGGGGACCGAAAATATCTTTATTGCTTTTAACGATAACAGGAAATCTATTTCTGGAGGAAAATATTTGTTTCAAATAGCCGTATGTTGTAACGCGGGTGTTTTTCTGTTAGGGTGATCGACATTTTTCTAAATTTAATAATTTATTTTGGTTCCTAAATATAATGCTTAGCTGCATAAATCTAAATGTTTGGATGCCCGAGAAACGTTCATCCAGCTCGTGCCTAAATCGAGAAACTAACAATAAGCGCGCGACAGTGGACGTTCGCATGGCCCTATTGTGACATTTATTCGGCTCAATTACGCTGCTCGCTCGGCACTTTTCTCATGGATTCTCGCGACTAACTCTGGCACTCAACTGATCAAGAAAATAGGTTACAAAAATATTTAGACCCCCGGTGTTCATCGTATTGAATACATTATGCAATGTTCTATTCTTGTCCATTTAATGCTATTGAATAGATGAATATTAAACTCCTCCTATACGTTAAATCATGATTTTATATGAATAACATTTCAAAAGGTCGCTCAAAGTTCAACGGATTGTACATGATTTAATCTTCCAGTTATATTATTCCATTTAGACGGACGTCAATGTTTTTAAATATAGAAGCCTGAGGATGAATATTTTTTGAATTTCACGCATGAAAATTTTGCTACTATTGCTGTTTGCATATCCTATTATCAAAGTTCAAATTATGTTTATAATTCTTATCAAATTCGAAGTAGCAAAAATAGTCGTTGTTGGCTCCCACAAAATGTGTGGAGTTATGTAGTAAATAGATTAGTACAATAACTATTTACAAACACCTTAAATTTATTAGCAAAATATATATATGTTACAGTGAAACACCGAAATCTGGAGAATGTCGACTTTCACCGGTGAATGTCAACATTCACATAGTCGCTTAGTGTATGACCGAAATATTTGCTAAACACCCTCATTTCTGACTTACACCGGTAAATGTTGACATTCACCATGCACTAATGGTGAGTGTTGAACATGTTGGAGATTTATATTTTCTTCTCCGTAATTCAGTCGCTATAAAACGTCACAAGGGTGACGTAACTTTTTCGCCTCTCTTTCTGAAAGGATCTAACCCAGACCTAACCCAGACCTAACCCAGACCTAACCCAGACCTAACCCAGACCTAACCCAGACCTAACCCAGACCTAACCCAGACCTAACCCAGACCTAACCCAGATCTAACCCAGACCTAACCGAGATCTAACCCAGACCTAACCGAGACCTAACCGAGACCTAACCGAGACCTAACCCAGACCTAACCGAAATCTAATCCAGACCTAACCCAGACCTAACCGAAATTTAATCCAGACCTAACCCAGACCTGACCCAGACCCTAGATTTGGGTTAGGTCTGGGTTAGGTCTGGATTAGATTTCGGTTAGGTCTGGGTTAGGTCTGGATTAGATCTGAGTTAGGTCTGGGTTAGGTCTGGGTTAGGTCTGGATTAGATTTGAGTTAGGTCTGGGTTAGGTCTGGGTTAGATCTGAGTTAGGTCTGGGTTAGGTCTGGGTTAGGTCTGGGTTAGGTCTGGAATAAGTCTGGGTTAGGTCTGGATTAGGTCTGGGTTAGGTCTGGGTTAGAAAAAGATCACGATTTACTGCAGTATCCATTTAGTATAAATTAGGGTATCGGGGAAAAAATTAAGAAAACGTTGCTCGCGTTATCAAAGCTTGCATAAGACTGACAAAGCTGATTGACTCCGAGCAGAACAAAGGATTTGGCAGGAGAGAACCAGTCGCTTGTTTTTTGACTCTTCTGTTTTGGACCTCCACCAGAGCATATCTGTGATTGTCGACACACACCGGAGAGGGTCCGAATGTACAACAATGTAATGAAATATTCGATATTTCACCGACGTATTTGGTATCTGTTGACATTCACCGGTGAAAGTTGAGATTCTCCAATTTCGGTCATTCACGGTAACATATACACAGATAATGTGTTAAGAGTGGTTCGTAAAGTTCTTGAAGTCTACTCTGTTCAAACTTGATTTCTCTAGTATACTCTGGTAATTGTTTGCTTGTGACTGATGTAACTTGTAATTAGTGGTCTATGTATCTGTAATTGAGTTCTGTTCTATTGTAACTTGTAAATGTTCTGACTGTAATTTGTCAGTGTCCTGGCTGTAACTTGTAACTGAGTTCTATTGTAACTTGTAATTGTTCTGATTTTGTAACTTGCTCTGACTGTAACTGAGTTCATCCATTTCAATAGTGATTATAAACGAAGTTCAAAAAATAGTTAAAAAAATCCCTCGTGGGCCAGTCCTCCCAAACTCCAAATCCCACCCACTGAGGGTCGTACAGGGGTGGGTGTCCATGATCCCAAGGGGCAGGTAAATGGGCCCAAAGTACAGTGAAACTAATAAGGTGTGCTAAATGGCTTTAGGGTACAAAAATTCCTACTGTCAAAAAAGGTACATTTGCTCATCTGAGCAAATTAAGTAATTTAAGTAATATTGAAAATAAATTCAGTGTCCTATAATATAAAATGTTTGGAATTCCAAGCAGTCGTATTTGATAAAGATATGGTATCAAAGGCAAACAAGATTATGAATCAGACCAGTGTTTCTCAGGAAAAGAAGTATTCGATGGTCTAAAAATAAAATATTGATCTCATAGAAAATTTCATGAATTTGGTCTGTCTGCGAACGTGATAATTAATGCAAGCCTTGAACCTAACTTCAATTATGCCATATCCTTACAAGATAGATAATTTTTTAACAACCTGAGAACGATTACTTACGCGTGATAGGATGTTTTAAATCGATGGTTTTCGTTTCTCTTCAGCGGAAGAATTACAGTGTCTCGCTGTATGGAACGATGGCCGCAATAAGTACCTCGTTGGAACGTTGAAAGGGCGAAGTGTATCGGGTGCAGAGAAAACGTACAGGTATGGGGTACCTTCAAACGATTGCATTCCGACACCGTGCACGATGAATTCTCATTTTTATTCTCGCTTATTGCACACGCGTGGACAGATGTTTCCTGTACGAGGAGAAGACGCACCATCAGGGGAAAGTGGTGTATCTGCTTGCCCAATCGGGTGAACCGACATGCAACGGCCTAACCACAGTCTCTGAAGGATCACCTTCGATCAAGCTTATGAAAGGTACGAAATCCACTTGTCTATCTTTCGTTAGAGCCTCTCAAAAACTGTTATTCCGAAGAAAGTGTTCGAAATGTTTGCCCCATATATTAGGTTAGGAAAAAGAAATTCATTATTTTTCACATACAAGGAACCATCGCGAACGGTCCGGCTTCGATTTTCATGTAACTTTGTACACTTATAAAGCAGCCAAAAATAATCGACACGTATTTTTTTTTAGCTGCGGTACCTCGAGTTTAAGGGGTGAAACCACCCCTTGAAGTTTTGGCTCGAAACGGCTATCTCGAAAACGGAAAGACATACAAAAAAATTGTTAATGGGCGAGGTTGATGGTTTCTTATGTACAACAACATGGTGTTAAAAAATTAAAAAAAATACAATTTGTTTATAACAAAAAAAAATTTATTAACTTAATTTTTCATTTTATTGAAATTTTCATAATGACAAAAAATGACGAGCATTTTATTCCAAATCCATTGGTATGCGATTTTTTAAAATTGCCACCTACAGTTTTGCAGATTTTGATGATTTACATCTTGCGCGCACATCCATTATGGTAGTAGCCGTTCTAACTTTGATTTTAATGAAGCACTGTAGGCTTGCACTACTTCTAGAGGACAAAATCGGGAAAAATACAAGAATACCAATTTGTTGATGGAGGCTTCGTTAAGAAATTATTAACGTTTAAAGTTCCGCCCGTACTGAATTTTTTTCTCCGAAATGCCCAAGATTTCGGGGGAATGTGTAATGACCAAAAATGATTGTAATCGACCCCTGCAACCGAAAATAATTTTTTCAGAATGGTTTGAAATTTTTTAATTTCGTTGAAAAGTTTCACACATTCTCGAATTTTTTTCTCAAAAGTGCGTAGGATTTCGGGGGTATATATATTGACCAAAAATGATTGAAATTGACTCCCGCAACTGAAAATAATTTTTTTAGAACGATTTGAAATTTTTTTTTTCGCTGAAAAATTTAGGCACCTACGCCCTGTCGATTTTTCTTAAAAATTCGTTTTTCATTTTTAATAATTTTGTTTGACGCCCTACAAAAACGTTGGCCAATACTTTTTTGTAGGTACCTATGAGCTCTACTTCAGAAAAAAGTTTCATTGAAATATATTCACTATTGTAGGAATTATGGCTGTTTGAAGATTGGACCATTTTTATGGGGTTTTTCTCATTTTGCGTGGTCAAGGATCAACTTTTTGCATATTTTTGCGATTTCTACGTATTCTTGATTAAAGTACGCGTCGTTTGCATTTTTGAAAATTAAAATCCTTCAATCCGTTCAGAAGTTATGACATTTTAAAGATCCGCATGAAATTTTCGGACAACATTTCTGGCCATAAATTACATTTTCGATTAGGAATTTTTTTCTCGAAAGTGCGTAGGATTTCGTGGGTATATGTATTGACCAAAAATGATTGTAATTGGCCCCCGCAACCGAAAATAATTTTTTCCTGGAGGATTTGAAATTTTTTAATTTAATTTTTTAATAACTTTTTAACGAAGGCTCAATCAACAAATTGATATTCTTGATTTTCGTCTTATTCTGGCCTCTAGAATCTCCCATTAAAATTTTTCCCAAGGGTGGCCGAACTTTTCCAAATCCATTGGTATGTAATATTTTAAAATTGCCTCTTTTAAAAAATCGCGTACCAATGGATTTGGAATAAAATGCTCGTCATTTTTTGTCATTATGAAAATTTCAATAAAATGAAAAATTAAGTTAATACATTTTTTTTTGTTATAAACAAATTGTATTTTTTTAAATTTTTTAACACCATGTTGTTGTACATAAGAAACCATCAACCTCGTCCATTAACAATTTTTTTGTATGTCTTTCCGTTTTCGAGATAGCCGTTTCGAGCCAAAACTTCAAGGGGTGGTTTCACCCCTTAAACTCGAGTTACCGCAGCTAAAAAAAAATACGTGTCGATTATTTTTGGCTGCTTTATAAGTGTACAAAGTTTCATGAAAATCGAAGCCGGACCGTTCGCGATGGTTCCTTGTTAGATGGCTGTAGTGATATATGTATATCTTGTAAAGCAGCCATAGCACCAACAAAACAGTTTTAAACCATTTGCATAAAGCTGGCTTAAAAACAAAATGGTACATATTTCACCCAAGTCGAATAATCCGCAGCATGTTAAATAAAGTCTTGAAATAAACGTGAAGATAATGGATTTCTTTCTCCCCGATCTAATATTTCTCGATTACTCCTCAAAATACTTAATAAATGTGACAAAGTAAGTTGTGATTCTCGACAGTCGACAAGGAGCACAACAGATGCAAGTATCCATCTTGGATCACCGAGCATCACGACTGGCACTCTTTGGATGGCACTAAGGTTTATCACTTCACGAACAAAAACGCAACGCTTAAGGTTCGGGTTCAGGATACCGAGGGGGACACGTTTCACGAGGAGAAGGTCGTCTGTCACAATTTGGAGAAGTTGCAACTCGCCGATAATTCCCAGGGATACAAAATGAAGCTGATCGCCCACGTAACAAGCGGCTGGTGAGTAAACGTTGCAGCGTTCAGATTGTGAAACCCGAAATGTAAATGAAAATTACGTGTCGTTGCAGCGATATTGGTTACGTCTGCATGATCTTTCACAAAAGAGATCACCATGTCATAGAGCTGCAACAGTCGGATCAAAAGGCCATAATGCCGGACGAAGCTTGCTCCCTCTCGGATACATCCGCCATGCCCTATACCACGCTAATAAGTGAGTAATTACGACTGTCGATTGCTGTTAAACTTTCAGTGTTCTTTCACAAGCTGAAATTCCGTTCTCCTTTTATCTTATTCTTTATTATTTGGTCGTTGAGCATGCGACAACTGTATTGCTTGGCAGTCAAGTGGTTAAGAACTTGATCGATCAATTTTTCGTTTTGCAGGTTCTTCGTTGCGTCAGAGGAAGTGCCCCAATCCCGGTCGTTACGTGACACTGGGATTTGCGCCGTTTCATTTGCCCAACGCGTCGTTCCGTCGACAACGTCGCAGCGACAAACGGTCTTCCAGGCTCACCAAAAGGAGAGCTTGGAACGAAGATATGCAGCAAATGAAGCCGCACGAGCAGCAACAACGACAACACCAATCGCAGCAGCAACAACATCACCATCATCATCACCATCACCAACACGGAGGAGAGCAACAGCAACAGGAGCACGGAGAGGAATGTAAGAGCACGAATATTCAGATCGGTTGTACCACGTCGGATCAGAACGAAATGGTCGTTAGACAAACGTGTGACGGAGAAGAAGCAAGTAAGTATTGCCTTAATGCACCTGTCTAGTTCGAAGCTTAATAAATTGTTGAATTACTGAATCATGGATCTCCATTTTAATCGCCTCCGAACTAGATGGAGCCACTGAAACAGTTATCGAGATGTTCTCTTTCGAACTTCTTGGAGTGTTAATGCAACCGATTCTTTTGCAGCGTATTACTGTCACGGAAGTTGGGAAGAAAGAGGCACTTGGTACACGATAGTGTCGCAGAAAACCAATCAAGCTTCCTCGGGACTAGGACAGACCTTCTGTTTTTCTATGCGATTCGACGGCAACACGGGGAAACAATCGACGACCGGAAGGACCAGTAGAACGAAACTCTCCGAACAGGAACTTTGGTCCACGAGATTGGATCGTGTTTGTCGGAGAGAAACCGTTGGCGAGGACGAATGGTCCCACACCCTCGTCGGACAAGGTACTTCTAACTAACAGTTATTCTCCAAAATCGTCCTTTCGTGCATACACGAAAATTCGATATATGACGTTTTCGTATATTGTTTATATGTGCTATTTTTCTAATTGTCTTTTCAGGTGTTTGTGAAGACGTAACGAAGGCAGCTTCCAGCTTAGCGCCACTATTTTCCCTGTCCAGAATCCTGTTCATCGTCACTGTGGGAAATTGCGCGGCGTACAAGTACCTATTAAGATGATATGCGAACTTAAAGTGAAACGAAGCCGATGCTCGTGACAGGGCCGTTCCTTCGAACGTTTATGCGAAACGAGCAAGTGAGGCTGGCAAACCCCGATGATTCCGCGCGCTTTTTTCGGCCATCGAGACCAAGAGTGGAGCGGTTCGATCCGAGCGACGCGATTCGTCGATCGAAGACGCGAGACTCGACCACACGGCCAACGGATCCCGCGCGCTCGATTGCGTTTTCTTTTCGAATTTCCGGCCCGTTTGATCGGCAGCGTGCGAGATTTATCGATTCCCCCCGCTCCCTTTCATACGCCCAATATTTCTTCGACTTGTAAGAACACGACGGTTTTCGGGTTTTGTAATACTTTTCCAACTATCCTGTTACCTTATTCGCATTTTCGCCCACTCCCGTATACTTAGAGACGTACTTAGATTCTAGGTCTTAGGCCCGTCCGTTTCGTGCGATAATCGAGAGTTTTTGTGCGACGATGTCTATTTACATCCTGTGAATTTATATATATTTGCACTTATATTTTTTATATGTAGGAGTACGTTGAAAAAGGGGAGCAAAGTGTTCGCCGACACGCCGGGAAACCACGGACATTAGTTTAAATGTGAGGAGTGCGAGCAACGACGGCCTCGATCGTTTATTTTTTTTTTATATTTTTATATATATTTTTGCCAATACGAGATTTCTTAAGCACGAGGCGTTAACGTCCGATCGACGAGCCTAGAACGTGCACCCGCAGCTTTTGTAAATATAAGCAGGTTATAAGCGAGTCAAGACCACGTTCGATTTAATCGCGAGCGACATCGATATAATCCTACAACTACGAATTTGGTTAATTTAACGCGTAACAACTACGATAAGAGAATACTTTTTACCTCTTAACTAGCTACACTTTGTATATAATAATTTAAGCACTGTATAAAGACTGTTTTTAACGAGTATAGAGTTTTCCACTCACGGCCGTGTCCGATTATCGTGCACCGCCCTGATAACCGACTTGTTCGTCGAATTTCCTTTCGTTACCGCGAATCATCGACGGACGATTGTCGGCGTCAATGGGACAAATTCGCGTAGCACGCGCTCGAACATTTACACGCGAGATACGCGAGGCCAATGCCATGTACCATGTATCGAGTCGTTAATGGACATTGGATATAATTGTTACCAAGATTCAATAGCAGAGAGTATACGTGCACGAATCATTTCGCGTGATTTTTATATTCGTTTCGCCTATGGATTTCGTTCAGATCTGGTATAAACGTATCGCGCCTAACCGTAACATCGTATCTGATACTTGTTGAAATTTACTGATGATACGGCTTGTCCATTAACCTCGTTACGATTCACAACGTTTGTTAAGTTTATACATAAATTAGCCGATCGCGATGGAGGTGAACTCTTTAATACAATACAGAACACAAACACGTTATATACACATACACGCGCACACACACATATACTATATATATATACATATATATATACACAATTATAAAAGATTGAGACTGTTCCGAAATTCAGATAATTAGAATATACGTGTACGACGATGCATTGGTTCTAACCCGTAAGGTAGACAAATTTTTAATATCGAGATAAATTTTTATTTTTATACGCATAAAACTATCGTTCCCAGTTCGACCCTCGTCCGCACCTACCGTTCTCCGACTTGTTTCACCCGTTGGGATCATCTTGCCACTGATTCACCTAACCCAGACCCGAAACCCCTGCACGCTCCCTTCGGCCTCTGGTTTATATACTTCACTTTGTTCCTGACGTATTTTATACTTTTTCATAGGAACGAGCGCATAACGGAATGTTATTTGATTATAGTTTCGCCGAACGCGTCTCTATGCGTCTACGGGTGAAGAAAACTGTCGTTCGCGAAACGAATAATTTATAATTTTATTTGATTATTTATCAATGATGCAACGCAAAAGTCTCTGGCTAAACTAAATGCTCGCAGAAATTATATTTATTAAAATATACAAGGTGTTTGGCCAACCCTGGGAAAAATTTTAATGGGAGATTCTGGGGGCCAAAATAAGACGAAAATCAAGAATAGCAATTTGTTGATCGAGGCTTCGTTAAAAAGTTATTAGCATTCAAAGTTCCGCCTGTAGATAGGCAACCTGCGTACAGCTGCGTGCGCATGGTAGTGGTTCTCGCGCAGTGGTAATGCGCAGCTGTTCGCAGATCGCCGTTCTACAAGCAGAACTTTAAACGTTAATAACTTTTTAACGAAGCCTCGATCAACAAATTGGTATTCTTGATTTTCGTCTTATTTTGGCTCCTAGAATCTCCCATTAAAATTTTTCCCAGGGTCGAACACTCTGTATATTGCAAACAATGTGATACGAGAAACCACACAAATTTTCTTCTACTTCGAAGGACGCTAGTTACAAGAAAAAAATCTACGCATAAACTTTTCGATTTTTCCGGACAAATATTGTACGATCTTTTTTATTTAATTTTTACGCGTACTTATAAGCACGATTATTACGAAATAAAACTGTTGAAATTTATTTGAGGGAGATAGCTTTTCCTGCGTTTCTCGAGACGAAATGTTTTCTGGATCCCTGTCGAACAGACGCGTAGACACGCGGGGATTCGAGTGACCGTCGATCACGATAACCGACCACGAAGCAGAGACGGGCGAAATTCTGTTCGAGCAAATTAGGTACTCGATGAAATCAATTCGTAGCGATTCGCTCGTACGAACGTTTAAATTATTTAACGGGTGACGGGTCGAGAGATGGATATATTTATTCTCGTTTCAAGGATTAGCGTTTAAACGGAATTTGGCTCGTCTCTGCCGCGAAGGACCTACGAACGAGTGCGTACGCTGGTTTTGTACATTCTGTGTGTCGGATGCGAGTTTGCAATACCGGAGCGTGTGTACTCCGTAATACTGTACGCTTACGGTAGTCTATTGTTTCTTTACCATTGTGATGTCAACGCAACAACGACGTTCACGACGACGATGACGACGTTAACGACGAAGACGACTTTGACGACGAAGATGATACGATACAAAATAAAATAAAAAAAAATATATATATTAAAAAGGAAAAAAAAAAAAAAAAGAATATTAGCGTTTAAGGGAAAAAGCTCGCGCGTTGCTCGTCTCTCGGCGGCAGAGCCTAACTAACGAAGACGTTATTCGATCGTACGCCGTTGCGGATTTACGGGCAGCAAGCGTATTGGATGTAAGCAATGATGGTTACAATGGCGTTTCGATAGGGGTACGCGACCGTTCGTTCCTAAACGGAGAAACTTACGCGACGAACACACATGACGTTGCGGCCCGAAAAAGGCTAGGGAGAAGCGATTGTTGTTCGCTGCCTCGGTCCCGGATATAGATCGATGTTGTTTGTTTGTTCGAGAGCATTTGGAACAGCAAAACTTGTTCGATCGACGAACGTCGACGGTCGAAAGCGGTGCCGACGTCTTCGTTTCGCCCAGGTCCGCTGATCGAACGTTGTGACCCACAACTAAGAGCTACACTGTGTGTAACGTTTATTATTATATTTTGAATATGACGAAATACACATACATGTACAGAATACACCCAGAGAGATCTATACCCTGCCACATATATGGTATAAACATATGTAGGGCGTTCAGTCATTCCAGGGAAAAATTTTAATGGCGGATTCTAGAGGCTAAAATAAGACGAAAATCAAGGATACTAATTTGTTGATTGAAGCTTCGTTAACAAGTTATTAATGTTCAAAGTTCCGCCTGTGGAACGTCGATCTGCGAACAGCTGCGCGCGCACGATAGTGGTTCTCACTACAGGCGAGGTATACGAGTAGACCTTACATCCAATATATTTATTTTTCTGGAGCTTTAGAGCTCCATTAATACGCATTCTTTGAATTTTGAATCATTAAAATCCTTCCATCCGTCCAGAAGTTATGATTTTTTAACTTCACAGTATATTTTCGGTAATGAATTTTTTTCTCGAAAGTGAGTAGGATTTCGGGGGTATGTCTATTCACCAAAAATGATTGTAATTGACCCCCCCCCCCCAACCGAAAATATTTTTTTCAAAACGATTTGGAATTTTTTTTTTCGTCGAAAAATTTCACACCTTCTCGAATTTTTTTCTCGAAAGTGGGTAGTATTTCGAAGGTATGTCTAATGATAAAAAATAATTGTAATTGACCCCCGAAACCGAAAATAATTTTTCCAGAACGATTTGAAATTTTTTTTTCCATCGAATTTAGGCACCTAATTAGATTTTCGGCAAGGAATTTTTTTCTCGAAAATGCGTAGGATTTCGGGGGTATGTCTAATGATAAAAAATGATTGTAATTGACCCCCGAAACCGAAAATAATTTTTCCAGAACGATTTGAAATTTTTGAATTTAATTGTTAATAACTTTTTAACGAAGCCTCCATTAACAAATTGGTATTCTTGATTTTCGACTTATTTTGGCCTCTGGAATCTCCAAATAAAATTTTTCCCAGGGGTGGCCGAACATCCTGTATAAATTCGCGAGCGCATGCGTGTTGCCAATGGTTTCGAGGGACCAGCGTTTTGGCAAACTGTAATCTGATTATTTTTTAATGTAATATTAATATAACATTGATTTCTTTGTTGCATATCCGTGATAATCTGTTTATGTTAGATTTTCCCCGGGAACGTGATTCGTTTATTTCGTATACGAGGACCAATTCAACGTTTTCCACCCCCTTTTGGATCCTCATTTGGCGAAATGCGGATTTCATGCGTTCACGGCGCAATATGGAGAATATATGCAAAACGTATGAATATTTCATAAATTAATATAATAATATCGGCATTTCGTTTCGCGTAAGTGCGTACATCCTGCACACATTTAACATATACTTTTTATATTCGTGTACGCTATAAATGTGTAATATCCGGTCTAACGGGAATTAATGGAGAAGTTTATTCGCCTTTTTACAATGTGTAATCGATTTAAGGGTGGATTCTCGCGTAACAGAGTATAAATTTAAAGTTTCCTTTTCTATTTTTTTCATGAAGAATTAATTCTATTGTATTAGACTCTTAGGGACATAAGAGAGTCCTTGAAACTGTACGAAAATATTTTTTTGGTCCACTTTTTATTATTTTGTATTAAATATTAGTTACTTAAGACTTTTAATCATATCCAACGATGTAATTATAGTTGGTGTACATCCATCATAGAAAAATTCTCTTAAAATTGGTTGGTTTCTACTAATATTGAACTCAAATATGCAACATTTAAAAAACTATAGCATTTTGAAGAAAAAATTTCTATATCAAAAAGAAATTTTTTTTTCAAAATGCTAACAATTTATGTCGATATAGAAATACCTAAGAAATAATTTTCATCGTTTTTAAAAAATCAAATTCATGAAAATTGTTCATTAAACCATTTTCAGTATCATTTTTATATTATTTTTGTAATATATTTTAGAACGGCTTCTCGGAAAAATTGCGTTTTAACGAACTTTCAACGTAATTGAAATATCATAATTTTTAATTTTTTTACACGCGTTATCATCAAAGCAAAAATAAATACGAAACGAACTTCATATTAAATCTCCATTATTCGAATTTCTGGTCGAATTATTACCGGACTGCAAATGAAGCATTCGATAAAATTTGTTTCTTATCGCTTTTAACAGAAAATGAGAAATTACGAATATGTTACAAGTACAAAACAAAATATAAATAATTTTCGCTGTTCCAAATTCTTTACCTTTCAGTTTCTTTTTTAATATTTTCGCTATTACTGAAAATTTTAACCATTGTTTTTAATAATAATAAAACTATATCAATACGAATGCTTCCCTAAATTATAACTTTTATTATTAATTATTAAAAATAGGTTCCTTCTGAAGATACGTGAGTTTTACAACGTCTCTTGAAACATTTATGATATGCCTCTTCCGAGACGGTGTAAAAAAAGGCTGACGAATCCTTTTGAAGGTTCGATATGGCGTGGGACTGCTTTTCTTGCAATTTGGGGAATAAAAGGTAGCTCGGAGAGCCAAATCAAGCGAATACCATGGGTAGTTGAGCGCTACGACGTCCTTTGTAGTCTCAAAGTGGCGAAAACTGATAGGTTTAGCCTTTTGCGCCATCGTAATTTTATCGACAAACGTGAAAAAGGTCACCTGTGGCGCCACGGTTAATGACACCTACTCCGTATCAATCGAGTCGTGCCATAAATAATTGCCATTTTCTTATATCAACTGCCCTTGAAAATAATTAACAAAATAATTCAATCTAAAACGTATTCCCCAGTAATCTCTATCGTTGCCCGTTTAGATGGCAAGTCTGTCGCCCTAAGCTAAAATGGCGTATCTCGAGGGTGCGTTTCTTTCGATTTTGCATCTAAATTGCCTAGATTCTCCTTGAATTTTTAATATACATCCAACATCATAATATTCATCTTTAACATCACTGACCAAAACTCGAATTCGACTTTCCATAATTATTATTCATATATTCTAAATAAACCAATTTATAGTGGCGGTATATGTATGAATACGAAACTCGACTAAAAGCTAAGGTATGATTTTTTGGTTTAGGTTAATTTAATTTCGATGAAAAGAAATTTTCGAAATTAAAAGGACTCTTGAACGTTGCTAGAATCGGTAATGATTTTACAGTTTAAATCGTTTCGTGAAAGAAATGGAACGAATAGTAATTAGCGGAGTTTAAACAAAAAATAGGACCATCTTAGTAGTTTTTTAGCTCAAAAATTTTTTCTTCTCGCTGTATGTGGCCCAGTTCCTCAAAAGCACGACACTCTTACGAGCGACGAGTGTTGGTCGTTCTGCTTGCAGTTATTCTTGCACTTTCGCTAACTACTGGACATACGGTTCTGCCCTAACTGTTTCATTACGCTGCAGTAACTCGTAATGGATCAAAAAAGAACCTTTCTCTTCCGTCTTTAAGTCAA